CTTTTCTCGCCTAAATCTGCCCGGATTCGGTGATGACCCGCAGACTCCCCCGGATTCTTCTGTGTCTCCACTTCGACACTTCCACCACTTCCTCCTACCCTCATCCTACTCTTCTCCTACTCTTCTCCCTCATCCTCCCTCATGGTCGCTCGGAACAATAGGATGGGTCGCTAGCGACCATGGCCAACGACAACGCCCTGGATGGCATCGTGGGCGCCTACCATGGCGACAACTTCCACGTCAAGGTCGTCTTCACCACCTTCCTCGGCATCGCCATGTACAACGCCATCGAGCTGATCGTGCTCATCTTCATGACCTTCAAGCGATATCGCGGCCTCTACTTCTGGAGTCTGCTGCTCTCCGCCGTCCTCGGCATCCTCCCGCAGTCCATCAGCTTCCTGCTCAAATACTACAATTTCGCCCCCGCTCTGGTTCTCCATCTCGCTCTCGAACCCTGGGCTGGTACTTCATGGTCACCGGCCAGGCCCTCGTCCTCCTGTCGCGCCTCAACCTGGTCATCCAGAACCCCCGCGTCCACCGCCGCGTGCTGGCCATGATCATCGTCGACGCCATACTGCTGCACATCCCCACCACCGTGCTCACCTACGGCTCCAACTTCGCCCCCTCCGGCCGCGCCCGCTGGGTCTCCGCCTACACCGTCATGGAGCGCATCCAGCTCACCGGCTTCTGTCTGCAGGAATTCGTCCTCTCCGGCCTGTACATCCTCGAGACCGTCAAGATCCTGCGCGTGTCGCCGCCCTCGTCCGCCGGCGGCCGCCACGCCCACATCAACCGCAAAATCATGTACCAACTGCTCGGTATCAACCTGCTCATCATCGCCCTCGACGTCATCCTTCTCGTTGTCGAGTACCTCAACTTTTTTGTCATCCAGACCACCCTCAAGTCGCTCGTCTACAGCATCAAGCTGAAGCTGGAGTTTGGCGTCTTGGGTCGGCTCGTCTTCCTCGTCCGCTCCCACCGTTTTGACTCTAGTCCGCGGAGGAATGGTGCAGCGAAACTGCCCGACTTCGTCGACCCTGCGTTCATGCTGAACGATTATACCCATGCGCCCCGTCCTGCCGGCCGCGTTGTCCATCCGTGGGAAGATACCGAGTGCAAGACGTTTGTCTCGCATATTGAGAGCACCGCCCCGCCGCTCCCGGCCCATCGCAGGTAGTTGTATGATTTACGTGTCTATGATTTTGTTGTGCGATATACCCCATGTGTTGACCATTCAATATGTATGTAACAATCTTTTCAAGGCTTACTAGCCCCTTAAGCCAATGCATTTTAACAGAGAACCGCCTATGAAGTAAACTTGTCCAAGCGATCATCTCGAAACCTGATACAGTATGCCTGCCAATTGAAAGACGTAGCATGCTAGACTAGAGAGCCTTCACCCATTCCCATTCATCAAATTGCCGTCATCGAACCCCAATTTAACCCGCCAGACTGCTCCTCTCGCGCCGTCCCATGAACGAAAAGTACCAAGTCGGCTCCCCATGACGGATGCGACAAAGAGAGTCATATCTGTCGCGGACTTCGTTGTGCCGCCAGTAGTCGTCATGGTACTCCTTCAACCCGGTCATGCTCTTACTAGTGTCCATACAATCGAGGCACAGCCCATCGAAGTACTTCCTCACAACATCAGCCGCCTTTTTCACCACCTGCCCCAAAGACTGATTACACAGCCGACACAGCCGCTTCTCTCCCAGACCCTCAGCGATCCGCTTCCGCATCCTCTCTTCATCGAACCGGCCGAGCCGCTCCAGCAGTGTATTGATACTCAGCTTCCACGCTGTCTCCTCCAGCGGCCAGATCCCGATCCGACGCAGCTCGTGCTCGTAGTGGTACACCGTCAACGCCTTGCAGGCACATGAGTCATAATCCACGATAAGCTTGATTTGCTCGAACAGGTCGCGGTGGAGGATGGCGCGGAGGCGTCCGCGGGCTACGTTGAGCTGCTGAATGACGCGGGAGGGGAGATGCATCTGGAGCACACGGGTGGGGTTTCTTTCCTCGATGTGGCCGTCCACATCGTAGACTAGTTGTTTGGTGATGGTCTGGAACCCGGCAGCGCAGTCGAACTTGAAACAGGGGTAGAGCAGGCGCTTCTCGAATTCGTTGTCGTCGAGGTCGTCGTACTCGCCGCGCTCGTCCTTTTTCTGCTGGAGATCGAACCACTGCCTGAACCAGGTGGAGAGCTCCTCCAAAGAGAAGCAGTACTTGTCCGCTGTCGCGACGAGATGCCAGGTTTCTTCTATGGTGACGGATTCGAGAGGCAGCCCGTCCAGAGACCCGTGGAAGGCGCGCAGCCAGATCTCCATGCTCCGGGGTCTGGTGTCTTCCAGGACGATCGGGGTAGAGTTCTCGCGCCACCGGCCTCGGAACATCGAGCTGAAGTATGAGCTGTTTTCGATGAGGATCTTGGAGTCGACATCAAATGTTTCGCTTTGCTTTAGGAGACGCTCTTTTTTGCTGCCGACGCCCCAGATCGTCTCGTACTCGTTTACGGTGATGGTTCGATTGCCATTTTCGGTGACGGGGATGGCGCCTGGCTTCTCTGGAGGAGTCTGTGTGCTCTGCATCTGGGTGGTGTTTGAGGGTGTGGTGAAGAGGCGAAAGAGAAACATCAGATCTGCCGAGACAGCTGTATGATGGAATCAGGCCGCAGACAGCTGGCGGGGAGAGGATAGGCAGAGTCCACTGAATGGAGAACCAAGTGGAGGAAGATAGGGGATGAGGAGGTTGGGTAGGTCTGTTGAGCGAAGTATCAGAATGGCGCTTCTCATGGACTTGACTTTGAGATAAGGAAGGACTCCTCAGTTCAATAACTGACCTGGAGACTTGTACGCCCACAGGCAGTAGGAGGGGGTAGGAGGTGAGATGAAGGAAATAGAGAAGACTGCGAGAAGAAGGGAGAAGGGAAACAGGAAAAAGCTGACTTCACTTCACTTCCATCTTCAACTGGTATCTTCTGTTACTCTTGTTTCACTTCACTCAACCACAATTAGACAGTTGAAAGATAGACCGACAGTCGCGAACGACAGATTCAGCAATGCGCAAATACTCCTCATCAGCATCCCAACCCCAAGTTTTCATCTCCCTCACAGCCTCTCCAAGTCTCTTCTTGAAATGTTCCTCGCTCTCCTTATCTTCCCAGTCACCATGCTTGGTATCTAGCGGCTCTTCACCCAGAATATGAAAGGATATAAAAGACAGTAGATCACCTTCCACTCGATCTCGGAATTTATCACGAACCGGGTGACTCAGGAGATGACAGATCAATGACTGCATATACACGCGAGGTTTGGGCGTCAAAATCCTCAACGTGTGATCAAAGGCAGCTGGGACTTCGACCGTGTCCTCGAGCGCAAGTCCGACAAACGACAACGGGTAGATGTATACTGGGCTCCCAAATAGCGGGTGAATCATGGCAGCTTGCTCCCATTTTTTGTATCTGTCGGTGAAGCGTATGTCTGAGGGGCCCCGTGGGAATCCACAGTCTGATAAAATCTGCGATGCGACGGACAGCAGTGCATCAGGGACTGCCCATTCGACAAGCTAGGACACGGAAGTTAGCAGTACTCAACGACCACAAGGAGTTTCGTTGCGTACTAGAAGGCCCACAGGGTCTCCATGGCGCCACTGTATCTGCTGGCCGTACTCGACGATAGGAATCTCCTTGTCCGCTAGGGCTTTGGCGGCTATGCGCACGAGGGGCGCATGAGGTTGTGTCTCTTCCAGGCCTGCTCGTCCCATTCTTGGATTCCTACGTCCAATGCAGCTTGGACGATGGGACCCTCTTGGAAAATATCGTGGTCTTCGGGAGGTGACGTGGAGATGAGAGCTGGAGTCAATAGTAATATACCAACCTGGTTACACAGAGGCCTGGCTTGATTTGAAAGCGCACGAGTTTTCAAGATATCAAATATTTCCACTGATACTTCCTGAGTTCAAAGTACGACTCAGATTTCCCATGTGAGCAATTACTATGACTCAATGCGTAAGTAGAGTTGGCGTACAGTTGGAAATATGATGTTAATATGAGCTTGATATGACCAGTTTAGACCAAGTAGTTAGGCCTAAAACGGACCACTACTTTGACAACCCATCCAGGTCAAAATGGCCCGCAATTATGTCCACCGCACTGAGCTCCTTCACCGCGTCTATAGTATCCGGCCGTGCCTTTAGCGACATCATGATCAGGCCCGTGGCGGTAGTGCTCACAGGCAGGTTGACCACGTTATTCTCGCGACGTGGAAAAGCAGCTTAGCGAGGTCGAAACTCGAACTATACGCGGCCCGAAGACCAAGGGAATGGAGATTGGGATGGTGTGGGCAGGAAGAAACCATTGAATTCGACTACTACCGAACTGAAAGCACTAAGCATCAAAGCGTAGATACATCAAATCAACTTTACAGTCGAGCAAGCCCAGTAAACTCTCCAGGAGCATGGTAAGTCGGCACTCTCATCTCCAACGCAGCCCCAGAATATCCCAGATCCTCCGCGACGAGCATGGCGCACTTTTCACCGATCAAGAGCGCAGTCTGCAGCCCATGTTAGCAGTCGAGGGATAAACGTTGATATATAGAGACACTCACGCTAAACGTATTGCAGCCCACATTGTCCGGGCAGATGGACAGATCGCACACCTTCAAGCCCTCGACTCCGTGCACGTTGAGACGTTCGTCGACAACGCCACCGTGTTTGGTCAGAGAGTTGCCCTCCCGAGGCGCCATGCTACAGGTGCCGAGGGAGTGCCAGGTGGTTTCGACATGGCGTTGGACTTTGGAGCGTGTCAGCCATGCAGATTTCTCAAGAGTGGCTCGTCTTACCCCATTTCTCGATGTGTTTGATATCTTCATTGCTATACTGCAGTTCGTTCCTGGTATCTTGTCTATGGGAGTTCAGGTGGGTCTCCAAGGAGGGATTTCCTTTCTCGAGAGGATGAGACCAGGATCCTGTTGCTGAAGTTAGTAGTCCGTCGAGAGCTATGGGAGTCAAGGGGTATTACATACCATGCTGGATACCGGCAGTGATATGGTTCGGCCCGGCATACGCCTTGGTTGTCTCCAGGTCAAGGTCAAACGCCCGGGCAGGTGAGTCGTACGCAAAATGGGGATGCATAGCCGTCACTTCGCCCGCGTAGGAGCTCATCCGTCTGGCCGTCTCGCGAGACTTGATGTACCCCCAGACCATAGCCGCCATGTCACGTTTGTCGTTCATGAATCCCGCATCGAAATCGGGGTTCTCGTACGGGTCTGCGGACTTGACATGGGTGAACCCGCGGGAGAAGGGGTATTCCAGAAAATGGAACATGGTAAAGAACTTGCCAGGAGGCATGAGCATGTGGTCTCCGAACCAACTAGTGTTGTCAGCATATCACCCTTCCCTCTTATCATTCTCGAAGGACATCTTACCCAGCAATGACAGAATAATGCATGACCGGCTTGTCAGGCTTATTCTTAAAGTAAGTCTCCCAGCCGTCCACAAACTCCGGAGTCGGCCATTTCTTCATCTCCTCCAATTCCTTCTCAGTCGGACGGATTTTCACGCCAGCGTCGATGCCATTCGTCGCCAGCGGACCCGTCCCCTTGAGATTCCACTCGTCAAACACCTTCTTCTGCACCTCAGGGTCTCCACGAACAAAGTCGTCAAAAGACTCCACGTCAGGCTTAGCCCTGAACACCGAAAAGGTGAGATAGTGGTCCTGGAAATTGCGGCCCACGCCCGGAAGATTCACGAGGGGCTTGATTCCCGCTGCGCGCAGCTTCTCAGGGTCACCAATGCCAGACCGTTGCAGGATGAGCGGCGAGCTCAGAGTCCCGGAGCTGATGATGATTTGCTTGCGAGCCCGGAAGATCTTCCGCGGGGGGTCATGGCCATCCAGCGGCTTGGAGGGGACTGTGGCGACGCCTACGGCGCGGCCGTTCTCAATGATGACCTTGTCCACTTTGGTGTTGCACTTGAGATGGAGGTTTGATTGTTTTGCTCTGGTGCTGTGGACGTAGGCGTGGGCGGCATCGCTGCGACGTCCTGCGTTCCTTAGCGGGAGTGTAGGTTAGGCAGAGAGGGATCGACGTACCAGTGTCCCGGTTGATCCACTTCAACCAGTGCTCGGCTCCGTGGCTGGAACTAAGATTTAGCAATGCATTGGCAGCAAAGAGAGGGGGGCGTACCCTGTCTTCAGGTCCTGTAGGTCATCCGTGATGGGAATGTCCTGGGACTCTGCAGCCCGGAGGAAGTCCTGCATAATCGGGTACGTATAGTTCCCGAAGGAGACCTTGATGGGGCCGTCGAAGCCGTGGAGCTCACGGTTATTGCACGCCCGCTGGTAGGTCTCATGCTTCCGCATCAGGGGTACAAGATCCTTGGTCTTCCAGCCTTCGGCCTGGAAGTCATCATAGTCGGAGGCTGACGCGCGAGTGTACATCTGCCCTCGTCAGCAGCTGTCGATGTACATGCGGTGTGACCATACCATGAAGTTGATGGAGCTTCCTCCGCCAAGGATATTGGCACATGGGACGATTGCACGACGTCCATCGAGGTGCTCAGACGGACGTGAGTAGTAGAATGAAGCTGTCTTGGAGTCCAGCTTCATGTTACGGGGGTAGATCCCCGGACGGTACACCCTATCACTATGAGCATCCACCCAGTACACGAGGAGAGATGTCTACCATGGGTTGTTGAGATTGTCTTCTCCAGCCTCGATCAACAGAACAGAAAGACTGGGATCGAGGTTGGCCAAGCGGCCTGCCGGGACACAGCCGGAGCTTCCACCACCGCAGATGATGATGTCGACTTCGTCTGGAATAGTCATTGTGAGATGATACTTCGACACTGTTGATTGTATGAGGGAAGGTCCTTTTGTCCATGCTGGACTTATCATCGAATTTATACCTATGGATTGAGTCTACCCCACAGGACTGTGAGGGGAGACAGTACATTGTTATGCAGAACGCGTATACCAAGAGTTAATTCGGGGTTGTTCCCCGCATAGGATGGGTGTTTTGCTCAATTTTATAAGGCCTAGAGCATGTCCAAGAGGGGACAACGTTTAGTATGAGCTGGGATCACAACTATATGCTATATGGAGTGCATATGCGGGGGTCAGCAGTCGATCGTGAGTCCCCCAGACAGTTCTCACAAGTTGTCGTGGTTTAATCTGGTTCAATACCTTATAGGCTTCAATATCTTGCTATACATGAACATCGGACCTACGGATAGGATCTTGGGATCAACAGAGCACTGGGTGGATGGAATCACAGAAGTACATGAGCCACGAGGTATACATCAGACCAGGCAATGAAGTATAAAGACGCTACATTCAGTAAGCAATTTCCCCGCAACCCCATACAAGACTATGCTGCTAAAGGAGTGTATAACACCTCATTATTATTGACAACCCCACACTTCCTACGAGCAATCAACTACGTTGGCATTCTCCGGCTGTCCGGGAAGCTATAAACAACAGATGTTATGTGGAGAGCTCCCCGCAGATCTCCAACCGCCAAATCCCGGACTTGGCCAGCACGTCCGTCCATTAAGAGCATAACGATAGTGAAGCTGGTTGCAGCTGGGGTACATAAAGACGGAAGAACAGCATGAATTTTCCACCAATGGGTCCAGTGGACTGGCACGTCCACACAAGTATAGGAGAAGCACCGGAGAAGTCAGACTGGTGGCGTCCCAAGTCCATGTCACTACCAACGCACGTTGCCCAGAATGTGGTAGGACAGGCTAGAATGACGGTAGAAGCAGCCTCTGATAGTGGTTCTGGTTCCATGAATGACAATGACTTTGTATGCATATGCAAACCGGTTACAAGCCAGGTCCTGAGGTCATAAAGTTTATTATACTTCGATAGTCCATACGCGATGGGATAGGAATACATATCAACAGTCCATTGCGTCGATTAAGCGATAAACATAGAGGTTAACGGACATCCCAGACCTGTCCACCAGCACAAGCACCAATTCAGCAGTCATCATGCCCGATTTAAGCCGATCTGAACAGGTTTTCGGCGACACCGAAGTCCCACCAGACGCTCCATATCGCCATCTCAAGGTATATACATACAAGCAGTAAACCCACATCCTCCCACCACAATCCCACCAACAATACCAGCAAAATGAGCCTCAAACATCAAATCTCCGTCCAGCCCCTCTCCCCAGGCCATTTCCACTCGACCACCAACCCAACCCGCCCGGGCACCCTGACCCCGAACGCCTTCGGCGGCAACCTCCTCGCCGTCGCCGTGACCGCCGCCTACCACACCGTCACCCGGTCCTACCACCTGTACTCGCTGTGCGGGCACTTCCTCCGCTCCGCGACGACCGACCGCAAGCTCTTCTGCCGCGTGCGCCCCCTCCGCGACGGGAAGAGCTTCCGCACGCGACACATCGAGCTAACGCAGCGCGGCGACGACGGCGCGCACCGGCTGTGCGTCGTCGCGCTGGCGGACTTCCACATCGCCGAGCCGCGCAGCATGGTCGCGTACTCGATCGCGCCGGAGGGGAGCGCCTCGCTGACGGGCGTGAAGCAGCGGTGTCGGCAGGACGAGCCGATCGCCGAGCATGTGGGCATGTACCGGGAGATCGAGGCGTTTATCGAGATCCAGCCGCTGGATATGGAGGGGTCAGCGGCTGAGAGAGGTGGCACACTTCGGGCTAGGGATCGACAGCCTGCGGTGCCGGGGAAGATCACCAAGGAGCGGTTCCGGGTGCGCGCGCCGCTGGACACGGAGGCCGAGCAGGTCGCTGCCGTGGCGTTCCATTTAGATACAGGGCTGGCGTATATTCCGGCGCTGCATAGTGGGTATCCGCTGCTGCAGGCGAGTGCGTGCGCCACACTGGACTTTTCGCTGCGGGTGTTTGCGTATGATATGCGGCTGAATGAGTGGCATACGACGGAGCAGAAGACGGTCGTTGCGGGGAACGCGCGTGCGTATAATGAGGGCCGCATGTGGGATGCGAATGGGCGGTTGCTGGCGAGTATGACGCAGCAGACGATCTTGCGGCCGGGGGAGGAGTTTGTTTCTCGTCTTTGATTCTTTTCCTTTGTGATAGGAAGGCTTGTATTGGGGAGTGTTGTATATGAATGAACTAGATCTAGATATTAGACAAAGTATGTTAGAAGTATCAGCACGACATCCTTCATTTTAAAGACAACACAGCCGGCTGTGCGAGGTGTATTGGATCATATACAGTACAGACATCAAGGCCTGCATCACTCTATCTAGCTAATTACAAAAGCAAACATCCTCAAACTCAAACAACACCCCCAAACACGTAACCAATCCCTAGTCAAAGAACAAATTGTAGACCAAAGGTTGATCAGTCCATAACAGCTGGTAGGACATCCACTCTCCACAGCCACTAGGAACAAATATAAAACAGTAGAAGAGAAACTTATTAATATGATAATTAGCGTGACTGCTGGGAGCGAAAGGTCGATTGACGTCGCATGATGGGCTCGCCCTGCGATGGCCCATCCTTGCGGTCCAACCCGGTGGAAGCTCCATCCTCCCGAGCCTGGCTATTGGCATAGTCAAAAGTCGACGTCTGTGCCAGGCTCGAGGCTCGTCGGCGCATGCGTCGCTCGGCGTCGACGATCTCCTTCTGGTTGAGGGCCTCGGAGGGTAACAAGATGGCACGGTCCAGGGCATACGGCAGACCACGATGTCTTCCACGGACCTGCATTGCTATAATCACCAGTTTGGAGATTACCTGAAACTGGCTGCAAAAGGAAGCATTCACTCCGGGATAGCCCAAGGACAACCCGACGGTACCGTATGCAGAAATGACCTCGAAGAGCACGGACCAGATCTGGAATGCATACTCGTCCTTCCGCTGCAGACGACCGCCCTCCACGATGCAAATGATGAAGAGTCCAAGAACGACGTACCACAAATCGAAACCCAGTTGTCGACGCAAATGGGCTCCGATATAATTGGGAGTGGTTTGGTTCTCGCTATCGTCATCATCGTCAGCCCCTGGGTAGATGCCCAGGCTCTTTTCTTCATACACATTGGTCCTGCGCAGGGAGATGGCGATCGGGAAGACGGAGATGTACATCATTATCATGTAGGAAACCTGGACCGCCGGATGCAGGTCTGCCAGAGACACAACAGAAAACCCGGCCGTCCGGGTACACGTCGCCTGGTAGAGACCGTCCAAGATGCGGATGCCCACCGGGAAGTCGGTGACGGTGGGATTATTCAGATCCAGAATGATGAAGAAAATCAGATCGATCCCGTTCAGGGCAACCAGGATTGCAAAGAGCCACCAGGTTGCGTTTCGGGGGAACAAAAGCGTGAAACAGCGGCGGGGATGGTCGAGAAGAAACTTCAATTCTTCCCATAGGGGGGTCTCCTTGCGAGTGAATTTGGACAAGGCCCAGATGATCAGGCGTAGCATGCAGGGGAACCCAGTATTGCCGATCACAATGAGGAAACCGTTGAGGAGTAGGGGAAAGATTGCATCCGCGAACCCCATCATAGAGTCCGGGGTAATGCTGAATCCGACATCGTTGAAGGAGGAAGCCGCGGTAAAAATGGCCCACCATGGGCGTCCTTGGCCAATTTCAGTGACAACCGAACCCCAGCGCGTGGTCAGGATCCACGGCACCAGACAGATGATGCCGAGAAGGTGGAAAAAGACATAGTACGAGATGAGAACGACGGCCAGCGTCTTCAGGGCGCGGTACTCGATGCCACCTAGTTCATCCCGTTGCTCCTCGGTCAAGTCGACAAAGTTGGAATTCCGGGCTACTGTGGCATTCCAGCTCAGATATGGCAGAGTCGTGCGCTCCCGTTCATGGGTCAAGGAGCGAAAGACGCCGGTGATGGTCGGACGGCGAGTGGCGATGCGAGTGAGCGGAGACGACGGGTCGCCGGGGTCCTTGGTCTCGCGCACGGTCGGGCGTGTATCCATGCGAGGGAAGGTCGAGTTCCGCGTCTTGGTGCGGATCATATCAGGCTCGTTGATGGTAATATGCGGACCGACCATCGGCCCCACATGGTCGCTCTCCTCTGCATCACGGGGACTCCGTGGCTCGTCCGACTGTCGGCTGCCCGTACGCGTGACTTCCGCATTCCCCTCATCCAGCACTTGCGGCACGCCACCGCGGTCGTACTCCCGGGGACTGGGAATCCGCAGAGCGCCCGTGTTGCGTCGTTGGTTTTCCAGGAAGGCAATGTGCTGTTCAGGGCTGAGTTGTGCCGGCACCCGTAAGCTACCAAAGCGCATTCGCAGGGACGTCCCAGGGCTCTCGTCCTGTTCCTCGTCCTGTTCGTCTCCCGACGTTCTCGCACTCTCCCCGGGGGCCCCAGAGGATGCCGATCCCGAGTCACTGGGGGGTGAGCGTTTGGGCGAGCCTGGTTCTTGAGCGGTGCCCTGGTTTCTCAGCGTATTCCGTAGCACCACGATCGAACGACCTCCGACCCCCATCTCCTCTCGGCCGTGCGACATGCTATCCTTGTCCTGACTGATGGTGCGCATGCGGGATCGGGACTGACGTAATGCGCGGGCATCGCGAGCGACGTGTTGGAAGCGTTTCTCGAACCAGTAGAGGCGTACGAAGACGAGGATGGTGTGGATGAAGATGGGGGTAGTCAGCATGGAAACCCAGTACAGGACGATTTGCTGATAGGTATGGAGCAGGTTGAAGTCGACGGTGTTGAGACCGCTCTGGGTGGCCGCGCCGGCGGAGAAGAAAAGGGCATCGATGTAGGCCAGCTCCGTCCCGGGGTAAATGATGATGGAGGAGAGAAAAGTCATGGAGATGATGTAGGTGTAGTGGAGAAGGATGAAATTGACATGGACGTTTTTGAGAAACGGAATGCGGGCTTTGACTTCGGTCAGCCGGTGGATGGAGGAGGAGGCCCCCCGCAGTATGGCGGAATACATGACGGTGAGCACCGAGAGCCGGTGTCTGACACCACGGTAGGACGAAGGCGACGACGCAGTCCTCGGAGGGAAGCAAAGGGAAGGGAGAGTGAAAATCTCGGAGCGCACGTTCGACAAGAGGATGAAGCGGCCGGACCGTGCCGATCAGTCGCCGAGTCAAGATTAGCAGTCAGCCGTCGACAAGCGGGATCTGGACAGGCGGAGAACGGGCATTGAGCAGGCGAACATGATGCGGACGGGGTCGAGAAGAGGGGTCAATGACGAGGAGAAAGGCAATGGTTCGAGGTTAATGGGAGTGTTGACAGGAGAAGAGGAAACAAGATTAATTAAAGATGGGGTGGTGGGCGCGACAAGTGGGTGCCGAGAAGGCCCCAGGCAGCAATCGCCCACAGTGTTTTACTTCATCAACTGATAAAAAATAAAAAAGGGGGGGAAGCGAGGTTTTGGTGTATCGTCGAGGCAGCAACAGGATAAGAAGAAGAGAAGAAAGGTTTGCAGCGGCGAAAGCGACGAAAAGAGAAGAAGAAAGCAAGCAGCGAAGGAATTAAACTATCGGGGGAATTTCCGTTTTCCATGTGCGGCTGCGTTCATCCATTCGTCAGCCCCACTTCCGCATCGAGCATTCAATTGATCCCAGGTACCCAGATACGTACATCGATCCCAGCTTAATTGGGTAAAGAAAATAATGACAATAATAATAGAGATAATGGATGGAATCGAAAAAAAATCCCCGATTTATCCGTCTGTATAAATAGACGTGGGGGCCAGATCACCCCTCACCACGTGGTGGCCTGCAAGGGGGATAGATATATTACGGCAACCCGCAGCCTTGCGGAAGTCTTATGTACATATCTTGAGGCTCTGGAAAGAAACAGTAATTGCCATTCATCAGGTACTGGTACATATCTGAATAAGGCTTTGTTTGTAGATGCGGACAACATGCTTGACCTCATTCTGCTCCCTACCAACTCCTTCCCCCACCGCCTTGGCGGCAAACAAAACATCTCCTTCACCAACCTACCTTCTCGGTACAACCTTGGGATGTGGCTATAAAGGCACTGTCCCCTCTCGATGATCCCTTAATAATTCTAGATTCCTTGTAGTGCTGCCTGCCCTTATTTCTCTACCATTTACATCATGCCCTACGCAGCGTCTCCAAAGCGCCGCGAACTACGAGCTGCGTTGCGCGCAGTCACAAACCATGTTGCCAGTCTGGACGCCCATGCATTTGATTCATCTGAAGGAGAGGCGCATCACATCAAAATCCTCCCCATGGACTTGGATGGAAAGGCCGCCCCCAGACCGACCTTTTTCACCCCGTATCCTGCTTCTTTGCTGCTAAATCCCGATGACGACTATGACCGGGATCGGTCAGGGTTCTTGGATTTTGACTCCCTCCCAGCAATCCATCGGAAGCCCATCGACTGTGGCCGGAACATGGAGGAGTATTTTTTCCCATTATGTATATGCCTGTGCATTGCTCCGACGAGATAGGGCTCTCGATGGCCTGTGGTCTCCTGTCAGGTAATACCCCTACCCATTCCCTTTTCAGATCCCCTCCAAACCTCCCTACTCGGTGGACTGGGCTTCTGATACGACAACTACCTTAGCCTTGGTGATGCACCCTTCGTTGCACTGGATCGGTATACCTTTCCTGAATACATAACCGCGAAGGCTTATCAAGTCAAGGACGGCCCATATCCGCATGCAAAAGCTATGATCTACAACAATCTGAACGGCGTGGATGGTCGAGTACTTCAGGAGAAGTCATGATCGCCCTACGCATGATCATCGCCCAAATGCGGCGGGCCCGCTTCCTGGACCATATGATTGCACCGGTAATAACCAACCCGGTCCCTATACATCAAGAAAAGCAAAGTTGACCTAGAATTTCACAGATCCTTCTCTTCTCGTTCATGGGACCGCAGCATGCTCGCTTGGTCGAAGCATATTTCGACGGCACATCTTTAGTGATGCGTCCAACGCGGCTTTTTGATTTGCGTAAAAAGAACGAGGCTACCCTCAAACAATTTGGTCAGTGGTTCTTTGGAGAGCCGACGGGTGACACCAAGAAACTCCCATAGTCATCTTTGATGGCTTCTTTACGATCATGATGTATGTTATGGCGGTTTTGATGAGATAGAGTGTCGGAGTTTCGGTTGGTTTGGACAGGTTTAATCCTCGGTTTTCGCGGTTTCTTTCTCTTTACAATATTTGATTTTTCGGGTATATCAGCGGTCTGAACGACGGAGTTGTGTATGACATTCGTATGCAGGGGGAAGCTATGCCGTCGTTAACAAGCTTCTACTGACACTTTAGTGCCGTACATAAACATGAACTTTCAAGACTCTACACCACGATGCCTGCTATGGTAACGAGCGCGAGCAGTTGGGCTCCCCTAAGGAAGTTAAGGAACGCATGACAGGGACCAGGCGTTATCACAAGCTTGCGCACAGGATATCAGGATAGCCAGGTAACCAGCATCCCGCAGGATGCAGCATCTCAATTCACATGGTTTCTGTCCTCCAGGCACCTTCATTGACTCATACCGTCAATCCCCCGCTCTGAACATAGCATCACCAGCTTGATCGTCAACATGTGTTCCTGGCCTTAGCGCCACCCGGCACCGGAGGTCTTCTTCCCGGGTAGAGAACGAACCATACACGACCACCAGCGCCGCCGATCAACGCAAATGGAATGACCAACGGAGTACAATCAGAGACGTGGCCTCAGCAGCTAGGCTACCGAAGATAAAATGTTGAGATGATGTTGAGATGTCGCCCCACACGATCAGGCTCGACTGCTCCAAGACCATTCGTGGTCTGCGGATCAGAGATCGTCGCTTCACGAACATCTTCACATGCAACGACATCACATGTAATGTGTGCTTATGAGAGTGTTAGTACAGGCAGGAGTCACCTATATAGAGACAGTCATGGCCAATTGCTCTGGTAGAAGCATCATCGACTTAATTTGAAATCTCCCTCATCCAGAATCGCATCATGACTGCCATCCAGATCGCCCCAGATCATCTGGGCAACTTGTCCCACGACCAAAACGAGAAGCTCAAGCAGATGTGGACTTACGTCCTGAACATGCTGGAAGTAAGTCTACCCTACTGAAAAGTCACCCATACAACAAGTCTAATACATCACAGCCCGTCCACCGACCCAACCTCAGCAAATCCCAAGACGACGGCTCCGCCTATACCCCCAAGCTAGCCCAGTCCCTTCAGCAAACCAACTTCAGCCGCTCAGACCTCAAGTCCCTTCGAGAAGCTCTAGACTCGGTGTCCTCAAAAGCCCTGTTCACAGGTCTCCTAAACGCGCTGAAGCAGGAATCCCCAGACCGCTTCCTTCTACGCTTCCTCCAAGCCCGCAAATGGGACACAGGCAAAGCCTTTGCCATGCTGGTGCATGCGCTCATGTGGCGCAACAAGCACATCAACGTGGACGACAACATGGTCGCAAACACCGAGCTACAGGCGCTCCAGCACTCCCGGGACCAGTCGGACCCCCAGAGGGCGAAGATCAGTCAGGCGTTCCTGGAGCAGCTGCGCATCGGCAAGTGCTTTATGCACGGGACTGATCGTGCGGGCCGTCCGGTCTTGGTCCTGCAGGGGCGACTGCACAAGTCGACGGAGAAGAGTGACGTTCTGAATCGGGTCATTCTGCATATGATTGAGACTGTGCGGCTTATTCTTGTGCCGCCGGTGGAGAATGTGGTATGTCTTCTATCCGGGCAGAGGGGCTATGGTACTAAGAGATTTAGACTGTTGTCTTTGACATGACGGGGTTTTCGGTGTCGAACATGGTATATTCTAATTGACTCACCTTACATGTGTGCTGGCATACTAACTATTGACAGGAATATGCGGCTGCAAAATTCCTCATCGAGTGCGCACAAACTGCCTATCCTGAAATCCTAGGCGCCATGCTCATCCACAACGCGCCGTGGGCTTTTGCAGGTACCTTTTCCCTGCCTACCTTTTCCCTGCCATCCTGCGAGAACTCTCTAACCACAGATAGGCATCTGGAAAACCATGAAAAGATGGATTGAGCCGGACCTAGCTGCGCGGATCCACTTCACCTACACCACCGCGGAGATAGAACAGTTCATTGCTCCAGAACGGCTAGTGAAATCCCTCAACGGGAAGGACGATTGGACGTTCCAGTTTTTTGAGCCGGTCGAAGGCGAGAATGACAAGATGGGAGATACTGCCACGCGTGATGAGCTGATGTCTGAAAGAATGGCGATTGGAAAGGAGCTCCTCGTTGCTACCTCTGAATGGGTTGCAGCAGGCGATGCGCAGACGACAGCGTCCTCGAGGGAAGAGCTTATGGATAAGTTGCGCGTCAACTATTGGAAGCTTGATCCTTATGTTCGCGGAAGGGGGAACTTGGATCGCACTGGTATTATTCAGCCTGGAGGGGTGATTGATTTCTATTCCGAGTTGGCATCCAAGTAAGGATGCAGAGTTGAGTTGGGGTATCTATGGTTATATTTGCTACGTTTTATTCATAATACTAATTATAATACTGGAACTTGAGCTGCAATTCTCCCTAAAAGTCCCATTATTTTATATAAGCCGTATGGCCTTGCAAGGTGCCTCCTTTAACAGTTTCTTCTGCAGTAGAGACACCTTCATCTGCTTCGTAGTGAAGAACCCGACTCTTCGGAACTTAGCCTGTCTGCCCCCCAACCCTCCTAGTCATAAGTCCTTGTATGTCATGTGAACTCACCCGGTTCCATAGTTTCTTGTCGAGCGTTGTAAGTGCAAGACAAGGCAGGCACCAGAGGTCAGTAGAAACCGTCAAATCATCCTCGTCTTGCGACACGTCAGGAAACAGAGCTGCTATTGGAGAGGAGTTTTGCCGGGTAAAGAGAGACCAGTCATCGCCGCCCTGGACCTTGTCTATCTTGCCCAGAGGACCGATTATGTCCAGGGAGCCTGCCACAGGCGCTCCTCTTTTGCGTACTTGTCCTAGCACTCTGTCCTCCAGGGTCACGTCGAATATGGAAATCAATCCTGTCGTAAACACTCGTCAGTGACGTCCTCCGCGAGCAGGTCGAGTACAACTATTCCGTTAACCGACACCCATGACCAGCTAGGTGCCGTGTAAATGGCGGGCTCCGCAGGGCTTGGCCACGACCTGACGCTCTGCGTGTGGTCAACATTTTATAGGTGACCTATCTTCATGGATGGACATTCCAGAAGTCGTCAGCCAGGTGCGTCTGCTGCGAACCAAAGTAGATCGGTGTCCAACGTCTCTTTCCAAAGGCCAGCTACATATTAGTACCCATTTGCTCTTTGAATTCGCGAATCGCAGCAAGCTTATCCCATGCAAATGTGAAATTACCTCTGGTGTATATTTCCACGATATCTTGATACAGCCACATTGCGATGGCTTCTGCCACACCAGCTTCGCTCCTACCACACCGTGGTGGCTAGTACCACACCGCTAAGCCTAAAATTAGGTAGTTAATTCTTGAAGTAACTTTCTAGGGCTTCTGCATTAATAAATATACTATCTTGACGCGTTAATTTCTATACAACTCACCACACGCCGTTACTATCATAAAAAGCCAGAGGGAAGTAGACTGTAAAACAACAAGAGAAGAATAGAAGATAGAAACATCTTAGAGTAAAATATAGAGAACCCTTATACATTTGACTTTTACCTCGCTTCTTTGTTAAATGTCCTGAAGCGAGACATAATCCCGGAACATTCTGACAAGAAACAACAGAGCACAATTTCCATGATAGCAAATAAATAACCCAGAAAAAAAACCTGCTTGTGACCCAACAGAGCTAAGAGTCTCACGGAAATGGGCATCAAGAAGCACTCTCTTGAATCCAATGATGTTACCCTATCAGTACCGCTCCATAATAAGTTCTGTCTTTAGCGAGTCGTCTGCGAGAAACCAACCTCCACTCTCCAAGTTAGCGGTTAAATTAGTCCGCTCATCCGAAGCTATATCGCGATCTTTTGTCTTAAAAGAAGCCTCGACGATGTAGTCGATCCCCGTACCATCGAGATTCCGGAGCGGCCAGATCTCGAGATATAGCGGAATCTTATTCCACAAACCAATAAAGCGCTTAACAAGGATCGGGCCGAAAATCCGCGACTCTGCTAAGGCTTTGGTACCCCAGTTATCGGAAATCGAATTATCAAACTTGGCCGGTGCTTCGTTTATTAACATATTGCGCGAGTCGTTCGTCTCCGGTAGATTAATTTCAGTATCCTCAGAACCCGCCACTGTTTTTTTGCGGCTAACTGAAAGTGTCTGCTTTAGATAACCCCATTCGACTTGCGCTTTGTACTTCGCGCTGCCATCGTTGAAGCCATCGTTCTCAGCCATAACAAGGGCGGCATCAACGTCGCCGCCCTTGATGGCATACCTTTTCTTATATGTGAGCTCGAGGTTCTCGTTTTCGACCTTGCGGATGCGAGCGCTCCAACCGGCGTTGTATATCTCTTTGGAGCTCTTGTCAAGAAACTGGACATTAATCTTTGTGGCGATGGGGTTCATATCGAAGGTCGATAGGACCGTGCCCGTTAGCTCATTTTCGGAGCTAAGTACTGCGGTTGGCTTGAGCAGGAACCTGACCTCGTAGTCAGGCACCATGTTTGCTTTTGCCTTTATTGGGGAGCCCGCTACAGCGGTCATAGCGAAGGGGCGATGTAAGACCCGATATAAGTTAGTTGACAGCCAGGGGATGGTGTTTGGGTGGATAGCCAGAGCGATATGGACGCTGTATCTGGACAAAGGCGGTATTTAATAACTTGCTTCATGGCAGCAATATAGGCATGTACGCAAAACAAAACTGCACTTTGCATCAATCAAGAACCAATGTTACGTATGCCTAGTGCCTAAGACCGCTGTTTCCAAACTGACTGTAACACACTTTTTCACGGAAGCAGCTCATTTCTATCTAGATGTTGAGAACTCCCTGATGCTATAGGTGCCCATATTGGTCGGAACTTCATACCGCCTGAAAGCATTTGGATAACCACTGGAGTGCAGTATCTGGTGGGGAAGCTAGCCCGCGGAAACAAGGTAAGCTTTAATCTAATTAACATCTAGACGTTCATGGAATCTATTACTTTGCATAGACTGCATCATCCCTATACCAATCAAGCCAATAATGGCAGTGATTGTAATAATTCCTGCAAACGGCACCAGATCCGTTCCGTCGGATGTAAACCATGACCCGTTCCAGTTTCTGGCCCGCCACAGCCGTAGCTTAGCCAGATATACCACGTCGATGGCAACTATGCGAAGACCTAGCCCTGGTGCATGTGATCCTGGGACTCCGATGGTGACAGAATGATGACCTCAAGGCCTTTGGAACTCCAAAGCGCATACATCCCTAGGCCTAGTGGTAGCCAGAAAATGATAGCAGTTCACTCATTCCCAAGAGACAGGCTAGCCGTAAGGAGGAAAATAACTAGCAGTTGAAGGCTTAGCTTTACTGTCTGTCTTAGCGAGCACCGGCACCCAAGCTTCATCTGCATACATAGCACCGAAGCATTGAGTGGTCTTTGGTTCATCAGGACTTATTTAGGGCGGTGGTCTGGATTCAACACTATCTATCATGACATAGCTAAAACCAAGCCCAGAAATCAATTCGTGATTACATTTAAATAGCGAATGACTAAATGACCTGTAGTGGGGTACAACGAAGGTTTGTACCAAGGATCTCTTTGCCCAACGACCCCAGTTGGTCGCAGTTCACTGAATTCATACCGGGGACATTGGCCAGAGCGGTCACGACGAATCTAGGCCAACGGTAACATGATCAAGAATTCGATAGCTAGCCGCATCTGTGTCATCCTATGCCTATAAAGTCCGCTCTCTCGCCGCGGCAAATTGTTGCTCTGAATACATACTAGTCTCTTAATAATCTCAATGCCCTGAAGAGAGAGCCCACAATGTCCTCTAATACCAAAACTTTCTACGCAGATTTATATGGAGAGCACGAAGGTCGACACCCTTCTATGGGGGACCTCAAGAATCGACTCGCAGTCGACGTCAAGAAAAAAATGGTAGACGTTATTGCTGATCGCCCTGGCACAGCCTATGTGGATTATCAAGGCGAAACGCGCAGGGTGGCAGATCATGGGAAGTTATATGATGATGCATCGGGTGAAGAATTGACATTCGGTCCTGACGGGTCTAATACCAATCCAGGGCACTGGAAAGGCTGGACTACTGCTCACCTTCGCACAACTTTCCATTTTGACGATATTTGATCTTGTTTCTCAGTGTTCCTTGGGAAGTTCAAAAGCTCTGTTCTGTTAATGCCCGAGAGGTAGATGGGAAACAGCGCTGAAAAGTGATTTTAGTTATAGGGATTCTGGATGTGGTTCATACACGCCATGTGTCTAACATATCTTGGTTGTTGGATCATTAAGCCAGTGGATTTTCAGCCTATCTATATCAGCCTATTGAGCAAAAATCTACGAGCACCTCAACGCCTGCCCTTCTAGTTCTAGTAGGTGAGCGGTGCCGCCTTGAGGACGCGCGACGGGGTGATTAGGGTGGGTAATGGGGGTGAGGGTCACCCGTAGTGCTCATACTCCCTTGCCGTTTTATCAGGTGGTCTCAATCTCTTGAGTTCGCCGTTGGACCTTCCACTCATTGTCAGACTTATAGGACTCTATAGATACCTCCAGGATAACAACTTCTGTTTCTTTCCGGAGCCCTGCCTTCATTTTTCACGCATTCGCTGGAATTAACCAAAAGGGGCGCTGACCCGATTGTAGATCACAACGCGAGAATGCCGCCCTTCTATGCTGCCTAGGATAAAACAAGTCCTCGCACTGTTACAGAAGTATGAGAGAGGGTGATGTCTTACCTGATCAGAAGTCAGACCAAGGTGAAACGCCGGAAGCTTCACAAAATGCTTCATAGGATCCGTGTCTAAAAAAGGTGATAATGCGATATTAAGCCTATAATTCTACCTATAACCTTTTCCCGTCTGTGCCTCCATCACCAATAATGTCTACTCTGGACTACATGAGTCCAGGAATCCCTTAATGCGTCATTTTTGGCTCTACCTGGCCTATCCAGTTATTTGAGTAGTACGAAGCCTCGAGGAAGAGAAGTTTCCTGAGTTTCCTTTGGCTAAGCCCATCAGAGCCACTTTCATAGCCACAGTAACGTCCCGGCTTTGTACCGATGCTGGCTCGCGGCTAGGGCTTTCCGGGTATTGATCGCCTCATGCCTGTGGGCGCTGGGGTCGCTTGTATGAAGTAGAGCTGGGTTCGTATGTTGCTATGTCCTCGAGGTGTGGGTTTTCCTTGGTGGAGAAGATTTCATGAATAGGTGAATGAGAGCCGTCATTACCATCTCCCTGATCGTCCCAGTCCGTACCTCATGGATGGACTGAGCAAGCTTGAAGATATTCTTCTCCGGTGCTCATCTGTGTGAGAGTATTTAAAACTTTTTGTGTCCATCCGAGTCGGATCTATTAGAATAATAAACAGACCTAGTAATCTGACCCTCGCGCTGACTTCTACGTTGGTTAAAAATTTTACTCTACAAGTAGATCATTGATAAGGTGCGGGTGTAGACATACTGTGGTTCTAAATATCGCCCTAGAAGACCTGGGTGATGGAATATTCTCTTGCAGCTCAGAAGGGCACACTTAAATAGATCTTCGGTATGGTGGTTCAGTTCATGTCTCCTGTAGCACAACCGTTAGTATAGTTTACAAAAATAGAAAAGTGTAGACCGAAGCATATCGATCGATTTGAGAGAATCCAACCGCTCCTTAGTTTAAAGATTCCCTAAGGTGTCGGCGGGGAAGTTCAATGTTGAAGGAAAGAGACGGCCGACGACGTCATAAGATGACTTAACTAAGTAAAAAAGAAATACTTGCTATAAGATTAATCCCGAACCATCTAGTCTTTGAAACTAAGGGGTTTTGTTGGAAATAAGGGGGTTATATATGTGCGAGCCTATTGTCTTCTCATTCTTGTAGGCCGAGTACACTGGAGGCTAGTTGTACTCAGTAGAATTCCATAGTAATATACGCCGACCTTGTCGGCGGTGTCCGTTTTCAGACCATATATAATCAGGATATTGCATCCAGTGAAACGCTATGATGTCTGATTTCCATTACGGCGATTTCTTCTAATATCAGTCTAGCTTATACTAGCAACTTATAACCACCAGACACAGCCTGCTCCATAACGTTGACGTCTGCACCGGCATCCAACAGCTGCTGCACCACCTTTGAAGTCCCGTCAAAGAAAGCCGCTTGGAGTGCAGTGCCATATCGACCTCCCACCATATTGACATCTGCACCTGCATCCAACAGCTGCTGCACAACCTCTGTAGACTCACTAAACGAAGCTGCCTGGAGTGCAGTGCCTAATTCACCTCCCACCATGTTGACATCCGCACCGGCATCTAGCAGCCGCTGCACCACCGACGTAGACCCTTGACGCGAAGCCGCTTGGAGTGCAGTGCCATATCGACCTCCCACCCTATTGACATCTGCACCTGCATCCAACAGCTGCTGCACAACCTCTGTAGACTCACTAATCGATGCTGCCTGGAGTGCAGTGCCAAATTCACCTCCCACCATATTGACATCTGCACCGGCATCGAGCAGCTGCTGGACAATCTCTGTATACCTTCCAAATGAAGCCGCCTGAAGTGCAGTGCCATACCTCCCTCCTACAGCATCGATGTTTGCACCGGCATCCAGCAAAATCTTCACCATCTCCTTCAACCCATACCCAGATGCTTGTTGTAACGCATTTCCAGAGACACCAGCTGCTTCATTCACATCCAATCCCTTATAGAGGAAGAATTTCACAACAGCTTTGTGACCACCACCCGCAGCATATATAAGTGGAGCAATTTGGCTCTTATTCTTGATTTGCATATCGGCTCCTCGGTGGACCAGCATTTTGACAATATCTGTACTTCCAGATTTTGCTGCATAATGCAGCGCAGTGTTGCCCTCACTATCCGTTTGATCAACCGATTCTCCTTGGGATAACAAATGACATACAATTTCTGTCAAGTTGCTCCCAGAAGCTTGATGTAACAGTGTCACAGAGGAGTCCGGGCAATGAACGGAGAATGGATAAAAAAATTTATAGCATGCAATCCACTTCGCCATCACCTGTTGCACTAGGTATATCTCTTCTTCAAGGTCTTTGGTGCGATATTTCCCTGCCATCGTTGCATGCGAGAAGATATGAGCCGTGACGTAGCCCAGAAGAGGAAAATTGCCTTGGATCCTCCGTTGTTTGATGAGATCCCGTCCTTTAATGATATCCCATGTTGCACGGTCAATGTCCTCCGTTAAAAGATAATGCAAACATGAGTAGTAAATATTGCTCTGACAGTGGTGTATCTGGTTGCTTTCCGACTCGATTGTGGAGGAAGACTCTTGGGCCAAGTGATCAAGACCAGCAAGAAGAATCAGTCCCTCAGGAAGAATGTAATCCTTAACGGATTGATGAACAACCTGTACCTTCTCTTCTACTACCTCGACCAGACCACCGGACCATGCCCTTATTTGTCGCTTCAGCTGGTCGTCATTGCTAACGAAGTTGGGAGTATTTTCGTATCGAACGTCGTGTGGTCTCGTGGTTATATGCATCGCAGAGATCGCATATCGCAATTCTGTCGCCGATAGTGGTCTTTCTGCAAGACATACCCATTGGAAGAGAAGATACGAGTGGCTGCGATAATCGACTTCAATAACGTTTCGCAGTATGTATTCGTAGATATCCCGAAGCTCGCCGGGGACTCTCCGCAAAAATCGTCGCACATTTTCAGGCGATTCACCATCTTGGATTTTTCTTTCAACAAGAGGTACAACAAGGCAAATCCACTGAAAAACCCCTTTCGCAGAGCGGAGCAGATAGGTTATCACAGAGTCCCAGGACTGATGATCAGCTGTCTCTGGGGCGAAAAGGCAGTCCAAACTGAGAAAATCACGTATATATGCCGTAATATCATCGTGGTTATATTCATCCACAGAAATCTCAGTTCCAGAAATACGGGCAATGACAGGATAATGCCGGCACGAGATGCATAGCTTCCCGAGCGCTGACACCCGTGCAATAGACTCATTGACTTGATGGAAATACCTTACAAGACGTTGGGCAGATTTTTGCCCTGCTTCATCTAGGGCATCCACAAAGACTGTCAGAGATTGTTTTCGAGCAGAAGTGACGATGAGTTCGTGAAGAATGCGCTCTAGCTCCGGTTGCTGCCACTCCCAGCTTTTCTTTGAACGACCAAACGCATCGCATTTATCCTGGTATATTTTGCGCACTGCGGGCCGGATGTCGGGATCTCGACGGTATAACTGATTAAGCAACGACCGCAGCATACCGAGAGGCGTGTGTTGCAACTCCGTCCCTCGCGCGCTGAAGAAGAACTCGAGCGTAATCCCTGGCTTAGCGGGACCTGGCTTTATAAATTGTCCATACAAGAAAGCCATAAGAGTCGATTTCCCAGCCCCTGGCTTCCCTTTGATCCACAGGAGACCGTTTGACCCGTTCATCCAGTCTTTGAATTCTTTCAATTCGAGGATCCAATTGCAGGTATTCATATAAGGCTTCTCCACATTGTCCTTTCTTTGGTGCATCTCTGGAAATGCAAGGGAGCTTAGAACTGTGAAAGGAATCAATAGCCGGAACATTAGGAAAACACTCTAATCTGATTGTTAAGAAACTGACCTTCTTCATCGATGCGTATATTTTCGGCTCGAGGCCCATCACTGAGGATGATGCTGTTGGCATTAATTGTCTGGTGGACGCCCTGGAAAGAAACCGCGTCCAAGTTATTGAAGGATGTCAATGGACTGCACATCTCTCTGTTGGCTGCCATAATCAGCGTGACACCCGGGCATGCCACGCTGATTGAATTTGGTTATAACTGGTGTTGAGACGCAAGTCTCGCTCTTCTCCAAATGTTGAAGGTTACGTGAAGGGCGGAGGTAAGCTGGGAACGCAGAGTTTTACACCTTAATTTCACATTCAAATGAGGGGCAAGCGAGGCTGAGGCAGTGCGTATCACCAATCATATGCCAACGCTTCAGGATGCGACGCCGGATTGATCCCTGTCAGCTGAAGGCAGCCAAGGGCTCAGGGCTCTTTTCTCCTTCTTGCTGCCTGATGCGGCTGAGTTCTGAAGCATTGTTCAGACTCGTATACGATATATCAAAACGTGATGCACTCTTAGCTCAGCCTTTTTAACACATCTTTCACTATGCGGGAAGATCAGCCCGTGGATCGATGCGTCTTCGATATTGCACTTATTTGTGCGCTGCGGGAGGAGTCGGACGCAGTGGAGGCAGCATTCGACTGCTTTTTCGAAGACGACGAGCTTCACTACGAGAAGGTCGCAGGAGACCCCAACTCCTATACATTCGGCAAAATCGGCGCTCATCATGTGGTTCTAGCATATACGCCAGGAATGGGGAAAGCCAGCTCTGCCAGCCTGGCTGCCAGTTTTCGTGCAAGCTTTCCTAACATTCGACTTGGCATGGTAGTCGGCATATGTGGTGGAGTGCCTCAACCTGCTGAAAGAGAGAAAGTATTCCTTGGCGATATCATTATCAGTACGGGAGTGGTGCAGCTCGATTTTGGACGACAATATGCGGACCAGTTCGTTCGCAAGGACACCATCCAAGACAACCTGGCGCGTCCTAATTCGGAAATACGCGGGTTCTTGCATCAACTTCAGGGGTGGAAAGCGCGAGGACATCTTCAACAGAATATTTCCAGAAATATTTCCGAGATTTGCGCTAAGGAAGGCTTTGCCAGCTGGGTCCGTCCAACAGCGGTGCATGACAGGCTGTATAGAGCAGACTATGACCACATACACCGGGATCCGAGAATTTGCTCTGTCTGTGCGCAATCTAGCGGAAGCTTGGTGGTCTGTGAAAGAGCACGCATATCCTCATGTGAACAACTTGGGTGCGATCAGTCTCAGCTAATCCAAAGAGAAAAAAGCACTGGCGACACCGCGGCAATCCATTTCGGCCGTATCGCTTCGGGTGACCAGGTTATGAAGTCTGCAGCCGATCGAGATCGAATTGCAAACCAGGAGGACATTGTGGCCTTTGAGATGGAAGGCGCGGGTGTGTGGGATAACTTTCCCACTATCATGGTCAAAGGTGTCTGTGATTATGCAGACGGCCATAAGAACAAGCAATGGCAGAAATATGCCTCTGTCGCGGCAGCAGCGTGTGCGAAGGCTCTGCTGCAGAAATGGCGAGTGACCGAACCCAGTATCACATCACGTAGCTCGACAAGAATGGCTGAAGGACATCGGCCCGAGACTGGTGCCGTCAATGATTTTGTAAGTTGTTTGAGGCCGGTCGTCTCTGCTTGTTGCTGACTAGCTGGATACAGGATAAGGGAGTTGTGTTCAATAATCATGCTCAAGTTGCCAATCAAGGGGTTCAGCAAACTTTCCACGGCAATGTCTCATTCTACCATGGCTCAGAGAGAAAATAACTTGGCTGGGATATAAAACAACGTCATGCTGCGAGGGGACTTTGGGAGGAAGACATAAACATGTCTCCTCATGGCTCTTGCACCTCTCCAGTAGATAGTTATTTAACTTGCCGCTTTTTAGGTAAGGCGCCAGTACTCGAAAAATGGAGTTTTTATCCCTATCTATATGTTGACCACAAAATGCTTATCACTATCACTATCGAACCTTTAGAGAGGCTCCAGGCACAGTAGCCACCAAAGATAATGACTTCCGGGCCATTACCGCCCTCTCTAGAAGCTCAGGACCTGGGAAAGCCCTCCAGAAAGCCGCATATCTCGCTTATATCGAGGGTCTATTGAAGGAAACTAGGGGACATTCAATCCCACGATTGTGAAAGTCTTATTCTTGGAACAATGGGTGCTTGGTGATTCCTCACGAGCCACGATGGATCATATTGAAGCAGGCTAGGCTCTTCAGTGGGCTGCCATAGTAACCCCGGGCAAGGTCATACTTACGTCAGGAAGTGCTAAATCCCCCGTAGGGTCGGCGAATGTATAGTTACCTAGCATTCCAGAAATATGAGTACCCCGGTCTAGATGAATGGTATGATTATCATGTGACAGGCTACCTACGAAGTAGATAGAGACCTTCTTTGAGTGGAGATCTCCCCGCGGGGAATCAGGAGACGAGCCCCAACTGCAGTGTTCCCAAGAAGAAGCTGCGCAAAGGTATATCGCGTAATCGGTCTCTCTTCCCAGACCTTGACGAACAAGGAAACTGCTTTGGGCTTGAAGCGAGCCCAAAATGTTGCAGGGTCGCCAGACGTTGTGCCTGAAGTACCAGTCAAGTGGGCGTAGATGGTTCCTCGTGCTTTCCGGACAGAATGGATCCAAAGCCAACGCCGACCCCACGTAATTGCGTTTCGGCGCTGTTCACTGATGGAATGCCATAATAGCTGACACAGCCGGCAGCGGAAGCGCATGCGTGTGGCTTGATACCGTAGGTCTTCGTACGAGACCTTGAGCTCGTGCCACTTAGCTAGGTGGGTCATCGATAGGCGTTTGGGCCCCATAATCAATTTGGAGCTGTCGGTAAAGCGGTTGCAGCTTTGGCATAGATGATTTGGAAGTCCGCTCGCCTATTAATTGGGTACCACCCCGCAGATCCAAGTTTTCACTCCTGGCTGAACCAGTTAGACGGAAATAGGAATACCTCTGGAAACGCCCATACGAGTAAACCAGAAATACATCGGGAAGATAACTGAAAAGAAGGACTACTCTCACAGAACCAGCCGAACAATCGACAGGTCTGGACGGATGATAAAGTCAGTCAACATAAGGAGGGCCACACCGATGGGATGCCACGGAAAAGAAAGTGCTCTACTCAATGCTAGGCTGATAGTGATGGGAATTGCAATCCGAGCAAGCCAGCTGCCAAATGACACATGAAGCCAGACTTTGTCATGGCAAATGACCATCGTAGATACCCAGCAGATGATGCCAGTAAGTGAGAGCGAATAACATGCCAATAGTGGACATAGGGTAGTGGAGAGTCGCCAGAAACCCGTCAAGGGCGAGTCCTGGCGCCAGCAGTGGGATCAAAAGAACAAGCAGAGTAAGGAGACCGAGGAGGGCTAAAGTTTGTCGAAGATTATCCAATTCTTTTATTTCTTTCCGTAGGTATGCTAGATGAAATAAAACTGCGAGCAGTAAGCTGTCCTGAACAAAGAGCCGGGTCTAATTTTACAGATCTATGTACCGGGTTCTGAGCTCGACACGTGGCAGCGTGCAAGGGTATGCAAATTGGCCCGGACGTTGAGAGCATGGCAGGACTGTGATTGGAAACATTGGTGAGTGCTGCTTGATTCCCTCAGAGGCCATCCCATCTCGATGCATCAATGGACTTTCATTTGAGGGCATATTGCGTCTGGTATACATAAGATGGCTTCATCGATACCAAGAAAGAAATCAAACCACTTCCACATGTTTCACTGTTGCATCTCCCTTTCCCTCCAGTCCCCCTTCAGTTATTCGTCTTGCTTCTGCTTCAACAAACTCTGCAGGCCGCTCTCGCTGCGTCAACGTCGGCTTCCCACATACAATCAATGATCGATTGCGTAGGAATATCTCATCCATGTCTTCAAGAGTACGGCGAGAAGTCTCCGGATACAAGCAAAAGACGACTGGGAAGTACGCCCAGACAATGATTGCGAACACTGTTTCCGTCAGCACTGTATAAATACTCGCAAGGTGAGATGAATCAACATACTCAGGTAAAACCTCCAGTGCAAGTTATCCACCCCAACCTTAGTAAACTGCGTGACGATGAACCCGCCCATCCAATTCGTTGCCGTAGCGGCGGCGGCACCTCGCGTTCGCCAGCCGAGTGAGTTGACTTCAGAGTTGTAAACCCAGGGCACTTTTGCGAAGCTGGTTCCGTAGAAGAAGTAGTAGAGGAAGAACATGGCAGTCGTGACGCGGCCAAGCTATGAACGATTAGACATGACTCGTGTTGAAGAATGGACATAAGTACCAGTTTCTCCCGCGAGACATCACTCTCAGCAGTCTTCAGGCAGATCGCTGCAATCAGATAGCACGATCCCATGGTGACAGACCCGTAAAGCATCATCCTACTCCGTCAGCACGACTCTTAATAAACATCTGGGACACATACTTCCTCCGACCAAACCGGTCAATGATGAGCAAGCAACACATGGCGGCTAAAAGGTAGATCGTGCCATTCACACCGGTCAGTAATCGGCTTTCTTCTTCATCAAGCCCGACGCTCTGCTGAAGTAGCGTGGGTAGATAGTACCCGAGCGCGTTGACCCCCGAGAACTGTTGCATGAACTGTGTCCCACAGGAGAGAAGCAGGCGCCGCAGGGTCTGTGTCTTATCCCGACACCGGAGCACATCAGTAATGGGGACGCGATCCTGGCGCTCCATCTGCAAGACAGACTGGATCGACAGAAACTGCTTGGTCACGTCTGGATCATCGATACCCACATTCGGTCCAGCAAGCCGCGCAATAACCTGCAGTGCTTCATCCGGCCGATCCTGAAGTAACAGCCATCGCGGCGAGTCGGGGACAAACAGCAGGGCGGTCGCAACGACCACAGGGAAGACGAGCTGAAACCCAAGCGGGAATCGCCACTGCAGAGCGCTCCCCTGGAAATACAGACCGTAGTTCATCCAGCTCGCAAGACAGAACGCCGCCGTGTTGGACATCGACCCGACGACGACGAGCTTTCCCCGCGAACGCGGACTAGAGCATTCGGCCTGGTAGACGGGACACGTTGACGAGGTCAACCCCATCCCGAAACCGTTGATGATCCGGCCCACGATCATCTGTGGCAAATGCCATGAGGCGATCTGTAGGACCGCGCCGACAACGTTGCAGGATAGGCCTAGAATAATGGTCTTTTTGCGACCTAGTTTGTCGCCGAATGTAAAAGCACAAAGGGCGCCAAAGAACGCGCCCAAGGAGAAACAGCTAGACGTTATGCCGGAGGTGTTCGCGTTTTTGGTCTCGGGGAAGTGTTTCTTAAAGTCCGCCGAGATGAGGACGCCGGAAAAGACGCCTTGGTCGTAGCCAAACCAGGCCATTGAGCTGGTAGATTATTAGATGGGTAGCTTGTGGATAGGGGCTTACGTACCATGCATTGGCTATAGTGATGAAGGCGAGAAGCCATCTCCCTGAGAGGCGGTTGGAAAGATCGAGACCTTTCATTCTGTATGAGAGGGTTCTTTGCAAGATGGGATGGCTCGTATAATGGGACCTGCAAGAGATCCCAGTCGGTGTGAGGACATCAGGAGATCAGCAGGAAGATGTAGATAAATAGTAGAGTTGAAGATGGGACCCCACGGGGAATCCGGGGAAGTGGGGGGTCATGCCCGTATGTCTGGCGGGGGGAGGCGGCACGCATGGATATCGGGATTTACGAGTCTCGATTCAATATACACTTTAATCCAAAATAGCTGGAATTACTGCGATCCCTTCATCTCCAACGCCTGTGCAACTAAATCACGAACTGTCTCCCTAAACGAGCGATAGGTATAGCCCAACTCACGACTAGCGGTTTTCCCGTCCAAACCGTGGCTTTCATCAATGACCTGATCATCCTGCTGTACGCCATCCTTCAAACCGGGGAACTCTTCAGCAATTATCTCTGCCGCCATCGCATACGAAAACCTCTCCGGAGCGGCAGGAGTATATCGCCTTCCCCCGACTCCCTCAGTGAGCAATGCTCCAACATGCGCAGCCGCCAGGTCACGTACATCAATCCAGAATGGAACGCGCGCAACAGGAAGCGGAGAGCCAATAGCCACCTTCCACAGCATTGCATTGGACTCGTTTAGCCTCTCGACACTAGCAACAGGGTGCACAACCGGTCCGAATGTCATGGGCGGACATAGAGCCACAAGATCAAAGGCGGGTTCCTTCTCACGGACATACTCCCAGGCCGCAAGTTCGGCAAACTTCTTCGACCCGCGGTATGCGACCACCGCGCTGGTCGCTTTGTCAACCGACTCCTCGTATGTCAATGGGTTCCAGTCGGCGCCTGTGTAGGTAAAATACGGCGGTGCTTTGCGGTTGGCGTCCAGTACAGAGGCGAAGGAGGACGTAAGAACGACTCGTTTGACTTTAGGGTTCGCGGAGGCTGCTTCGAGAACAGCTCGGACGCCATTGATGGCGGGACGGACGAGCTCTTTTTCGTTGTCGGTTGTGTCGTAGGTAAATGGCTGTTCTTGTTAGCACAATGAGGACCTGGAATGTTTGAAGTCAACCTACACTAGCGGTATGAATGACCCCATTCACGTCCTTGACAGCTTCGATAAGCCCACCGGGATTCTCAAAATCCTCTATCTGTACAAAGTCGAGGTTGTTCACATGTTGCGGCCGAGCTTCCATCATGGCCTTTCCCTTGGCCAGAGTCCGTGTGGCGCCGCGCACGCGGATGCCCCGTGCAAGCAGAGCATCGACGATGTGGGCGCCGATAAAGCCGGTCGCACCAGTAACTAGAACAAACTTCATATCCATTTGGGGTTGGATACGAGCACCGAGATCATACAAACTGCTAATGCGGGGAAGTGGTGAAGAAGAAGATCGGTTATATACCTGGTCGGAGATGGTCCGACGGGGGGAGGCGGCAACAGCTTCTACACTAGTTCAAATAGTGTCGTCTTCACTAGATGAAAAACCAATATTGATCTGGGGTGCCTGTGAATATCATTGAGGACTCGCACAATATCATGTTTCCTCTGGTCGGTCTTGATAAGGCCAGATTTTATCCATCCACTTCCTCTGTTCATCATCCTCAGCCAAGGATATGGATTCCTTCTTTTGCATGTCACTTGTTTCCTTGAGAACTTCATAATCCTCGGGCTCGACTACTCCATCAACGGGTAGAATTCCTGCGTCTCGGAACTCTTCCATTAATCGCTCAATGTAATCACGGTTCTCCATCTCTTCGCCGTGTAATTCCCTTTCTTGCTGGGTGAAGGATATCGGACAATCGACTGCAGGTGGGACTTCAGACCAATGATCCACCACAGCCATCAATGATGCTCGAAGCCCGAAGACTTCCCTCGATGACCAGGCGCCAGCTGCTGATTTGAGAGGTTCGACGACAGGTGTCTTCCAGGTGTCATTGTGGCATATAGCAGCGTAGTGTCGATGGTTTCGCTTGGCCGTGAGAACCTCATAGTATTTATGGCATAGGGCACTTTCGTACAGCTTGTCTGCTTTAACTTTATCTTGCTCGGATAAGGTTTCATAACCGTCTGGTTTTTCTGGCATAACCCAGCCAAGAGGAAGTGGACTCGTGTGTTGCACCATCCGAGGGATCTTGGCCTGCAGGATAATGGGGGCAACTCTTGTATTCTGCCAGTCGATAATACTAGTGATGGTTTCTGTGTCAAGATCAACATATATATTGTTGAGATGGAGGTCATTGTGCCACAGGGTCGGCCGTAAGAGGTCCGTTGAGTCAGAGTCGCAGGCCGTGATGTGTGGAGCAACCAGCAGGTACTTTTCAATGAGATTAACGTACTCTGTCGGCATCTCACAGTCAATATTACTCCGGTAATAGTTCATGCGAGGATGTGCATGCTGCCTTGCCCATGTTCGCTCATTCTCCCCAATACTTGTGGCGTAATCAGAGATATTCCGCCCTATTCGAGCCTATCAGTCGGGAGTAATGCGTGGAATTGAGCCCCTGCACATACAAGAGCCTCGATATAAATCCATCTGATCTCTTTTATCGGACCAGAAAACGGGATTTACCACAGGACCAATGCAGAAATCACCCTGTCCGTCCCTGTCGAGTGATACCGAGTCTTTGGAATATGCATTTGGTAGATCCCTTCTGTAGTATATGCATCCGTGCTGGGGGAACAACACAGATGCGAGTTTCACCTCTATATCCACAATCTGCTCTATGAACCTGTGCTTGGATGGGTTGGAAAGTCCGTACCAGACGTCACCCAGGGCGGTTCCCTTTGCCTTTTCCATGATGATGTATTCACTCCCTACTGGGTTCGAGGGGTCGCAATTCCAGCTCAGCACCTGCGGGACAGGGAGGCCTATAACGTCTCGTGCCTTTGAATGTCAGCATGGATACTTTCCAAAAGGGATTCATTCCTCACTCACATAATCCATCGTTGCAACTTCGCTGGCGGTAGTCAGAACATTCGGTCCTGCGTTGGGATTGGGTAGCTTTGCTACAACGTCGGTTTCATCATTGAGTGTAAGGAGGAAAGCCTTGTTGTATTGGCCCTCTCGATATTTCATGATGCGGGCGCCTCGGAATATCATTAGACGAGCGATATGCGGAGGAAGGGGTGTAATACATGCGACCGCCTCCTTGCCAATTGACCGGCTTCCACGGGAGAGAAGCTCCTGGATATTAAATCGTCGATATCGCTTCAAGACCTCAGCCTTGTCATTTGATCTACTTCTGGTTAATAGGAAGGGACAGGGTGTACAGATCAGACATACAGCCATCGCTTAGTAGTATATCGGTACAGTTCATCCTCCGTTGCTTCCCTCACTGCAGTAAGAGAGTATCAGCATGACATTCAGAGGTAGGTGTTATGTTAAGTTCGTCACATTTTCCATCCTTCTGCTGCAAACATAACTGTGGCGTCCTGAGTGTCTGGGAGTCATCACTGAGGGATCTTATTCCTCGGCAACAATTCCTAAATATTGCGCCTGAGTGGCATTTTTTGTAGGCTGTCAATCGAATATACGATGCTTGGCTGTGCATTTCAGCCCTCCACTGTCACAACAGTCCAGTGTTTGAACTGCCTTGTAAGTAGTGTGATAGATCCCTAGTAGGGTAAGGCATAAGGGGGATGCATCCTAACCACAATAGGCAATCTGCTGCCACTTTGTTATTGTGGGGTGGCAGTCACTATAGCCAATCAGGTTGATGCGCGGAAGAGCGGCAGCGATGCCGCATTGCGGGGAAATCTAGATAGTATACTTGTTTAAGGATGTAGATAAGCAGACATGAGGGGCAGTTGGAGGAATCTTCGGCTAGGAATGGAAATCACATAAAGAGCTGTTTGGTCGGAATTTGTCAAAACCTAAGTTCGACCTTCCTATCCACAAACCGAGCTCTGAGACACAAAATGGGCTCCCTCCCAATCACTGAACACGACGTTACCATTACATCCTTCGATGTTACTGACCTGCGGTTTCCGACGAGTCTAGATGGAGTGGGATCTGACGCTATGCATGTTGGAACAAATGGGTCACATCCATATGTCCGACTGAAGACGAACCATGGCGATTTAACCGGAGAGGGAATCGTGAGTAACCTGATCCTTAACAGAACGCCACCCTAATGTGTCACAGGCATTTAGTAACGGACGGGGAAGCGAGCTCATCTGCCTAGCACTCGACATCTTCGCACGGCGCGTCGTCGGAAGAACAATGCATGAACTGACCCGGAATATGGGCAAGACATGGAGGTACATGGTATCCGACTCGCAATACCGGTGGTTAGGCCCCGAAAAGAGCGTGACGCATCTGGCTGTTGCGGGCGTGATGAATGCAGTGTGGGATCTATGGGGCAAGATCCTCCGCAAGCCGGTATGGATGATCGTCTGTGACATGACCCCAGAGCAAATTGTCCAGTGCATCGACTTCCGCTATATCACGGATGCCATCACTCCAGAGGAGAGTATTGAGATGCTCCGAAAGACTCAACAGGGAAAAGCAGCGCGGATGCAAGAAGCCTTGGAGAGCCGTGCGGTGCCGGCCTACACTACCTCCCCTGGGTGGCTGGCGTTTTCGGGTGACCGTATGCGAGAGGTCTTGGATGAGACTATCGCAGAGGGGTTCACCGTTTTCAAATTCAAGGTCGGTACGAGTGTCGCCGCGGACCGTGAGAGACTCTCTGCCGTGAGAGAAATCCTGGGGTACGATGAGAAATACCAGATCATGATCGACGCGAACCAGGTACGTCATGTCTGTCCGTAACACAGGATTAATGCTAATCAGCCCAGGTGTGGAGTGTTCCAGAAGCGATCGAGTATATGAAACAGCTGGTCGAGTTTAAGCCGGTCTTTATTGAAGAGCCAACAAACCCGGACGATGTACTCGGTCACGCGACGATACGAAAGGCACTCAAGCCGTATGGTGTGGGCGTTGCCACTGGAGAGGCTGCCCAGAACCGCGTCACCTTCAAGCAACTCCTACAAGCCGAAGCGACGGATGTCTGTCAGATTGATGCCGTTAGGCTCGGCAGCGTGAATGAGTGTTTGGTAAGTGGACCGAAACCATCGTGCGTTTCCTAGCTGACAATCCCTAGGCCGTTATGCTTATGGCACTGAAATTCAACGTGCCCTGCGTGCCACATAATGGGGCCATGGGTCTGACTGAACTCACCTCCCATCTCAGTATAATCGATTATGTCGCTATCAGTGGGAGAAAGTCAATGCTCGAGTATGCTGACAGTCATCGGGAGAGTCTGCGCCACCCCTCCAAGATCGAAAACGCGCTCTATGTCACACCAATGGAGCCTGGATACTCGATTGGTTACACTGAGGAAGCTCTGGAACGCTATACATATCCCACAGGTAGCTTTTGGAGCAGCGATATCGGCCAGCAGATAATCGCTCAGCCCACAGGCGGAGAACTATAGCTGTACCACGCCAATTTCCGGGGCCAAAAACCAATGACATTCATATCTCATACACGCGAAAGTAGCCTTCTCTTCCTTTGCATATCCTCTAATATCGATAACACTGCATCAAGACTCGAAAATGCCCAGGGTCGAATGTTGTTGATAACAGTAGTCTGAAGTTCGTCGATATCTGGTACAAAGTCTCTCAAATCGCGACACAATGAGGCTAGCGTAAGAATAATGATTGCACCAAGAGATCTGGGTCAGGTTAGTATTTGCGACATGTTGTATGGAAAGTATTTTTGGGTCATACGATAAGGAAAATGTCCAAGTGTACTGACTCGGCCTGGCTAGGACGTGCGTAGTGTGGTATATGTAGTATCGGCAACTCTCAATGCAAAGCACAGCCTTTTCAAGCATGGAAGCAGGGGCACGTTCCGAGTCATGGATCACGATAGACAGTAAGAATGGCCTGAAGATAATGTGTCTTGTGGCAAAATAACGGATTCGCAGAATCGATTGTCGGTTGGTAATATCCGTAGTGTCGACTTCAAGATCCGGTCGAAATGTTTCTGGGATCGAAGAATACCACAATTCCAATTGTGAGAGCAGCTCATTGCAAATTGCGTCCATGGATGACACCTCCTGAATGGAGAAGTCATCCATTGCCGGTAGCATAGTTGTCGATTGGGAGATTGAACTTTTCCTTCTAGGGTATAAAGTGTTATGTATGCGATTAAGGAGCCTCCTGATAGATATCTCAGCTAGATAGTAGGTAGACTCTGCGAGTCCGAGATTGTTACAGCTGGGGAGGCTGATGTTATCGGTCAACTCCTGTAGTCCGCTGCGTGGGAGCTCAAGCTCGGCGACTCGGTCACACTCTATGAGAAAGCACGACCAGAATAAACGAAGGATGTGGTCACCCTGTTCAGGATGGTTCGATATATTGCCCAGATTGTCAACTCTACTTGCGTCAGAATTGTCAGCAACTACATGAATAAACTTACCCGGACCGATTCATTTGTAATATGGTGGATGCAGAATGCATCAAACGCCAGCTTTGGAGTGGTCGCACGATGTAGGCAAAATAAACGCTGGCCAGAACAAGGGCCTGAGATAGCAGTATACTTGACGGGAAAGACCAGGCAGACAGAGAGATCAGAGTCGGCATGGCGTGTTGCATATACTGCGTACCCGGGGGGGAATCCTGAAAAGTATTCAGGGGTTGGGGGTGCCCGTCGGCTGCAGCACCCAGGGCCCAGGACGGACCATGCAATAGAATAGACTCAAGGCTGTCGTCAGGGCCAGTTTGCACAAATTTTATCATATATTTTCTCGAACTCTTGACGGTCCAAATATTGGGTGATTGGGGTGAACAAGGGAGAAGAAAACTGACACCAAAGTCATCGTCTCGTTCAATTTCAAAGCGGGGATTGGTGGAGACCATTGGTCCAAGGAGAGTTGGGGTGGAAGTGGGCATCTCGATTCCAGCATGAAGAACAGGTCTGTAGGGTATTCCCCGACTAATGACTTCACAGGCGGCAGAGTCAATAGAAAAGTCGACGATGTCTTGTGTTTGACAGGGATGGTGAGAGGTGGTAAGATCGACAAGTCGGAGTGCCGGGATGGCCGAGGGTGTGTCTGAATGTCCTCGACTGGGGAGTGTTGACGCGTTGGAGAAGTTTGGTCGTGAACAGAAAACGAAGGAGCTCGATTTCCGGAAGACAGTGCTGTTATGCGCTCCGACTGGCTCTGGAGGAGGGCTTCAATGTCCCGGAGGCGATTCAGGATTTCCCGACTTCCCCCGGTGGAGTCGATTCTAGTCCGATGGTTAGGATCGCTTTCTTTGGTACAGAAGCAATCCTTGCATACCTCTGTGAGGGGCCATCATCATATTGGCATTGCACTTCCAACTCGATACAGTTGGAACAAGACGGCTTCTGGGCGTCACATCGTCTCTTTCTAGATACGAGTTAGCAGTCTCAGTGACAAGTCATATGAGGCTGGTACTCACCGGCTGCGACAAAAATTACAGGCTAGTGGTGCTCGTTTCCGCGTAAAGCTCATGTTTCCAAATGTGAAGAGAGTTGCTGAGGTTAGGTTGGTGGCCAATACCGAGTTGTAGACACGATCAGGTGACCATCCCGTTGTTCGTAACCCTACCTATTAAGGTAGTTGGTAGTAGACAATTGCTTTGAGCAGTGATGGTTACATAGATTCTCCTTCCATTCGAGGATGCTCTTGGCCAGCTCAGATGCAGAAATCCCGAAATATATGAATGAAGATCACAGACCACATGGGAAGGAGTATGACACCGTGATATATATCACCACTCGAACAACCCTCTTGATTCACCACCCTAAGATTGGCAATGACTCTTAATAAGGCCAAGCATAATAGGACATGATGAAAAGAATTATCAGAACCTCCAAGATATGCCCCTTCACCCTTCTTGGCCTCCAGCCTTCTCGGAACGGCAATCGTTCCTCTCCAAAGATCGCCTCAATGTATTCAACAGGCATTCCAGAAAACAGACCTTTGCCAAAGATGCATTGCATGGCTGCCACCTCTGCACATCCAACATAGTGTTTCCGTCGAGGAAAATCCAGTTGCGGATTATCCTGTTTCTACTCTTTGAACCGTATCCTGCGATAGCGTCCCCATTGTGGGATCCATAACCCCCCCTGCTGCCGGGTATAGTTCACCAATTGCCTGTACAAATCCAGGTCGAGGTGGCTATAGTCCCCTAAAGCACGATCTTCCCGTGTAAGAGAGACATCGTGCTCGATTGAGTGTCGGCGGCCGACTTTGTCAAGGCTTAGCACTGGTTCTCCTGCCTCATTGATGTCGGTAGAGTCACGAAGCCCGCCGCGAGCGGTGCCTGGGGGTGCATTATCGGGGTCGTCGCAATGAACCATGAATGAGAGGCTGACAAGGCCGGTCGCTACGTCTATGCCAGCGCCTAGGTATTGCAGAGCGGATTTGAGCTCCGCCTTGGTGATGTTGCGGCCGTCCCGGGCGATGAGCCCGTGGTTCGCCAGGGAGTTCATTATCGGGCATGGACAGCGCAAGTCGTTCGCACCGGGAGGACGAAACTCCCCTCGCTCGAGTCGAGGTGCTTTCTCTGACGCCATGGTGCTGTTTTGCTGGAGAGGGGTTGTTTTCGGATCTCTGCAAGTCCAACCGGTTATATACCTACGGGACATTGAGTTTGAGCGAGAGTCATGACTTACTTTGTGGCGGGCTTATTACACGGAGAGTTGATAGTAGATCTAGTTTTACAAAACTTACAAGGCTACGGCATAGACGACCGTGGGTGCATGCAGGCTACAGTGTAGCCTTTCATCAAAAGATAACCTCACGCGCTCAGACCGATACACTTCTGTACAAAGCTCTCCATCAGCCGATTCATGTCCTCTTCCTCCTCCCACGGTATCATGTGCCCTGTGCCCTCATAGACCTTCCACAAGATATCGTCACCCAGCGCCTCCTTGATAAGTTCACCATGGCGGAACGTCAGCATCCGATCCTCTGTGCCATGCAGTACCGCAATGCGCTCCCTGCCAACGGCATCTCCCAAGGCCTTCAACTGCTCCGGAGACTTAGAATGGAAGTAACACGCAACAACCTGCATCATGAACCCCTTCTTCGTGAACCCCTCTGTGTCCATACGCTTGCGCAGCTGTCCCGCCGCAAACCTATCCCGACGAGTCGGGAAGTTTTTCTCCGGATCATCGAATTCGGTATCGGGCTGGTCTAGGAAGCCATCGCCGAAGAGCGTGTGCGCCATCCGCTCCAGCTCGATATCAATGTGTTTCGGGATGAACATGGCCGCGCGCTCACGCAGATTCTCTAGGAACGGCCCCGTGCGCACCAGGCGCGGCGCCGTACAGCACAGCGTCAAGCTAGCCAGCCGCTCAGGAATCAGCATGGCTAGCTCTTGCGAGATCATCCCGCCCATGCTGGCACCAAACACATGAAGGGAACGCGTTGGGGCCGCGGACGGGTCGATCCACCCGATCGAGGTGAGCAGATCGACGACGTCGCGCGCCATCTCCGAAGTCGAATACAAGCAGACTGGTTTGTCGGAGAGACCGACTCCGCGATTGTCGAAGACCAGATTAGTGTATTGGTCTCCGAGTTGGTGACCGAAGTATTTGGTCTGACGCTTCCAGTCCTTATGCGAGGCGTTGAGACCCATGATCCACTTGAAAGGGAGAGTTTAGCCAGGAATACTAGCTGTTCTCCATTCAGTCATCCGGAACTTACGATAATCTTCACAGGCCCAGTGCCATGGGTCTCATAGTACAAGTTGAATGGACCCCCGCGTCGGTTGTGCGCCACTGAGCAGGTCCCGGATGTCGTGGGTGGGAGACTCCAGTCTACTGAGTCAAAGGCCGGATGGGCCACCACCTCCGCAGCTGTCAATGGAGCCATGCTGAAAGCTTGCTGAATGAAAAGATGACGGATGGATTTGGTCCCGGAACAGACGGAGAAGTGGTGACTTGGTGTTGCCTGGAAAGGAAAGACGTCACGTGTACCCACATGTTCGGATCATCCCGAGGTAGATTCTTGATTAGTAGTTCTCTGCATACATTTGGTAGATTTTACAATTATGTGCACTTCTTCTCTATTGACATAGATTTTGGGCAAGTAGATAACTAGTTTTTGTCCAAAGAAAGAGAACAGGCAGAACAGTCCGTAAGAAGTCCATTGTTGGATACTACGCTAGTATCCTCAGCAGTAACTACTAGGAGTACTACCATTCACGCAGGATATATACAAAGCTGCTCGCCATCAGTCTAATAGGGTTAGTAGGATAAGTATAAAGATCGAATTAGCTGGAGAGGTGTGTTGGTGATACAAAATATATTATACCTAGGTAGAGACATCTATTACTTAGGAAACTATAAAAAGAGACCCAACACCTTAGATAGCGAAGGGGGTACCATGATACTAAAAAAGATTCCTTGAGAATGAGGATGGAAGGCAAGAGTTGTGGCATGATTGTGCTGTTTGTAGAGGCGCACGAATTTCTGAGACTCTACAGTATATGGAAGGGAGGTTAAGTAGAAAGAATGTATACTTCGGTGTAGCACACTCGGTACCTTCCCGCACGGTTCTCCTGAGCTACTGTTTCTGTGTCGAGCAATGACATACACGATACTGACCACCTAGGTAAACCCCGTGTCAATCCATATTTGGGGAGACTTATTGATGTACAAGCGAGTGTTGTATAGAGCCCACGCGGGCCAGAAACGCCATTGATTGGCCAACTGCCACTGACCAATCCGCAGTCTAGACGGGGCAATGCACATCAACAGTCTTTTTACCTCTTCATGGATGGCTTCAACTCCTTCCGTCCAGAGTAGATCCATGATATACCACCGTCCTTGCTGCACCTGTGGTTTCCGTCTGTTGGGGATTTTCTTCTCCTCCCTCTGACCTACTTTCACCTTCAGGTGCACCAAAATGGGTAAACCCACGCCTTCATTGCTATCACACAGGCTATGGGATGAGAAATGATGGCCAGCCCTCCAACTACTCTTGTGGAACGCCATGGCTGCACATTCACATCCCTATGTCAAGACTTTGACTGGTCACGCCCAATGCTGGTTGGTTCTGGTTCTCCATCCACATGCATTCACCATCTTCAGAAATGATCCCCAGTTGGGCTTTCTCCATTGTACCGTCTCGCGCGGGTTGTCCTGAGATCTGCATACACGATACCCGTGCTAGGAGTAAAGGGTCCATCCTTTGAAGACTCTCTACCCGTCTGAGCGCCATGGCCTGAGGATCCTGGGAAGTGTGCTTTGGATCAAGTGATGGAGACGATCTCTTAGCAAACGAGCCAACCTTTCAATCTTGGACTCGTTTGGCTCGCGCCTCCACGGTCTATCGAATTGTACTACCATGATGTTCAAGCTTCGATTATGAGTGGCCCAACATGTTCACACGCCTTGGGATCTTCCCTACTCTGTCGCGACATCAGTTCAAGGAGGTTGATCATGGTTCCTTTGACCCAGGCTTATTTCTTAAACACCATAGCCCCAGGCCAACCGCCTTTTGTGCTAAGATGCCTTGCACAGCTCTTGAGAGTTCGAGATGGGTGCTTTATGGGCCTCTCGCTGTTTACCAGCCTTCAGCATCGTGGCCTTGGTTGTTCTGCTGGTACTAGCGACTGATACAGCAGTTCTGCCATGGAATGGTGAGCATACTCCGCCTTCCAGCACTACAACAAGAGCGCCTTTGACTGGTGCCCAAAATCTATTCGTCGTCTACACCGTGTTCATCCATGCGAACATACTATTGTTCACCATCCGACTGGCATGGAGTTTCGTTGCGGCGCCGTTCAGAACCCAGCGAGTACTAGACCGGCGATCCTCACCGGGTTATAGCTATGCGTCTAGTTCAGCAAGCGAAACTAGTCTAGACGGCCCGCCATCTCCAACCACATCCTCAGGGCTATCGGCTTATGAGGAAGAGAGTCTGATGGGCGATGAGACAACGCCAGAGGTCATACACGCTATTATCCTTCCTAATTACAGCGAGGATATCGACACGCTCAGAATGACCCTCGGTGTTCTTGCCAGTCATCCACGAGCACGAGGTCAATACGAGGTCAGTCAATCTCTTGGTCCTAGTACGTAACAGGCACTAACCATCCCAGGTCTATCTTGCGATGGAACAAAAAGAAATAGGCGCCACAGACAAAGCAGGCCGATTAGTCTCCGAATATGAAAAGTCCTTCCTCCGTATCTCGACGACCTTCCACCCAGCCGGTCTACCGGGAGAAATCCCAGGGAAAAGCTCCAATATTGCCTTCGCCGCTCGACATATCGCGAACGTCCACCAGGTAGATCTCAACGAAGGAACCTCAAATGTAGTCATAACGGTCATGGATGGTATGCATCTTCATCTTCTGCTCCATTCATTGCTAACAACCCAGCCGACACACACCTCCTGCAAGACTATTTCAGCGAGATTCGTCGCCTGCACTACGCCCATCCCGCCGACGCAGACCACACCATCTACACCTGCCCCATCATTTTCGACCGCAACTCCCACGAAACGCCCATCATGGTCCGCTGTGCCGACCTGCTTTGGGGGTTTGCCGGTCTCTCGACAATGTACCTGGGCAGCAGCCTCTCCATCCCGACGTCCGTCTACTCCCTGCCTCTTTCGCTCGCCGAAGACGTCGGCGGCTGGGACAGCGACGCCACAGCCATCGGCGAGGACATGCACATGATGCTAAAATGCTATTTTGAAACCGCCGGTAACGTGGTAACACGAGTGGTCTTTGTCCCAGCTAGCCAATGCAACATCTCCAGCGACGTGAACCGCGGCTGGCGATGGACGCTCGACACCTGTCTCGCACGGTACCGACAAGCACTCCGCCACATGTGGGGAGCGCTGGACTCAGGCTTCGCGGTGCGCCAGTCCATCTCCCACCTGCGACGCTTCAACCGACGCTGGCTGCTCCTCCTCCCCCGACATCTAGCGCTCCTGCATCTGCTGTTTGAGGCACACTTCCTCCCCTGTCATCTCGTCATCCTCATGCTGTACTCCGCCGCATATGAGATGCTGTCCCCGGCTGGCACTCTCCATCACAGCATAGCTTGGGCGTTCTGGGTGACGGGAATGCTGCGCGCGTCGTCGTTTGTCGGGATGAACGTGTGTCTGGTGCTGTACGAGCGATGGCACGCGCTGTGCCTTCGAGTCCGACGCAAGGACATGCTAGACGCGAGCCTCCCGGACTGCGGATTCTCGCCCCGCTGCTGGTGGCATGTGTCGTTTCTACTGGAGCGGATCTGCTTTCCCATCGCGGGGACGCTATACGGGCCGATCCCAACGTTCCACGCCGTGTTTTCGCATCTGTGGACGGATCGGCTGGAGTATCGGGTTAGCAAGAAGCCTGTGTTTGGGGAGAAATGTGTTTAGCGGATATTATCTAGCCGTCCATTATCTGTGTTCTACTTAGTCGACCTAATGACACTACTCCGTATATCTACCCCAACGGTGCTCCAACTCCAACTACTCCACACTACTCCACCTCCATCATCTATATACCGTAACCTCCCTCCAGTTTATCTCTACACCTTGACAAACCATCCACAATGTCGCCCACCAAACGCGTCGCCGTAATCCAATGGAACATAAAAGTCAGCGTCTCCCCTCCGCAAAAGATACCAACCTCCTAACCCCCGCACCAGGACCTCGCCATCGAAGAAAACCACCAGCGCGCATGCGCCTACATCCGCGACACCGCCGCCCAAGGCGCCGAACTGGCCGTTCTCCCTGAGTACTATCACCCCTTATCTCTCTCACCACCAACCCTATACAGAGTATACTAAGTTAAGAAAATGAAGATACCACCTAACAGGCTGGGCCCCCACAAACCCGGCCTACACAACCCTCGCCCGCCGCGCGCCCACCTACCTCGCCGCATACCAAGCCCTGGCCCGCGAACTACACATCTGCATCGTCCCGGGGACCATTATCGAAGCCGACGACACCATCGTCACTTCCGATGCAACCGACCCTCCAAAGGAGACCCCCACCCTCCACAACACGGCATACTTCATCTCCTCCGACGGCCGCATCCTCGGCGCCTACCGCAAAAAGAACATCTGGCACCCCGAGCGGCCGTACCTCATTTCCTCCGGCGCGGACCCACACCCGGTCTTCGATACGCCCGTCGGAAAGGTTGGGCTGCTGATTTGTTGGGATTTGGCGTTTCCTGAGGCGTTTCGCGAGCTCATCGCTGCCGGGGCGGAGATTGTTATTATTCCGACTTTCTGTAAGCCTCTTCCTCCTTCGGAATTTTTTTTTATTCTCGTTTGGCCGTATGGAGGTGTGGTGGAGGTCTGTGGCTGACGTAGGTAGGGACCCGGTACGATGCGTCGGCGGAGGCCCTTGCGCATAATCCTAATAGTGAGGCGCTTTTCCTTGAGACGACGCTCACCGCGCGGTGTTTTGAAAATACCTGCGGGGTTATCTTTGCCAATGCGGCCGGGGGCAGCGCGGACGTCGAGGGGAAGTTCCTCGGCATGTCCCGCGTGGTCCTGCCTGTTGTTGGAGTCGTGGGGGCAATGGGAGCGGAAGAGGGAGTGTTGGTCGTGGATATGGATGTAGGGCTGTTGCGTATCGCCGAGGAGAATTATCGCGTACGGCAGGACATTATGCGCGAAGGGTGGTATTATACCTATCGGCACCAAAAATAGGAGGAATCACAGTTCCGAGCATAGTCCAGGAAGAGATAATGCTACAACAGTGTATTCTAATCAAACGCAATCATTAGAACGATACAAATTCGTGACAGAGATCTTGGCAAGCTGACATCCACCTCCGTCCAGGACACAATATAGACATAAGGCATGATTCCTGAAATCCGAGCAATCGCTAGACCATCCAACAAACAGCGCTGAAGCGAGCAAGACCGAAGCAATCAGGTATAGACATGTTCGTATCCCATCTACTGCACCTGGCTGACGATCTCGCTGGCCCGGGACAGGCTCTCAACCATCTGCTGGCATTCCTTGCGTCGCCGCACCGTGTAGTCGCTCTCCTTGAGCAGGTCATCCAGCTCGTTGTTGCGGTACATGTTCTCCAGGAGTTCGCGCTGCATCTCATCCTTGGTGAATCTGAGATAGTTAGCAAACATCCATCCACGGTAGAGAATACAAAGACAACGTACTGAACGAGAGTGTACATGATGGCCTTGGGGACCATATCGATCATAGTCCGCTTCACGATGTTGAAATACGATGTGATGAGAAGCTCTGCTTTTGTTAGCCACTGATCAATCTCACGCAGTGTAATCACTTACTGATAACCTCAACCTCCGTGCTCTCGCGCTCCGACAAAGAGGCAGAGGCCTTGAGCGTCGGTGGGGGAGGCTCCATCGCAGCCATCTTCTTCTTGTTCTTCGAGGCCCAGAAGCTGCCGAAGAATCCAGATCCACTGCTCTCCTGGGGAATCTCCACCGAGGGGCTGTTCGCGCGAGGAGGCAGAGGCTTGCCTGTCTTGGGGTCAACCTGCGTAGGCTTGGAGGCTTGCTGACGCTCATTGACAATCGTCATGGCCTATCCTCATTAGCAAAGACCACTAACACCAAGGCAAACGACTTACGCGGTGGCCGTTCAGGAAATCGGGATGACCGGTGTTGATGTAGCAAGCTTCCATCGCAATGAGATCGCGGACAAGCTTGGTCGTCGGTTCCATGCACTTCTTGAAGAAAGAGATCACCACAGCGTGGAACTTCTCCTTCAACATGGGATACCGGCGGAAGAGCGACTTGTTGAGCAGCTGGCCCAGGATCCGCACCAGTTCGTCGTAGACCAGGGAGATACACTTCGTGCTGGGATCCTCAAGACGCTTAATCTGCTGCTTGACAATCAACTCGAACGCAGTCGTTCCGACAAACAGCGCGGGCGAAGAACCGGAGGAGTTGTACAGGATAGTCCGAATGTCGATATCCTTGACCTGATCAAAAGGATCCACCGCCTTGATACCGTTGGAGTAAAGCTCGTGGAAGACAAAGCTAATACGAGCACCACCGGACAGCTCGATACTGGACAGCTCTTGGTTGTTACCCTCCAATACCGTGCGGTACTCGTTGCTGAATTCCGTAATGATGTTCAACACAATGTTGGCACTGTTTCCAAGCATCGAATCGCCCAGCTGCGAGAGTTCCGAGGAGTACTTTTGAAGCGAGGAGGAGATCCGGGCTTTGATATCGGGGAGGGTTTGTTTAATGTGCATCATCAGGATCTAGCAACAGTCAGCACCGCATCCCGCATAACCCGTCGTGCATACTTACCAGGTTCAGTTTCCGGGCCAGATAGGGCGTTCCGCAGTACGAAGCCTTGTTCCGGTAGGCCTTGTGGCTCTCGAAGAAATTCTTCTCGTGCTCCAGGGCGTACGCGATGGGCCGCTTGTTTTCGATATCACGCTGGCCACGGTTGACGACAGGTACGTAACCGAGACGCAACGGAATAATCCTGCCTGCAAGAATATCCACAACATCGGTTCCCTCATCCATCAGGTCGACCTTGGTCAGCACACCGATGGTACGCTGTCCCTCCGGGTCGACCTCACGCGCCAGTTTCAAGCCGTCCGAGTTCGCCAGATCCTGGTTGGCCGACGTCACGGCCAGAATGATGGCATTGGGTTTGCTAATGAACTTCAAAACCATGTCCCGGATCTGTCGCTCGATATCCTTGGGCTGATCACCAACCGGGACCTTGGTTAGACCAGGCAGGTCGACCAGGGTCAGGGTCAGGACATTGGGGGAGTAGATGCGCAGGTTGATGGGGGCCGGAGAGATGCCCGCATTGCGACCGACCTTGGACTCGGTTTCGCGCACAATTTCTTCGCGGATCTTGTTGAAGTCGTAGAAGCGCTGGCCGGGGATGTGGAGGAACTCGCCATACTCGTCCAGATTCGCCTCCTTATCCGACGTCTCCAACTTCTCGTCCTTGACACCGTTCGTCTGGGATCCCGCGGGCTTGTTGATGAGCTGCAAGATGAGGGGTCTCCGGGTGACAATTCCCGAACCACGAGGGAGGCTGGATGACGACGCCTAATTAGCCACCAAGCACGGGCACTCCCGACCATTCCATCGGGACGAGGCACCTGGATACTTACAAGTCGCGACCGACAATGTTTTCTAGGACGGAACTTTTACCGCTGGACTGCGATCCGACGACGGCGATTTGCGGCAGATCGATCGGGTTGTGAACCTAAACAAACACAGGCGGTGTCAGTGGTGCGGTGGAGGGGTATGCCGCAGATAAGGGCAGATGTCGAACTCAAGACGTACTCCGACGGTGGTGAAGACATCCTGCAGCTTGTTGACCAGCGAGATCAAGCTGGGGTCGTTGACGTTTATCCTATCGCACACGTTCTGGTCAGTCCGACAGCTTCGGAAGCGAGTCGCACGAGTTGGGGGACAGGGGTTGCGCACGAGTAGCCAGTGGGACTTGCCATGTCTGGCGATGAAGAGGCAAAGATCGCACCAAAGGAGGCAAAATTCGAGTGAGAGGACGTAGGGAGCAGAAAAAGAGCGGCTATATAAATGAGTTGGGAGGAGCAGTAGGTATGGTGAGGTGTCAAGGAGAGAAAGCGGAAGCGGCCAAGTGGAAAGAGTAGAGCGAATGCGGCGGGCGGTGATGGTGGTGGGCCTGGGTCTAGTAGGGGACAAAGACCCAAATAATCTGCTGCAGTTTCAAGTCTGCCTACCGTCCACGGATAATAGCGACCAAGAATACTAGATACTAATGGAAGATTCGGGAAGTCGTATTCTCCTGACACACACTGGAAAAACCAGTCTTCCAAACTCATGGCGAGGACGCGTCATGTGCGACTTTGGCCACCCAAACCTACGATGCCGCCTAGACTACGGAGTAGGTACCTAACCTACCCTACGACACAGCCCGATTCATCGAACAATCGCATTCAACATGGAGATAAAAGTGGGTGAAATACCCAAAGATCAATAACTACAGAACAGGGGAATTTGTTATGCTACAGACTCACACCCCCATCACCTCTACTCATCCGAAACCGAGGCAAACCGCTCCGACATGCTCTGGAGAATCTTCTCATACTACGAATCGTCAGTATTTCTCGTAAGGTTAGGGAAGGAACATAACATACCTTCGCGGATACTTCACCCTCGTTCTCGGGCACCTCGAACTTCATCCCACGCAGCGCCGTCTGGATGTCGCTGGTGGCATCACGCACCCGCACCCAGTTCTGGCCCTGCGCAACCGCCTTCTGCGCCTCATCATGGTATCCCATGAACGCCTTCATCATGTACTCCGTCTTCCACAGAGGGCAGAACTGGTCGTAATCACTGTATCCGTTCTGCTGCAGGAAATCATCCTTCACCATAGCCGCCACGTCCAGCGTAATCTTATCCGAATCTCCCAGCGCCGCCTTACCCACCAGCTGCACGACCTGGTCCAGATCCTCAGACTTAGTGAGGAGCTCTCGGATCTGGTCGCGCAGGCGGGGGAACTCCGGATGGTGCTTCTCGTAGTACCGGTCGAGGACGGTGGTGTATTTACTGTAGGAGATCGAAGTGTTGATCGACGGGAAGTGCTTCCGCTGCGCCAGCTTCTTGTCAAGACCCCAGAACACCTGGACAATACTCAGAGTACTGCTGGTGACGGGGTCGGAGAAGTCACCACCGGGGGGACTGACGGCACCGACGATACTGACACTACCATTTCTCTCGGGGCTTCCCAACGCGACACTCTTACCCGCACGTTCGTAGAACGAGGCCAGCTTCGCTCCGAGATAAGCAGGGAAACCCTGATCGGCAGGCATCTCTCCCAGACGACCCGAGATTTCACGCAGTGCCTCAGCCCACCGGGAACTGGAATCCGCCATCATAGCCACGTTCTTACCCTGGTCACGGAAGTACTCGGCGATCGTAATACCGGTGTAGATGGAGGCTTCACGGGCGGCGACAGGCATGTTGGAGGTGTTGGCGATCAAGCACGTACGCTTCATGATGGGTTCCTTGCGGCCCTCGACGTCGATCGAGAGCTATGACAGCTGTCAGTACAATAGGCAGATAATCACCATAGGTAAAATCGACGAACCTCGGGAAAGTCCATCAACACTTCGGCCATCTCATTACCGCGCTCACCACATCCAACGTAGACGATGATATCACTGTTGGAGAACTTGGACACACTCTGGGAAATGACAGTCTTGCCGCAACCGAACGCACCGGGAATACAGACGGTACCACCCTGCACACTAGGGAAAAGAGAGTCCAAGACACGCTGACCGACGATGAAGGGGGCGTCGGACGGGAGCTTCTCGTTGACCGGGCGAGGAACACGGACGGGCCAGGTGTGCATCATCCCGTATTCCGACTTCTTGCCATCGAATTCGATCTCCAACAGCTTCTCTTCGACCGTGTAACTACCGGCGGGGGCGAGGCGGGTGATGGTACCCCGAGCTCGAGGCGGCAGGAGGATCTTGTGGTCGTGTACCAAGCTGTTCTCGAACACAGTACCCCAGATATCACCACCGGTGATGTGGTCGCCCACCTTGTACTGGCCAGGCTTGAAGTCCCACTTCTTCTTACGATCCAAAGCGTTCACCGAAATACCGCGAGGAATGTAGATGCTTCCGGATTCCTCGGAAATATCCTTCAGGGGGCGTTGAATACCGTCGTAGATCGTTTCCATCAAACCGGGGCCCAGCTCGACTGACAGGGGTTTCCCGGTCCGCATAACAGGGTCGCCAACCGTCAAACCAGCTAATCGAAGACAGGATGTTAGAAGTGTGGCGAGTGGTGTGTTGAAAGGGCCGGTGGAGGGGTACCTGTCTCTTCGTAAACCTGGATAGTGGCCTTATCTCCATCGATACGGATGACTTCTCCGACGAGCTGATCATGACCGACTCTGCACTGTACGGCGACCGGAAGCCTTAGTAAATGATAAGACCAAACGTGCATCGACCAGGGATCGATGGTCGACTTGAGCCCCCGTGCAGGGGAGGCGCGGGGAAACGTACCAGTTCGTACATGGCACAACCGATCATGTTCTCGGCCACGACGACGGGACCGGAGACGGAGAAGACAGCGCCATGGTGCTGCTCGGCGTCAGGGCCCTTACCGGAGGGGGCCATGGTAGCGATCGGAATGACAGGAAGGTGGATAGACGAAGGAGTGGAGGAGGAGAGCGGAGGAGAGTCGGTAGTGGAAGGGTTGAGGTGGTCACTGGAGGAGGTCGAGGAGGGCGAAACGGGGAGCGGTGGCAGATGCAGCTCGGGCAGTCTGGGCGGTGATGACGACGGGTCACTTTCTCTCTTCTCTCCCGCTATCAGGTCCAACAATGACGGGCGCGCTTTCAGTCGACGAACCCCCAGGCCTAACATTCAATCTTCTTTCCCAGTAATTGGGACATGGGAGAGGTTCTATTCAGACTGGTGACGGGGTGAGAATGACTTCGGGATAGGGGGATTGTCTATCCACCCTGATCTTCCAGGTTGTTGTTTACTCAGCCGTGCTTGGGACCGGACTAATCTGCTCACTAACCAGGTCTTGTGTATCCTCGTTTCCACACTGAATAATGAATACGGAAACCGCCACAGTCAGTGCACACTTGGTAGTGGCTTGCAAGTGTCGGCGTTCCGCCGGTTGATCGAACGGCATTGTACTGGTTGATCACCATCGCATCCATCTATTTTAACAACACCTCTTCAGCCTTATGGTTGAAAGCGTGTTATAAATGTGTGACCGAAATCTTTGAACTGATAAACAGGGATGATGATACAAGAGAAATCCTCCAGTCCTGCCAGGACAGGACTAGATGCCATATCCGAGGGTCATTGGTCGACTGCTCGCATGCTAAACCTCGAGCAAGCAAAATCACGCAAGATCAGAATTATATTCACGTTCACTAAATGACATATGCTGTTCCAAGATGTGTGCATCTTTACGGAGTACATAAGCCATGTGTTCCTCTGGCGATCCTGACTGATTTGCCCAACCCCGCACAGTCCACAACCCTTCATCGTCCTCTCTGCATCGCAGATTCACATGTGCCAGCGGCCTTGTCTAACCTTATGGAGATTACCTCGATCCATGGGTTCTGGAGTTCGCTTCTCGGCATTCTCATGCTACCAGGATGAGGTCTCCTCACTACGCCTCACGTGAATCCATATAAAACGACATGGCGATACCACGCAAATGGCTCTGCGCGTTGGCTTTTCTGTATTTGCGCCATCTTCTGCCGTGCAATATATGAGTTATCCCTCGTCAAATAGTCGTATTCAACAAGTTGCAACACCTCTGACTCGCAAAGATGACTCGGACTCCCAACACTCGCACATACTGGGACTATACCTTTCAATGGACTGACCTTCATCAGACATCCGAGCAGCTTCGTCCCCAGATGTTCACCTATGACAAGCTTGTCGACGAATGCTTGGAACGTCTAGAGGAGCTCGCGCCTGCCAAACAGGCGATCCATCCGGAGAGTACGGTACCCGTCGAAGGCGCCCCGAAACTACCCAAACGGGATTTGTACACTCTAGTGAGACACCATGCAAAGGATGACCCGAAAATCGCCCGGCTATGGGAAGAGATCAATACTGTCCCGGAGTGGGTAGACTGGGACCAAATTAAGAGAGGCCAGGAGGTCTTCTTCCGTTACGGCATGCCCATGCTGAATGTGGTATGTCCCTGTCTAGTACTCTTGAGTCTGACCTCTCGGACTGATATGGTATGCAGCTCAGTTTCGAAAGCCTTTTGGGTGGAATGTAAGTCCCCATCATATGCTGTCCAGGAACTGCAGCTAATAACACCACCAGGGGCTCCCCTCGTGTTGTGGAGACGCTCACTCGGACTGGCGGCTTCGCCGCAGACGTCGTGCGCCGTCGTCTCCTTGAAACTCTCCAACACACTCTTCAAGTTTCCTTGTCCCTGGAGTCGATGAAGCCTGGCGGAGCCGGCCATGTCTCGTCCGTCCGGGTGCGGTTGCTGCATGCCTCGGTCCGCTCACGAATTCTCAAGTTGGTCAAGGAACGTCCGGATTACTATGATGTGGAAAAGTGGGGAGTACCCGTGAGTGATCTCGACTGTATGGCTACCATCAACACATTCTCGACGAGCGTTATCTGGCTCGGTCTCCCCCGGCAGGGGATCTGGCTTCGCAGCCAGGAGATCGACGACTACCTGGCGCTGTGGAGACTCGTGGCGTATTACATGGGCACGCCAAATGAGCCTTTCCGTGACCAAGCCCACGGCAAAGCCATGATGGAATCGCTGCTGGCGTCGGAGATCGATCCCACCGACACGGGGAAGATCCTGGCCCACAACATCATCATCGGTCTTGAAAACACGGCTCCGACGTACGCGTCCTCGGAGTTCATGGAGGCGATGGCTCGACACCTGAACGGCGACAAACTGTCTGACCGACTTGCCCTTGCGCCAACCAGTCTGTACTACAAAGCTCTCATCTACGGGTACTGCTTCATCGTTATGGTGACATGTTATTGCGTTCGGATGATTCCACCGCTAGACCAGGCCACTATCGAAGTATGTTCTCGCTATCCAAAAATTCATGTCAATACTGACAATAGCAGCTCCGCCGCAAGCTCTACTATACTATCATTACCGACAAAGAGGAAGGTCTCGGGGGTGAATCATTCTTCGAGTTCAAGTATGTTCCCTTCTTCACCCGCACTACTCGTCTGGGTAAGCGCAAGAATCAGAAGACCAACAAGCGTGGCATCGAGGCGTTGGCCCAGCTTGGTTTGCTCGCAGCTGTTGGCTCTGCAACGGCGTTGGTCTATGGGAGTGTGTACAGCCTGCGGATGTTGACCAAGGTGTGATGATGATTGGGATGCACTCGATGGGTAGAACATGGACATGGTTTTTGATGTCGAGTCTTCATTATTTCATCGAGTTTATGGTCATACGAATTTGTCACGAGGTAATCTACAGAACAATGTTCCAGTGTATTCTGGATTAATATTAGACATACATTATGTGTCCATGAGTATATCCAGGATCACATTGATATAGTAGTCGACCTGACCGTCGTCTCCTTCACGCAACACCACGGTTCGAAAGATCGAAATCATGTGTGAGGCAGGGTACGATTACTTCTATAGCAGCGTGACGGGTTAGCCCTCATATCCACCCTTTACACCTGGCTCACCAGTTTTGCTCGTGGCTAGCAGGGGGTACATACTCCGCATCCGGTGCAGGTACAGGTGTTTCCGCAGGTACAGTTCTGGGGACCGGTGCAGTTGCAAGTGTTTCCGCAGTTACAGCCCATATTGGCAAGTAGTTAAGCAACGACGAAGTTATCTCCAGATAAATAGGTCAGGCAAATGTAGTTCGGCTAGGAAGGAAAGTCAAAAATCAATGGTGTAGAGTTAGTTGATCGAGAGGCGAAACCGCAGCCATGCAAGGGCGCTATATATAATCGGCTCGGGCGGCGAGGTGGGGACGTGGCAGCATCATGATGAGGTCAGAGACGTCGGACCACTCAACGGCTCTCGAGACCACGAAATTCCTCATGTTCCCGTAGACTCGACCGTGGGTAGAGCTGGACTCGCCCATGTTGGAAACGCACGTCGTTCTGGCGTAGACTAACTATGCGATGGTGGTGGTCAAGACCAAGGTACTTACTATGTATGTACCTACTAAGGTATCCCGAAGTCGGGTTCCTCCGGATCTTCATTCACCCAACGCACCCGAGTAACTTATCTCTGTTGTCTGGGAGTCCACATCGGGCAGGGCTACAGGTATTTTCGTTGTGAACCTAGGGATTGTTCAGTATCACCGCGACGGCTGCATTAATACCTGACTCGTCGCGTCGGCTGTCCTTTGTATCTGGCTGACGGAAAGGGATGAACGAGGTTTGCCACGACTTCCCCGGCGAAAGTATCTCCTCCCGTCCTGTATGTCCTGTTAGGGTCTTGAATGAAACAGACAAACTCGCCAGTCTTCTTTGGGCCGGAATTCCTCCTGCAGACGGAAGCGATCAGATGAGACGAACGGGCCGGGACAGACTGGCGCAGGTGATGATGTGCTGTTCTGATGATCTCCAGCCAATAAGTACGGCCATTTGTTGGCCCCTTGGATAACCGTCACGACGAGGTCGGTGACTGGTTTATCCTTGCGTCCAGATTGGTCTGATCCATTCCAGTCTCCGTCAGCTGCTGGGACGTTTTGGTTCAGGTGATGGACGGCCGTGGGTGGTTTGTCTTTGTCGACCGGTTTGGATACCTGATCATGGATCTTTCGTGTCACGACGTGGCCAGGGACCCGAGCTGTTTCATCAAAGCATATATCCGATAGGGTGTGTATAGGGGGTTAGGGGTTCCTGGTCGATGAGGTGAATGGATATGGTGGTTGTGTTATGGGAGGGTGTTACGAAGTACATGTGGTGGCTCATACTCAACGACATCATGAGGAATGAGAATGATAGAGATTGTACTCCGTAGAAGATAGAAGACTCCAAATCAGTCCGATAGTTATATGTTAGGATAAAATACGAGAAGAACTCGAATTCTCAAGAATCCAGCATATCTAGAATAAATCCTAGAGTCATCATGATCATGTCGTAACGCCCCACGGAGAATAAGAATGAGCAGCCGCCGATGTTCTTCAACTTCCGCTCCACCACCACCACCACCAGCTCTCTCTCTCTCTTTCTCTCCTCCTCCTCCGCTGTTCGCCTCCTCCTCCCCTCGACTTCGACACCCACGGTTTTCAACTCCCCGGATTATTCCTTCTATCGTTTACTCCTTACCTCGATCTCCCTCGCTCTCCACAGACCGTTCGAACTACTCCGGCCGTTTCCTTCCACGAACTCCTCCTGGGCCCGATAAGACAGACCTCCGCCCGTCGACTTTGGAGATCCACCCTCTTCTTGTCCACCGATCGCACCGATTTCCATCCGACCCGATATATCCTTTCCTTCGTTCCTCAATACAACCCGGACCCGACCTACCACGGAATTGACAACTTCGCCTGCCGTTTAGTGAGCTCCATCTTGTCGCCTCGACGGGAGCTCTCCGAGGTATCAGTGACCCACCACTGATATAGGTCTGCTCTCCTGGTTCTCCTCCAGAGCCAGGGTGAAAGGGCAGATAGACCCAGTTTTCGATCTGGCAAACAATACTCCCTCGTATATACCCTCCTCTGCCGCTCCCGACCACCCCGACTCTCCTATCCCCACCGAACCCACGTCGTCATACCCGGGCTTGACCGCCGTCCCGGGGAGTATCACATCTGCTGCCCGTCTGGAACCGCCCCTCGCCCGTCATCTCAGCACATCGAGTGCTACGGAGAATCTGTATCCTTCATCCTCCTCCACCAGGCGACGCCGTCGTCGTCGCACGAGCACGCCCGACTCGGCCAGACACCCCACGGAGGCCACAGGAGATCTCGCTGGAGATCACCCGGCAAGTGAGGCCGGCTTCCTCGATCCACAGACGATTCCAACCCACGCCCGACCAGAGGGCGGTTCGCCATCTCCCAAGCGCAGGCGCCTGGCAAATATGCGGCCCGATGGAGTCTCAAGTACGAACGGCCCCTCCCAAGCGTCGAACGGCTCCCTCGCGTCCCCGTCTTACAAGGCGGGTCTCTCACACTCCTTGAATGGCCGCGCCCCTTACACGACGTCCAACGGAGAACCCCACGCAAATGGGTCCCAGAAGACGCCAACGCAGTCATCCTATTTCGGTCATGATCGAGAAGAAGTCACGCGAATCCTGATCCAGAGTCTGTTTGAACTGGGGTACAATGGGGCGGCCACATTGCTCAGCAAGGAAAGCGGGTATCAACTGGAAAGCCCGGCGGTGGCGACATTCCGGAGCGCGGTTTTAGAAGGACGATGGGCGGAAGCGGAGCGGATCTTGATTCACTCGTTCTATCCTGATGGAGGTGGTCGAACGTCGAGCGGCGGAGACTCAACACCGGTCAAAGAAAGATTGGTGTTGGTAGAAAATGCCGAACTCAACGAAATGCTCTTCTATCTGCGGCAACAGAAGTTTTTGGAACTGCTGGATGCTCGAGATCTTGGCGCCGCCTTGATGGTGCTTCGCCACGAACTAACACCGCTAAACTATGATATAGGCCGGTTACACGCCTTGTCAAGGTATGTATAATTTGTCGCCCAGCATATTTTAGAACGGTAGACATGATGCTGACTAGAATAGCCTTCTAATGTGCCCTCCGGAGCACCTTCACGACCAAGCTGGATGGGATGGTTCGATACGTTTTTCGCGAGAAAGATTACTGTCCGGACTATCGAGTAAGTGACGCGCCCTGGGGGCGAAAACAGTACTCTAACCTGTTGACAGAGTCTATCTCGCCATCCGTGATGATCCCAGATAATCGGCTAGCAATACTGCTAGATCACGTCAAGCAGAACCAAATCAACCAGTGTTTATATCACAATACGGCATCGCCTCCCTCGCTATATTCGGACCACATGTGCGATCGGAGTGATTTCCCGCTGCGCACCGGGGTTGAATTAAGCCAACATTCAGACGAGGTCTGGTACTGCCAATTTTCTCACGATGGGACGAAACTAGCCACGGCCGGCAAGGATCATACAGTGAACATCTACGATACAAGTACATTCGCCGTGCTCCACAAACTTACGGAGCATGATGATGGTGTGGCTCATGTGAGCTGGAGCCCAGACGACTCCAAGCTCATCACTTGCTCACAGGATAACAAAGCTCGCGTATGGAGTGTCGACGTAGGCGGCCCTTATCCCCCTGGATGATCTACTGCTCACTCTGCTATAGACTGGACTCTGTCTCTTGACCATCAACCACCACCAACATCCCGTGACAGCTGCAGCCTGGGCCCCGGACGGCGAGTCATTCGTGACGACTTCTCTCGACCTGAACAAGCAAATGTGTCACTGGAGTATGCGTGGGCAGCGCTTGTACATGTGGCCCGCAGGATTCCGTGTTCAAGACTGTGCCATCACCCCTGATGGGCGACGCCTAATCGCGGCAGATGTCGAAGAAAAGATTCACGTTTACAACTTCATTACCCACGAAGAAGAGTACTGTCTGCCGCTGAAAAGCAAGCCGACGTCATTGGCTGTCAGTAAAGACTCGCGCCATATGCTCGTCAATTTATCAGAAGGCCAAATACAACTCATTGACATCGACACCACAGACGTTATTCGACGCTTCCAGGGCCAGAAACAGGGCTCCTATATCATTCGAAGCACATTTGGAGGCGCAGCTGAAAACTTTGTTGTTAGTGGTAGCGAAGGTATGTAGTCTCCCTGGTGTGTGCCGAGTCTTGCTTAACATTACGTCAGATTCTCGTGTCTATATCTGGCACAAAGAGAATGGCACGCTGGTAGAGACGCTGGAAGGTCATATCTCGGGATGCGTGAATTCAATATGCTGGAACCCGACCAATCCGGGCATGTTTGCGTCTGCGGGCGACGACTGTCTGGTTCGAATGTAAGAGATATTGGTGTCTGATCCTCCCGCCACAAAACTGACCTCTTCAAGTTGGACTCGCGAACGAGACGCTCACCCCAGTGCCACCATCGCTGATAAACCCCGAGCCGTCTCGGCGAGTGGTTTCGCCCGCACCAGCGCCTTACGGTCGACGTCAAACTTCTAATGAACGCTTCTGCCACCACGGATCGCATTTACGTGCTATTTCGTAATCGATCCTTTTAGAGATTGTGGTCTCTAGGACGAACCTTCTTTCATTTGTTTTCCGGTCTCATCTACCCCTCCTGCATATACACATCATCCCCATTCTTTCGATCATGCGCTCAATACAGGTAGCAGGCGCCGAGTGGATTCTTTTGCTTCTTTCTTGGTCGTGCAGATTGGTATGGTTTTTGCATCCCCTTACCGAGCATAAATTGCCGTGCCTTGCATTTCTGGCCGTACCCATCATCAATTTCATTTTCCCATCGCAACATACAAAGGTCACATGGGATCGTTTCTGTTCTTATATTGTTTGCTGGCAATTTGGGTGATCTGGCATGGTACAGGACGAGTTGAGGTACAGTCCTGCGAGAGTGAAATATGGGGCTTGGTATCATATCTTTAGGCTTTGTTATGCTCCTGTCGATTTGAGGTAATATGTGTGGTCCGTTCATAACTCCAGTCGGGTAGAGTCTGCATCAGATAGTTCGTCCTGTCAATATATACTTATATATATCGAGTCAACGACCTGTATCCCAGCGTTACGTGGATGCATACGTGCATCCTAGATGAGGCTGTTGACTGACTACAGAATACGGCAAGTCTCCTACGTCTTCTTCGTATCAAGCTGGAAGTGGAAAGCGAATCTTTTAATGAAATAAACCCCAAAGTAAAGATAATCCATCCCAAGACATGATCAACGCCATAGTAGAAAACAAGAAAGAGCTTATTGTCCTGGATCACGACCATGCAAGCCATTAATGACTACACTGATAGATCCAGAAGCCCTCGGGTCTCATTGGTGACTGCTTGACGGGGTTAGTGTTTCTATTTCGATGAGATGTCGAAGATAGACTTACTATACGGTTGTATTTCCCCTTCCTCCACGCTATACCTGGCCTTTTAACTAGCTCGCTGGACGGTTGGATACGAGCCTCGTCTGTAGACTCTGGAATGAAGGCAACGCGGTTACCCCACACAATTATCTCGTTCGCGGTCATTAGGCTGGAAACTTTTGAAACGAAAGAGAACGATAAAGCATCCATCTCAGTGCATTTACGAAAGGAGATCCGCCACTGAAACTGTCAGCACAATGTCGCCACACTTGAGGGGAAACAAGACAAGAAACATACCGTTCATAGGCATTTCGTCGATCTGCGTGGAATAGTACAATTCAATGTCCCGCAGAATGCGCACATCGTCGCTGGTAACAAAGTTGATGGCAACACCCTTTCTGCCGAAACGGCCGCTGCGACCGATACGGTGGATGTAGTTTTCACGGTTGGTAGGGAGATCGTAGTTAATGACGAGAGAGACCTGCTGGACGTCGATACCACGGGCCCAGACGTCGGTGGAGATCAGCACACGCGAGTTACCCTGGCGGAAGTCCTGCATGATGCTGTCGCGTTCCTTCTGGGGCATCTCGCCGTGCATGCTGGAGACGGTGAAGTTGGCCTCGCGCATCTTGTCGGTGAGCCAGTCGACCTTGCGGCGGGTGTTGCAGAAGATCACGGCCTGCGTGATGGTCAGGGTGTCGTAGAGATCGCACAGCGTGTCGAACTTCCACTCCTCCTTCTCGACCGCAATGAAGTACTGCTTGATGCCCTCCAGAGTCAGCTCGTCACGCTTCACCAGCACCCGCACCGGGTCCGTCATGAACTTGGTCGTCATGTCGAGCACGTCGTACGGCAGCGTCGCCGATACCACCACCACCTGCGTCGCCGGCGGCAGGTACCGGTAGACGTCGTAAATCTGTTCGCGGAACCCGCGGTTGAGCAGCTCGTCTGCCTCGTCCAGCACCAGCATCTTGATGTGGCGGGTGCGCAGGTGGCGCCGCCGGATCATGTCTGCCACGCGGCCCGGAGTGCCCGAGACGACGTGCTGGCCGTAGTCCAGCTTGCGGATGTCCTCGCCAATGTTGGTGCCGCCAATGCACGCGTGGCATTGCACGTTCATGTAGTCGCCCAGTGCCATGATCACGGATTGAATCTGCGTCGCAAGTTCGCGGGTCGGGGAGAGGACGAGCGCTAGGAGAGCGTGAGTATGGACTACCGTAGCGGCCGGGAATACGACAACTTACCTTGGCTCTCGCGGACAACTGTATCAATCACCTGCAGGATACTGATCGCAAAGGTGGCGGTTTTACCGGTACCGGACTGCGCCTGGGCGATGGTGTCGCGGCCTTTGCAGATCTGCACGATGGCTCGCGATTGCACCGCGGAGGGCGACTCGTAGCCGTACGCGTAGATACCACGGAGAAGGCTCTCCTTCAGGTGCATATCCTCGAAGGTCGGGGCGACCGTCACCTCCTTGGAGGTGTTGAACTCCATGCGGTCTGAGTTTGCGCATTAGTATGGTCGTTCTGTCGCTGTCTCACAGAGTGGTAGGTCATACCATCAGCTCGTCTGTCGATACCGTCCGCCATGATGACAAATTCTGCGTCCTCGAAGTCTCACAGCAAAAACGATGAAGTGACCCAATTCGGTCGATGGTGGAGGAATCCGAGGTAGTTGTCGAGGTCCCTCGATCAGCTCCGCGACTTTTCGCTGCGACCCTCCAAAGTGCCACCGCCCAGATCACGTGAGACCATCTCGCCGCAAAGCTCTCCCCCGAGCACGACACCCTCTGCTTGTTCGCAACCCTCACCACATCGACGAAAACGAGCGAGGCGCAATCTCGTGTGTGTCGCCAATATGTTGATCGAGGAGCAAAGATTTATCCATGAGGACCTGGAGAGGTTGGAGCAGGCCATCGCGGATCGCGTGGTTGATGAACCGCGAAACGTAAGTCGAGAATCCATGCTCTTTATCGAACGGCGCTGACGGTGATAGATTCGCGAGCGGTTGGCGCGCAACCACGAAATCTCCCACTTCTTGAATCGTATCGAAGAACAATCGAAGCGACTCCTGGGAATCTACAAGGATGCGGATGGCGCACGCCAGAGCGAGCTCCAAGCGATCTCGACCGGCGACCAGTTCGAGCAGTTCTACAAAGAGCTGGACGAGATCAAGGACTTCCACAAACGGTACCCCAACGAGCCGGCGGAGAACCTTGAGCAAGCCTATAAGCGCCGCCAGCCTGGAGAAGGCGCCCCCTTCGGCATGGACGTGGACACCATGTTCACTGGCGAGGAAGGCTTTGGACAGTTCCTGGATCTGACGACGCTGCACGAAGACTATCTAAACCTACCCGGTGTCAAACGTCTCACATATACCCAATACCTCGATGTCTTCGATGCCTTCACGCCTCCGCAGATGACGATTAAGCGCGCGAACAAGATCTCCGACAAGTATTTTAAATACGTCGGAGACCTCGCGGGCTACTTGGAGGAATTTATCAAGAAAGTCCGGCCGTTGCAGGACCTCGACAAGCTCTTTGCTAGCTTCAATGACGAGTTCGATAGACAGTGGGAGGCGAATGAGGTTCCTGGTTGGACGGAGGAGAAGGCTGACAATGGCGCCCAAGGGCCCAAGACCGAAGGTACGGGTGAAGGTATCTGGTGCGCCGACTGCGAGAAAGAGTTCAAGAACGAAAATGTGTACAAGAACCACTTGACGGGAAAGAAGCACATTCGCGCGGCCGAAGCCCGCAAAGCGTCCGGCGAGTCCGGCGACAAGCCTGCATCATCTACAGGGAACACGCCCTCTCTTACCCGTCTGAAGGAGCGTGCCGTCGCGGAACGTGAGCACCGTGTTCGCTCTCTGGCTCAGGTTCTTGATCATGAACGTCAAGCTACGCGGGTCAATGTTGAGCGTAAGCAGGGTATGACTGAGCGTGAGCGTCAAATGGAGTTGGAGGCGTTACTGGCCGAGTCCGAGAACCCCGGAGCCGATGGACGTGGTGGTGACCAGTCTGATGACGAGGGCGATGATAAGATCTACAACCCCCTGAAACTGCCGCTTGCTTGGGACGGGAAGCCTATCCCGTACTGGCTGTATAAGCTGCATGGCCTGGGAGTGGAATACCCATGCGAGATTTGCGGTAACTTCGTGTACATGGGTCGCCGCGCCTTTGACAAGCACTTCTCTGAGGCCTTGCACATCTTCGGTCTGAAGTGTCTGGGAATCACATCGAACACCAACCTCTTCCGCGAGATCACTCGGATCGAAGACGCTATCCGGCTGTGGGAGAAGCTTGAGCAGGAACGGAAGAGGGAAAGGGAAAGCCGCGACAACGTGGTGCAGATGGAGGATGCCGAGGGAAATGTTATGCCAGAGAGGATCTACCTGGAGTATGTTGCCCTTTCCCATCCGATAACAGAGATTGACGCTAACTGCTTAACAGTCTCCAAAAGCAGGGCATTCTTTAAAGCCGTGCTCTCCTTTGCCTTGTGCGTCTCAATTTTCCGCATCTATCGCTTCAAAAGCCTGGTGTTCGGTGGGTTCGTTTCTAGTCTTTACATAAGGTTATGATTGGGGTTTATGCTGGTTGGGAAGACTATCTATACCAGTACATGGCAAAATCAGCCATGTGCTTTATGTATTCTACTATAAGATATGACTATCTGCAGACATTAGACCTCCTTGAGAGTATTCCGTATGGATCCAGACTATGGTTATCACGTGAGTTCGCGATCCATGGACGCGCACCCGTGTAGCATTTCTCCTCCATGGCCCAAACCAATTCCTCTTTCTGTATTCTCTGTTCATGGGCATGCGCTCCTTCAATGCGGGCTTTGCTGTATATACACCGACTAAGCTTACATGCGTCTGCTCCAACGAGCACATGGGATCCTACGGGCACGGCTTCCTTGTCAAGTCGGTCCGTACACCCGACAAAATAAATGGGCTTCAAATTTGCACTGCTGTGCGATCTGTTTTCGGCGCTCGAGGATAACAGAATCGTGAAAGCTGCTACCGAGGCGAAGTCCACGAACCCAGATGCGCGCGTCATCACGCGATGGTTCTCGCAGCATGGCAAACGCCTCCATGACAAAGACACGAACCAATTGGCTCTGTTATCGTGCATGTTCCCAGATAAACGCACAGACAGGGTATATTGGTTGCAAGATACATCGCTGGCGAGGACTATCGGCCGATGCCTACTCCTTGGGTCCTCGCGGCGCGAGGAGCTCGAGCGCTGGCGCACCGCCGGTGGAGTGGACCTGGGCCAATGCGTGGAGAATGTCATGCGTCAGGCCGAGAACCACATAATTCCGGGCCAGGAAGTCACGGTCGAGGAGATCGATGCCGCATTGGAGGCCATCGCGTCCCGGTGCCGGTTTTCGGGGCCCCGCGTGCGACGACAACGCACGGCCGTCGACGTGGAAGAGGCCCTGTCGCCGTTGTATCGACGGCTGAGCAGTCGCGACGCAAAGTGGCTCACGCGTATGATCCTCAAGAGCCTGTCGCCGGTCGTCCTGCCGGGATCGCTTGTGTTGAAGAGCTTTCATTTCCTCTTGCCGCATCTGCTCCTGTTCCAGGACTCCTTTGAGGCAGCTTTGAACATGTTGCGCTCTAGTCCGATAGCAAATTTCCCTCCACATCCGGAACCCGGCCTGGCGAGAGACCTGTGCGCCATCGCTTTGCAGCATTTGGACCCATTGGTGGGTGTGAAGATCGGACGGCCAGAGTACTACAAGGCACGGAGTATCAAGCACTGTTGCCAGATGGTTGGGCGCCGACGTGTCAGCGTGGAAAGAAAGTACGACGGCGAATACTGTCAGATCCACATTGACTTGATGAAACGCCCATCATCGATACAGATATTTTCAAAGAGTGGTAAGGACTCTACCGCGGATAGGGCAGACATCATTCAAGTGATCCGGGATTCGCTGCGTATCGGGAAACCTGAGTGTAAAATCTCTCGCCGCTGTGTCTTGGAAGGTGAGATACTAGTGTGGAGTGATAAGCATGGTAAGATCGCGGATTTTCATAAGCTTCGCAAGTTCATCTCCCGGTCTGGCACGTTTATCGGAATAGAAAATGATTCACCGTGAGTCAGCTCGCATTTCTTTGTGGTTATGTATGATTGCTGACAGAACTAGACCCCAGCCATACGAGCGTTTGATGATCGTTTTCTTTGATATACTGCTCCTCGACGATGACGTTTGTCTGAAGAAGCCGCATCGACTACGCCGACTGCTCCTCAAGGACACAATGACTGTCATCCCCACTCAAGCGGACATTGCGGAACAATGGGTGCTTGATTTCTCACGTCCTGATGCGCAGACCAGACTTGAAAACATATTTGCCAGAGGAGTTGCAGAACGCTGGGAAGGTTTCGTATTGAAAGGCTGCGAAGATCCTTACTTCGCAATATTTTCAGGCGACAAGACTGACACCGGTGGGCGTTGGATCAAGCTCAAGAAAGATTATATTCCGGGCTTAGGCGATACTGTGGACCTCACCGTCATCGGAGGAGCATATAAACCCCGCGATGCGTTGGCGCTGAATCAGGCTCGGAAGCTGTCCTGGACTCACTTCTTCATAGGATGTCTTACAAATAAAGACTCCGTCTTGCAGTCCGCAGCAGTCCCTAGGTTCCGGGTGATCGACACAATCGACCAGCATTGCATGAGTGTAAAGCACATGCAAATTTTCAACCAGATCGGCCAGTTCTACGCGTGTAGCCCAGACTCGGGCCATGGCTTTATTATAGATGACCCACCGAAGCATCTACCTGCGATGGACGTCGTTTACAAGACCCCGTTCGTTGTCGAAATGCTGGGCGCTGGGTTCGAAAAACCATCTGGTGCGAGGTTTTATACCCTCCGCTTCCCGAGGATTGTAAAGATCCACTCGGACAGGTCATTCGAAGATGCCGCTTCTTTCGTGGAGCTGCAACGAATAGCAGAGGATGCTCGCGCGGTGTCTGTAGAAGCCGTCGCTGACGAGAAGGCTGAATGGACAAAACGGTTCGGCCTGGCAGCTGGAGCATCACTATATAAGCCGGATCGCTCACAGAGCGCACACTCCGCTACGACTTCATCGCAGTCAACAGGAACTACCACGAGAACATTGGAATCTTCTGGACGAAGAGACCTCTATGGGCGTGGTGATAGGGCACGCGAGAGCTCGAGCCATGAAGCGAGGCAACCCAGGAGAACGAGTCTCGCCGGTGCATCTTCTCGTCCCGTTCCCATCTACGTGGATGACTCGACAGGTTCCGTGTCATCTTCGGATTCCGAGAACCAAGGGAATTTTCTGAAAGATAACGAGAATCTATCATCCCATCAGAACTCCCGCAAGAGGAAGGCCTCAGATAGTGGATATGATTCCACGGAGAAGCCCGCAAAGGCTCGGGGCCTACCAGAGAACGCTAACAGCACCGCCAGCAGAATCGTATTGGAGCCTGCTCCATCTTTCTCCAGGGACATGAGACATGCGACTACACCTCCGACCAACACTCCACTCATCCCAGAACCTCCTTCAAAACACACCGCACGGTCACCACTATCTACCATCCCAGTTTACGTCAGTCACAACATCCCAGGAGATGCAGCTATGATCATACCCAACCGGCCGGCAGACCTGGACGCCTTCCTCACAGCCATCGGATCTGAAGACACAAAATCTCGCTGCAAAGCCTCAAACCCGTACGCAACATCGCAAGATACGGCCCTTGGCTTGATAGCCGCGGGCGATATCCACCGCCTAGGCGAATTGCTTCTCGAACTCACAAACAAGCTATCAGAAACCCTCTCGGCCGCCTCATCGAGATACCCGCGTAGTGGCAAGATTTTTGTTCTTGACTCTGACTTCCTCAAGCTAGGCACCACGGCTGGCGACCTCAGGTTCTGTCTCCGCAAGACGTGGGCCAATATAGGGCGGGAATATTTCTACGCCTGTGTCTCATGGGGCGGTGGAATGGCATCGAGCGCTGGTGGGGACGAGGTTCCTTGTACGCCATGGAATATTGATGCTGGATCTGTCCGCGGTTCACCGTCTATTCCCCGGATTTTAGTTGCATTTGACAGAGAAGAGTTAGAGTGTCTTGGGGAATTCTCTTCGATACAGCCGCTGGTCCATTCCAGAGAACAAGTCGAGGGTTGACGCATCTGGATACAGGGCGTTTGTCCTGTCTTTGTATATATCACGATGAATTATAGAATAACCTATCTTATGTCCGACTCTCGTAACCTCATTGATAATCTATATTAAAATCCTACCAGTCAATGATATATTAAAACTCCACCCGTAGCCGTGAGCCCATATCCTCCAGATAACGCCTCGCTAGCCCAGAAGAAAGAAATATACTATAGAAAGACTACTCATCGCCCTCCCTCCTGGCCCGGACATCCCTCATCAATGCCTTCGCTTCTTCCACCTCCACACCGTCCTGGCATAACTCACCGGCCAACTGATCCGCACGTTCGAGGTCCCCATTACGGAGCGACCAACGAGCCAGCCAGAGCCGCGCTTTCGAAGTCGTCGTTGTTACACCAGTGCCATGCCAGCTTACCTCCTCCTCTTCCTGTTGGTTGAACGAGGATTTACCCTGCCGCGACCCGCGCTGAGTGTCCCCGCCTTCCGATTGACCGTCATCGTTTTCATTATCCGAGGACTCCTCGTCTTCCACGGGCATCTGCCCTGACTCCTGTTGAAGAGTGAGTTCCATGTAGGCGGCAGCCTCTTCCTCGTCACCGAGCCGCTCGTACAGAGTTGCGATCTGATGGAGAGTCTCCGGGTCGAGGATCTTGCGGGCGGCCCCGCCGGTCTGCGATGCGTCGTCGGCATAATATGCCCCCGCGACGAGGGCCCGCTTCAATGCCTTAATGCTCTGCTCGATGCGACCCATTTCAGCGTAACAGGTGCCGACGGCCTGCCACATCTTGGGATCGTAGGGGCGCAAGGCAGCAGCACGTTGGTAGTAGAACAGGGCGTAGAAGGACATGTCGAGGACTTCGTAGGCTTGACCGAGGCCGTACCACGCGCGACAGTCCTTGCGGTTGAGATCGACGGCGCGGCGATAGGATTCAATCGCGGCGTGCGTGTTCTTCATCTCGACATATTCATGCCCCATGAGGATCCAGGCAGAGAGGAAGTTGCGATCCAGTGTGAGTGCGCGGCGGAAGTACATCACCGCTTTTTCGTGCTCGGACTTGAGCGAGTAGTAGTTTCCGACGACACAGCAGGTTTCCGGGCGGAACTTGTCGGTGGCGGTTGCGACTTGGGCTACAAATGCGAGCTGGGGCCGCGCACCCATGACGTAGAGAATGTTCGAGTAGTGATCGAGACTGTCTAGGCGGTGGGGGTGGGTGACGAGGATTTCGGTGAAAATGTCTGATGCGGATTCGAAGTCTTGGGTTCTGTTTAGCAAGGGCTGATTGAGTAGAGAGGGCTTTACGCACCTTTTGAGTGGTAGAATAGCAGTGCTCTCTGTGTCTTGAGGAACGCGCTGGTGGGAAATATCGAGTCAAGCTCGGATAGTGTTTGGTAGGTGTCATCGGTGGCCTGGTACAGCTCCTGGCTGCAATATACATGGAAGATCAGGGTCATGACGTTCTCGGGGAGAAGGCGGAGGACTTGTTTCAACTGTGCAACGTTAACATTTTCCGAGGCTTTCGTTTGAGGAGCAACATACGTCTTCAGTGCTTCCAAGCAGGTCATTGAGTTCCTGCCAAGCGCCCCAGTGGAAAGGGTTCAGATGAACGCTTCGAATGAGCCATTTCTTAGCCTCCTCTTCATTCCGACCCTTAAGAAGCACGACGCCATAGAGATACTCCAGCCAGCCGTGACTGCGATCTTCCAAGCCCTTCTCCTGCTGCTCCGCGAACCAGCCCTCTAAACCACGCGCCAGACCCGGCAGTTCCTTGTTGACAGTCGTGCCCCCGTCCGCCGGCCCCAGTACCATTTCCGTCTCCTCATCCTTCCGCTTTTCTCCCGCCAGATACCTGGCGTATAATGCGAGGAACAGGGATTTCTGACTGAGTCGGGGGTACGGGTTCCGGGCTCCGCCCTGCTCGGTCACACCAGATGACCTCTTCTTCCCTTTCTGCGGGGTCGACGATTTTGGGACTTTTGGCGTTTTTATCGACGCTGTTGTCGACAGGGGAATGGGAGGAATAGTGGGAGGGAGGAACACAGCGGCGCAACGATCATACTCGCGCGTGTCAAAATACGACTTCGCGAGAAGGTATTTGTGCGATTCTTGAGCTTCGAGCAAAGCTTCGGAGGGATCCTGGGTTCGCAAGTACGGGTTCACCGGCACCGGGGGGCTTTCGGTGATATCCATTGGAGATTCGGGGTCCGTATCGTACTGATCGAGTTGCACGACCGAGTCCAGCATCTCGGCGGCCCATTTGGCGGACTGATAGAGGCATCGTTCGGAGCACTTGATCGCGGCATCCTCCAAACGGAACTTGAGTTCCTGGATGTTGTCTTGGGTGAATTGGGGCGGCATGCTGACAACTGGCTGAGAAGGGCACACAGAAGGAGAAGAAGTATGAAGCGTGAAGATGCAAACAATAATACGCCTGCCCGATTGGGACGGGCGACAAACAAAGCAAACGGCAGAAAATCCACACCGCGGGGCAAACCACAATGATCTTTCTTTCTCCGCCCGCTTTTTCGCCTCGTTCCCCCCATCGCATTTCTTCCCCTCCCCATTCACCTTCCTCCGCAATGGCTACGAAAACCGATCGCGCTGCCTTCGAGGCGGTCTTCACTGAACTCGCCCAGGACATACTGGACCATGCGAAGAAATACAATCTCCCCGACAATGCCATGCAGTGGCTTGAGAAGGTACCGCACCAGCGCCAACCCCTCAGGGGTTCCCCCAGCGCATTCCTCAATTGCGCCCATCCGTCATGTCCGAGCCGAGCATCATATCATTGATCTAACGCCGATTTTCGCTCTCACATCTAGGCCCTCAATGTCAATGTCCCCGGCGGAAAGCTCAACCGCGGTCTCTCCGTTCCCGACACCGGTCTTGCGCTCCTGAAGAAGCCCCTGACCGATGAACAATTCAAGCACCTCAGCATGCTGGGGTGGCTCACCGAGCTGCTGCAGGCATTCTTCCTCGTCAGCGACGACATCATGGATAGTTCCATCACGCGTCGCGGTCAGCCCTGCTGGTACCGCCAGCCGGGAGTCGGTCTTATCGCCATCAACGACGCCTTCATGCTCGAGTCCGGCATCTATCTGATCCTCAAAAAGTACTTCCGCTCCCACCCGGCTTACGTGGATCTCATTGAGCTGTTCCATGAGACCACCTGGCAGACCGAGCTCGGTCAGCTCTGCGACCTGATCACCGCCCCCGAGGACAACGTCAACCTCGACAACTTCTCCATGGAGAAGTACATGTTCATCGTCACCTACAAGACCGCCTACTACAGCTTCTACCTGCCCGTGGCGCTCGCCCTGCACTACCTTCAGCTCGCTACGCCGCAGAACCTCCAGCAGGCGCACGACATCCTCATCCCGCTGGGCCAGTACTTCCAGGTGCAGGATGACTACCTGGATGCCTACGGTGACCCGGCCGTCATCGGCAAGATCGGTACCGACATCCAGGACAACAAGTGCTCGTGGATGGTGAACCAGGCGCTGCAGCGCTGCAGCGCTGAACAGCGCCAGGTCCTCGATGCCGCTTACGGCCGCAAGGACAACGAGCTGGAGGCCAAGGTCAAGGCGGTCTACCGCGAACTGGATCTGGAGAAGGTGTACCACGAGTACGAGGAGAAGACAGTCGGGGAGATCCGCAGCAAGATTGCGGCCATCAACGAGGCCGAGGGTCTGAAGAAGGAGGTCTTTGAGGCCTTTCTGGGCAAGATCTACAAGCGTTCCAAGTAAGCGGACGCACACGATACCCCCTTTGTCCTTTGATTGTAGCGGAAAACATCTAGTATTTTTCTTTCCAATGTAGACGCTGCATGGTCTATAGAAAGCATACGTGAGACGCGAATAGAATCATAGAACGATTCCACAAGGCTTCGCTTCCTTCCCCTTGGTTGAGGGCCACGTAGAAAATGGTTGACCGGGCGAAACCGTTGGGACAAGTGGATCGGCCGAAGGAAAAGGGGAAATTTTCTAGACAAAAAGGGACTGCATGGATCGACAACGGTGGCAGTTAGCGCAGCACCTCGCAGAGATCTAGCATCTAACTATTCTCTCTCCTGTCCTTTCTCGAATACTGCACACAGAACAAGTCTTTCTTCCTTCCCTGTGGCAATCAGCATCGTCCAGGCCAATCTACCCGAACCGTCCCCTGAACCAGCGCCCAACGAGCCGAAACCGCACGGGAAGGCAAAGAAATTACCACTTGGCAGATGGATCCATGGCCGGCGGCCCTCTAGCCTCCGATACACAGACAAAATGGCCCGTTGTTGTCCTAATCCAGCAAAGTGAGGGTCCACTTAAGACCACTCAAGAAGCTCCTGTGGCGATGCCTTTGACCGTCCCAGTCTCCTAAGGGGAAAAGGATCAGGAACACGAACACATGTGATGGAAAAAAATCCACAAAAAAAAATATTGACCCGGGGTTTGAGGGTTTTTTGGCGCGTTGTTTAAATCGCATAGAGTGCCCACTATTTTTTCTTTTCTTCTTGTAGAAGTAATAGGAACTGATAGAGAGAGAGAGAGAGAGGTGCTTCAATCGCCATGGCTACTAGTACTATGACACTGCGCAAGTCGCCCGAGGTGCAGGAGGACGAGGTATGTCCCCAGATCAGGGGAATTGGAATTGGATTGTCTGCTGGGAGTCGTTCTAATTGTGTCCCAGTCCGTCCCCAGCCTGAAAACCCTCAAGGATGCGATTCCCAAGGACTGCTTCGAGTCGTCGGTCGTCACCTCGCTCCTCTACCTAGCGCGCGACATCCTCTACTGCGCGGCGCTCACGTACGCCGCCTTTCAGATCCACCTGCTGCCCTGGCTGTCCCTGCGCGTGGCCGCCTGGACCGCATACGGCTTCCTCCAGGGCTGCGTGGGCACCGGGCTGTGGATTCTGGCGCATGAGTGCGGCCATGGCGCCTTCTCGCGCTACCAGGGCTTCAACGACTTCGTCGGCTGGGCCACGCACTCGTTCCTGATGGTGCCGTATTTCTCGTGGAAGTTCACCCATGCGCGCCACCACCGCTACACCGGCCACATGGAGAAGGACACGGTGTTTGTGCCGTGGACGGACGACCAGCTGGCGCAGAAGAAGAACGTGCGCCTCGAGCAGCTCAAGCACCTCGCCGAGGAGACCCCCATCGTCTCGTTCGTCCAGCTCGTCGCCCACCAGCTCTTCGGCTGGCAGCTGTATCTGCTGGTCAACGTCACCGCCGGCGCGAAGAGCTGCCCCGACGGCTCCGCCGAGGTGTGGCCCGCCAGTCACTTCAACCCGTTCAGCCGCCTCTTCACCTCGTCGCAGTGGATCTATATCGCTCTGTCGGACCTGGGCCTCGCCATCATGGGCGCCGTGCTGTACTACGCCGCCACGCAGATCGGCGCGTGGAACGTCGTGCTGCTGTATGTTGTGCCGTATTTCTGGGTGCACCATTGGCTGAGTATGTCTCCAACAACATCCACCGTCGCAAGGAACCCATCCGCTAACATAGTCTCAGTTGCCATTACCTACTTGCAACACACCCACCCCGCGGTGCCGCACTACACCGCCGAGACCTGGACATACACCAAGGGCGCCCTGGCGACCATCGACCGCACCACCGGCTTCATCGGCCGCCACTTCTTCCACGAGATCATCGACTACCACGTCGTGCACCACCTGTTCAGCCGCATCCCGTTCTACAAGGCCGAGCGCGCCACTAAGGCCATCCAGCCGCTGCTGGGCGAGAACTACCACGAGCAGAAGGACGAGAGCTTCCTGTACTCGCTGATGATGACGTTCCGCAAGTGCATCTATGTCTCGGACAAGGGACGCGGCATGCCCGGCGTCCTGCATTTTGTTCGCGCGGAAGAGAGCCAATAGTCGATCATGATACCCTTTTCGTTCGGAAACGATGTTTTGGTGGGCTTGTTCGGAGTGCTGTGCGCTCTTCGAGGGTTGGATCTTATTATATACGTTCACGGCCGATTGATAGAGGATAGAGTCGGTGCTATAGATCACCGGCAGATAGACTTATAGACCAATAGATGTGCATGGTGAATGGCTTAGAATGGAGGCTCCTGCTGAGCCGGTATAATCGTTCAACCGTATGACTTGAGGTACTTGACCAGGCCTACTGGCGGTATGTGTTCACAGTTACCAAAGACTTGGATGGTTCATAAACGTATCAGCTATCTGTCAATTGGGCACGTACAACACCGTTCTGCGCAGGAGGAATTGACGCGACTTGCCCGCTCGCCAACTTACTCGAGTTGGCCCTTACCATTCAGCTTCGCGGAGTAGGTGCGCTTCCAAATTTCCACCTCGCCACCTCCGTAGATCACTCCCACGCGCATAGTCGAGAGCAGGTTGTGTGCCGCATTAGAATGCTGGTAGACCCCGCCATTGAAGGTGGCGGTGGCATCCTTCCCAATGGCCGAGGAGATGAACGCTTTGCCGCCCGGGTGCTCTTGAATGAACTCGGCCACATCATAAACGACCCCGGCAATGGCGACCAGCGCTCGCCCACTAGCCGACTCGGTCTGGAACTCGTCCCATGTCATGGCGGGCAGCTGAGAAATCGGGGTGCCCCAATCGAGCTTGGACCGCCGGATATCGAGCTTCTTTTGCTCCTGCTGTAGTCGGCCCTTCTCGATTTCGTTCTGCCTGAATTGCTTCAGATCATAGGCCAGACCCAGTTGCTTCCACATCCAGATCGACCACTTTGTCGGATCATACTGCCACCACTGGATCGCATTCCGGTAATCCGAGGGGAACTCGTGATGGAAGTTATGATAGCCTTCCCCTAGTGTTACGAGAGCTGTGATAACATGATCGCGAGGCGAGTTCCGATCGTCAAACGGCTGCTCTCCTATCCAGTGGGCCAAAGAGTTGACGCAGAAGGTGGCTTGCTGGACGAAGCTCGCCCGTAGAATCCCCGCGTAGATAAAGCCACCCGCCCAGTCACCCCAACCAATGCCGCAAACCAGGGTAGGGAAGATAAGGCCCATAAAAAGCACAGCCTTGATATAGTGTCTGTGCTGCCAGATCACGATTGGGTCCTCGTTCAAATCAGTGATGTCCGCCCGCCCAATATTCTTCGGGTTTTGTTTGATGACCATCCAGCCAATGTGAGAATACCAGAAGCCCTTGCGCACGGAATAAGGGTCTTTTTCTGTGTCGGTATACCGGTGATGGGCGCGGTGCCCCCTCGACCACCATCGAATAGAACCCTGGCAGGCGCCAACGCCGACGGCCGCCAGATAGATCTTGAGAGGGGTTGACGCTCGGTATGAAGAATGCGCCCATAGACGATGGTAGCCTGTTGAGACGTTATACGTTCGTCCCTTGTCATCCATTGAAGCTATTGCTGTACATACCGGCTGTAATGCCCAACCCGGTGTTAAAGTAGTAGAGAATGGCAAAGGCCGCTGTGGCTCGCTGTAAGGGATGATGATAAGCAGCGACGAGGCCCACGAGTGGGATCACGATGATGAAGAAGACGCTTAGCCAGTTGACATGCTGGTACCAATTTCGCCATGTAACTGGCCTCTCCGTGATGTGAGGAGTTCTCGTGGAATTTGAGGCTGCCATTGAAGATCAAATTTGTGGGAATTGCATCGAGACATTCTTCTGGGCAGGAACTCATTAACATAAGGCCACAACCGTGACGGAAACTGTTGCATGATCTATTTGTTGGGTCTTGTTGGCCGGCTTCGTTGGGGTCATAGCAATGTACTATACAGACAGAGCGAAGCATTGTTGAGCATCAGCTCACATACCCTGGCGAGCCTCATCGGTCAGCAGAAGGCGCTCGTTCCCAACATCCCAACATAGACTATAACGCTCCCAATCGGATGCATTCGAGATGCGAGCTTTACATCGGTGGTGTGATTCATAGTACGGTCACTGGCGTCCCGTTGCTTTGTCATTAAGGTGGGCTGACTGGGCATTTGGCTGGTCAATATCTCAGCCTCAGACGGTTCAGCCACAGAGTACGCCCATGTGAGGCGTTCAAGTGATGAATCCTAATGGATTTGTTGACCAGATCTGTCCAACGTCTAACAGCGTCTGCAGCATCTCAAGAAGTCGATGCTCCTCCTTAATGAATGGGCTCCATAGAGCACCCCCAGGGGTCTCGCGACTCGAATAGTGACAAGCTGCTCGATCAACTGTCTGAGATCTAGAACAGGTATGTATCAGAGCAATTGGCCTCCATGGTACGGTCGCTGTCTTCGCTTGAAGGAGAAAAGTAGAGATGAGCCGGAAAGAGTGAAGCTGGAATGGATGGTCAGTTGTAAAGAGGCATGCACGTGATTTCAGCCACGAGCTTACTTCACAACATCAACTCCTTGCTCTCTATTTCCTACTCCTCTTACTCCTACTCCTACTCCCTCTCCCTACTCGTACACTTCTCCTTTGTCTACCACAGCGCCATCCCATCTACGGACTAAATCCCGTCCGGCATACGCGTCTCAGGGGGGTCCGACCCCACAACCATGGACTTTCCCGCCATTAATTCCGACGGCGCCAAGAAGCTTCGTCGTCTTTAGCAGCGTCGGTGGATCGTCAACCAACCGATTGCATGGAACTAATCATCCGCAAACTGTCATGAATCTGAACGCGTGCGCTCCTACTCCAACAGGAGAAAAATGATGGCTGCGGTTGCGGAGTAGGGCTCAGGTTCTTTTTACCATCGAGACTGATCACATCCACGTTGCGGTCTAGTCAGTTCTATCTGAACGAGGGCGAGGGAGCGTGCAGAGTGGAAACTATGGAACCTATGCCGGTCCTAATGAAGATCTTCGGCATGGCCAGGTTCTCCAGGTACCGGCTGGGATTTCGCGATTCTCGCAGAACCACTCCATGATAGGTAGTCAGGTATCTACCTTCTCTGTACTCCGTCGTACATAGCTCTCAGCCCTGTTGTGAGCCAAGATCGATGTGGATCTGGTCAGCGTGAAGCCAACACACAGCAGCGATAGCCAGTGGATCTCCGCGCGTCAGTGATAAGTGCCGGAGGACGGATTTCATTGCCCTGTGGTTATTTTATTTGGCTTTTCCCCGCGTGCTCGCGTTGATCTCTCCCCAGATCTGTCTCATCGCTGGACGCTGTCCATCCGCCGATGCTCGATATACCCAGATGAGGACCCTGCTGGGCAACTTGTTGGCCCTCGTGGTCGTAGGCCTCGCATCTGTTCGTGCCGATTTCGGGCCCTACTTCCAGTCGACCGCATACGATGAAGGGGATTACGGCGCTTGGCCAACGGAGACATATCGGACCACCCCTATCATAGGCCCGTCGCTCAATTACATCCGGTATAGCCCGGCCTGCAACGACGGCCAGTATACGCTGATTGCGCCCCGAGGCGGTAGTGTGCGGTACCCTGGGCCGATGATCATCGACTCAGACGGGCATCTCGTCTGGACCAAGTACTACGGACAAACATACAACCTCAACATATACCGCTTCAAAGGCCAGGACTATCTGACCTTCTGGGTCGGCGATGACGGCATCGTCGGCCACGGCGACGGCACCTACTACATGGTAACACCACCGCACCCGGACCCACGCCCACCCTGCTAAACCACTCGCAGCTGGACTCCTCCTACCAAGAGGCCTACACGATCCGCGGCGCGAACGGCCTCCCCGCGGACCTCCATGAGTTTCACATCACGCGCGACGAGACGGCCGTCTTCAGCATCTACGAGGTCCGGCCCGCGGACCTGCGCTCCGCCGGCGGCCCCGAGAACGGCTGGATCTGGGACGGGACGTTCCAGGAAGTCGACATCGAGACGGGGGAGCTCCTCTTCCAGTGGCGGGCGTCCGAGCACGTCAACTTCACCGACGTTTACCGCGGGTTCGAAGGCAACGGCGAGTCCGCCGACCACCCATGGGACTTCTTCCACATCAACAGCATCGACAAAGACGCCAAGGGCAACTTCCTCGTCTCCGCGCGCTACGCCAACTGCCTCACCTACATCGACGGCCGCACCGGTGCCATCCTCTGGCGCCTCGGCGGCAAACACAACGCCTTCACCGACCTCTCCGACGGCGCCGCCACCAACATCACCTGGCAGCATCACGCGCGCTTCCGCGACAATGGCACCGCGCTGACGGTCTTCGACAACGCCTCGCGCGGCGTTGGTGCTCCCGCCTACGCCTCCCGCGGCCTCTACCTCGACCTGGACACCGAGCGCATGACCGTCGCCGTCCGGCACGAGTACCGCAACCCCCACCCCATCAGCAGCCAGTCGCAGGGCTCCGTGCAGGTCCTCGACAGCGGCAACGTGCTGCTCGGCTACGGCTTCGATGCCGCCTGGACCGAGTACAGCATCGACGGCGACGTGCTCTGCCACGTGCATTTCGGCCCGGAGTCCGGCTTCGGCGATGGCAACATCATCTCCTACCGCGTCTTCAAGCACGACTGGGTGGGACTGCCTACTTCCTCCCCCGACCTCGCCGTGTACGCCTACGAAGCCGCCGTCAGCTGGAACGGCGCCACGGAGGTCGCGACCTGGGTGCTGGAGGGGACCGATGACCCGGACGCGGCCGAGAGGGCGGAGGAACCATACGACCCCTTCACCTTCTTCACTGCGCTGCCGAAATCCGGCTTCGAAACCGTCCTCCCCATCCCAGAAGACGCAGACTGTAAATACCTCCGGGTGCTCGCGCTCAACGCCACGGGGCATGTCCTCGGGTCCACGAAACTCGTCGAATGGGACCCAACCTCGCCGGAGGCAGCGGTCAGCCACGGCGACGAGGACGACACCTCGGGGCTGTCCGCGACGCAGGTGCGGTCGGTGACGTTCTTCATGGTGGGCTTCTTCTCGGCGATTGTCCTCCTCGCTGCGGGCTGGGTCGTCCGTCGCCAGCTTGCGGCGCGGCGCGCGGCTCGGCCGTCCGATGACAAGGAACGGGGGAGCTGGCGACCCCTGGACGGGTTCAATGGCGACGAGGACCTGAGCGAAGGCGAGATGAGTGATGACGGAATTGAGTTTTCGTTGATAGGGCAGGGGGTGAGTCGGATGTCGCAGTAGGTATCATGTAGTTGATAATGTATAATATGGCATAGCAGACAGTATTACGATTTTTACGAGGAACCCATGCAGATAGACAATGTATTCAGCGGAGTGCAACTAGACTAGCGAGCGCAGTCCTAAAGAGCGAATCACTCCGCAAATCAGTCAACCAAGCCCCAGCCCACCACAGCGGACAGCGTTTAAGCGGACGCAGCCTCCAGACGTCTGAATCCGCCCTCGGCGGCAACCTTCTCCTGCAGCAGCGCCATGCGCTTCTGGTCACCAAGCGGATCGGCGGACTCGCCCTCGAGCGCCCAGCCCAGGTACTCATTGGTGTAGTTCGCCTGGAAACTGGCGTCCAGAATACCCAGACGCTTGCCGTAGTTGGTGACCTTGGCCCAGTCACGGGCAACGTTCTTCAGGTCGCGGCTGAAGTAGGCGAACGAGCGCTCGAAGATCTTGCGGTTGACGGGGGTGCCCATGGCCGGCTTGACGTCGACGTAGAGCTCGTAGGCGTCGGCCGGGTTGGCGAGGACGTCGTCGGTGGCGCGCTTGACGGCGCGCAGGAAGGCGCGCACCTTGTCCGGGTTGGCGGCCAGGAAGGCGTCGTTGGCGATGTACAGGATCGAGCAGAAGCAGCAGCAGCCCAGCTCGGCGAGCTGGTCGATGCGCAGCATGCGGACGTCGTCGCGGGGACGGCCCTGCGACGCGAGCCACTCGGCCAGCTCGACCATCTGCACGTTCTCGAGACCGATGCCCGCGTCGATGTCGCCGCGGATGATCGCCTTGGTCACGTTCATGCCGCAGCGCACGGCGGTGTAGTCGTCCGCGGTCATGCCGTAGTACTTGGTGAGTTCGTCGATTTGGATCTGAGCGGGTCCCTGTTAGAGATGGTCTGGAGGTAGAGGAAGAAAGAAAGTACCTTGCCAAACTCGCCGACGTAGCCGATCCGCTTGCCCTTCAGCGAGCGGAAATCCTCGGTGATGCCGCTGTCCTTGAGGTAGACGACACCGGTGAAGGGCTCGTCGAGGAGAGAGCCGATCGAGGTGACGGGGAAGTTGCGGGCTTTGGCCTGCGCGAGTTAGTGCTGGATTGATATGGCGGGTGTGGAAAGACACGTACGGCCAGGGTGTGGATCATAGCCTTGAATCCCATGTCGACTTTGCCGCTGCCGATGATCTCGGTGACATCGGAGGGGTCGTTGGGCTCCAGCAGGGCAACCTTCAAGCCTTCATCCTTGAAGTAGCCCTTGGCCTGGGCCAGGTACAACGGGGCGTGGTAGGGCGTCGCGTGCCTTGCGCCACTTAGCCTGGATCTAACATACAAAACACGAGAAGAAGAAAAGAATACCAGTTAGTCAGGAAGGTGATCTTGTCAGTCGACATTTTGGCAGATCGGTCCGGTCAAACAAAGTCTGCAAGGTGTTAGCAGAGAGACGAATCTCTCGTCTCTTCGACAAGGGGAAAGGTAACAGTCAATGCCACGCATGTCCTTTCGCTAGTATTATCTAGATCAAGTTATGACAGTATAATCTCAGAACGACCGTCTCTCTGAAGGTTCAGATCGACGGCCGAACACCTGTCATGCGCGAGCTGACTGTTATACTATGTACGATACCTTGATCCTGAGGCCATAGCGAAAGACCCGAGGGGTGGACGGACTGCACCCGCATGTCGTACCAGTTAGTAAAGCTGGTTTGAATCGATGGATGGTCGTGTGGATCGAAGTTGGTGAAAGGGTCAGACGGCGACGGAGGGACAGAGGGTCTGGGAGATTTATAGCAAGAAACCCGTGCGGATGTCATCACCGGGTCCAAACCTGCTGTTTTCGTCTCACCGGATGGCACGAAAACCCCTGCTGGGTCTTATTGGCGTGGACGGTGGTCGAGTGAACTCTATGCGGGTGTCCCTCATCACGACGACTCTTGCTATTGCTCATCCCCGCTCCGCCCGACCCGCAGCGAAGCCCGAGACGGACCGCATCACTCCGTGCAGGCCGCGGGGATGAGTTGTTGCGTCTCCATTGGAAGAAGCTGGCCAGGATGGAGGAGGGTTACAAGGGGCAGCATACAACAGAATGATGTCAATTGGTCGTGGTGCAATGCAGCAACTTGGACGCTAACGTCTCCCCCGCCAGGGATCAATAGTATTCATCTGGCACCATCACAGCAAAATGCAGCAAAGAAACAACACAACGGCTATGAGAAACCATGAGAAATGCAACAATAATCGAACAAGAGAAACGGTCAAATGCAGAGGGGTTAGTTAATCACACGGTGCTTTAGATAATCCAAAAGCACAGAATATATATCGTCGAAACTGCGAGAAGCTTGGGCCAGTTGGCGTCACCGTGCACATCTGTCGATCAGCGCCCGCCATTAACCGATATGCGGTCCAGTGGTGACGACGGCCGATCGGACGATTTCTTCATGCGCAACGTCAGTGGAAACAGGTGGTCATCCGACTCTTCTTCCTCGCTGGTCCTGCGCAAATTAGCATCGTTGCTTGCGAGAGATACTCGGCGAGACCTACGGCAGCCGCCATGCAATGTAATCCTCCGTGCTCAGTCCTTCTTTCACTTCCTGGAGCGAGGCAAAATCTCCCGGGGTCATCATGCCCGAGCGATCTCTCGGGGAGCCAGGCACAGACAGTGGGCGCGAGATCTTCTGTTCGGTACCGCCGATAATATCGTAAAAGTCCTCTGTGCCGTCAAACGACGAGGGATACGCTGCGAAATGATTAGTATTATTTTATCCATCGAAAAGAAATGGGAAGAGGGAAATACCGCGCCGGAGTGCCAGCTGGCGAGCTTTGACATATTCCAGTCCCATACGCTTCCAGTCGAGAAGATCGCTCAGTCGCTCCGTGCGGTTTCGCTGGTTGATACGCTGTCGGCGACTCTTCTGCACAAATTGGTACATGAATTCGGTCAGCTGGTTCACAGAATCGTCCACCCCCTTCATCCGACGATCCACAATATAGATTCCGTAGTCGGACGAGTTCTCGATGAGCTCCTCCATGTAACATCCAAAACCGGAGAGATTGGTCGTGATGCTGGGAACCCCCATCACCGTACATTCGGCGGGCGTGTATCCCCACGGCTCATAGTAGGACGGGAAGACTCCCAGGTGCGTGCCACGAACAAAGTCATCGTAGTCCAGCGGCAGCACGGGGTTGGAGGAGTTCAGGAACTCCGGGTGGAAGACAATCTTCACGCGGTCCGACGAATGGTTGAAGAGCTGCACGCGACGGATCTGGTTCAAGATCGGATCTTCTGAATCGTTGACCATGTTATGGGTGACAATGGGCGGCAGCGTGTGTCGCTTCATCGCGAACAGGCGCCGACGGAGTAGCACGCGATCTTGACTGGCCATCAGGTCCTTCTCGTCCGGCATGTTCTCGCCCTCCTTCCACGCGAGACACCGCTCGTACATTCTCTTTCCGATGCCCTTCTCGATGATCTCGATTGTGTCCCGCAACGACTTCACGACGGCCTGTCCCTTGAGAGCCTCCACAGCCAGGGACGTCGTCTGTGCGGGCATGATGATGAAGGCCACCACCGTCGTCTTCGACCCACTGGACTTGAGCCGATGGTTCAGGCGGGCCAGACCCTCGATGAACATGTCCACGCCTTTGTTCCGGAACTCGTACCGACCCGCCGTGAAGACGTAGAGGGTGTTATCCAGGTCGAAGTCATTATGGCCGTAGAAGTGTCCGCGCACAAAGTCGTTGATTTTCTCCTTAGACTGCGAGTGGAGATTCTGGAACTCGTGCACAGCGGAGAACTTTTTAACGTTCAGCCCGTTGGGCAGTACGCCGTCGGGCTTGCGTTTGAGCAAATGTTCGCTTTCGAACGCGGTGATATGGGAGACGGTGGTAAACACGTCGGCAGAGTGGGCAGCCGCGCGTTCGATGCAGTATCGGTGATAGATGCCTCGTTTACCGGCTTCGGCGTCGACATCAAAGTACTGGAGGTTGTTGTAGAAGTCGACGGAACCGGCACAGAGATAGCGACCGAGAAGAGTCGCATGGGTGGTGAAAATGGTGGTCAGGTCCATGTGGCGCTTCTTCGTCAAGGGGAGGGCCACTCCGGCGAGCCATTCGTGGAAATGAGCGACCACGGCACGACGACGCTCGTGGGCGATGAACTAGACGAGATTAGCGGAGCGCACGTTACTGGTGTTCTCGTCGATCGTACCTCACCCAGGAACCAGGCGACCAAGTACCCAAAGACGATCGCTTCGTTGGTCTCGGTATCCGCTGCGGGGGAGGGGATACCGGCGAGGTTCCAGAGATCGCCTTTCCACTCATCCAGATACTTGTAACCAGTGCCGGTGTCGATCAGAAGCACGCGGGGAGCGCCCTCGATCAGCCAGCGGCCGTAGACAATATCAATCCCGCGCTCCTTCATGGATTGGATGGTCTCGAGCATGCGAGGGTTAGAGGGGGTCAATTCTTCGACCTCCACCGCCGCGGAGGCGCGGTTGAGAGGCCCGATGAGGGTGTATCGGTCGCCATACTCGGCGGTGGTGACGGGAGCTTTGGACTTGAGCACGGAGTAGATACCTCCGACGCGGTTGGCGACTTCGGTGGCAATTTCGAACAGCATGTGGTTGCGCACATCGCGCTTAGGGGGATCGGACTCGTTCTCGTCCGCAGGCATGGTGAATGGGGAGGGAGAATCGAAGCTCGTGTGGAAGTGAGGGGAACTCAGGGAAGTCGGGAGTGGCAGTGATTAGAACGAGGGAAGGGGGAAAAAAGTCAGAGAGACACGGGAGCGACAAAGACGTGAGGATGAACGAAGAAGGAATTGGAAAACGACATGGATCTGGGGGGCGTTTGGGGCTAATGCGGTGGTGGTGCAGGGAGTCAAGCGCGAGGAGGAGCTCGTGCGGAGAGGCTGGCAGCGGGTGGCGGGAGAAAGAACCGGTTTTGTACCTTTTTGGTTTTTTCTTCTTTTTCTTCCTCTCGCTCTGTTCAAGTATTTCTATATTTCTTTTTATATAGATTGATCCATTGCTTAATATTCTCTCAGAATCAATTCAGTGAGACAGCCCGAGGAGATGCAAGCACGATAGTGCTGTAGCACAGACCGTCATCGCCCCGTCTCTCTCTCCACAATAATACGACCCGGTCGCTCAGGTGATCTGGTGAGTCCAGGGTCTTTCACCGGGCCAGACTGCTACTGATCCGGTGGTGGATAAACGTGGTGGAGGACTACTGCATTCGGATGTTGTGTCTGGAGGTACTCCCATTGATTGTAGGAAGGATTATCTACGGTATATATAAGATTCTATGGAATACAGTATGTAATAGATGCATGATGCTAAATACTTAAAAGGTAATATCAGCATCACTGATATTACTCCGTACTAGTACAGTATTGTACAGCAGATAAAGCTGCCCGTGGGGAAGCTCCATGATGACGTCATCTCCATCCAACCCTAAACGGCAGCTGCTTCACAACTACCATATAAGACTACACAACCACCTGTACAACGACTATACAGATCTATCCTCAACTATCCAGCATATCCATACTGTCAACGCATGACAAAATGCCACGTGGTATCTCCTGCGGTTTACGGAACTTGTAGCACACTCCTCGACTCCGAATCCAATCCTCGTTATACACAGTAATGCACATCGAGTGTCGGCTTCATTTGCAATATAAATACGCCGTCGAACTCGTCAAAATGGTGCAAAATCCTCGTCCTCGTAGACGCACCTCTTGCAATGGCCTTCAAATCCAGTGCGAGAGCCGCTGGCCATCGCCTTCAGTCTCTCTGGCGCTCCCTGCGACAACAAGTCCCCATCTCCATCCGCATCCACATTTACCGTCGCGGATCTGCAGAGTACAATGGCGTCTCTAAGAACGCCGTCTCGACTCCCATGGATACAGACCACCTGCGCGACTCTCATACCCAGACGCACCGTCTCGTCGTGACGAATCCAGATCCAGCGCCAGCCTTTGTCCACGAACCCGCAGAGCCAGCACCTGAGCCGCGTCGCATGTCTCCGTCGACCGTGCAACTGGCGCATCTACTCATGGATACTGACTACCTCACGCCCCAGCATGAAGAGCAGCTACGTCTTATTCTGCAGGCTGGCTACGCGGCGCAGGACGCCCGCCCAATGCGTTATTCTCCTTCTGACGAGCTCTTCTTTGACGTCTAGACATAGACAATACACTAGACGTCTCCATTATCACCTCTCGTAGATTCGCATCCCATACAAAGAAAGCCGTAGATCTATAGGTCCTCTAAGTCAACGCCACCATCTTCCCAACCACCTCATCCTCCATCCATGACAGCTGCACAACCTCCTCCATGCGCAGCACTCTGCCCACGCCAATCTTCAATCGCCCATCTTCCACCATCCGCACCATCTCCGCCAACGGCGTGCGCATAAACTCCTCCTCCGACCCCGAGTACGCCGTCAGCCTCGTCTCCGACGGAATCAGCTCCATCACATCAACCCTTGCCACACTCCCCTCCTCCCCGCCCACCGTCCCCGCCAGACACACCGTCCCGCCCTTCCGCGCACACCGCAGCGAATCCCGCAGCGTGCGCGCGCCCACCAGCTCCAACACCTTGTCAAACCCGTCCACGCCCCTCCGCCGCATCTGCGTCGCCACCTCCCCGTTGTCAATCCACACCTCGCGCGCCCCAGCCTCGCGCAGCACGCCCGCGCGCTCAGTCTGCCGCGTCGTCGCCGCTACAAACGCCCCGTGCGTCATCGCGATCGCGATCGCGGCCAGTCCGACCGTCGTCGTTCCGCCCCGGACAAGCACGCGCTCGCCCGCTCGCAGCGCCAGCCCGCGGATCACTGCACCCCACGCGGTGGGGAGTAGCGTCGGCAGTGCACCGAGTACTTCCCAGCGTATCTCGTCCCCATCTGCTCCGCGGCGCGGTCGACGGAGAATATGCACCTGCCGCGCTGGGACGCAGGTATATTCTGCGTATGCGCCGTCAAACGACCGCCCCATCCCACTTCCTGCGGTGGCGACCACGCTTCCGCGCGGAAATGTCTGTTCCAAAGCTGCGCTGCCTGCCGCGTCGACGACGCCGACGGCTTCGCTGCCTGGGATACGGGATGGGTGCGCGGATGCGGGGTGTTGGTCTGCACGGGGACGCAGGTCGCCGCGGTTGAGGCCGAAGGCGTGCACGCGGATGCGGATGCTATCGGCGGCGGGTGTCGGGAGAGGTACGGTTTTGAGGCGGAGGTGTGGGTGGTAGTCGGGGGGTTCGGGGTTGAGGATGATTGCTTTCATTGTTTTCATTGCGTGGGTTGGGGTTGGTTCAGGTTATGGTGGTTGTTTGGTGGTCGATGGGCCTGAGGTTAAGGTGGTGAGGGGCTGCTGCATGCAGGTACTTGCAGATACATGTGAGCTTTGTATGTCTATTAAGTAGCACTGTGTCAGTGTCGACTGTGCTGAGATGGTGGTGGTGTGTCGTTCATAGTTGAAGGATCTAGAGCCTGTGGTTATGATTGGACGTAGATAGGAGTAGTAAACCTGATAGATTGATTATCTAGGGGCTGATTGCTATGCTGAACATAGGAATAGAGGATAAAATAAGAATTAACAGAATGTTGAATGGGAGGGTAACTAGGGAAGTACTGGTCTCGGTATATCGTGTACCTAGATGGAATGTACTCCATAGTGCAGCTGCGGTTACAGTCCGCCACCCTTTGACGACCACACTCCACACATTCCAATTCTACCAAGGCATGTACCTGAACGGCGACGATACTATCACTTTTTTCCCTACAGCTCCATCTCCATACTAGGATTCAAGGTACAACAATCACATCTAGACCACAGTATAGGGCCCGGCAGATGAGGTCATCTACTCCACAATGACTTCACCATGCGGTCAGCTCGCCCGCTCAACCAGGCATACATGGACCATGACGCTCTCCATGTCATCACGAGCTCTCTATAAATACGTCCTCACCTAGCACCTCGACATCGAAAACAGCACCAACCTCCAATCCAACTACTACCACAAACAATCAATCACCTTAACCAATTCACACCTCACAAACATCACCATGCCTCGCGGAGCGGAATACGACGACGGTATCCCCCACAGCGACAACGCCATCGAAGCCGGCGAGACCAAGATCCACGGCACCAACCCAGACGTACGTTACGTTCTTTGCACCCCTCGCGTACGACCACCGCTAATACCATGCAGAATGCCGGTCTCAACCGCCTGAACAAGGTCGCCGATCTCCCCGACGCGGACTTCCACCCGGCCGGCCAGGTCTACAGCGGCTATGGAAGCTTTGGCAAGACGTCCTCCGGTAGCGGCAAGGGTGGCCATGAGCCGCACTCGTTAGGCGAGCACAAGGGCACCGGTGCGCACAAGGGAACCGGATTGGAGTAAAGTTGCATCATCGGTCATGGTTATGATATGGGTTCATTAGCGGAGTTCGTCCGGGTTATGGTGTACATTAGGAGCCCTTGGTAGGGCAATGTCTCAATGAATCAGCCGATTCAAATTCCATCAAGGTCTCGATTCTATAGTGTAAATAATGCTGTGCAGTCCGAGACAGCAAGTCAGCAATCGCTAAATGGCTATACAACCCCTCTAACGCAAGAAATGTAGGCAACATCCCGCTCAATGTGTATCATGCGGCAGTGCTGTCGCTCGTCTCGGCCGGGCCTTTGGAATCAGCCTCAGCAGGAGCAGCTTCCGTCGCTGCGATGTTCTTCTGTCGAACCAACTCAAGAAGACGTTCTCCCAGGTCCCCAAATCCGTCGATCTTGCTCAGCTTAGACTGGAAATGTTCGGCGTCCCGTTGCAACCTGTTCACGTTAGTAGCCGCAAAGAACTCGAGTGAGAACGCCATACCTCTCCTTGCCTGCCTCTGTATCAACAGACACCTCCTCGAATGCCTTGGTCCATTGTTCTCGATACGTCCGGAACACGGGATCCATGATCATCGAGACGGTCATCTCAGGGAGATGCTTGCTCAGAACCCGATGCAGCGTTCCAGTCTCCTTCGTGAGCGTCTCCATGTAAGGATTGACGGCCGTATTCCCATTAGCATCCCAGTCAATCTTCTTCATGGCATTGACATGCACGGTGGAGCGCGAGCTCATAATGTCAACCAGCTTCTCGTGAATCCCGGATTGGTGCTCCTGGAACAATCTTTTCACCTTGTCAAAGTCACCCAGCAATGAGCTAGACGGCGCATGTCGGCGGACGAATTCCCGGATATAAGGGACCAACGCAATCACAAAGCTCAGAGCCTGCGACGACAGCGCGAGATGCTTGGTCGTGATGTTCTTGAGACCTGCACTCCGGGTGGCCCCAGCGCCGAGAATTAACTGAGAAGATCGGGAGTTGAACAATTTCAACGTTTCCAGAAGACCAGGTGCAATATCCTGAATCATGTTGGGAATATTGGCCATGAGGAACTGGAATTCCTCGATAGTCCTCATCATAGCCATGGCGGATTCTGAGAGAATGTACTTCTGCTCGTCGATCTCCGCACTGCGGACCTTCTCCTTCCCTGACCCGTTCACAAGAGACTGCTCCGACGAGTTCTTGTGGTTGCTATCCTTGGCCATCCAGATCTTCGAGGCATCTACCCACGACTCAATATCCTTCGTGCTGGCGTCAAGGATCCGTTTCAAGATGGCATCCTCAGCCTCGCCAAAGTCTTTCGCATCCCATCGGTCCGCGTCCATAACTTGGATGATTCGGTGTCGTTGAGTATCGCCAAAACGATTGATATAGTCCCGGATGTGATTGCCCACTAACGTCTTCAAGGCTGTCCCGCTCCGCCCAGAGATGGCTTCACATTCGTCCGCAAAGAGACGGTTGAGGGTGAAGTACTTGACAAATTCCTCTTTCGTCAGAGAAGATGTCTGCTCCGAGCGCACTTTCAAAACTTTGTTCACCTGCTGCTGAGCGGTATCAACCGCCATTCCAAGCAGACTCGACATATCCAGCACCTGTAAGATCTCGTCTTGAGCAAGTACAGTAGCGGCAGCTCGTCGATCGGAGCCACCTTGGGGGTCGGGGCTGGACTTGCTGCCAGCCGGCGGCGGGGTTCCCAGGCCACTGGCGATATCAAGAAGAACCTTGACCTGAACGCTCAGTCTCCGTAACGCCTCGCTAATGCCAGCGTATACCTGTGCAAGCATGTTATATGCATCCTCAGCGTCTAAAGCGCGAAGGTTCCGGGCAAGAATTGATGATTTCTCCTGCTGGCTACGTTGTTGGGATCGATGTGTGGCAACGGAGACCATCGACTCATTATCGTCATCGCTGGAGCTCGGCATATGCTTCCGAATCAGGCCCTTCATTTCACGAATGACGGCCGACTTGAAGGCGGTCGCAGCGGGTGTCGTATGGCGCGCACGGGCGAGGCCAGCAAGGTGTAAATGCAATTGCGACCGCAGTTGGTCGTCAAAATTCATATATGCAGGCGTCGACGCCGCGCCAGTGCGCGGAGCGCCGCGTTGCCGTTGGAAGGAAGAACCCCATCGCTGTAAAGTAGCATCCAGAGGCACATTCTCTACATGCTGTCGCAAGTCACCGAGAAGATCACTCAAGAATCGGGTTTCGTAGCCAACCCCGATTCGATTTCGGAGCTGAGCCAGATCATCAGCTGCTCCGTCGAGAGCTTTGAGCCGTCGCAAGTCGATCGGCCGCCGCGGGTGCTCTTGCGATTCATCGGCGTCTCCAGAACTAGCCAGCGTATGCTCTCCAGCCATAAGCTTCTCCACCTCCTCCAGCCCATCTGCAGCCTCCTCGATGTTCCCGTTGTCGACCAACTCTTCGCACCGCGAGACCGACTGGACCACGTCCAGAAGCTGAGATACCGCATCCGCAAGCATTCGCACATTCTCTCTGCGGCGCCGCAAGTTAACTATCTTCAGTCCACCGAGAGCCATTTCACGATCGATCTTCTGGAGGTCTTTCCGCAACACTTGGATCCGCTTCACCGAGTCTGCAGCTTCGGAATGCAGTTCGCGCAGCGACCCCAATGCCGTGAAGAATGACTTGGACGCTGTTGAGATTGACGAGATAAGATGGATCTCCACTGTATCCATGTACCATGAGAGTTTCTCTTGCAGGATCGCATTCGTGGCGAGAGCTTTCCTCCCCTGCGCGGGCTCTACCACCGTTCCATTCTCCGTTTGTCCATCCTTGGCTGGTATCTTCGGCGGCGTGACAACTTCTGACTTCTCAGACACCACATCGAATGTCCGCGGGTTCTCGAGATGGAAATCATCCTCGAAATATACCGGAGGGATGGTGGACAGCGGGGTGACGCCATGGCCGCGGCCGCGACCCGAAGAGCGCTTTCGACCTCTCGTGTCATACGGTGAACTTGCGCGGGAACTGGTAGATATCGCCGAGGGTCGCCGCTCCATAGGCCGGGGCATCAACGTATCATTCTCCTCTGGTCGAGGGGAGGTTTTACCACCGCCCCGCGCCAGCTGCGCTTCCTGATCTCCCGTCCCTTCCTTTGCCTGTTGGAAAACATCGTACAGAGAGCCAACCTGGGACAAATACGGTTCGAAAGCTTTTGGATCAACTCGAGGAATGTTGGTCAGCGTGACCGGGGGGATGTCGCGCGAGCTTGGGGGTTTGTATCCGGAGGTGGTTACGGCACTGTGGGGAACGAGTCCAGTGCGGACAATTGGAGGCTGGAGAAGTGTCGAAATAGCTATAGTCGGTCAGCATCAACAACGCATAGCTTCGTATAAAAAGGAATGCGTACCATTCTGTCCGGACTCGGCGATTGACCCATGACGGGACGACGAGTCGAGGATCCCTCCAATGCTCACAATGGAACTTGCGGTCGAACCCCGTCTCAGGGGGTATCTCTGGGGCGGTACCCGGGGAGATTCAATCTGATTGAACGAATACTGAGATAAGGACGGTGTAGAAGCGCCCGAGGCAAGACTATCGATTGACTTCCGAGGGCTCACAGAGGACATCTCGTTGATGCCAGACAGGCGACTCTGACGGCCACCGTGCAGTTCGGGAGGACTTTATCTGAACATGACAAGTGGACAACTGGAGGATGTCTGCGTTGCGCGAACTGTGGCACAGTACAAAGCGTTACCAATGGAAGCTAGTAGTAGCAATATAGGATCGGAAGAAAGGGACGAGGTGAAAGGCGCGGAACGAGTGGAGGAACCCAGTACAGTCCATCTGATACGGGGGGATTCTCGTCTTCCTGCCATGACAGCTCCGCCCGATCAGGTAAGGCGTCGAGGCCGGAGGACCACCTGCGCTAATCCGAATGGGGTTCTCGGATCCTCATTTCTCCGAAGCCTTGTTTGCTGCCTTATTCCTGAGGCGGAAACCACTTAACGCGTGTGTGCGACGCGACGCGTTGCGTTCGTGTTGCCGCCGCCGCAAAAGTTCCAACTTCCAAAGGGAGCGCATACACTGCATTCTCCACGATCCTCCAACGTCTTTCCACGACACCCCTCTCCCCTTATATTCTCAATTGCGGTCTTCGCCATGGATAGACGCACTCCGTATACGTTGAGCGTTCTCGCTCCGAGCACTGATGGCGCTGAAGAATCCCGCACACAGATCCAAGCAAGACTTCGAGATTTCGTTCTAGAGTTCCAGCTGGATAATGCGTTCATCTACCGGTATGCCGATTCCGGAACTCTCTGGTTGATTTGAAAGGAACGATGTTGACTTGATATCAGTGACCAACTCCGTCAGAATGTCCTTGTCAAGCAGTACTACTGTGACATTGACATCGCCCACCTTATTTCTTACAACGAGGAATTGGCACACAAACTCACCACCGAACCTGCCGACATCATTCCTCTGGTCAGTTCCAGCTATTGTACTCCATTTTGTATCATTCTAACCACCACCTCAGTTCGAGGCCGCCCTGAAACAATGCACACAGAGAATCGTCTATCCCTCTCAGCGGGACATTGCCCTTCCTCCGCATCAACTTCTCCTTCACTCCTCGGCAACACACATCTCTATTCGCGATCTCAACGCCACCAACATCTCTCACCTCGTCCGTATTCCTGGTATTGTCATTGGCGCGTCGACGATATCGTCCAAGGCCACGGTGGTTCACATTCGCTGCAAGAGCTGCGACCACAGTGACAACATTACCGTCGAAGGCGGCTTTGCAGGACTGACCCTGCCCCGGAGGTGTGGTCGTGAAAAGCAACCCGGTGATGCTCCACAAGATGCGCAATGTCCCTTGGACCCCTACGTAATCTCTCACGAGAAGTGCCAATTTGTCGATCAGCAAGTCCTGAAGCTGCAGGAAGCTCCAGACCAGGTCCCCGTGGGTGAACTTCCTCGCCACGTTCTCATCTCGGCGGACCGCTATCTGGCCAACCGAGTCGTCCCTGGTTCGCGCTGCACCGTTATGGGCATCTTCTCCATCTACCAGGCTCGTGGTGGCAAGAAAGATGGCGCGGTGGCCCTCCGTAACCCCTACCTGCGCGCCGTCGGAATCAGCTCTGATCTGGACCACACCGCCAAGGGCAGCGCCATCTTCTCGGAAGAGGAAGAACAGGAGTTCTTAGAGCTCAGCCGTCGGCCGGACCTTTACGATGCCCTCGCCCGCAGCATTGCTCCGTCCATCTACGGTAACCTTGACATTAAGAAGGCCATCGTCTGTCTGCTTATGGGCGGCTCCAAGAAGATTCTCCCCGATGGAATGAAACTTCGTGGAGACATCAACGTCCTGCTACTGGGTGACCCCGGTACGGCCAAGTCCCAGCTACTCAAGTTCACCGAGAAGGTGTCTCCCATCGCCATCTACACGTCCGGTAAGGGTTCGTCCGCGGCTGGTTTGACGGCTTCCGTCCAACGTGATCACACGACGCGTGAGTTCTACCTGGAAGGAGGAGCGATGGTTCTCGCCGACGGCGGAGTGGTCTGCATTGACGAGTTCGACAAAATGCGAGACGAGGACCGCGTCGCCATTCACGAAGCCATGGAACAACAGACCATCTCGATCGCCAAGGCAGGTATCACCACTATCCTCAACTCCCGAACGTCCGTCTTGGCTGCGGCGAACCCGATCTACGGGCGTTACGATGACCTGAAAACCCCCGGTGAGAACATCGACTTCCAGACCACCATCTTGTCTCGTTTCGATATGATCTTCGTCGTTCGCGACGACCACGAACGCAGCCGCGACGAGCGCATCGCCCGCCACGTCATGGGCGTGCACATGGGTGGACGAGGCGCGGAAGAGCAAGTCGAGGCGGAGATTCCACTCGAGAAGATGAAGCGGTACATCAGCTACTGCCGCACGTAAGTTTTCCAAACTACCTGTTAACAGCACCCAAACTAATTCGTTCTCCACAGCCGCTGTGCACCCCGTCTGTCCGACGAGGCTGCCGAAAAGCTCTCTTCGCACTTCGTCTCGATCAGAAAGCAGGTCCACCGCGCCGAACTCGACGCCAACACACGCTCATCCATCCCTATCACCGTCCGTCAGCTCGAAGCCATCGTCCGTATTACGGAATCCCTGGCTAAGCTGAGTCTGTCGCCGATTGCCACGACTGCCCATGTGGACGAAGCCATTCGCCTCTTCCTGGCTTCCACGATGGACGCCATCACGCAAGGCGAGGGCCAGGGCAGCAAGGAGCTGATGGAAGAAGTCAGCAAGATCGAAGACGAGCTGAAGCGTCGTCTCCCCATCGGCTGGAGCACCAGTCTGGCCACGCTGCGCCGCGAGTTCGTCGACGGACGAGGCTACACCGAGCAAGCGCTGAACCGGGCGTTGATTGTCCTCCAGCGACGGGATACTGTGCAGATCCGGTCCGGCGGTTCACAGGTGTACCGAAATGGAGTGTAGGTTGATTTGATGGTGATGTCATAGTAACGAATGATGGTGCTGTGGTTTTGTCTGCTTTCGGGCATGCACGATGTCTTTCACGGATTGGGACAACATGGGGTATGGAGTATGGAGTTGGATTTAGCCTATAATACATAGAAATGAACTGACATGTAATATTTACAGTGAAGATCCTCCCGGTAGATCGCCTCCTGTCTCTGACAGGCTACATTATAAGTGATCGGCTCCCACCATCAACACAGTCCCATCAACGCTCTGCTCCATATCACGGGCTGTCAGATGCGCCTGGAGTCTGGTCGCCGTCTTGGCTAGAAGATCTGCTTCCTTGTGCCCCGGGATCGGCGGGTTCATATGCGCTGGAGCCCAGTGGATCTCGACTTGTACGCCCATGTTTCGCATCTGCTGCGAGCGACGCATCACCTGTTTAACAAGGTGGACTGTGGTCGACAGCAGCGACCCTGCACCTGTCGGGTTTGGCCAGCTCCCGAGCAAGTCCAGGCAGTGCTTACAGTCTGTGAAAACTGTGACGGCTGTAGTCGAGCTCCTCTCCAGGGTACTAGACGAAGCTTGAGACGACGGACTCGACGGCGGAGACGGCTGGGAGGACGCCGATGAGCACGGTGTCGTATCTGCTTCGAAGACAGCCACTTTCAACGCAGCCCCGATAGCAAACAGCTCCAACTCCCGGCTCTCATGGAGGCCGCTCACGGCATAGCCCCGATAGGCCCATTCCCTCTCCCTAGGATCCGGTCGGTATACCACGGCCGCGCCAGCCCCGTCCTCGCTATAGGAACCATCAGCCCAGAACACTCGCGTGGACTGGTCCGGTGCCGTATAGATCGACGTGGCAAACTTGTAGGCGTCTGACCGGGCGCGCATGATGAGCCGTCCGCAGAAGCTATCCTGTCCCGGCGGTGCGCTGAACAGCCGCGTGGGCTGTTGGGCGACTTGATCTGGCCTGCGCCTGCCCAGTTTCACTCGTTGCCTTTTCTCCTTGGCTTCTTGCTTTCTGCGGCCAGCGCTTGGGCTCTCCGGGGACTGCTTTGTTTGGTTTTTGACCTGCGGTGTGCTGGAGTCAGTGTCCGTGTCCTCGGCCTCGGACTTTCTCTTGCGGATATTTGCCGTGGGAGTGGTCTCAGATGAGGGATTCATTATTTCTAGCAGTGTATATAGTGTGAGGTTTATAGAGAACGCCGGTGTTGAGCGGGGAATGAGCGATATAAGTGTAGAGAGTGGGAGAAAGAAAGAGCGACGCGGTGCTGGTTGGGCTTTTTCTACTGTTGTAGGCAACTGTATGTTACTTCATCGACGTAATAACCCTTTGTCTGTCTGTTGGGTGCTTGTAGGCAGGTGATGCTGTTGGAGCATCGCTGTCATACTTCCGTCAGGGAGGTGCCTGCCTCCCAGTGTTCAGCATACACGACCAGCTTTGATGAGCATGTACAGATAATGGAGATTGTGTGTTTAAGGACGCTGTACCTGATTGCAATTACTAGGACAAGTAGAGTGATGACCTGAATCTCACTTATGAAGGTACCAGTGACTCTGATCTATACGGGGATTCAATGACGAGGAAGAGGATACTGCACTATTGAATGATTATCCAAGCTATATCTCAGTCCCTGCATTAGTCCAGGTATTCATTCGTTATTGGTTGGAGAATTAACGAGGCGTACTATGTCTCTCGATGATTAATGTATGAGCTAAAGGTACTACACTACAGTTACAAGTCTCAGACAGGACATACTAAGGTAGTATATGCACACTTCCATGCAAATTGCGCCTTATCTCGTGTATATGCATCTGCCCAACAGTCCGTATCAACAACTTCAGTTTTCTTCACTTGTATACACATTCCACCACCCGTCCCCATGGCTTTGGCTGTCGCTTTTGTCACCGGTTCCGACCAAGGACTGGGCTTCGGGCTGGTGAAGCAGTTTGTGGCCCATCTAAACTCCGTAAGCGACTACAAGTTAACAAGATCTGACTGAAGCTGATCAAGTACTCGCAGCTTGTCATGGCGGCGGTCCGTAATCCCACACACCCATTCGCCCAGGATCTATCACAACTAACTACGGCGGAGAGCAACAGCATTATTGTCGTCGAGCACGGCGCCAGTATTGAGCAGTCCGTCTTTGATGCTGTCAACAAGGTCACCAACAGGAGCATAGAGCATATCGACTACGTCGTTGCCAATGCAGATATCACCAAAAGGTGTCCCCTTGTGAAAAGATGTCAAGCGCGCCGACATCCTCGAGCACTTTGTCTCTATTGTCCACTCTACAGGCGGTATGGTTGCTATGATTACCAAGGGAAAGTTGTCCACTACACTGGTGATGGTCAAGAATTGTAAATTATTCACTGAACATATGGAGTATGGGCCCAGTATTTCATAGTGCCTACCTGGGAGCTACGGAGTAGGTACCAGGACGAAGTATATCTAGTTGGCTGCTCGGTAAGCCCACCCCAGACATGGGCTCTAGTAAATCAATTCCACATAGTGACATTTATATATTTCCGCTCCAATTCTAGACCAAGGCAATTTTAATCATCAATTAACTAATTCCACTATAGTATTATCCAAGTAGCGAGACATACAAACCATCAAGTAATGCCAACCGTAAAGCCGAAGCCGAAGCTGGCCGGAAGACTCTCCGCCGCGGCGCCGATTACGTTACGTCGGTCCATCTTCTACACTCTACCGAGTATACTCCCTCCAACAGATATTCCAACCCTTCCCTCGCCTTTCCGCCATTTACTCACTCGACTCTAATTCTACTCAAGGTAGCCTAGCAGCCCTATCAATTCTCTCGCCACCCAATTGACCAGTCTACAGGCAATCATCTTACCCCACCTCCACTACCCCGCGATCAACACAATGGCACCCACCATCCGGGTCATCGGCTCCCTCAACGTCGACATGGTGTCGGTGACACCACGGTTCCCCGAACCCGGCGAGACCATCACCTCCTCGTCGTACTTCATCAGCGCCGGCGGCAAGGGCGCCAACCAAGCGGTGGCCTGCGGGCGACTCTCGCGGCCACAATCCGGTACCGCGCCGACCAGCCCAGTCACAGTAGAGATGGTCGGGGCAGTTGGCGGACGCGACGGACACTTTGACGCACTCCTGAAGCCCACGCTGGAACAGTCGGGCGTCGGCACGGCGCGCGTGCGGATCGTCCCGGACGCATACACAGGAGTGGCAGTGATCGTGGTGGACTCATCGGCAGGCGGGGAGAACCGCATCCTGTTCTCGCCGGGCGCCAACTACCAGGGGATGCAGGAGACGGCAGACGTCGTAGGGATGGGGCTGGCGGCGCCGGTGCCGGACGTGATCGTCATGCAGGGCGAGATCCCGACAGACACGACGGTGGCTATTCTGCGCGAGCTGGCGGCGTGGAAGGCGAAGAACCGGGCGGCGGGCGTGCGCGGCATCGAGGCCGGCCCGGACGTCATGCTCAACCCGGCGCCGGCGCCGCCGGGCGGGCTCCCGGCCGACGTGTATGCGGCTGTCGACCATCTCATCATGAACGAGACCGAGGCGGAGCTGATGACGCCGCCGCCGGAGCTGCTGCTGCAGACGGTGCCGGAGGCGCAGGGGCAGACGGGGCATGAGGCCGTCGCGCGGTACTTCCACCGACTGGGGGTGACGTATGTGCTCATCACGCTGGGATCCAAGGGTGTCTGGTATAGCGCGACGGATGCGGGCTCGTCGGGCCCAGCGGACGGGGTGCACCGGTTCACGAATCAGAACCCCGCCGCGCCGGTCAGCCGGGTGCTGGACACCACGGCGGCGGGCGATACGTTCGTGGGCGGGTATGCGGTGGAAGTGGCCCGGTGGCGCGAGCGTCGGCGGAAGGACGGCCTGGCTGGACGCGATGTGACGACAGAGGAGAAGGCAGATCGGTACCAGCGGGTGATGGATGCAGCGATGGGATTGGCGGCGCGGGCGGCGGCACGGTGTGTCGAGCGACAGGGGGCGATGGACAGCATTCCGTGGGAGGATGAGATCTGAGGGGAATGTGTGGCATTCAGATGATTTCACCGGTTATCCAGGGAGTCGAGTGGCGACGCGCGGTGGAATGAAGTCGCTACGTATGTAGGACGGATATCTCCCGCGTTCCAGATATCTCTGTACGGGATGGACTGGGTGGATGGAGCGGAATGAGGATGATCGTGGTTGTCGCATGTGCCTCGCATGGTTTGATTACGGTGTGCAGCCGATGAAACGAGGCTGTAGGGAGGTGCATGCGCATGCGAGGTGGTGGTGGACTATACGATGAGGATGCAGAGGATTCAGATGGTGCAGATGGGAAATAGTTGGATTCAGTTGGATTCAGTTGGCGCTGGGGATGCATGAAACCGGCGCGTAGACGATGACGCGTGAATATCGAGTGCTGTCGGTTCTCTATACTTAGTATGTTCTACTTCCTATTCTTTTGGATGAGGTACCACTCTGGGTGGTCTCGAAATATCATATCATATCGAGGGACTAAATAATTCTCGACTATTGCACTCTATTACTGTCAATAATATAATACTATAGTACCTAGGTATATAGTAAAGTAATAAGTAATACTGTATAGTTCGCGACGCGACGCGACGAGCAAGTGAGGGGGAATTTGTCGCCTTGCAGCATCACGGCCAATCCGTGATCCAAACGCGCTCCGGCATGTGGCACTCTTCAGCTGAGTTCTTATATTTCTGCTGCCTCGTTCTCCGTTCTTCTATTTTTCTTCTCTCGTTCAGTATTCTCTCGTTATATTAATCTATCTGTATTGATCATTCTACTTTATTATTGTCGTGTTGTTGTTGTTGTTGTTGTTGTTGTTGTTGTTCTATACCGCGGGATCTATACCTACACTAGGGATCTACTCTACTCCACCCAAACAAACCTCTACTCTCTTTCCTACTCCTCCTACTCCTACAGGGCATCATGGCGCTCACCATGACCCCCACCACCCGTCAACCCTTTGCCAACCTGGACGCCCCCCGCATGCGTTCCATCATGCGCTCCAAAATGAACCTCAAGAACCAACGTGATGGTAAGTCCGTCCACGCGTCCCCGCATTCCGTTTCACCGCTGACCGCGTCAGGCCTTCTCGCATCCAAGAGACAACCGCTGTCCGTCATGGACGCCGAAAACATCGACCCTGTCACGCGTCTTGCCGCCAAACGCAAACGCGGCTGCGACGAGGACGCCGACGACACCGACTCCCTCAAGGCCCACGGCCCGACCAAGCCCATCAAGGCCTCGCGCATGGCCCTGACCACCGTCGCGGCTAACCCGCCGCCGCGCAAGTCCACCACCACCACCACCACCACCATTCCGACCACGCCGCGCAAGCCATTGCAGACGGCGACGACCGCCCCATGCAAATCGCCCGCGCCCATCAAGCCCATGGGCCGCTCCCCTCAGTCGGTGCGCCCCTCCCCCCGTCGCTCCACCATTGCCAAAACCGCCTCCGCCCCGGCATCCCGCAGGACCGTCAAACGCCCTTTCTCCATCGCCACCGCGCTGTCCGGCGGGAAGCCCAAGGCCTCCGCGAGCGCTAAAGCCACCCCCGCGTCGTGGGCCTTCGACATCCACGTCGACTCCGAGCAGGACGAGCTCACCAACCTCATGCAGCACTCCACCTGCGTGCTGGACATCAGCGACGACGAGCGCAAGGCTGACGCCGCCGGCCGCGGCAAAGAGAACATCCCCCCGGCCGAGCTGGGTCTCGCCCTTGCTGCGCGGCCGGAGGTGCCGGCGCCGGCGCCGCGCAAGGAGAAGATGCTGGATGAGCCGCGTGCGCCGCTCGGCGAACTCCATGCGTCGGATTATTACCCCGATGGGTGTCATGCATTCTCCTATGAGGTTGTGTATGAGGATGAAGGTGACGAGGAGAATGTCCCTGTCGCGGAGTCGAAGCTCTCGCGCCACCAGCGCAGTCGGAGTAAGCTGTCCAGCGTCTCATCTATCGCGGCTATCCTCGATGCGACGGCGCCCAAGGATGCTGCTGAACTGAAGGATGCGTCTGGGGAGCCGCAGCCGGCGGAGGTCGAGATATGGGAGAGCGAGAGTGCCGCCGAGGAGAATGCCGAGTGAGGGGTAAAAGGTTCGGTGTTGGGTCGTGGAGTTTTGGCTGGCGTTTGGAAATGGGTCTGATTTTGATACCCGACTGACTGCTTGATTTCCTTGTGTTGTCTTTTTTTCTTATCTAATGTTGGATGCCGTATACGTGCGCTCCATTGGCTGGAAGCCTCGTCGCTCGCTCGGGATGTGTTATGTCTCATGTCTGATGATGTATATAGACTTAATTCGTTATCGTTCATATCCATGGTATCAGGTGCTCGTATGGCTACTCCGCCGTAGACTCCTCCGCAGCCTCCATCGCATCGACAGCCGCCTCCAGGATCTCCTCCTGTTCCAGCTCCTCTTCTTCGCCCTCGCTCTCCTCGCCCTCGCCCTCTCCCTCGTCGGCCCCCTCATCCTCCCACTGCACGCGCCTCTCCTTCCCCTTCGCCGACTTCTCCCCCGCCGCCGCGGCGTTCTTCTCCCGCCACGACGCCGTCCCTTTGATCACCGACCGGACCTCCGTGGCCAGCATCAACTCCTGCGACGTCGCGACGGCCGGATCGAGCGAGAACTCAGCCAGGAAGTTCTCCGGGTCCGCATGGTCCGGCAGGTCCAGCAGGCGCACAAAGTCCGCATCGTCCGGCACGCGGCCGTCCTCGTTCGCTAGGATCTTGTGCCGCATGATCGTCTTCAGCTTGGCCAGTGTGCCGCTGCCGAACCACCCGTCCGAGACGGTATCGCACGTCTCCCGCAGGAAGCCCGGCGGCGGCGCAGCCGCGTCCAGCCGCACAATGCTCTGCAGCAGCGGGTCGGCGATGTCGCAGAACATCCACATGCGGCCGTCGCGCGGCAACGGCGGCTGGCCGGTGAAAATGTGCGAGTCCGTGGTGAGGGTGGCGGAGGGATCGAGGACGGCGGGCTCGCGGTCGTCGGCGGCGTCGGGGGACGCGGCGGGGCGCTGGTTGCGGCGGGCGCGGCGGCCGACCGAATCAAAGTCGACGCGGTTGCCGCGGAACATGACGGTCTGGAAGACGCGGTAGGCTGGGTCGACGCGCGGGTCGTGCCCGAACTTGACGATGGCGTCGCGCCAGGGCCCCGAGCGGAAGATGTAGCCCACGTAGGGAATGGCCATGCGCAGTGCGTAGCGCTGTTCGAGCGTGGGGAGGGCGTTGCGCAGCGCCCGGCGTGTCCAGGCCGGCCGTTGGGTGAACAGCGCCTCGATGGTCGCCACGGTGTCTTTGACGGTTTGTTCCTGCTCTGCGAGGGGTGGGCAGTTCTCGCGGGGGTGGGTTGGGACTTGGGATATGTCGTACGGCACCAGGTACGTGCGGATGCGCACAGCTTGCTGCGTGTTGATCGTGGTGACTTTGCCTGTGGTGTCGATGGATTGCTTGACGGTGGGGTTTTGGCGGTACATGTAGCTGAAGGGGATGTCACCATCGCTGAAGAAGGGCGGCGGGATGATATCGGCGTTGGTTGTAGTGCCTTTAGACATGTCGAGGTCGAATTGTTTCATTTTGTCCACTGTTTCTGCGTTAGTGGTTCGTAAGAGTATGTAGGTCGCTTCAACTTACGGTCAAAAGAGAGGATCTGCTCGCGGAAGCGCTGCGCAAACGGGCTCGAGCTCAGCGAAAAGGCAAAGTCCGGCATGGCGCGAAAGACGTGCGTCCGGGTGACACTGCCCACCGCCTCGACCTGGTACTGCCCGACGTTGTCGCGCAGGGTGCGGAGGAGCTCCTTTGCGCAGGGACGCTGCGACGTTGTCCCGACGGCGGGTGCCGTGAAGGGCTCGTTGGAGCCGCGCTTGCGCCTGCGACCTGTGCGCTTGGGAACTGTCACCTTGAGCAGCACATTGTTGGACGGTGTGCTGATGGACTGCACGGGGCGTGAAAAGGGGTCCTCTGGTCGGAGGCGCAGGTTGGCTGGAGTGTCGGATTTAAGTGGGTTGAGGATCTGGTGTCGCGTTAGTCGTATGTATATGCGGATGTGTCTCTCTGGCCTACTTGGTAAATGCCCTGGTTCCCCTGCAGTGTCTCAATGGCTTTGTCCACATTTTGGACAATGGCAGGATGCTCCACACTGACGATGCGTCGATTAGGGATGGCGTAGAAGGGCGCCGTTCTGGGGGCATGCTCTGCCATGGTCGTGGTTGGAGAAATATATCTTAGCGGTTGCGAGTGGTGTTGTTACTGCGTGGGTGCGCGTTGATTACATTCCCACGGACGGGTTCTTGAAGCACATGCCTAGCTGTAGGATGCGATCACACCCGACGTCATCCCAGATGCTGATGTGAAGTGAAGCTGTGAAGGGATATCGACCATGAATCAATGAGTTGGAGTCGATTCGACATGGATCTTAGTCAGCGGACCCCAGAGGGGCTTAGCGCATGACATGGCACTACCTTTACTTTATCGCACTGCCAGCACTGAGAGAGCCACATACACTGTAAAGAGTGTCGATGTATGACTACCTACTAGTAAGAGTGTATTGCTGTCTATGTGGCTTCTCTGCAAATACTGTTGCGTCGAGTATACAACCCCTCCTCGATCGTCTACACATTCTTGTTGAAATCTGGCGGATGTCATTTCCAGAGATGCTCGATCCCCCATCGGGTTAGCGCGTGATAACAGCTCGATAAGTGTGGTCACATGATCGCACCACAAAGTCCCAAACAAATTCCGTCATTCAGCCTGGCGTTTCAAAGCGCGTCTTGGGAAACGACAGTAAATATAGGATTCAGGAGCGTCTTCATTCCAAAAATATGAAAACCTCTTGCACAACTGGATCTGCATGAGATGGAGCTCGTAATGGGAGGAAAACGACGCCGACTTATTCGTAGACAAAACATCCAATAAATTGTACCTAATCAAAAGTACCAGACTCCATCAAAGATGTAATCACCAGTACCAGATAATAACCAGATGGTGTGATATTTGATTCGAAGAACAGGAAGAACAGGTCCAATTAGTTTCCCTAGAACCATAGCAGATCCATTAACAGCCCTTCATTATTGCAGAATCTCCCTGGTGGCAGCATTGTATGTTGTGGGAGTGTACCTGAGAGTCCACCAACAAGTCAGCGGGAACTCCCCTCCTCCTCCACCACCACCACCACCACATACAGCCACTTCTCCTGCTTTACTCTTCTCTCCCCGTCACGTCCGAGCATTGACCTCCAGCTCTAGTGATCACTCCTTTCTTCTGCCACTCCCTCCTCTTCGTCACGCTACTTCCTTCTACTTGTTCTTCTTCTGCGATCGGCCATCCAATCCTCCGATCTTTCTCCGCCTTGCCTCCCTCCTCCACCAGAGAACAATTAATTCGCATAACCCCTGATCTTGGGTCCCGTTTGTGACCTCGTGGGTATCGATCTTGCCGTCCGTGAGTCGTCTCAATCAGAATCATACCAAATCATCCTCCCGGCGCTGTCGCACCCCGCTTCCCAGCCAGCCGCTAAGCGACACGGAAGACGATCGTCTACCGCAGACCAGACCGACCTGACTAGCTCCTCCTATACCGCTCGCTGTGTTTGCGCCTAGAGAAGCCTTGCTCCTCCTTCCCCGTCGTCTCCCCAATCGTCTCTGCCTGAGTCTGTGGAGGTAAGTCATCGTTCCTTTCGTTCATCTCCCTGGCGCGTCCCCATCCGCTCGCCGAGTCTCCCCTCCTTTTCCCCTGTTCGTGGTACACCTGGTCCGCTGCGTTGGGTGACCGCCTCCCCCCAGGCTTCATGACCCCCTCTCTCTCCGTTGGGGTATGGTGTCTGGGAATTTTTTTTTTATTCCACTTTTTAAATTTTTGTATTGCACTCTGTCGATCTCATCAAATATTCCTTCCGATTTCTCCTTCTATCTTTGATTTCTCCCTTGTTCCGACCTTCGGGTGGTATGGCGGAAATGCTCATGTGGTGACTTCCAGGCCGACATAAACAAATCCCGTCGTGGCTTGCTCGATTCTCCCTCCGCCCTCCCTAACGTCTACCTTCTTCTGCTAGTGTGCTGCGCCGTTCGGCTGCACTGGCGTCGATTTCCTCGACCGAGTACATGTGGCTATTCGAATAGTCGTGACAATGAAGGGCTTCAGACAAAGAGTGGTATGTTGTTGCATTGGTCTCATCCGCTGTCATCCCCACGCCCCGCGTCCATCCCTTATCCCCCCCATGCACCGCTGACATCGCCTCAGCATGAGCAGTTGTCGAGGGCGAAGGACGCAAACAAATCTTCCAAAAAGAAGGACTCCTCCCATTCGAACTCGGCTCAGAATCAAGCCCCCCTGGGCATCCACCATGGCCAACAATCCTCCTCCCCCAACCATGGCACCCCGACTTCGTCGACAACGTCCGTGAACGATACCAGGGGAAAGTCTCCGGATAATGCGTCGCAGGCAGGGCCCTACCCCCCAGGTCAGTACTATGCTCCGCAGGGCGCAGGCATGGCTGGTCAACCTGTGAATAACGGTGGTCCAGCGACTCCCACCAAACAAGGGCAGGTTGCCCCCAGTGTGATTATCAGCCCCAGTGCGCCGGTGAGTTGATTCCTGCCCTGTTCGATCGTCGCCTTTTCCCCCTGACTGACCTCTGTTGGTTTGGCAGCATGTCCCTCCTCCTGGTGCCGCCGAGACCATGCCCGGCGATCTGGCTCCCCCCAGAAAGTCCCACGTCTTCGATCGCCTCCAGACAACGCCAAAAGATATGTCGGAAGGAATCCGCACCCCGAAACGCCAGCACTCCTCCCGCTTTGATATCTCCGACCAGCGTCAGAGGGAACTGGAGAAGCTGCCGGGCTTCCACGAAGTGCCCCCCAATCGTCGCCAAGATCTCTTCATGCAGAAGATCGATCAATGCAACATCATCTTCGACTTCAACGATCCCACCGCAGACATGAAGTCCAAGGAAATTAAGAGACTGGCGCTCCATGAGCTCCTAGACTATGTCGCCAATAACCGCTCGGTCATCACGGAACCCATGTATCCCCGCGTCGTGGAGATGTTTGCCAAGAACCTGTTTCGACCGATCCCACCGCCCGTCACACCTCAGGGCGAGGCCTTCGATCCCGAGGAGGATGAACCGGTCTTGGAAGTGGCCTGGCCCCATATCCAAGTCGTCTATGAGTTCTTCTTGCGATTCATTGAGAGCCAGGATTTCAACACCAATATCGCCAAGGCATATATCGATCATCACTTCGTGCTACAGGTACGTTTCGGACGGTCTGAAATGTCGATGGCAGCACGCTAATCTTTCTCTTTGCAGCTATTGGAGTTGTTTGACTCGGAAGATCCTCGGGAGCGTGATTTTCTCAAGACCACGTTGCACCGCATTTACGGAAAATTCCTGAATCTGCGGTCGTACATACGCCGATCCATCAATAATGTCTTCTTCCAGTTCACCTATGAGACCGAGCGATTCAACGGTATTGCGGAATTACTTGAGATCTTGGGTTCGATCATCAACGGTTTCGCCCTGCCCCTCAAGGAGGAACACAAGCTCTTCTTGACCCGCGTCTTGCTTCCTCTGCACAAGGTCAAGAGTCTCAGCATGTATCATCCCCAACTGGCCTATTGCATCGTTCAATTTCTTGAAAAGGACGCCTCCTTAACAGAAGAGGTGAGATTGCCCGATCCTGGAATCGATCACGATAGGTTTCTGACGGGAACTTTAGGTTGTTCTTGGCTTGTTGCGCTACTGGCCCAAGGTGAACAGCACCAAGGAGGTCATGTTCCTCAACGAGGTGGAAGATATCTTCGAAGTGATGGACCCACAAGAGTTCGCCAAAGTGCAAGAACCGTTGTTCCAACAGCTGGCCAAGTCTGTCGCCAGCCCACACTTTCAGGTATGTGTCACCTGCTCTTGACTGACGTAGACTGGGTGCTCATACATGCCTCCGCCACAGGTTGCCGAACGTGCCCTCTATTTCTGGAACAATGAATATTTCTGCAACCTGGTCAGCGACAATGTCGAGACCATTCTGCCGATCATGTTCCCACCGTTGTTCGAGAATTCCAAGGGCCATTGGAACCGGTATGTCGCGCCTCCCCAGACGGCCACCAGTGAAGATTTGCGGCTGACACAATCCCCAGCACCATCCATAGCATGGTCTATAATGCCATGAAAATGTTCATGGAAATTAACCCCCAGCTCTTTGACGAATGCTCTCATGAATATAATGAACGGCAGAACACCGCCGAACAGCGTGAGCAGGCCCGCAAAGACCGTTGGGAAAAGCTGGCAGAACAGGCCAAAGAACGCAAGAATGGCGTTCCGCCACCGCCCGCTCCCGCGGTTGATGTGCCGCTGCAAATCGACGAGGTGGACTCGATCACCCAGGACAGCCAGAAACGCCTGCATGCGTTGAAACTCGACGAGACTGGATCGTCCAAGGAGCGAAGGGGTTCGACGGTAAGTTCTACCGCTTGATTGATTGTATGCGAGTCTGCGTGCCCCCCGTGACCACGTTCGCACCTGATCAAACCCGCCCTGCCTTTCTTGTCGTCATATCCTTTGCTAAGAAGTTGTTCTGTTTTGGGTGTAGTCCGCGTGATTCTAACGTTGAAACGTCCGTTGCTCCAGAGACGGCGCCGCGGTTCCCTTGATGACTCTCGGAGACGACGAAGCGGTAGCGGTAGTGGCAGTGAGATCCGCGTTCGAGACCGACGACGGACGGTGGGCTCCGGTGCCTCCGTACAGATTCTGTCACGCAGTAACTCTACCAAGTGACGGTCGATTTTGATGGCATTTATTTTCCATTAGACTTTCCCCATGATGGCATAGCGACTACGAGCTGCGACGAAAGTGTACTTGTTTCTCTGCTTGCGCGTTGATTTCCAAACTCCACAACCTCTCTGGTCGCCCTTGGTGCCCCACAATGAGAGTGTATGCGTGTGATTTCCAACCTCCCGATCCCCCTGTCTCTGGTTTATCAAATTCCCCTTCCTCATTTGTGTACATGGCTTTCCATATTCTTCTCTCCGCGCCGGGCCGTGTCGAGCCCGTGATTGTGAGCGGACGTTTTGAGTTGGACTACTAGAACTGTGTTCGGGTATGGAAAACGGGTGCGAATGGCGTTTCCCTCTGTCGACCTTGACTTGAAGTCGATGACCTCTTTTGAGTTAATTTCGTGTCTTCCCCTTCCATTTATAAAATAAGACGTATTTCTGATATGCATCAACATGATGTATGGAGTATGTAGCAGAGGTTAGGTAGAGAGCGGCCAGCACTGTGACCTACTTCCGCATTGGTCTCTTGTACCTGAAATCCACGTGCCACCCCTGGTTCCTTTTGGGGCCACTGGGCCTGATTGGCAAAATAGACGCTCCAGACGCGCCATCCGCGCAAAGCGCGCGACTGCCGGATTGGATAATCAATGACCCGGAATTCCCAAATTGGGCTTAGTGTCCCGTTCGGGGTCTCTGCGATGCCCGCGTTCTGCCCTGCTGCTCTGCTCGGGTCCCTTTGCAGGCGTGATTTTGCGCGCATTCACTTCTTCAGTCGATATATCCTCCCCCTCCTCCCAATTTCTCTCTTTCGCCCTCCTCTCTTCACGGATGACTTACTCGCCTTCTTTTACCCCTCTTGACTTTTTTCCTATTCCCACGCGAGGGTTCAATGAAATAACGGCCGTACCCTAATCTGATGCAGCGAAGCGTCCTCTGTCGCCGGGCGAAGTGAGATAGTCTACATCGCTCTCCCGCATATGAATACCCTCTGCGAAGCCGATTGTGCTGGCTCTCGACTTCTAGCCGGCCTGGTGGCCTGGCAATAATTCTATAGTTCAACCATTCCAGCACCAGCTTCTCCATCATGGAGCGAAACATCGACATCTACGCCAGCAAGCTGGGCGACCCGAATATTGGTTAGCCACGTCCTCCTCTGTCATGTTCAATTCCCGCGACGGACGGATCGCATGTCATTCGAAGGTTATGTCCTCCGTGGAGCTGCCCTTGCTGATTGTCATCTCCTACAGATATCAAAATCCGCGCAAATGTCGCCGTCGAATTGCGAGATAATATCGAGCCGCTATGTTCGGGTGCAAGCTACCCCATCTTCCTCTCGAAGCTGTGGCCGGTGTTCAGGACCATCCTGAGAGGCGACCCGGTGTTCACAAATTTGTCCTTCGAGCAGGTGAGTTCTGCTGCGTCATCTACGCTCTCGGGCTTTTCGCGGTCTCGAGGAACGCTGACGCAGTCGCTGCATTCAGAAACTTCGCAATTGCATCCTCGAAACGCTACACCGGCTACCTATGGCTTCGCCTGATGTAGAACCATACGCCGCCGATATGGTCGATTTGCTGATGGATTTGGTCCGGGTCGAGAATGAGGAAAATGCAGTCCTCTGCATGAAGACAATCATGGATTTGGAGCGGAACCAGGCCAAGGCGACAGCGACGCGGGTGCAACCGTTTCTTGAACTCATTCAAGAAATGTTCCAGACGATGGAACAGGTCGTTCGCGACACTTTCGATACCCCCAACCAATCGACTCCATCCGGCATGCCTTCCACCCCGAGTGCTGTCGCCCAGAACTTCCAGTCGCCCCGTCCGAGCTCGCCTGCAACGTCCGTCCCCGAACTCGGCCCCGATCAGCAAGCGAACAACACTCTTCTCAAGGGTATGCAGTCCTTCAAGGTCCTGGCGGAATGTCCAATTATCGTTGTTTCGATCTTTCAGACACATCGAAATTCCGTCGCCGCGAACGTGAGGCTCTTCGTGCCCTTGATCAAGAGCATCTTGCTTCTGCAAGCCAAGCCCCAGGAGAAGGCCCACGCGGAGGCTGCGGCCCAGGGAACGATTTTCACGGGTGTCTGCAAGGACATGAAGAACAGGGCTGCCTTTGGCGAATTTATCACAGCCCAGGTGAAGACTATGAGCTTCCTGGCGTATCTGCTCCGCATGTATGCCCATCAGCTGCAGGATTTCCTTCCGACACTGCCCTCCGTTGTAGTTCGTCTTCTTCAAGATTGCCCTCGTGAGAAATCTAGCGCAAGGAAGGAGCTTCTGGTTGCGATTCGCCATATCATCAACTTCAACTACCGGAAGATCTTCCTCGAAAAGATCGACGAGCTTCTAGATGAACGGACCTTGATTGGTGACGGCCTTACCGTTTATGAAACCATGAGGCCTCTTGCCTACAGCATGCTTGCCGACCTGATCCACCATGTCCGGGACCATTTGACGCGCGACCAGATCCGACGGACTGTCGAGGTGTACACCAAGAACCTTCATGACGACTTCCCCGGCACTAGCTTCCAGACGATGAGCGCAAAGTTGCTTCTGAACATGGCTGAGAAGATCTCGAAGTTGGAGGATAAACGGGAGGCTCGTTATTTCCTGATTATGATCCTGGATGCCATTGGTGACAAATTTGCTTCCATGAACCACCAGTTCGACAATGCTGTGAAGGTGTCCAGAGCGTACAAAGAGAGTAAGAAGGATATCGAGCCCTCGCCCGAGAGATATCTTGCGGACAAGGACCATCCTCCTGACTGGGATGAGATTGATATCTTCTCTGCGTCGCCGATCAAGACGTCGAACCCGCGTGACCGCGGAGGCGACCCCGTCTCAGATAACATCTTCCTCTTCAAGAACCTGATCAACGGCCTGAAAAATATTTTTCACCAGCTGAAGAACTGCAATCCGGATCATATCCAAATCGACCCCAACAGCGTGCCCATCAATTGGTCTGAGGTCTCCTACGGTTACAATGCTGAGGAAGTCCGCGTGATCAAGAAGCTCTTCCACGAGGGTGCGAGGGTGTTCAAGTACTATGGCGTGGATCAGACTCCCCCTGAGGTGAACTACTCTTCTCCCTTCGACTTCCTGGCTAGCCAATATACTGCGCCAATGTCGAGGGAGGAGAAGGAATTGCTGGAAAGTTTTGGAACTGTGTTCCACTGCATTGATACTGCCACCTTCCACGAGGTCTTCCATTCCGAGATCCCCTACCTTCATGAGCTCATGTTCGAGCATGGCGCACTCCTCCACCTTCCCCAGTTCTTCCTCGCTAGCGAAGCTACCTCCCCCGCATTCTCTGGGATGGTGCTGCAGTATCTCATGGATCGAATCCACGAAGTTGGCACATCTGATATGACCAAGGCGAAGATCTTGCTGCGGATGTTCAAACTATCTTTCATGGCTGTCACCCTCTTCTCCGCCCAGAATGAGCAGGTCTTGTTCCCGCATGTGACGAAGATCGTTACGAAATGTATTGAGCTGTCAGTCACGGCCGAGCAGCCCATGAACTACTTCCTGCTTTTGCGGTCCCTTTTCCGCAGCATTGGTGGAGGTCGGTTCGAGCTCCTGTATAAGGAAATTCTGCCGCTACTTGAGATGCTCCTAGAGACCTTCAACAACTTGTTGGTTGCTGCCCGGAAGCCGCAGGAACGTGATCTGTATGTTGAGCTTACACTCACTGTTCCTGCGCGTCTCAGCCATCTCCTGCCACATCTGAGCTACCTTATGCGCCCAATTGTTGTGGCTTTACGCGCAGACTCGGAGCTTATCGGCCAGGGCCTGCGAACTCTGGAGCTTTGCGTGGATAACCTGACTGCGGACTACCTCGACCCGATCATGGCTCCCACCATGGACGAACTTATGACAGCCCTTTGGGACCAACTTCGGCCCCATCCCTACAACCACTTCCATGCTCATACGACGATGAGGATCCTCGGTAAACTGGGTGGGCGTAACAGAAAGTTCATCAACCATCCACCCGACCTCACGTTCGAACAATACGCCGATGATGCCCCAAGTTTTGACATTAAACTTATCGGTCCGAGCGAGAAGCGTCCTTTTCCCATCGGCGTTGGCATTGATCTGGCCATCGGGAAGTTGATGGAGGTCCCCAAGACAGCCACAGCTAAAGCAAACGATGCCTACTACAAGCAACAGGCTTTCCGTATGGTTTCTTCGCAATTGAAGCTTCACATAGGATACGAAAATCTGCCGGAAGACTTTGCGTCAATTGTTCGCCTGCATGCCAATGATCTCTTTGAGAACAAGACCTCGGGTGTGGCTGACATCTTCGAGAAATCCGAACGGATGAGCTCCATCCCAAAGAAGTTGTCACAGGAGAAGATGCTCAAGAAGTTGCTGAAAGCTTGCATTTTTGCCACCACTATTCCGGACCTATCCCAGGCGGCTACCAGCTTTGTCGCTGACGTTTGCAAGCATCTTACCATCGTCGAGGTCGGGCGGGCCCTAGCTCAGATAAGACACAGTCGCCAGCCCTTCGATGTTTATCATGGCGAAGGCCCTGTGTACCTTGACTCCAGGATTTTGGCCGATGCCATCGTTGAGTCTCTATCTTCTGACAATGTTGCCGTCCGTGAGGGAGCCCAGGCAGCCACGCAAGTTATCAAGGAAGCTGCTGCCGTCATATTCGGTTCTCCTGAGAGAGTTGGAAAGCTGCCGTTCTTCCAACACCTCGGCCGTGTCTTCTGCCACAGCTGTCATAGCGAGGAGTGGTTTACTAAGGCTGGTGGTAGCCTTGGAATCCATCTCTTCGCAACAGAACTGGATCTGGGAGATGCCTGGCTCTTTGACAAACACGTTGAATTCGTCAGGGCCTTGATGTACGTTATAAAGGACACACCACCCGATCTTCCCGCTAGCACGCGGATAAGGGCGCTGGACACCCTGGATCTGATCCTTCGGAGATGCTGCAAGAATGTCTCCAAGGATGATCTCCAGAATGAGAAGAGTCGCCTTTACTCTCTCTGCGGGTTCTTCGTCTACGAGCTGTCGCACATGAACAAATACGTCCGCGAAGCATCTCGTCGGAGTTTCTCGACTATCGCCGAGGTCCTTGAATGCCAAGTCCATGAACTCATCTTCCCCGTGAAGGAACGGTTATTGCAGTCGATTTTCAACAAGCCCTTGCGAGCCCTGCCCTTCCCAACGCAGATTGGTTTTATTGATGCGATCACCTTCTGCCTTAGTCTCCACAACAACATTGTTACCTTCAACGACTCACTCAATCGACTCATGCTGGAATCGCTTGCACTTGCTGATGCTGATGATGACTCGCTCGCATCAAAGCCACACGAATCCAAGAATGCAGAAATGATTGTGAATCTCCGTGTTGCATGCCTTCGTCTTTTGTCCATGGCTATGAGCTTCCCTGAGTTTGCGAATACCCCGCAGAATACCAGTCGTGCTCGCATTATCTCCGTTTTCTTTAAGTCCCTCTACTCGCGTGTACCTGAGGTTATCGAGGCGGCGAACGCAGGTCTGAGAGATGTCCTGACGCAAACCAACAAGCTACCCAAGGACTTGTTACAGAATGGACTCCGTCCTATCCTCATGAACCTACAAGATCCCAAGCGCTTAACCGTCCCCGGTCTTGCTGGGCTTGCTCGTTTGCTGACTTTACTCACGAACTATTTCAAAGTTGAGATCGGCGCCCGCCTGTTGGAGCACATGAAGGTCATTGCGGATGACTCGGTCCTGCAAAAGGTGTCGTTCGGCATTGTTGAACAGAGCCCGCCAATTAAGATCGTTGCTGCTATCTTCAACATCTTCCATCTCCTTCCTCCAGCCGCTACCTCCTTTATGGAGCACCTCGTCAACAGGGTGTTGGATCTCGAAGAAAAGCTCCGTCGGACGTCTATCAGCCCGTTCAGAAAGCCCTTGGTCAAGTACCTCAACCGCTACCCGAAGGAAAGTCTGGCATTTTTTACAGCCCGTTTCAAGGAGGAGCGCTTCGGCCGATTCTTCGGCCAGATTTTGGCAGATCCTGAAAGCGAGGCCCTGCGCAGTGCGGTGGTCGCCGACACTGACGGGTTTGTGTCCGCTGCCTTTGGACAAGAGTCAACCGACGGTACTAATACCGCTGCCATCAACGGTATCTATGTCGCGCACGCCATCTGTTCGTATCCGTTGACTAAAAACTGGCTCGTGTCTCACGCGGATTTGAAATCAAAGCTCTTGCACGCGGGCCGCGATCTTCAGAGGAAGCTTCACAATGATCAGTTGCCGGCAAACGAGCGGTTACGGGTTGAGCAAGGGGAGGACCAACTGATGGATATATTCTCTATTTATTTGTCGGAGTCGGTTCACGATCTCGATTTTCTTTTCGAAGTCGTCGATGGCTTGTCGGCTGATGAGCTGAAGCGTACGCTTGCTTTCCCCAAGTTCATCTACCGTCATATCATTACCAACGAGTCCATCGACTACCGCCGTTCGGTCATCATGCGATGTCTGGATCTCTATGGTCAGCGTTCGTGTTCGCAGAAGATGAAAACTTATGCCTTCCGTCATCTTGTCAACCCCATATTTGCCATGGATGTGCAGACGACCTGGAACAGTCCTCCGAACGGTCCCAAGCTCATGGACAAGAGCATGTCTGAGTTCATCCAGAGCCGCCTGTGGAAGCCTCAGTTGTCCGACCTGAGTGAGGAGTCGAGCCAGGCCGGCGTTGACCATTCGCGTATGGAACTTCTCCAGCTGTCGGCTTTATTGATCAAGTATCACCACCAGACCGTGCAGGATTCTCGGAAAGACATCATCAAGTTTGCCTGGAACTACATCCGTCTCGAAGACATCATCAACAAATATGGCGCTTACGTTCTCATCAGCTACTTCATCGCCCATTATGAGACGCCGTTTAAGATCGTCGTCCAAGTGTATGTCGCCTTGCTGAGGGCGCATCAAAATGAGGGCAAGGCCTTGGTCACCCAAGCTCTGGATGTCCTGGCTCCTGTACTCCCTACGAGAATCCTGTCGGCCAACACCAGCGCTCAGACGTCCGATACACGGTATCCATTGTGGGCCAAGTGGCCTCGGCGTATCCTGGCGGAAGAGACTGCGAACTTACAGCAAGTGATGAGCATCTTTCAGTTCCTTGTCCGACAGCCAGAGCTCTTTTATGAGTCGAGAGAGCATTTCATCCCCCTCATCGTGCCTTCGCTGATCAAGATTGCCTCCCCTGCTAACTCGTCGAACGAGAGCAAGAAACTTGCCCTGAACTTGATCAATCTAATATGGCAGTGGGAGGAGAAACGGGTGAAGAACAGCCAAACCCCTATAACGAATGGTACCCCCGAGTCGCCCAATGCGAAGAAGCGCAAGCTTGATGAATCGCGGGGCACTGCTTCTCCTTCCCCTGCACTTGGGCCGCCATCCGGGCGGGAGCGTTCCGAGTATATGGTGCCTCCTGACTTGAGGGCAACTTTGACGAAATATCTCATCTCATTCATTACGATTATCCCGGAGAGATTCCTGGTTCCCGCCTCCCGAATCCGCGAACTTCAATCGTCTAAGACCCACCCCCCTGTGGCCACGGGTGACCTAATCAAGAAGGCTGTGTACTTGTTGCGGAACCTCTTGTCCCCTGAATACTGGGGTGACCTAGATATTGAGCTGTACCAGAAGGTCACTGAGCCAATTCTCGCTGGAGAGAAGGCAGACAAGCCCGAGGAGAAGCACATCACTAGTATGGTGAATACTCTCCAGGTTATTCGCATTCTTCTTGCCGCCAAACCCGATGACTGGGTCACCGCTCGCCTCCCGCTTATTCAAAGACTATTCGAGAAGCCGTTGCGCTCGGATAGCCCAGAGATCCAGGATTCGCTCCATGGACTAGAGGACGAGATGGACATCTCACCCAAGCTCCCTCCTCCAGTCCGACGCGTGCTCAATGCTTTGCCTGATGATCAACCCGAAGAAGAGGATGCAATGGAGATTGAGAATTCGCCTTCGGAGTTTGTGACTTATCTTTCGGCCATTGCTACGGAGACATTATCGGCGAACAACTATGTTTCTAGCTTGAACATCCTCTGGACACTCTCCAAGAAGAAGCCGGCGGAGATGGATGCTCATATCCCGCAGGTAATGAAGGCTTTCTCCCAGAAGTTGGCGAAGGAGCATGTTGCTCCATCTACAAACGGCCAAGCCCCATTTACCCCCGGTGGCAAGCCGGCGGAGGCCGCTCCAGACCAACAAGAATACGAGGTTGGGGTTGATCTGATCTTCAAGACCATTGAGTTGATCTCCGTTCGCATGTCACATCTCGGAGAGCAGCGACGGCCGTTCCTGAGTGTGTTGGCGCAGCTGGTGGAGCGATCGCAGAATATCAAACTCTGCAGCAAAGTTCTGGGCATGGTTGAGACTTGGATCTTCAACTCTACTGAGTCTTGGCCTACACTAAAAGAAAAGACCGCTGTGCTTCACAAGATGCTGCTCTTTGAGTCTCGACCTGACCAGACGATGCTCAAGAAGTTCCTGGACCTGGTCATTCGCATCTATGAGGACTCAAAGATTACTCGCACTGAGTTGACAGTCAGACTTGAGCACGCTTTCTTGATCGGAACTCGAGCACAAGATGTCGAGATGCGCAACCGTTTCATGAATATTTTCGATCGCAGCTTGACCCGATTGGCTAGCTCTCGGCTTAGCTACGTGCTTACCTGTCAGAATTGGGATACTCTTGCCGACTCCTTCTGGCTAGCCCAAGCGTCCCACCTCATCCTGGGTTGTGTTGATATGAATGTCTCAGCACGGCTTCATCCGGATGACTACACTGTTTATCCGGTTTCCTTCCTCTTCGGCAATGCAGACAAGGATTCCAGAAAAGCGGATGTTATGGTAGACGCCCAGTTGGAAGCGTTCATATCTGATCGCAAGAGGTTCATATCAGAACTTGGCGATGTCAAAGCCCGTGATCTGATGGAGCCCCTCTGCCAGCTACAGCACACGGATCCGAAAGTTGCCTACTCCGTCTGGACTACTCTGTTCCCGATCTTCTGGTCCACGTTGTCCAGGGAGGACCGCATTGATCTGGAGAAGGGAATGGTTACACTGATCACTCGCGAATACCACCAGAGACAGCTGGACAAGAGACCAAATGTTGTACAGGCACTGCTCGAAGGTGTTGTGCGCGCGAAGCCCCGGTTCAAGATTCCCCCACATGTCATGAAATACCTCAGTCGCACTTACGACGCCTGGTACACTGCCGCTACATACCTGGAAGAATCGGCCATCAATCCTATCATCGATACCCCCACTGTCCGCGAGAGTAACCTTGATGCGTTGGTCGAAGTCTACGCTGGATTGCAGGAGGACGATTTCTTCTATGGTACTTGGCGACGCCGCTGCAAGTTTGTCGAGTCGAATGCTGCGCTGTCTTACGAACAACAGGGCATGTGGGATAAGTCTCAACAATTATATGAGAACGCCCAGATCAAGGCTCGCTCGGGTGCAATGCCGTTCTCTCAGGGTGAATATTATCTGTGGGAGGATCATTGGTTGATCTGCGCGCAGAAGCTGCAGCAGTGGGAGATTCTGAGTGATTTTGCCAAGCATGAGAACTTGAACGATCTTCTCCTGGAGGCTGCTTGGAGGAACATCGAGAGCTGGTCCAGTGAGACGAGCAGAGAGCAGTTGGAATCCCTCATCAAGTCTGTTTCCGACGCCCCCACGCCACGACGGACGTTCTTCCAAGGTTTTATGGCCCTCCTTAATTTCCACATGAAGAAAGAAAACATTCAAGAGTTCAACGGTGTTGTCGATGAATCAATCCAGCTTTCGTTACGGAAATGGTTACAATTGCCCAAGAGGATCACCAACGCCCATATCCCCATCTTACAGCACTTCCAGCTTCTTGTTGAACTGCACGATGCAAGCCATATATGCGCCAGCTTGTCGCAGACCAACGAACGCAACTTGGACACCAAATCTGCTGAGTTGAAGCTGCTTTTGGGTACTTGGCGCGACCGCCTGCCCAACCTTTGGGATGATATCAATGCCTGGCAAGACCTCGTGACTTGGCGTCAACATATCTTCCAGCTCATCAACGCGACATATCTCAACCTCCTGCCGCCGCAGACCAACAACGTGGCTAGCAACTCATACGCCTATCGTGGCTATCATGAAACCGCATGGATCATCAATCGGTTTGCCCACGTTGCGCGCAAGCATCAGATGCCGGAGGTCTGTATCAACCAACTGAGCCGCATCTACACCCTCCCGAACATTGAGATTCAGGAAGCTTTCCTGAAGCTCCGTGAACAAGCCAAGTGTCATTACCAGAACCCCAAGGAGCTGAACAGTGGGTTGGATGTCATCAACAATACGAACCTGAATTACTTCGGCGCGCAGCAGAAGGCCGAGTTCTACACGCTCAAGGGCATGTTCCTCGCTAAATTGAATCATGTCAATGAGGCCAATGAGGCGTTCGGCGTGGCCCTCTACTACGACTTGAGACTTGCAAAGGCCTGGTCGGAGTGGGGTCAATACAGTGACCAGCGGTTCAAGGCTGATCCTACGGATTACGAGTTGGCAAGCAACGCCGTCAGCTGTTACCTAGAAGCCGCTGGACTCTACAAGGACGCCAAGTCCCGTAAACTCCTGAGCCGCATCCTTTGGCTCCTAAGCTTGGATAACGAAGAAGGACGCGTTGCAGGGGCGTTCGAGAATTTCAAGGGTGACACCCCTGTGTGGTACTGGATCACTTTCATTCCGCAGCTCCTTACAAGCTTGTCACACCGCGAAGCCCGCCTTTGTAAGGCCGTGTTGGTGAAGATTGCGAAACTGTATCCTCAGGCGCTCTTCTTCCTGCTTCGTACTACCCGGGAGGATATGGCAAGTATTAAGAAGACGCATGATCAGAAGCAAGAACAGATCAAGAACAAGCTTCAACAGCAGCAACAGCAGCAACAGACTGCCTCGCCGCAGCCCAAGCCCTCTCCTGCAGCTGCTGGAGGCTCTCCTGCGCAGAATAGTGCGTCCACGCCCGTGCAAGGCCAAACCTCCCAACCGACGAGCCAGCCGCAGGCTCAGAACCAAGCCCAAGCTCAGCAAGGAGCTCCCCAGAACCAGAGTCCCCAGGTTAACAACCAGGGCCAGGCCCAGCCCAAGCCTGCTACGCCGAGCCAGGGCCAGACCCCCAACCAGGGACAACAACAGGGTACGCTACCGACGGCTGGACAGAACGGGACGCCGCAGCAGAACCAGGGAGCTGGAGGTGACACGAAGCCTGAGGTGCAGAAGAAACCATGGGATTATTCCGATGAGATCATGTCTGGTCTGAAGACTGCCTTCCCCTTGCTCGCGTTGTCGATGGAGACTATGGTGGACCAGATTCACAAGAATTTCAAGTGTCCTCCTGATGAGGATGCTTATCGACTCATCGTCGCTCTCCTGAATGATGGGTTATCTTATGTCTCACGCATGCCTGTTGCATACAAGAACGATTTCAGGCTGCCGTCAGCGACGGAGGGCAACATCACACGGTTTTCTGATACGATTCTTCCTGCTCATATCCGCAAGGCCTTTGAGGCCGACTTCATCAACCGCAGACCGTCGATGTACGAGTACATCCATAAACTGCGGCGCTGGCGTGATAAGTTTGAAGAGAAGCTGGATCGTCGTCCTCAATCGCAGTTCTTGGAGAGTTACTCGCCGCACCTCAGTGAGTTCCGTTTCCTCAAGTTTGACGAGGTCGAGGTACCTGGACAGTATCTCCTCCACAAGGACAAGAACCAGGATTTCGTGCGCATTGACCGGTTCTTGCCGGACATTGATCTGGTACGGGGTATCGGCGTCTGTCATCGTCGTTTGAAGATCCGTGGCCATGATGGCAGCATCCACCCGTTTGCTGTGCAGCATCCTGCGGCTCGCCACTGCCGTCGCGAAGAGCGCATTTTGCAGCTTTTCCGTATCTTCAATGGCATCTTGGCTAAGCGGAAGGAGAGCAGGCGACGCAACCTCTATTTCCATCTGCCGTTGATGATTCCGTTGGCCCCTCATATCCGTTTGGTCCGTGATGATACGTCGTACATGTCCATGCATGGCATCTATGAGGACTACTGTCGGAGGGTTGGCTTCAACAGAGATGATCCTCTTATCTTCACAATGGAGAAGTTGAAGGCTCTCGCGGAGACGAAACAGAACGTAAGTGATATTTTGTCAACTTCTTCTATAAACACTGCTAACTTTCCACAGCGTACTGCTGACCAACAGCTGGTACTTCGCACGGAGATCCTTACCGCTATCCAAGAGAAATGGGTCCCCAGTACCGTTGTCTTGGACTATTTCCAGAGGACATATCCGAACTTCTCGGACTTCTGGCTCTTCCGCCGACAGTTTGCCTACCAGTACGCCGCTATTGCGTTCATGACATACGTAATGCACATGGGCAGCCGGTATCCCAACAAGTTGATGATCTCCCGGACTACGGGTGATATCTGGGCCACTGAGCTGATTCCGACCATCAACCCGGCCAAGGCCTTCTTCTACAACCCTGAACAGGTCCCTTTCCGGTTCACGCCCAACATTCAGACGTTGTTGGGACCCATCGCCACGGAGGGCTTGTTCGCTTGTGCTATGATGGCGATTGCGCGCTGTCTGACCGAACCTCGTCACGAGCTTGAGCAGCAGCTCAGCATCTTCGTGCGGGATGAGATGATGTTCTGGGCCACTGCGCACCACCGTGGGCCGCTGCCAGTCCCACAGCTCCGCGACCTGGTATACAACAACAGTGATATCATTGTCAACCGGGCTGTCAGTCTGGCTAGTCCTCCTGAAGGCAACCTGCCTGCCAACCAAACTACTATCGATTTGATCTCGAAGGCTGTGAACCCGCAGCATCTGGCGTCCTGCGACGCGTTGTGGATGGCGTATCTCTGAGCTCTTATCGGTCCTTTCTATTTCTGTATTATTTGGTTTTATTGGTTTGTTACTTTGTTTCAACGGCGGGCTGCGGTTTCTGGAGCCGTACGGGAATTTACTAGCGTGGCGTTTGGGACAAAACTGATGGATAATCCATGGCTGCTTTGCGCGTGATGATTGTATCTTTTGTGCTTCTTGAATGGCTGTATCATAATTAATATGTGCTAGTCGAATTGAGTTTAAATAATCATGTCTTTCATAATGAATCGTAGGGTCCCAAACACGTCCCAAACGCCGGTACAAAAAGGCAGTATATAGTATGACAACCACGCTCTAAACCAAAGACGGCTTCACCTTCTTCTTGATGCCCAAGCTATTCACTGGCGGCTTCTTTGCCTTCTTAACCCGAGCGAACGATGGCGGCGGCGCAGGTGACTCCGTCTTGGACTCAGGCGTGGCACTCCCATTCGGTGAACCCTCCTCAACAACCAACCTCTTCACCCGCTCCCCTGACTCGGTCATAAAGGCCCTCCGCGCAGCCTCCTCATCCTCCTTCTCCTGCTGCAACCGTGCCTCATCCACCTGATCGCGCACGACAGCCAGCGCCGCCTCGTCCCCACGCGCCTCATTCCGCTCGATGCGCGCATTCCGCGTACGGATCTCATCCAGCGCATCCGCAATCGCCATCTCCCGCTTCGAGTCCAGCATCTTCTCCTCCAGCTCCTCCATCTTGTCGCGTTCCAGCCGCTCCTGCTCCTCATTTTCCTCACGCTCAAGCCGGTCCAGCGTCTCCTGCTCGGTTTCGTTGTACGTCTCGGCTTCGGGGTTGCGCCAGGGCTCGAAGTTGCGCTTGGCGCCCTTTTCGGCCCGGTAGTCCATGTTCTTGGGGTCCGTCTTGAAGGTGATTTCGCCCGAGCAGCGTGTGCATCGGATATAGAACCGGTAGATCGGGATCGAGAAGTACTTTTCTTCGGTGGTTTCTTTGCGCGCGTTGAACTTGCGGCCCTTGTAGATGTACTCGCCGCAGTGGGTGCATTTCATCCTGGGGCTGTTAGCTTGAATATCCATCATGGGTGTGGGGAACTACGTACGAGTAAGGCGCCATCAGCCGGACTGTTTGGAGTCGTGGGGCGGCATCCTTTGGTTTTTTCTGCCGGGTTATGGCTGACGGGTCGAAGTCCGGGGGGTAGTACTTGCTGTGAGGGGTTGGAGTTAGTTTGGGCTTATTTACGAGCTTGGATGGGGTCTGGGTTGGACATACGTGAGAACTTTGCGCTCAGACATGTTGGCTGCTGGGGAACAGTATTCTGGGTGGGTGTTGCTGGGGGTATCGCACGGGTGTTGTTTAGGACAGCTGTCCCAATAACAGCAGCCGTCGAAGTGGCGATATGGAAAAAGGAGGAGACGTTGAAAGCAGGATGAAGAGAGGCAGTTGAGGCGATATTGAAATGGCGATAAACGTCACGTGAGTTGGTGTTTCTGAGTAAGCAGCGCGCTTGAGTGGGCCCAAAGAGGAAATGGGCTCATGATTGTTTTGGTTGTCCTCCGCAAGAACCAACTGGTCTGCGACACTTCCACTCCTTCCAGACAGTCCCGAGTAGGACTGCTGCTCCCCGCCAACTGAAACAAGAGCCGTCTCCTTGGAGCGCTTTCCCACCGCCACCCGCTGCTTCTGTTTATCGCCGCGGGAACTGATCGCCCCTCCGCGCCTCACCTCGTTTCGCCGAATGCCTCCCAGCGATTATACTGTCTGTCTTTGCGGTGGCGCTCTCTACGCCTAAGACATGGAGAAGTTTCTGCGCTCGTGGCGGCAGGATGCGTTGAATCGCGGTCAGCATGATGCGGCAATTTACATCGGAGACAAAGTGCTGGCGCTGACGAGTGAGTGACCTAACGGCGTGTCTAACGATGTCTGAATGTATCTAACAGTTGAACGCATCTAGACAGTGACTCCGACGCCTTTTGGCTTGCCCAGGTTCATTTCTCGAACAACAACTACACGCGCGCTTTGGCGCTACTCTCCCGGAAAGACTTGATCTCGAGAAGCACCGCGTGTCGCTACCTAGCCGCGCATTGTTATATTAAGCAGAATCAGTTTGAACAGGCTCTGTCAGTGCTGGGCGATCATAACCCGACCCATCTGATCCGCACAAGTAACAACAGTGGCGGCCGTCGGAAACTCCAGCATCTCAACGGTCAATCCCATGTTACGCTCCGGAATGGTAAGACTACAGCATCGCGCATGGATCGCGGGGAGGAACGGGAACGGGAAGATGCGAATAATATCCGATTCGAGGCGGCAATGTGTTATCTACGGGGTCTCTGCTTCGCCAAACAGAATGCCTTTGATCGCGCGCGCGATTGCTACAAAGATGCGGTGCGCATCGATGTTCAGTGCTTTGAAGCCTTCGATCAGTTGATGAAGAACTCACTCATGTCGCCGGCGGAAGAGCTGGAGTTCCTGGAATCCCTGGACTTTGACTCTATCTCTAGCCCGGATCCGTCTGTTGCCCAGGAAGCGGCGCATTTCACCAAGATGATGTACACCACCCGACTGTCCAAATACTCGTCCCCCGCGATACTTTCGGACGCGACAGAAACTCTGTCGACCCACTACAATCTTGCCGATAACCCCGATATCCTCCTTTCTCGAGCAGAAGCTCTGTACACGCAATGCCGCTTTGCAGAAGCCTTGGAGCTCACCTCGTCCATCTTGTCCACCTCCCAATCGTCTACCACCTTGGCCACTACGACTGCCCCGCATCCTCCGACTCAAAGCCACCTGGGACACCCGCCTGCCGTGTATCCCTTGCATCTGGCATGTCTCTATGAAACCGGCGCTACAAACGCCCTGTTTCTTCTGTCTCATACTTTGGCTGATCATGCTCCGGAAGAGTCCTACACTTATCTTGCCATCGGTGTTTACTACCTGTCGGTATCCAAGGTATCGGAAGCCCGAAGATTTTTCTCCAAAGCATCTTTGTTGGATCCACATTCGGCTCCGGCATGGATTGGCTTCGCCCACACTTTCGCCGCGGAAGGGGAGCATGATCAAGCTATTGCGGCGTATAGTACAGCGGCTCGACTCTTCCAGGGTAGCCATCTACCCCAGCTTTTCCTGGGCATGCAGCATCTCGCCTTGAACAACATGTCGCTAGCCCACGAATACTTATGTGCGTCCTATGCGATGTCGACTGGCGCTGCCTCCGGGTCAGTGCCCTCTATCCCCACGAACCCCTCAGAAGGCGCTTCCCTAGGTGGAGATCCTCTCGTTCTGAACGAGTTGGGCGTCGTCCTCTACCATCAAAACCACCTTGAAGGTGCTTCTGAACTGTTCCGTCAGGCGCTGGCATTGGCGACCTCTCTCAACTGTGAGCCTAGTGCCTGGGTGGCCACGCGAGCGAACTTGGGACATGCGCTACGCCGCCTCGGGTTTTTCGAAGAATCGCTGGCGGAGTTCGATGAGTGCTTGCGTGTCGGGGCTGGCGGTTCGAGCTTCGGCTATAGCCCATTCCTAGGCGGTAGCAGTGGTGCATCTGGAGTTGCAGCATCCGGCGTTGGGGGCTACGAGGACCGGGGGCTGATCGGCTCCCTCCACACTTCTCGTGGCCTGGTGCTGCTAGAACTTGGAATGACCAAGGAAGCAGTCACGGCCCTCCACGAGGCGGTCCGAGTTCTAGGGGCCAGCGGTGGCGGGGATGCAGCCGGCGGCGCGGGAATTGCTGGCACCCTCCTCTCTCGCGCCTTGGAGCTATGGGCGAGCGAAGAGCGCGCGGCGGAAGAGCAGGAAGCTGAACGATCAGCGATGAGCCAGATGAGAGCCGCGCGTGAACGAGCGAAGGGTAAAAGCGCCCGGCGACGCGATGATTCATATGCGGAAGAATGGACAGATGAGGTCCCCCAGGTGGACAGCTTTACTGCGGACTCAGAAACCTTGGAAGAGAAGGTCGAAATGGAGCTTGATGAGGAAGCCGATGGACTCCTACGCCAGGCCATCAGCCGGGTGCGCGGAGGACGACGACGCCGACCCCCAACAGCCGAGTTGAGCTCAGAGATGGAAACCAACGATACACCTGGTCCGGCTGGTAGTCGTCGGAGAGGATCCCGCAGCGCGCGGAGTACCGCGTCTCGCCACTAGTAATCGGGTTCATTTCTTTTTGGAGTCGCATTTGGCGCATGGCAGTTGGGCGTTTGGACTGGCATGACTTTATACCCCCTCATTTTGTTCCACGGAACAACGGGCTAGGTTGCATGGATGGCGTACATTCTTCTTGGTATAGAATATGGAATAGGATTGGTATAATCAACAGCGCTCGCTGGACTGCATCGTTGGACTACATCCTCACATCACCGTGCATTTGCAGTTAGACAATCTCTGCCAGGGGCGGTGATGCCCTATGATTCCCTTCTTCTCCAGAAGCAGCTGCTGGCCGGTTCGCTGCTGGCTGCGAAGTTTGCGCACGATTCGGATGAAGATCTCCGCAATATTGATGTCCAGTCTCGCCGAGGTCTCGATATACTCGGCGCCCAGCTCTTTCGCGAGACCCTTCCCGGCCTTGACAGAGACCATCCGAGACTGCCGAAGATCATACTTATTCCCGACCAGAATCACCGGCATGTACTCGTTCTTGGATGCATCCGGATATCGAGAGCTCCTGATCATCTGCACCTGCGCATAGTACTTCCACAGATGCGCAAACGACTCCCGGTCGGTGATATCATATACAAGGACCACCGCATCCCCCGCCGCGATCCACCGCTCATTCAGCGGAATGTACATGTCTCGCCCGGCGGTGTCGATAATGTCGACCTCACAGGGCTCGTCGTCGACGATGATGCGCTTTCGGATGTTGTCATCGGCGGTGGGCTCGTGCGTGCGCGGGAAATGCGAGAGACAGAGCTGGTTCCAATCCCTGACGTTGTGGACGAGAATTTACTATCTGCCTTGATGGGCACGCACCTGTAGGATGAGGGCGGACTTGCCGACCCCTTCGTCGCCGATTACAATCACCGTCGCTTTGTCGGGCATTTCCTGAAGTTGTGTTGGGCGTGTGGGTTATTTGGGAGTGTGTAGGGTGGTGATGGATGATGTGATATATAGGCGACATGCCGATGGCGTGTGGCGATAGTTAATGTTCGGTGCTATTAATGGGCTGGGCTTGATCTGGACGCGAGTACAATGCTATTTCTGGCTATCTGGTTACATCACTTGTTGTGGTCTCTTCTCCATCGGAATGCGTGGGAGCGGTTTCCATGGATGGATCATGGCAATGTCTTCCGGCCGGAGACATATATACGACGACCATCGTGCAAATATCGCCACGCCGCCAACAATCGTACGATGTGTTCGTCGCATCGGGCTAGATAGTTAGACAGGGATTTTCATCTTTGAGTTGACTTTGTATTAATTCCTGTCCACTTCGTGATATTGGCTGTATGGACCGGTGGGGATGATGAAGTCATGCGACATCAAACTTCGTATGAACCCATTTCCATAACGGGAAACTCGTGTTCGGGATAACATCCCCGTCTGATCAATTCATCGTTGCTGGAGATTCGGTTCCGATTCGGCTAGATCATACATGTAGCACTCTGGGTTTCTCATCGAGGCTGTACAATCCCTACCCATCGGTGAAGATTCAGTGATATTAGATGAGGGGAAATAAAGTGATTGCTCAAGGGCCTGGCTAGTTTGGTATCATGCATCACTTCAATGGCGAAGAGTCGCCAGATATACGGAAAAATAATATCAACGCAGGACACGATATAGTACAAACAACCCGAAGACACGATCAAACACACCTTCTAGAAGAGTCCGCATCGATCGGAGATCTCGCGACTCATCTTCACATTTCCGCAGTGTGTTCAAAGACAACCAAACCAAGCCAGCCCGTTACTCTGCGACTCAAAAACAAAGGAGCGGATACACGAATCCGCCTCAGTGACCATTCCCGTCAGGATTGGCCATCTCAGCAGAGATTCTGGCGCCGAAGCAAATGAGACTTTGGGATCAATATGTTCAGCTGACGGCTGCTTCTGATCAGTCGATTCTGACGCGTGGTTGGCATGTTCAGGGGGGTTGTTAGTCCTTGATGGACGGTCCTGTTGCTGCTTTTCCAGAAGCGATGTGATATGACCTAACTGTTGCAGAACTTCTCTACTAGTTCGATCAGCCCGTGGTGGCGCAGGCACAGCATCATGATAGTGGCACTGTGTACGATTCTCGGTGCAGTAGCCACAGACCGGCCGCGCATTGTCGCATTTGGTCCTTCGTGTACGACAGGTCTGACAGGCCGTTGCAGCCTTGGTTCGTCTAGCTGCCTTCAGATGGTGAGATCATTAGCATGGGCATGCTGGCATTTATTTCTAATCATTCTCATAGTCTGGGAATGCCTGGGTGAAGAAGAGCATCGGGTCTCTGGAGATTACATACTACTGCCTAGAACAGCTGTCTAGCCTGAGTTGTTTCTCTTTGCATATTGGATGTCTTACCCTCAGGGCTGCCACGATGTCGGGGTCAGCTTTCGGGGAGTATCCATCTTCGTCGTCCAACACCTTGATAATCTCGCTGATGGGAACGCGTTGGTCCAGCATGATCCCGAGACGATGCTCGTGCTTGGCAAGGTATTCGCGTCGGTGTACCCCGATCAAGGACGCTGCCAGGGGCCCATGATTGTGGGTTTCACACCTTATAGTCATACGCCACCGTTACTCCCTTACGCGGTACTGGATCTTCCCATGCGATGGTCTTGCTCATTGCGCGCCATGGGACTCTCGTGGTCATCATGCGATTCAATCAAAAAGTCCGGCATTGGCCCTTCAAAGAGATCACCCATCTCGGCAACCCATACGTGTTGATGGCCGTGAGAATAGCAGAAAAGGGGAGATGATTGCCTCATTGGGCGTCGTAGCACGTGCAAATAAGCCTGGCTTCCCATTGAGGTATAGCGTCCACGTGATATCTTCTCTTATTGTACAGCATCAATATAGACCACAACCTCTCCTACATCGCTCCCCAGACCTCTAACAAAGACTTCGGCTTTCGTCCTGCGCCGGCTTAAACATTCTGAGTCGTGAATAATCGTCACCGGCAATTGCAGCACCCGATCTGAATACCAAGAAAGGCCGAGAGGGGTTTCCCCACGACTTGGCATCGTCCCCCGCCAATTGAGCCGCTCTATCCGGAGACCAGTTACGGCTGTTAAGGGAGTTGACGATAGTGGTCTCTCTTGGCAAGGCGGAGATCCTTTCCTGCGCGATGGGGCTTTGCAACAGCTTTTACTACTTTAGATCGTTGCCATGCACACCTCGGCAGTTCGTCCAGTCAGTTCCCTCAACGTCGGGTTGGGCGGAACGGGCAATGGGTGAGTACGATACTCCAGGGATTGTATGCATTGGTCGACATCGAAGTGTTAGCGTTCTCTGAGAGAACTATTTTGAACTATTTTGGTACTGTCTACGTCGTGTGGATGTTAGTAACAGGCCTAACGGCCACCTTCGTCCAGGAGGTGCTTCCGGCAAGAAGTCAATGCACAAAGCGATATGCCTGCCATGACTTCATTTCAACCGAATTGCCGACTGGATGGATTGCGGGGCCCTCCACTTGGATATAGTTCGATTGCTGAGGGATTCGGAAAAGAAAAGAAAAAAACAAGTATGAGGCTTGGGGATGGGAGAGGGTTATAAATACGCTCATCCGTCACTGAGTGGACGTCTCGCACGCGGTTCACCATAGATCGGCTTCTTGAGGGCAGACCATCATCGCAATGAAGTGGTCTCTAGGTGCCTTACTCTTCTCCGGGCTGTGTCTCGCAGCCAAGCGTCCCAACATCCTGTTCATCTTGACCGATGATCAGGACAACCACATGGGCGGCATTGACTCCATGTCCCGATTGCAGGTTCGTATTCAGCAAGGATAACAGCTCTTTCCAATGAAGGCACACTAACTAACATCACACAGGAGTCGATCATCAGCAAAGGCGCCGCATTTGAGAAGCACTTTTGCACTGTCGCCATTTGCTGTCCTTCCCGAGCGAACCTCTGGACCGGCCGCATGCCCCATAACAACAACATCACGGACGTAGCTCCGCCGTACGGCGGATACCCACAGGTGGTCAAGTTGGGATGGAACGACAACTACCTGCCGCTGTGGATGCAGGATGCCGGGTACAACACCTACTATGTCGGTAAGTTGTGGAACTACCAGAACATCGACAACTACAACGACCCGCCGCCGCGGGGGTTCAACGGATCCGAGATCAGCCTGGACCCGTACACGTATCAGTACTACAACAGCATGATGACACGCAATGGCGGCGAGCCGGTCAGCTATGCGGGCCAGTACATCACGGATGTGATGACGGAGAAGGCGCATGGCTTCCTGGACGAAGCGCTGGCGGATGAGCGGCCGTGGATGATGACGGTGGCCCCCGTGGCGCCGCATTCCAACGGCACGTTGGAGATCCACTCGGGCGTTTTTTGGCAGAGCCAGCCGGAGTATGCCCCGCGGCATGCCCATATGTTCAAAGACTACAAGATCCCCCGGGATGCAAGCTTCAACGCCGCGATCGATGGAGGGGTGAGTTGGATTGGGAAGTTGGATGCGTTGAATGATAGCGTGATTGAGTACCACGATGAGTATCAGCGGTGTCGACTTCGCTCACTTCAGGCGGTCGATGAGATGGTCGAGAGTCTGGTCTCGCGCTTGGAAGAAGCCGGCGTGTTGGACACCACGTACATTTTCTACTCGACCGACAATGGCTACCATATCAGCCAGCATCGACTGGCCCCTGGAAAGGAGTGTGGCTTTGGTAAGTTATGTCTCTGGCTTTGGAAGACGGGGCTAACAGGAGCAGATACGGACATTCACATTCCGTTGTATGTCCGCGGACCGGGTATCCCTGAGAACAAGACGTTCAGCGCCGTCACCAGTCACACCGACTTGGCGCCGACGTTCCTTCGGATCGCGGGGACCACGACGGATGGACTTGATGGTAAACCGCTGCCCTTTACGATGGAAGAGTCATGCCAGTCGAAGACAGAGCATATCGGAGTCGAGTACTGGGGTGTGGTGAGTGTCCCTTGCACTTAAGATGCGTCCAGGTTGGAAAGTGCACGGGTTGACTGGAGCAGAACCTCCCTGAAGGAGTAAACGGATACCGCAAGGTCCCCCTGGAGGACGGTAGCAAACACAATATCAACGTCTACCACAACAACACGTACAAAGGTCTGCGACTGGTCGGCGACGAATACAGCCTCTACTACTCAGTCTGGTGTAGCAACGAGGTGGAGCTCTATGACCTGACCGTAGGTCCTCCGAAGAGCACTGCCCAACTGCAGAGACTGACGCACACAGACTGATCCCTACCAAATCACCAACCTTGCGTCGAACCGCGTTCGATTTGCAAACCACACGGTGGCGGGTCGTCCTCTGCACCAGGTCATCAACCGTCTGGACGCCCTGATGATGGTGGTCAAATCGTGCAAGGAAGATTCCTGCCGCGAACCCTGGAAGGAGCTGCACCCTGGGGGATACGTCGAGAACCTGAAGGCGGCGCTGAGCCCGGCCTATGATGCTTTCTATGCGCGACAGCCGAAGGTGCACTTCCGCAACTGCGAAGAAGGCTATTTGATTTCGGCCGAGGGGGCGCAATCAATCCATCCGTATAAGCGCAAGCAACGCCGGATCTTTGACTACGGCGACCATTTAGGATTTTTCAGCTAGTCCTTTGACAATCCCATAGAATATCACATACACTACACACGCTACTTTGACTGCATGATGAGTTTTCTGTCGACCGCCTACTACTGACTGGACCCCACGTCATCCCGAGAGCATTTCTTGGCCGACTCCTCCTTGGCGAGAAAGGAGCACTGCCCCACGGCTGGGTAATTAAGCGCCAGTTTAGTGCGATGGTGCGGTCCCATCTCCACCCTCGTTGTTGGATCGTTCTTTTACCCTTTTCATTTGTCCGTCCGTGGTGGCGGACGGACTGATTCCATTCCTTCGAGAATAATGGTGTCGTTTCTTACGTCACCCCCGGGATGATCTCGCGCGTTGATCGGTGTGGGCGTCAGAGTCAGCACTTATTCTGGAGGGTCGAGCTTCAGTCCGTTTTGCGCTCGAGGAGAGCCGGTGGTGGTGAGGGTGCAGGACCATGGTTGGCAACGTCCGCATGGTGATGTGCCCCGGGTCTCTTGAGACAGCCCGTGAGATCAAAGGACATCAGGGTGACTGTTCCACCGCCCCCGTCTGGTTCGCAGGGCTCAGAAACATGGCTAACGCCTAGTGCAGGTAGTGTGGTATTGGTTCAGGGCCTATAGTTAAAAGCTCAGCCTTAGGGGCTTAGGCGACGGCCTAGTGTCCACCAACGGGGGAAAACAGGACTCCGGTGTCTTATTATTTGCGGTCCAGCGCTGGGTCTGGTTCTTGGCGAGAGGCTCAATCGAGGTACAGTCTTCGTGTTTGTCGTTGATCCTCATCAGTTGAATTGGAAAGTCTGGAGGCATCTGATGTTGTACAGAATCAATGGAGGATGCAATCCAGGCACCAGATGAGTATCACGACAAACAACAACCAGCTCCCCTGAGAAACTGTTTGCTGCTACTATATCGACAATCAACACGAAGTCTTAATAATAAAAGTCTGCTCCACAAAGCTTGTCCATCACACCCCAACGCGGTAAGATTGACGCTGCCGTCCTCCATGTTTCAGCACACGATCGCCGCGTCATGCTTCCACTCCGTTTGCCTCTTGGTCGAGTCGAGACCCCTGACCATGATTTCTCTTAAAAACGAAGTCTGATCGCTGCCATGGTGTCCCCCACTTGTTCCTCTTCCTTTCTCTTCTTCCCTTTCTCTCTCTCTCTCCCTCCCTCAGACCATGCTCTCGCCCTCGGAGTGAGGCTGCTCTCCCGCCATGGCGCTCCTCAATTGCTCTCGATGGCGCCTTCGACAATCCAGCCTGCTCTACTCGCTCTACGTCCTCGCGCTGCTCTGTCTGACCGCCACCCTCGTCATCTGGTATGGCGTCAACTCCGACCGGGACTACATCCACCCGCTGTTGACCCAGCTCATCCCCGCCGGTCACTGCGCCTGTGAAACCTCGACTACCTTCCAATGCGCCAGCTGTCTGTCCTGCGCGCAGCAGACCATCGTCAATCCCCTGTCGCCCTCCGAGTCGTGGGAGTTCCAACCGGCCCGCGACGCCCACAACGAAGCCCTCGACCGGGACCAGTGCCTGGGCGCCTTCCCGGGGCTCTTCGAGGACATCGACCGCGCCGCAACCCACTGGCAGGCCCAGGGGTATCTGGGGACGGATGAGCTCGACGACATCCCACTGGCGCACGGCATGGCGCGGGCGTTCATCCACCACGGCGACCTGCACGTCGTGGCAGCGCGCGCCCGCGGCGAGGACCACCGCCGCAAGATCCTCGCCGTACTGAGCGCCATGCACCGCGCGCTGGTCGCAGACGGCAACCGCGCGGCGCGGCGCGACATCGAGTTCGTCTTCTCCGTCGAGGACAAGGTCGAGGACGTCACGGACGGAGCGAACCCCGTGTGGGTGCTGGCGCGCACCGTACCAGAGACGGGGGTCTGGCTGATGCCCGATTTTGGCTTCTGGGCCTGGGAGAACCCGCAGAACTCGATTGGGCCGTACGACCAGGTCGTGGACCGCATCCGCCGCCTCGACGCTGGCCCCTTCGAGGAGAAAACCCCGCAGCTGGTGTGGCGCGGGAAGCCGAGTTTTGCGCCGAAATTGCGCCGTGCGCTGATGGACGCTGCGCGTGATAAACCCTGGGGCGATGTGAAACAGGTCGATTGGACGGATCACACCAATATCCTCCGGATGGAGGACCATTGTCGCTACATGTTTATCGCACATGTCGAGGGTATGCTTCCCCCTCCGCTTTTCCCCGCACTGGCAGTTGACTTGAATGCTAACGACAGCAGGTCGCTCGTACTCGGCCTCCCTCAAATACCGCCAGGCCTGCAACTCGGTCATCGTCGCCCACAAACTCCAATACATCCAGCACCACCACTACCTGCTGGTGTCCGACGGCCCGAACCAGAACTACGTCGAAGTCGAGCGCGACTTCAGCGACCTCGCCGACAAGATCGAGCCGCTCCTCCGCGATCCGGGTCGCGCGGCGCGTATCGCCGAGAACAATGTGCGCACGTTCCGCGACCGCTACCTGACCAAGGCGGCCGAGGCGTGCTACTGGCGCATGCTGTTTGACGAGTACGGCCGCGTCTGGAACAGCAGTGTGCCCGTGTGGTCGGAGGAGGCGCAGAAAGAACGCGGGCTGCGGTACGAGTCGTTCTTGTTGCTGGATAGCCCAGGCCATGTTCGACTTTGCAGCGATTGCGCACTGAAAAGACCAGTCTTAATGCTTGCGTCACGCTATACATACATAATATCGGAGTTGGGAGTCTCAGCGATACCAGACGATTGTTGGTGTTATGCTTTGCTTTGGGATTGAGCTGCTACGATAGACCGTGATATACGAATAGGGACGAGAATCCCATGCACATACTGTAGTTAATCTGTTAATGATGTCGTCCCACTTGTCTCCAATAATATACGCTGCAGTCTGTACAGCGCGCTGACGCGTCAAGCTTGCCCAGATGGAGATCAACAGCGGTTCCGCGGTTGGCGACGGGTCTATTTTGCGCAGCCACCATTGACATTCAAGGCAGCCTGGAGTTTGCTGGAACGAGGCGTCTTAGAGTTAATCCAGCGTAAGGCTGACTTTTCAGTTGCCGCTGCCTGTCTGATACAGGACCCTGATAGCTTCTGAGGTCTAGGCAGCCAGAAATATCGGCTATAGCCTGTCCAGCGCATTGAGCTACCAAACGTCTGCCTGAGAGTACTTTGGGTGACACAGCATCATAAATGAATGCTTCAGCTAGTCAGAAGCATACGTAAAGCGCGCCGTGAAGGTCGCCTGAGCGTGGGCACCGTCACAGTCCAAGGCCACGACTGGAAATAGACGTCCGCCGACGCTGGTGAATGCGACTCCTACCAGAAGATCAGTCAGGATATACTGAGGCTCCAAAATACCTACCGACAGATCTCCCATTCTTACGGAACTCCAAGTCTCCTCGCAACACATCAAGTCGGCAGCCGATTACATCGCCCTTGCCGAACGTCTCCCCGTAGCTCTCACCAGTCCCACTGTCATGATACTTCAGCCCGTCGTCGCTGTGATACCCCAGGATATATCCTGCCATCCTGGCGTACAAAGTAATGAACAGCCTTCTCGACAGACCCCAAGCCCGATCGCCCTATCAAGTGGCAGTTCACTTAGCACGGATGCGCCACGGCAGTGTCAAGTCACTGTCAGCAGGAGGAACCAATTACCCTGTCTGCCCAGGGTCAAGTATCTCGATCTCAAAATAGAATGCATCATCCAGTGGGCGAATGGGAAGACCCCCAGCACGGAACCAGTCGCAGGATCTGCAAAGTAATTGAGCACCTATTTGGAGATGGGAGAATACGCTCTGGGCAGCTGCTTCTTGGGTCAGCCCCGGATCGTAGAAGCATTCGCACCGTCTCCCACCCGCATGATTGTGCCGCCTTGATTATGGGCAGGTATCCATCGTTGTCTATTGTTTTGGTGTCCGCCCCCGCTTGAATCAAGATACCCACAACGTCTTGGTACCGGAGAGCTTTTGTTTGGTTCAACGCATTCTCTCCTCGTGTGTTCTTGACAGACATATCTGCACCATTTTCTAGGAGAGCTCTTACAACCGCCGGGAGAGGGAAGCAACCCGCACGGTGCAAAGACGTATCACCGACTAGATCCACGCAGTTGATCTCGGCACCATTCTTGAGTAAGATCCCGACAATCTCGTGACGCTCTTCAGGATTAATCAAGGGCATTTCCGCCGTGGCTAGTTCTAAAGTATATATCATGATCTCGGTTTAGTTTCAATTGTCGGACTTGAGCTGCACATTCGTACCCCGCGCGACTAAGCCTGAAGAAGATCGATAGCGTCGTGGAAGATATCTTGCTTCTTATCTTCAAATTGGGCCAATATACCGGACCCAGCAGCAAACCGGCATTGACGAAGATGGTGTAAGCACTATTCTGCAGCGTACTGGAGTAGAGGATAAGTTTCCAGACTTTTGCGAATCTCAATCTTAGTCTCCCTCGTCATGATTTGCATTCCATCCGAGTTCCGATTTTCTAAGTCGATCCAGCCTAATTGAAGTTCATCGCACCGCAGATAGGAACTGCACACATGCGCAATTTCCTTCTGGCCATCTTGGAGGTTAATGCTCAGATGGGACGAAGGTGATCCTGCCTTGTCTGCTCTGCACACGCGTAGAAGGTAGTCCTGCACAGAATGATGCACAAGCCGTATTCGAGGTCCAACAGGAACGAAAATGGTTGGATCTCGGCCTTCGAGTATTTCTGGCGAATTTAATTTTGGGACGGGCTCTCGCTCGAAACCTAGACGAAAGGTGCCTGGTAAGTGATAACGAAGCCGGGTAGCGAGCAAAGTAACTTCCTTGGGGACGGAACATGCTTTTCTCCGGCCACCACAGCCAGAGCCAAGGTCAATTCTTGGACGGTCAAAGCTCGTCTCGCTAGGAGAAGCCAGATCAGGATACACTTCGCTAGGGAGAATTGTTCTGGTGGTAGGGATTTGAGTAGCTTGAACAACACTTCTCGTACAACCCCTTCAGCCCAGACGGGAGGTCCTTAATGAGACCCTCGCGACTCTCGTATGTAGCGTCGTAGCAATTAGTGATAATTTCCTTCGTAGCCAGCGAGACCCAGAGGAATATCCCGTCCGATTTTGTGAGTAGAGCTTCCTGAAGGCCCTGGATTTCTTCCTCATCCAGATTTAGCAATCTCTTGATGCTTGCCAGATCATCCTGCATGGCGAGACAAATGTCTGGCGGTACAGATAATCTAAAGGATGCCTCTCCGGCAACAAGTGAAAAGAGAATATGGGGTTGCGCACGGCTGGAGAACAACAACTTTGCAACGGTGCCATTGAGCGATCAGTTCGTTGCCAAGTTAAGCAATTTTGTCAGAAGCCCTGCCAGTTCGGTAGGGTCGCATTCGTCCAGGGCATCTATGGCACAGTATAGCTGGGAGAAGCGGGCATGTCGAATAAGGGAGGTGAAAATAGCCCACAGCGTCTCAAACGATAAACTGGGCATGTCTGGGGAACGCTGGATTCGGAGTACCTCAACGTCAGTTATGGCTTCTTCGAACAGACCGTCGCCATCGATGACCAGTTGTGCGATAAAGCCCCTGAGGATAGAGATCGGTATATCTATTCGATTCACGCAGGTGTAGAAGTAATAGAGCACTGCGGAACCGTGTGAGGTTAAGTGCCGAGTGCGAAACTTTTGGACGATGCTCTTCATCAGCAGACTTGCCACTTCCCATCTTACCCACCATGTGCAGGCTGGCGATTGGCTTCATCTCGTGCCATTGTATATACTCGGTAGATTCGTATATCTAGGATGTTGTCCCCTTGGACGGGTCTTTGATGCGCAAGAGGTCGTCGACATGATTGGGAGCATCAAGGAAGTTTAAAAACTCTCTCGCCGTTATGTGGCTGGTAGGAACCGCTCGAGGCTGGACATTGGCCCCAATGTAGACCACCATGCTCAAATTCAGAGACATCTCTCGCTTCTGCAGCTCCCTCGTCAGCTCGTCGAGTTCACCATATCCCTTCTGTGTGCGAAGATTTCTCATGTGGCGCCACAGTATCCCTCCGCTGGCATTGGTCCTGCTTAGCTTGAGAATGCCCGCGAGAAGTTTCTGCAGGATACTTTCGATCTCCACAATCTCGCTCTTCAGTAAGGAATCGGTGTCCAGCGATTTGGTCACCTTGACCTTCTCGAGGATGGACTGGAGAGATGTGATTTCGAACTGCAAGGCGCACAAGCGCTCAGGAGCTTTGCGATGGTCATCTATCAGCTTCTGCACCCGCTGGGCCAGATCGATGGCCGAGACAACTGTATTGAAGATGTCCATAGCGAAGAGGAACGGTGTGGGGTGCTGTCCACTGCTTTGTGCTTCCCGTGACCTACTCTTTAGGAGCCCACTGGGCAGGCGAAGAATACAAGAGTACAGGAGGAAGTCAGCTCTGAGCAAGGCCAGCGACGGCTGTAACGCTAGCCTGGCTTGGCGATGGACACTGCGTCAACCATGATTGGAAGTAAATGCGCCATTGTATCCAGATAGTTGGCTGAACGAAAGTTGGTTGTCACTTTAGACTCCGTGTCAAGGAAGCCAGGCATTTGATGGGGAGGGAAGTCCCTTCTCGCTTTGATATGTTACTGTCGTCTTCTGCGAGAACTCGAATGGCACCTCATCGGCTTGATGATGCGTCTTTGTTGCAGCATGGGGCGGGGTTGGTGCAGATACACCAATCATTATGGAAAGGGTTTTATACGAGGAGAAGCGGCATGTGTGATCGGTGGTGATGATGGGTGTTGTTGGGATTATTAGACAGGACAGATACTAAGTAGTCTCTGGTCGATCCTACCGAAGCATCCATCTGCCTATTGTCTTGTCAGTTCCTTCGCCCATGCTATATAGATGTTAATACTTTTGTCGAAGTGCAGGTGGCTGCGCTGATCCATGGTTGACATCCGGGATTATACGCCTAGAGGTCTGAAAACAGGGAAGAGACACTGCATTAGTTGATGATGCGAGGACTGACCCGGTGCTGACATCAAGATGAGATAGTGGGAAAGAGTTGTTGTTGATGCTGGAGGCCAAATTGGTGAGGGTTGGAGGTCACCTGACCGAGCATATTTCCTGTGTTGGTGATGACATCCGACGGTCTCTCCGCCAACCACCACCCCTTCACTTTCACCCTCACCATCATCACCACCAACCATCAAAGAGTTGACTGACACCTCGCATTCCACGGGTCCTGGTGGATCCCCCGAGAGCTTTTCGGGACTGCAACACCTGGGCAACCGCAACCATTCAGCCACACCGACTGCCCCTTTTTTTTTCTGCAATGACGGGCTCCATCGCACCATGCCGTATTACTCGCTAGGCCCGACGCCTGCTGACAATTGATCCACCCGGACTGGCATGTTGTGGTGCGCTCCCTCAGCAAGGAAGCTCCCGCTCTCCAGATGAACCATGATCTGTGCGCCGATCGACTCCCCTTTGGGCCCAGTCAGAAGTGCCCAGTGGAGTGGTCTAAGAAGCCAATCCACTCGACTATCGAACCCCGATCGCTTCTTCGAATCGGCAAGATTCAGCTGAACCACGATCTGCAGCCACTGCGGCCCCTGCTCAAATCACAATGCCGGCCAAGCTGGGCGATGGTTGCACGGGTTGAAAAGCTGGCGCAACCGATGGGTATGCAGACGCAGGCTGGGGAAGCTGTCTTGGAGGGGCTTCTTTAAATGTGTGCTTTGCCTGCCATTCCGACTCTGCTTCTCTCGCTCCCTCCCTCTCATTTCCTTTGCAACCGCTTGACCTGAGACACGATGCCGTCCCCCATTCCCCAGCCCAAAGGTTACCCCCTCGTGGGTAATCTCTTCGATATCGACTCCCAGAATCCCTGGGGTTCGTTCAATAAGCTCGCACTAAAGAACAAATATCGTGAGTATCATCCTTCCCCAGATGTCCCGCCTTCCTTGAGTAGTTTCCTAATTGTACTGGGGCTCTAAAAAGGCCCTATCTTCAAAATCAACATTCTCGGTAAAGATCTGGTGTTTGTGACCGGCGCTGCCCTCCTCGAGGAAGTCTGCGATGAAAAGCGTTTCCGCAAATGCGTCTCCGGACCCATTGTCCAGATCCGCGATGCAGTTCACTGCAGCTTGTTCACCGCGTACGAGAAGGAGATGGAAGATTGGGGCATCGCCCATCGGATCATGGCGCCGATGGTCTCGACCGAGGCAGTCGCTGAACTCTACTCGGGCATGAAGGAGACCATGCCCGATCTCATCAAAAAATGGACCGCCGGACCGCGCCAGCGCGTCAACGTCACCAATGACCTAGACCGGCTCAACCACGCAGCAAACATGCTCTGCTTCTTCAACCAACGGGTGGACTGCGTCAACGGCCCCGAACCCCCCGCCATCCACGCTCACGAAGAATCCACTGTCGAAGCGACGCGCCGATCTTCCCGCATGAAGCTTGTCAACTGGCTCTTCCACCAGAAGAAATATGACAACTACATCAAGATCATGCGCGACTACGGGGCGGACATCATCGCCCACCGGAAGGCCTACCCGACCGATAAGAATGACATGTTGAACGCGTTGATGAACGGTAAGGACCCGCAGACTGGAAAGGGCTTGACCGAGAGCCAAGTGCAAGACGAGATCATCAACTGCTTCATCGGCAGTGCGACAGCGCCCAACCTGATCTCCTTTGCGCTATACTACCTGATGAAGAACCCGGACACCATTAGACAGGCGCGAGAGGAGATTGACGCGGTGGTTGGCGTCTCGGAGAGCGTCGAGCAGGAGCATCTTGCGCGTTTGCCCTACTGTAAGGCCATCATCGACGAAACATTCCGCCTGTCGGCGGTCGCTCCTGGCTTCAACCTTGAGCCTCATCCGGACGATGAGGGCCCTGTCCTGCTCGCAGGGGGTGAATACGAGATTCCCCGCAAGCAGGCGTTGATTGTTCTCCTATCGGCAGTTGGCCGTGACCCGGCAGTGTTTGAGGACCCCGATGCTTTCAAGCCTGAGCGGATGCTGGGCGAGAAGTTTGATCGCCTGCCGGCCGGTGTGAAGAAGAGATTCGGCAACGGCAAGCGTGAGTGTATTGGAAAGCGATATGCATACGAGTGGTCCTTCATGACGCTGGTGAGCATCCTCAAGGACGTGGAGTTTGAACTGGCGGATGCGAACTACGTGATGAACAACGACGGCGTCAACTACAATGGAGCGTTTAGTGTCAAGCCGCAGGGATTCTTTGCCGTGACGGGACCCAGACAGCGAAGCGGTCATTGATGGGCGATGGTGATGCTTGACATATACTATATAATACCACTTTGTTGCAATTTATTTACCATGCATGATGCTATCTGCATCAATTCACGATTCCTATGCTAGCGTCCTGATCCATGCCTGTATCCTAGCCATCCCCATCAGTCCACCTCTGCATCTATCCTCGCAGCCCAGCGAGTCTGCATTCCAGAATCTAAGACATCGTGGGACGTGGCGGAACTCAATGTCTGAGCGAGAAGCAAGGGCGTTGCAACTAGGACTATCTCCAAGCGACGGAGGACCGAATGACCTATCAAGGGTCCAACTACCCGGGATCATGCTTTCTTTTTTTGGCTATCCAAATCACAGGATTCACATCAATCCACGTGTCATCGGGCGTCAGAGTGTGACGGGCGTGGGAATGTATCGGAGTAAGCATCCCAAAGCAAACATTCTCTCCCTGCCGTCCACTTAAATATCTCATTCTAGCCTGGCTATACATCTCCATCAAACATCCATCTCTGTACGACCTACGAGTTACGACCAATCTCTCATTATGACCACTGAACCGCTTCACCTCCATCGAGACCACCTCTCCGTGGCGGAGGTTGACCTCCACGATCCATACGGTACCCTCCTACAGAAAAAGCAACAACAAGAAAAAGAAAAGAACCTAACAAACCCTAGTGACCGCAAACCTCGGCCTCTTCATCATCCATAACGTCCTCCGCCGCAATCTCGCCAGCTGCGCCCGCCACGCCAAATGCCTCGCAACATCCAACTTCGAACCCTTCCTCGTTTATACCCGCTACACCCTCCAAGTCCTCGAGGATCACCTCCGCTGCGCAGAGGACATCTCGCTCCCCGTCTATGCGGACCGGGACCCGCGATTCAGCGCCCTGATGGACGCGCATAAGCAAGTTCGCAAGGAAATTCTCCCGCTTCAGAGTCTCCTTGCCACACCCTCGTGGAAGTTGGCCGCGGTGCTCCCTCAAATCGCCGACAGCCTGGCTATTCTCCAGGAGAAGCTCTACCCGCAGTTCGATGCCGTCGAAGACGTGATCAACCAGACAGCGCGACAGATCCCGCTGGAGATGGTCAAGGCGATGGATGCCAGGCTCGAGGAATGCCGGCGGCAGAATAGCAGGAAGCAAGGGACCGTGTGGGCGGCGTTTTATTTGACACGAGCCTTGAGTCCAGAGGAACGGGAGTTGGGTGCCTTGCGCATGCCGAAGCATAAGCTTGAGGGGATGTTGACTGCGGGGGAGTTGCAGTTTCGACGGTGAGTCTGTCATGACTGCTCGATGGATGCTGGGAGCTAATCATGGCTGTTAGGGAGGCGCGATTCATGCCGCAGTTTTAGCTGGGTTAATTTATCGGGATTGCTTTTGGTATAGTGTTTACAAAGTACTCCTTTCGTGAAGTTGGTTGTATGGATATGATTTCGGCCACTGTGAGTTCGATAGTCTTGCACTCGTCCAGTTCAAGCACAATATTCAGCGGCAATTTGCAATATACGTAAATGCTTCACAAGGAGAGAAACTGAATATAGTGCCGTCAGGGTTCGGAGCAGAGATTTGATTTATCATGGCCATGATCTGACAACAAGAATCGCCAGAATGAAGCTAAAAATTGTCTGTATTTTCCCGACACTGTACACAAGCCGCAATGTCGATTGACTGCAGTTCGACCTGAGATTCCATATCCATCCCCAAGAGCCCGACCGATCCCCGACGCATGCAAGGCCCGGACAGCAATAACTAGTCTCTACGGCCATCTATATTCACCACACCACTCCCCGGCTTCATGAACACGTTGACACCAGACCCGGAACATAGATAGTGCTGTCAAGATCGACTGAGGTCTGGGCATGTATGTCACTATCGCTTAATCCTTTTTATAGAAGTACACGGAGGTATATAGAACGATATGCACTGGATAAAGAACTAGTGCAAGGCTGAGACATGGCAGATTATGGTATGACGTGGGTCAGCTTCATCGCCTAGTTCGCCCGGCACGGACAAAAGCCCCTCTACATCTATCTAGCGAGAGTGAAAGACTACGTCTGGAATGCTTCATTTTAACCTCTTTCCGAATTCAATATATCCATAAGATTGAACGATGCCTCTCCTTTCTCTGCCGAATGAATTGCTCTTCGAGATAGCCGCAAGACTCCAAAATCAGAAAGACATCAACAGCCTCACAACCACATGCTGCCAAGCTTATTCACTACTCAACGGCTACCTGTACAAATACAACATACAACATGGCAATAGTTCCGCGCTCCTATGGGCTTTGCAGCGCGGGAGTGTATCAACAGCCAAAAAATGCCTGCAAATGGGTGCAGACCTGGAAGCCGACGTCGCCGGGAGCGACACGCCACCGTTAACCGCCACGAGCTACCGAGAGCCAGACGTCGTACGCTTTCTACTCGAATCCGGAGCCAACCCCAATCGACCAGACATGCTTGGCAACACTCCGTTGATCGTGGCATCCCGAGCGGGCGACGAAGCGACGGTGCGCGCACTGTAAGAGCACGACGCAGATCTCACCGACAAAGACTACGTCAGCCAGGGCGCCATCATTGCGGCCGCCGAGTCCGGCCACGCCGCCATTTGTGATCTCCTCCTCCCCAAGATGCATGGTCTGCAGGACGGGGCCATCGATGCCCTGACCGCAATAATCCACGCGATACACCTGCGCCACTCGGCTGTTGTCAAAACGTTTCTGGCGTACGGCGTCGATCCCAACGGCCGGACCAGAGACCACGAGAGTCCTCTCCTCGAAGCCATGAAACACTGTCAGACGCCCGCATCGGCGGAAACAATCACGCATCTGCTGGATGCGATGGCCGTCCTGGACTCGCCAGACCCCGGGTACATGACGCCTCTGATGTACGCGGCATTGTTGGCAAATGAAGAAGGAGCCCAGATCCTCCTCGACCGCGGAGCGGACGTGAACGCCCGCGACGACCAGTTGGCTACTCCGTTGGAATGGGCTGTCTGAAGTGGTCACGATGATATTGTGCAAGTCATGCTCGACAACGGCGCGGACCCCAACGCTCAGAACTACCAGGGAGACACGCCCCTCTTCGTGGCGGCGGGGAGCTTTCATACCAAGGGAATCGTCCAGGCGCTACTTGCGAAGGGTGCAGACCCCAACATCGCGAATTACAATGGTTGCACACCGTTAAGTGAGGCTATACTATGTGATGGATTCGAGAGCCCTGAAATCGCCGGAATTCTGCTGGAAGCCGGTGCTCGTCCAGATCCCAAGGATAATGAAGGATGCACTCCTCTATTACTAGCTGCAAAGAGTGATAGCTTGGAGGCCGTCAGGGTACTGCTGGAAGGGGGCGCCGACCCGACTGCAACGAACAACGACGGGGAAACGTCGTATGGTTATGCTGTGAAGCATAAAAATGAAGAACTACTTGCGATGCTACAGAAGTATGACCGAAAATGTCTGACTTGACGAGTTAGCAGACACATCAAATGAACAGATGCAGAAGCAGCTTTACGATTTCAAGACACAACCGTGAATCACGTGCTGTACACAATAATAGATCTAGGTATACAGTACGTCTTTTATATTATACATGGTAACGGACAACTCGCAGTGTCACGACCTCACACACGAAGATTGCCCGTTTGGAAAGGCAACTCCCCTTGAATAATACTCGAAGCCAACGAAAAAGCATACCACACCGTCGCAATCAGCGCGAGAGTGTTCAGGCGCACCGACGAGGCGTAGTCTTCGCCGGAATCCTGATTGGTCTGTCTGAAAAGACCCAACGCCGCAGTGCCAGTACTTTTTGCATCTGACCCTTGCTCTGTGCAACGATTAGCTGGCATTGTCTGCGTACTCCGTGCGCCATCCACGAACGCCGAACCAGCAGTTATAAGGAAACAGCGGACGCATTTGAAAACAGACTACATACCTCGCAACGTCTGGCGGTCAATATCGGCTCTCGAGATGCAAGGGCCGAAGACAGCCCAGTTCAAAGACCCGGCGACAAGGACAATCGCCAAGGGCGCCGCACTCCATGGGTTCGTGGCGAAGGAAAAGATACTATAAGGAGGCCGAGTGGCCGCGGTCAAGATTGCCAGCCCAAGCTGGCACTGGTAATAGTTGAATTCGCCGAATATGAGGGTGCGGTGACATATTGGATCGACAAAGCGCTTTACAATTGTAAGTTGCATCCTCAGCGAAAGGGATAACGTATTGTTCAGTCATACCTGGAAAAGCCCAGTTCCTAGGAGAGCGCCATATGCGAGGAGATGATAAGGGAGGAGGCTAAAGAGAGTGTCAAATATGGCCTGCATGTTTAGGTGAATAAGGGATGTGAGAGAAGGACAGATGGAGCGAGGGCGGAAGAGGATGCGATGCGCCAAGGTTAGCCAAGCTTAGGGCTGGAGGGCGGAATATGGCTGCCTTCAGGATCTTCTCACGGCCTCCTTCTTGTTTTAGAAGAGAGTAGTATACATTCCAATAAGCATCACGACAATGGATCACAACAGATATCATACACTAAGCTAGGCTGGAGATATCAGGGCATCCCGCATTGCGAGTTCAGATCTCGACAAAAGACCATGAATGGCCACTGAAGCGTTTCAACCATGATCTGATCCAAGTATTCACCTGTGCTTTTCCTAGCTAATCATTATTCGCATTGAACAAGAGCCATTCATAAATCCTCTCTTCGGGCTGAAGGGCTCATAGCCTTTGACTATGACGAACAGTTTGACCCATTGCCCAAGACCCTCCCCGGAATATATACTACGTGACCCCAGGTACGCCCAGTGTGTGGTACAGTAGATGCTAAGATTTCATGCGCCAATGCAACGAGTTTACCATAATTGGCAAAATACCTGCACCAAAACAAAATATAACTATAAGGGCAACCATTTATCCCAAGGTACATCGGTGTTGCAGGCGAGGCAGAATTAGTCAGACCATCGGGATGTGGTCCAACGTTGTACAACTTCAACTCGGCTCCAAGTGGAGGAACAGAGCGCAACGCAAGACGCCGTATAAATCCAGCCAGACGCGTTCTAATACATCTTGATTTCGATTTCCCGACCCGGAATACATCCGCTTCCTCAAGGTTCGACGCAGTATAAATACTGCCAGGCTACCTAGTATAGGTACCATCACAACCCAAGTACAGCACCAGCACAAATGGCATCCACCAAATACAGCAACCATTTCTCCCTGAAGAACCTCCCATTCGGAGTCGCCTCATCAGACAAACACCCGCATCCACAATGCGCAACGCGCCTCCACAACACCGTCATCTTCCTAGGCGACCTCCAGCGCAGCGGAGTCTTCGCCCAAATCTCCGACCTCCCTGAAGGCGTCTTCGACTCACCAACCCTAAACAGCTACGCCGCTCTCCCAAAACCCACTCATCGCGCCGTGCGCCAAACCCTCCAGTCCATCCTGCAAGACGGCACCGGCTCTCTCCCGCCCTCCAGCACCGAGGACATCACCGCCGTCACGCTGCATCTCCCCGTAACAGTGCCCGGCTTCACCGGTACCACCCCCACTTGCCCACCATGAACTGCATAAAGCCGTGGTACTAACGCAAAGTCAGATTTCTCCTGCAGCCTAGACCACGTCAAAAACGCCGGACGCGCCATTCTGAACGACGAATCGCCGCCCCCGGGCTTCTTCCACTTCCCCATCGGGTACACCGGCCGCGCGAGCACGATCGTCGTCTCGGGGACGCCCATCGTCCGGCCGCTGGGGCATTTCTACGACCGCACCGCGGCCACCGAAAAGAAGCCCGTCGTGTACGGGCCGTCGCGGGCGATGGACTACGAGCTCGAGATTGGCGTCGTCGTCGGGAAGCCGCTGCCCCCGAACCGGGGGTTGGATGCGCGCGATGCGGAGGAGCATATCTTCGGTCTGGTTATTCTGAATGACTGGAGCGGTATGTCTTTTTCTAGACTGTAACACGGTGTGAGGAGAAGGATGAACAGAGCTAATTGAGTGTCGTACAGCCCGCGACATCCAAGGCTGCGAGATGGTCCCCCTCGGCCCCCTCAACGGCAAAGCCTTCGGGACTACCATCTCACCCTGGATCGTTACCCTGGACGCGCTGGAGCCGTTCAAGGTTGCTGGTCCCGCTCCGCGGGTCGATCTCCCCCGTCATCTCCAAGACCCGGGTGAGTTCAACTACGCGATCGAGATGATGGTCGAGCTGCAGCACGGGGAAAACACATCGCGGCTGAGCAGGTCGCAGGCGCAGGACATGTTCTGGAGTGGACGGCAGATGTGTGCTCATCTGGCGAGTACGGGCTGCGACTTGCGCACGGGGGACATCTTGGGTACGGGCACGGTGAGTGGGTCGCAGGAGGGGTCGTACGGGTGTCTGTTGGAGATCACGCAGGGTGGGAAGGCGGCGGCGCAGTTGGTGGATGGGTCGACGCGAGTGTATCTGCAGGATGGGGACGTGGTGCGCATGACCGCTGTTGCTGGAGACGAATCGTCTGGGGTTGGGTTTGGAGAGTGTGTTGGCGAGCTGCGGCCAGCAAGAGCACTCTAGATACTGTAGGTGGGCAATGCGTCTGCTAGACGTTGTTGAAGTTCGTTTCATGTGTGATGGGATATTTCATGAATACGATTAACTGGTCAAAAGTATCCAAAACTAAGACAAGCAGTAAACAACCTGTAGAGATACTCCGGCATATGCGCCTTCCCCTGTACCCAGCGCCGAACCCAATCCAACCCCATTCGGCCCCTTTTAACTCCAGAGAGGTGGATGGGATGTACTCGGCAGCCCGATCCAGGAGGTTCAAATTGGTCCATTTCGCCGCTGGTCGAGCTTTCCGGCGTCGGGGGCGGAAGTGACCCCATACTCGGGGTCATTCCAGCTGACACTGGGGGAGCAAGACCGCCCATTGCGGACCCTGCCGCAGGGTTCAGGTAGACAGGAGAGCCGCGGGTGCCGGCCACTGCATGGACTTGGTTGCCGAATGCATGCTCGAGCTTTTCTAGGGCTCGGAGAGTTTTGGTCAATGGCTTCGCCCACTGAGTCTGTGTATCCACAGTGACTGCAGGGGAAGAGGAGTCCACAGGACCACCAACTCCAGGCACGGTGGCGGTATCGCCAATAAATTCTGCATTGGCGCGCTCGGCGATAATGACTTTGAGCTGTTGAAGAAGGGTCCAAAACCGGGGATCCGTCTTCGACTCTTCTGTGACTGCAAGAAGAAAGATTGAACTTATTGCCCGTTGCAGGGCAATCCAAGAACGTGACGCATGGGAGCTGACGGAATGCATCTCCACATACGCCTCAACCGTGGTCATCAGGTTACTAATGCAATCCGCGCGCATCTGCGCAGTGGCCGGGTCATTAGTGTCGGGAGAGGACTTGAGCGCTGGCCGGCAGAGCTCAGAGGCGAAATATGACGAATGCAATTTCAGGACAACCCGCTCCAAGTGGTGCGATGTGGTTGCACAGTATTGCCGGTCGCGAAGATACGGTGTGGCCTCTATCATGATTTGCTGAATTCTTTCCTTGTAGGTCTGAATGGTCTTGAAGCTCAACTGGGAATGAGGGCTCAGCATGCGGCTGCGCACGACCTCTAGGGCCAAGGCGATCACCCGACAAAGGGTTTCAAAGTAAGTCAGTTCGCCAGGCTTTGAGTTTTCGAGATACGCGATCTCAGGCTGACTGACAGCGGTCGTCGAGGGTCGATCGTAAGAGAGAGAGAAATGGCTATCTTGCCACGCCATAGACCACCTTTTGTACGTTAGCTTTGCGGACGTTACGAATGCACGGACCATAGAATAGGGACACATACCAAGCGTGTCGTCTGCGGTATCGTTCTGCTGATGAAAACCGACTGGATTCAACATGCAGACCGAGAGCCAGTCCCATTCGAAGAGTCATGCCTGCCAGATGTCAGTAACGCACCTCCTCGAGAGAGTTCGTTTACTCACCTAGAAGAACGTAGGAAATGCCAGGGTTCATATTATAGGACAGCACGTTCCCGATGACAAGAAGAGTTTGAATGGCGTCGATGGTCGGCTGGGACAGGAAATTGGTCATGCGAAGGCATTGGTAGGAGCAACACACTATGCCGGGTCAGCAATAGAAACACAGGAAGGACGATTGTGGCTGGTTACCATAAACCTGAGACGTCAATTCGCGCTCCTTGCCCGGTAAATCAGACGACTGGCATCCTGATGCCAGCACGGCGAACAACAGGCCCATATACGCAATGGTCACACCGAATGGTCGCTGAGCCCCGTCAACATCGGCTCGATACATGCCACCCATGGAGGCTCGATTCTGCAGGAGCAGATCAAGATTCATCTCAAAGTGACGAGTGTCCTCTAGAACAGGATATATAGCGCCTGCAATGTCTCGATAATAGTAGAAGAATCTATTATGATGTTAGCATCGCACAAGAAATATGATCCGGACGAAAACCCACTCCTTGCACTGGTGGTCGCTCGGGAGCGCATTGCACACAGCACTGATATCAAAAGTCGACATGTCCGATGACCATAAGTCAACGAACGGATATGTCGCCGACTCATTGTCCAGCCCCAGCTTGGGCAGAATGCCCCCTTCCAGGAGCGCCTGCAGCTGGTCCGACCCCGATTTATTGTTTAATATATATGCCAGCACGGATCTGGACCCGAGATGCACGGTGCCTTCACCGAGCGTATTCGGCGCATGGATGCCTTCACGCTCAGGAGAAGCGCCCTTAGACCGGTTACTCGCATCGGCACTCTGCACACTACCCGTTTCCAACGTCGAGGCCTGCGTTTCCTCCGCTCTCTCAAGGCCCACGCGAAGAGTGCTGATCGTCTGCTCCATTTCTTTGAGTCGCGACCGGACATTTTCCCACTCTTCGCGCGCAATTGACACTCGTCCGCCACTAGACACTGGGAGCGGCCGGCTAGGACCCGGTTCTTGTTTAATCCGGGCGCCGTTATCCCCCGAACTAGGCATCCCGACATTATCGAACCCGCTTGGCGTCGATCCAGCGCCGGGGCTGTCGCGATATGATGGGGGAACCGCCCCGGTTAAAATGCGTTTCTTGGTCGGACGTTCGTAGGAGCACAGGTCGGCGTGGTCGCGCTTGACGCACCCGTCGCAGGGAAGATTGCGATCGCATTTCACCTTGCGCGCGTGGCAGGGATAACAGGCCTTGGGCTCGCGGGCTTTCCGTTTTGTGCGGATAATGGCGTCGACTTGGGCTTGCGGTAGGTCGGCCAGAGGGCGCGAGCCAGTCGCCGCCATCTCCGCAGCGGGCACGGACGGCGAAAAGGACATGGGCGGTTGATATGGGGAAGTCATTGTCGAAGGCGTCAAGCACAGAACACGGTGGCAGGATTGATCGCGCGTTCTCACGTAGTCTCAGAATGTATCCTGGGTGCCCGCCAGACAATGGCACTCATGGGAGAGATGGGCGGCGATAGGCGGATACGGCGCGATGGAGGGCAATAGTCTGCTGCAGCCGTCACACTGACACGGGAGACATACACGCAATGCGTCGCCGAGGGGCTATTGAAACATCGTCCGCCAATCTCGTCTAATCAAGCGTCCGGAGATGGCCAGCAGGTATAGCACAGAAAGGCGAGCATTCCCAGATACCTTGGCACCAAAGAAGGAAGTCGGTGATGATGAGACCTGACTCAGCGGAGTCAATGACTAATGGGCTCAATCACGTGTGGCTAAGCCCTGTCCAGCCCTAGCCCTATATGATGTCATTTATAGTTCCTGACATGGATAGCATCAGATGTCGTCGAAGTAGGTATATTATCGAAGTATCATCACGAAGAAATATATATGAGGTGTCTCCGTTTCTATTATACAACATCAACCCTCCATAGATGCCAGTACCGGACACCAGCACAGCCCGCAGGAGGTATGGGCTGGTTCGACATCGAGCATGCCATTGAGCATCATGGCTGCATCCAGTCGTTCAACAGAATGATACTTGGGTGGCATGGTAGGTGCAGCTATCAGCATTGTAATACACGAGCTGCCTCATTGGAAGTTCCATTGGAAGAAGAGCAGACACGCTGCCGAACGTCTGGCAGTGTCTGCGCTCATCACACCCCACGCACGAGCGTTACGGACATGGTTTGGAACCCATTGCCATTATCCTTATTCTTCCAGCCGACACGCAACTGTTGGCGACTGCATCCTCCCGTCCGCCGCTTCTACCCAAGAGATCCGTCTCAGGTCTTCCAGGGCAAGCTTGGTGTCAAAGTGCTCCTTGCCCAGCACCTTCTCCCGTCCTGCATACACCCTTTCGGCCAAGGCTGCTGCATCTTCCCATCGGCCTTGAGACTGATAGATCATTCCCAGGTTAGCGGTGGCGGTGAGAGTGTGCGGATGGTCTGGACCCAGCGTCGCCTGCATTGCTGTCATGGTCTCCGCAGCCAAGGCTTCTGCATCGCTGAGCTGGCCTTGACGCTGATAAGTCACTGCCAGATCCGCCATCGCTGTCAGCGTGTATGGATGGTGAGCTCCGAGACGGGCTTGCATCGTTTCCACGACTCTGGTGCCAAGTTCGATGGCACTCTGCAGCCGGCCTTGGCCACGGTGGGTCGAGGCCAGATTTCCGACGGCCATGAGGGTCTGCGGATGATCCCTCCCTAGGACCGCCTCGCTGACCTCTACCACTCTTTTCTCCAGACGTTCGGCTTCCTCCCACCGATCCTGCTGTCGATACGTGGCCGCTAGATTAGCCATCGACGTCAGAGTCAACGGATGGTCGGACCCCAGCCGTTGCTCTCTTGCGTCCAGAACCGAAAGCTGTAGACTCTCTGCTTTGGCTAGTCGGCCTTGTTCGCGGTACGTTTCTGCCAGATTGGACTTCCATGTCAGAGTGGAGTTGTCCGTCGCACCGAGCCTCGTCTCGCCGAGTTCTATCAACCGCTGCTCCAGTCGTTCCGCCTCCGCGTACCGACCGAGGTTCCCATATGTGACGGCGAGGTTGCCCATGGACGTCATCGTAGAGGCGTGGTCGAGTCCAAGTGTCCGCATCCGCGCTTCCAATACCGTCACATGCAGTCGTTCTGCTTCCTTCCACCGGCCCTGACGGCTATATGTCGATGCGAGATTCGCCATGGAGATCAGCGTCTGCGGATGTTCTGCTCCCAGGGTCCTGCGTCGCAGCTCTACGACGCGGCTCCCGGTCTCGGCGGCCTCTTCCCAGCGCCCTTGGCCCCAGTACGCGGAGGCCACATTACTCATAGCTGTCAGGGTCGCGGGATCGGTTTCGCCCGAGAGAGTCATCCGTGCGTCCAGCACAAGCTGCGCCAGATCGAGAGCCGCTACCCACCGGGCGCCGTCGAGATAGATTTTGACCAAGGTGCTGAGATTGTCCAGCAGAGCCCGATCGTCAGCGGTGTCTTTCGTCTTAGCATCTTCCACGATATTGTGAAGCTTGGTGGCTTCGTCGGTGAACCCGCGGTTGGTGTAGCTCGAGAGCAGATCGTCTAGCGCGTCGAGCAAGGATTTGGGTGAATCGGGGCGCGCAGCCCATTGGTAAAGGAAAGAAAAGACCATCAAGGGGAGGATGGGTGGTTACAACAGAGGGAGGGAGACTAGATATTCCGATGAGTCGATTTCAGAATCAGGTGGGTAGCTGAAGGTGGAGATAGTGCACCATGCTGTCGCCCTGGGGATGTCCGATCAGTCGTTAATTGCTAACCAACACGGGATGTTCGCTCCTCCGTTCGCTTTCTTGGGTTCCTCTGCGCCTCGGTGTCCAAGATACACTTCAGACAGTGCAGCAGGGACTTGAACGTGCGTGTTGTGTCATCGGTGCCTCTCGTAAGGCGGCTTTCCTTCGGAATTGTGCTGCCTAGAGGGCACCACGCTAGAGGAGTCTGGAGTAACTATGTCACTCGAACAAATCACAGAGCCCTTTCGGCTCAGCCCTATAAGGCTTAACTGTTTTAATTTTAGTATCGATATAAACGGAGTTGACATTAATATTGCGATCATCTTTCTTAGTCAGTTGTTCCTTACCCATTATCTTGCCGCTGTTCAACTGGCAGTCCTCCCCGGTCAACCCAGGTGAATAACACAATAGTGACCGCCCAGAGGTCCAAGGAACTTGCTTCCGTCGTCTGGATAGTGCTCTATACGGAGGATGACCGAAGGCCATTAGCGTACTGATCGCCAGCGTACAAGTACTCAGCATGCTCCTTCGAGCTTACGTCTTCTCGGCGGTACAACTGCTTGGCGTGTGAAATAGTTGTCGACTCTGTTCATGTTCATCGGTTTTCTAATCCGATACATACCTGCTTATATGGGTGACTCCTTAGGGCTCTAGTGCTTGATCAACATGGCCACTACTAATGTGACTACGCCTATCGGTCACATTTAGCCGCCTGAACGTCGTTGCCTATCACACTAAACCGGGGCTAACTACCTAGGTAGAGACCATAATGTACTGAACTATAGCGTACTACGGCTAGGGTCTGACCACAGGATACCACATTCTTGCTGCCTTAAGGATAGGCTTCGTCCCGTCTAGCCCTAATGTGGATATCAAACTGCACGTCTACATCAATAACGAAGCACCATTTAGCGCTGGGACGTCTGTAACCTGCTCATCTCCTCCGGTCAGGATATCACCATGCATATACCATCAAGTGTGTCTGCAGAGCATAGGAGTAGTCTAGCATATATAAACAGGTGTCTATTGTCCCGCCGTGGTGAATTGCATTCTTCCTCGTGGCTTCAGCCTTCGTTTGATACCTGACACCCAGATCTATCTGCATTGCTACTAGATCTACTACCCCACCGCGCCATAATCAGCAGCCCCCACAATGGGTCTCGCGAAAGTTCTGCTCAAGGCAATCCTCGTGCCTATCGTCGTCGTCGTCGTCCTGACCGCCGTCGCGGTCATCGCGTTCAAACACCATCGAGACAAGAAGAACCGCAACAAAGAAATCGAGCAGCAGGCGTTTCGACCTCCGCCACTTGTTCAGTGGGTGCCGCCGGAGGCTGTGCAAAAGCCCGCTGCGACATATACGTCGGTTGCTGCATATCCGAACACGCCAGGTCAGATGGAGAAGGGGTTTGCACGGGCTTGAAGAAGGATATGGTCTTGGGATTGCTATAAGAGTACTTCTTTTGCATATGGCATTGATGGATAGATAGTGCTGACGTATGTTACCAGGCTGCTTCTCATTTACTGTCAGGGTTATGATATATCAAAGTCTGATTTGTTGTTGCTTGACCACGTCCAGTTGCGACACATTGATTTTCAAGGGATGCTATTTCATTTGTTTTGTTCCAATAAGAATATTAATTCGCAACTCTATAAGTCCGTACTAGTATCTATAGTCTATGATATCTTGTAAGCACATGCCGCCCATACAGCGCCAACAAAACTCCAGCTTTTTGATGTCATGCAATGTAAACGGGATTATCGCAAAGAAGAATAAAATGTGTCTTGTGAAAGTATAGGGTATAGAGGCCCGGGAAAGCCCAATCGATTATCACAAGTCCCCGATGAACAGCGTTCGCTGCCTTAGGCCTTGACGGCCCGGTTCTCCTCGTCGGGATCCGCGAACGCGTACTTCGAGTAACGACGAATCGACGCACCCTTAAAGTAGAAGACGTAAGGGATAGCGCAGCACGCCAGGGCGAGGAATGCCAGGAAGGAACTAGCCCACTGGTCACCCATGCGGGCGTACATCTGCTCAGTGAACAGGACGGTGGCCGCACCCCACAGAGAACGAATGAAGGTCTTGGCGGCGAGAGCGGACGCAGCTTGGTGCTGATACGTATCAACTGTTTTCGGTTAGCAATCTGTACCCATTCGCTGAGGTTGGGAGGAATACTCACCAAGGTAGTTGTTAGCCGAGTTGTACAGGAAGATGAAGCCGAACCCGACAGGCCAGCCACCGATTGCAGGACCAATCCAGTGGATGCTAGGGTAGGAGGTCCAGGCGAAGATGAATAGACCAATGGGGATAAACCAGCAGGAAAACATCATCGGAATCAGACGGACTTCCGCCGGAGGCTTTCCACTGTACTTGGTATACAGCGACAGATAGTGCTTGTTGACGAAGGGAGAGCAAGCAGCACTCATGACCACACCGATCGCCAAAGGAATGAACATCAGACCGGTGGATCCCGCGTTCCAGCCCTTTCCACCCTGGTACACGATCGGGTAGGCGACGAAGAACATGTACAGCAGACCGTACAAGATGGACATGTAAAGAGAGATGAAGAGCACAATGGGCTCGCGGAACAGAAGCTGGAAGGGACGGAAGAGGAAGATGCGCAGTCGCTCAGCCATAGGGCGAGCGTCGAGCTCGATCTCGGTGACATATTTGTCGTCGTTTTGTGTCTTGCGCAGCTTCGCGGCTCGTCTCTTCAGGATGGTGGGCGCGTAGGTCTCGGGGACGGTGAAGGTAATCAGAACCCAAGCCACAAAGGCCAGGATCAGCTGGAGCCAGTAGAGCCATCTCCAGTTGGTTGCATCAGCAAGAAAGCCACCAGCCAATGGACCGATAGCTGGGCCCAAGAATGGACTGGCAGAGAAGGCAGCCATGGGAACACCGCGCTCTTCATTTTTCCAGAGATCAGCCAGGGTACCGCCGACTAGCGTCATGGGAGCACTGAAAGCGATTCCATCGATGGCACGGCAAACGATCAGTGTTCCAATATTCTTGGACACAGCACAGGGGATGACGAAAACCACAGCCAGTAGGAGAGTGCTGCCATATATGAGCCTTCTGCCAACGATTTCAGATAGGGGTGCAAAGGCCATGGGGCCTGTGATCGATCAGCTTTGATACACCCATGTGAGAAAGGATAGTCAAGACTTACCCACACCAAAGCCCACGACAAAGACGGTCACTGCAAGCAAACTGACTTCACGAGACACACCAAAAGTCTTCGATGGGCCTTCAATATCGGCCGTGATGACACTGCTGGCAAAGGCAACGACGAAGCACGTGAAGGCGACCACCATGGTGCAGTACCACTTCATGGCCTTGGACCAGTTCTTTGGGTTCTCAGGATCATCGATCGTAAATGTCACCAGTTTATAGTCTTCGATCTTCCCCGTCGCGGAAGACTTGACGGGCCTGACGATTTCACCCGTAACGGTTTCCCGGATGTATTCCTCGAGGTCCGCATCATTGGTGACTTGGCGGTAAGGGAGATCTGTAGGATCGATCGAAGGATCGAACTGTCCATAACCGGAGGCCCTGGAAGCGGTCCGCGTGACTGCGGACGACAGATCTGAGCGACTATGTTCCTGCATATTGGCGCGAACAGGGGGGAGTGATTGGAATGTGCACGGTCAGGAAGGAGAGACTCGTTCCAGGCACGGCGATCCAGTGGGTACTTATAGACCAGCATTGCGAAAAAACTTTCAGAATAGATGGTCTCGCCCGTCTCCGGTTGGTGTTTGGATGTGCCCAGGAGGGTAGCTCACTCGGCCCGATCTAGGCTCGCCTGCCCTCTATTTCCTCTTTGGGAACGGGCCCGCTAACCGCTTCGGGTAATATACCACGATGTCACTGCTTATCGCAACGTCTCGCCTCCACCGGATGTGATAGCCTACAATATGCATGTTCGCCTTTCATTCTATTTCCACCATGTGTCTGAGCTAAGACTATGTTTGCCGCGTTGCAAGATGACTCACTCATTACCCCAGGGGGAATTCCCACACATGCCGTGGAGTATATATAGCGAGGCAAAGGGCGGATGGAGACTACAGTCTACCCTGTTGGCTCCCTTTAACCTAAAGCGGGTCTGGGAGGTAGAGATCATGATGTAAGCTCTAAGCGTAGCTATCTTGTAGTTCTACATCTCAAGATCTTTCACATTACGCATAGTACAAACTATGTATACAGCACGGCCCAGATGTTCCTCCTCCTCTCTCTTCTCACGCGGATTACCCATCAAGCCGTCTCCCTATTGCCATGTTCCACCATCAACAGTCCCCGGACAGGGGCAAAAGGATCCCTAGACTAGCCTTCAACGATTTCAATGACAAATGAGACCTGCATTCAAGCATCGCCAGAACCGCCAGATCCACCAGCCAAGAGCCTTGGCGCGCCAGTGTTATCAAGCGACGGATGCCCGGACGGAGAAAAACATTGCTCGGAGCGTATTTCCCGATATGGAAGGATGACGAGGGGATCTCTCCAAGGTTCACAGCAACTGCTTTCTTGGCTACAAACCAGGATGAGTCGTTGGTTTGTCCAAAAGGTTTTCATGGACGTCACCACATAGGTCTAGATCTGATTGCCTGACTGGTAAGCTAGTTCTGCGATTTTCAAGTGGGATCATAACATGAATGAATTCATTCCTTTTATGCATCGAGATCAAACAAACACCACCTAATTAGATGCACAAAGAGGATACACTCTGTATGTACATATCAGAGAACCAACGATCTCCAAACATACTGGTTTCGAAGATTTTTTTTCCACTCCAGTAGACCGAATAAATAATAAATTTTGAAAAAGACGAGCCCATGCAACAACGCAGAAAGTAAGAAGCAATCCCAATTTAACCCACCCATCTTCTGGCACTGTAGAACACACGGCCCCAGGGGCCAATGTCGCCCCACTGCTCCGCACTAGCAGGCAACCAGCTAGCAATCCCGTTCATAATGGTTCTCTCCGGGTGGGGCATGATGGCCAGGACACGGCCGTCGGCGCTGCGCACACCCGCAATTCCCTCCGGGCTGCCGTTGGGGTTGAAGGGGTACTTCATAGTAGGCTTGAGAGTGGCATTGTCTACGTACTGGACAGGGGCCAGACCCTCCTGGACGAACGACTGAGGCGACACGTTGGGAGAAGCCGCGAAAGACGCGCGACCTTCTCCGTGGGCAACAGCGATAGGCAGGGACGTGCCGTGCATACCGTGGAAGAACACGCTAGGTCTGGACGGATCGGGGTCGGACACGCGCACCATACAGACACGACCTTCGTACTGTTCGCTGGCGTTGCGTTCAAAGCTGGGCCAGTTCTGAGCGCCAGGGATCAGCTCCTTCAGACGAGACAAGAACTGGCAACCGTTGCAGACACCAAGGGCAAACGTGTCCGGGCGCTGGAAGAAGGACTGGAACTCGTTGCGGGTGTTGTCATGCAGCAGAACGGACTTGGCCCAGCCCTGACCGGCTCCAAGGACGTCACCGTAGGAGAACCCACCGCAGGCCGCAAGACCAGCGAAGCTGGCAAGCGAAACGCGACCAGAGATAATGTCGGTCATGTGAACGTCGACAGCGGAGAAACCAGCCATGTTGAAGGCAAAGGCCATCTCAGCCTGACTGTTGACACCTTGCTCACGGAGGATAGCCACCCGCGGCTTGTTGCTGAAGGGCGAGTACTGGGTCAAGCTAGTGAGCATGGGCAGAGCCTTGTCCTTCGGGTCAAAAGTGGGGTTCCACGAAAGACCAGGGTCAGAGTCATCAAGGATGTTGGCGAACTCCTGATCTGCGCAGGCTGCGTTGTCACGCATCTTCTGCATGTGGTAGGAAGTCGTGGCCCAGGCCTGCTGCATGTTGGCACGGCTGTTGCGGTACACCAGGCTGTGTCCGCGGTAGATCACAAGGTTCTGCTTGTGTTTCTCAGACACACGACCGATCTTGTGGATCAGACCAGCGGGCGGGCCGCAGGTAGCGAAGCAGGACCGGAACTGGATTTCGTGCTCCTTACGAACTTGGAACACGGCGCCGAGTTCTTCGTTGAAAAGAGTGTCGACAACATCCTTCGTGTTTGCGGTGGGGCAAATGTTGTCGAGCATGACTTCAACACCACAACGGCCGGCAAACATCATCTCAGCAAGGGTTGTGAACAGACCACCATCGGACCGATCGTGGTAAGCCAGAACAATACCGGCGTCTTGCAGCTGCTGGGTAGCGTCGAAGAAGTCTCTGAAGATCTCGACATTGCGGACATCAGGGCACTCGTCACCAACCTGGTTGAAGACCTGCGCAAGGGCAGATCCACCAAGGGCCTTGCGACCGAATGACAGATCGACAAACATGAGAACCGTCTCACCGACGTCCTCAAGACGGCGCAAAGCAGGGGTCCAGGTCTTACGGAAGTTGCCCACGGGGGCAAAAGCAGAGATGACCAAAGACATCGGAGCGGTGACCTCCTTGTTCTCCTTCGTGTTCTCATCGGTCCACTTCATCTTCATAGACATGGAATCCTTGCCAACAGGGATGCTGATACCGAGCTTAGGGCAGAGATCCATACCAATGGCCTCGGCAGCCTCGTAGATAGCAGCACCTTCGCCGGGGTGGCTGCTGGCGGACATCCAGTTAGCAGAGAGCTTGACACGGCTCAGACGGTCGACAAGATCAGCAGCAGCAATGTTCATAAGGGACTCGGCAACAGCCATCCGTGCGGAGGCAGCTGCGGAGATCAAGGCGAGGGTAGGCTTCTCGCCCATAGCCATGGCCTCACCAGTCTTCATGCCCGACTGCAAGGCGGTGGCGGTGACGGCAACATCGGACACAGGAGTCTGCCATCTGCCGACCATCTGGTCGCGAGCAGTAAGACCACCAACAGTTCTGTCACCGATAGTAATAAGGAAGGATTTCGAGCCAACTGCAGGAAGAGAGAGGACCCGCTTAGCAGCCTCGCTGATGAGTTCAACATTGTTGGGCGCAACAGCAGGCAAGTAGGTAGTAAGACTCGAATCCACCGCGGGCAGCTTCAGCTTGCGAGAATCGACAGTTCTGGTCATCCGGGGCGGCTTTCCAAAGAGAACCGACAGGGGCAGGTCGATGGGCTTGGGGTACTCAGTAGATTCTCTGTCGAGGAGAATGAGTCTCTTCTCCTCGTCAGACGCTCCAGCGCCGCGGCCAACAACAGAGAAACCGCAACGCTCACGGTTGGCAATGGCAGTGAACTTGTTCATGCCGTCCTCGCCAACAGCCAGTACGTATCTCTCCTGAGCTTCACAGCACCAAATCTGCATGGGGCTCATGCTCTTGTCAGCGCTGTCGATCTCACGGAGCTCGAAAGTAGCACCGAGGCCGGAGTCATGGATCAGCTCCGGCAACGCGTTAGACAGTCCACCAGCGCCAACATCGTGGATGAACTTGATGGGGTTGTTGGCTCCCATGGCAGTGCAGGCGTTGATGACCTCCTGCGCTCTCCGCTGAACTTCCGCATTTCCTCTCTGGACACTGGCGAAGTCGAGCTCTGCGGAACCCTCGCCAGAGGTGATACTGGAAGCGGCACCACCACCAAGGCCAATGAGCATGGCGGGTCCACCAAGAACGACGAGGAAGCAACCGGGTTTGACGATCTCCGGCTTCTTGATAGCGTGTTGGGGTCTCACAGTTCCGACGCCACCCGCGATCATGATAGGCTTGTGGTAGCCGCGAACCTCAGTTTGACCGTTTCCGACATCGACTTCGGTAAGGAGCGTACGGAAATAACCCAAAATACAAGGACGTCCGAATTCGTTGTTGTAGGCAGCACTGCCGATAGGAGCCTCGAGCATAATGTCCAAACTGCTAGCAATGTGGTTAGGCTTGCCGACTTCAAGTTCCCAAGGCTGTTTCAAGCCAGGGATCAGCAAATCGGAGACACAGTATCCAGCGAGACCAGCCTTGGGCTTCGATCCACGTCCGACCGAACCCTCGTCACGAATCTCTCCTCCGGATCCGGTGGCAGCACCAGGGTACGGAGACACGGCGGTAGGGTGGTTGTGTGTCTCAACCTTGGCCAGGAAGTGGACAACCTCCTTGGTGTGGTTCCATTCTCCGGTCATGGGGTCAGGGGCCCAGAAAGTAGCAACATCTCCTTCAAGGACAGCAGCGTTATCACTGTAAGCACTAACGGTATATTCGGGGTTCTTTCTGTGCGTATTCCGGATCATAGAGAAAAGGCTGTTCGGCATCTGCTCTCCATCGATGACCCATGACGCATTGAACTGCTTGTGACGGCAATGCTCCGAGTTGACCTGCGCAAACATGAAAAGTTCGACATCGGTGGGGTCCCGAGCAATGGGACCGTTGGGGCCATAGGCGTCAGCCAGGTAATCAATCTCCGACTCTTCCAAAGCCAGACCAAGTCGCTTGTTGGCCTCTTGCAAAACTTCCTTGGGAGTCTTGTCGCTACCGTGAAGGGGGATCGTCTCCAGAGGGAGAGGGCTATGCTCGGAGAACATGAGGTGCAGGTCGGGTTCCTCCTCGCTCATGATTTGCGTCATGCGGTCGTGAAGCACATCCTTGAACCCAGGCTTGTATTCACCCGATTGCGCACGAAGGCACGAGATCTTCAGACCACGTTCAATCCGCTTGACGTACTTGCGCAGCCCACAGACATGGGAGATACCAGTAGCTTGGGAACTCCATGGGGAGATCGTTCCGGTGCGAGGGAAGACATGGAAAACGTCGAACTGGCCGTCCTTGTCGCTGAAAGTCTCCGGGATATCAGTGATATCACCGTAGTGCAGCAACTGCTTCAAGACAGCTTGTTGGGGCTCGTCCAAGGGCTGTGTGGCATGGACATAGTGGATCCATTGGGCCCGGACATCCTGGGCGCCGATACTGGCAGCCAGGGCATGACCGCGAGAGTGCGAGAAGGCAACGGAGCCGGGGATGGCGATATACGTGGAATCAGCGGACGTCGAAGCCATTGTGAGGGTACGTGAGGATGTGGCGGACGTTGTGGTTTCGGAGTCAATGACTCAAGTATGATTCGGAAGTGCGGGTTGGGTCTTGATGGGATGGATCGCAAGATCCAAGGAGATGATACAACTCTCAAAGGAGATGCGTCTGACGCGACACCTCCAGGCAGTTGTTCGACTGGCAAGAAGGAGCACAGCGACAAGGCGTTGAGCTGCTCATTCGTCCCGTCGGCGTAAAACCCAAAGCAATTCTTTTTTCATTCTGGGGGGGAAACCCCGCGCTAGTCCGCTTTCGACTTATCGGCGGAGCTTATCAGTCACGTGGTGCGATGTCGGAACAACGCTTCCCCATTCCATCGATGCCTGAGGAAGGGCTACACAGCTTAATGGCTCCAAAGGACTACCGAATGCACTGTCGCGATCAACCGGGTATCAAGTAATCTCATTTCAGATAGAATATCAGGAGTAGAGGCGCTCCTTCCGCCACTCGAGCTTTTCCGCCAATATCTCCCAGCTCAACTGGCCGTCAGCGCGTCCCACGCCCTTCAAGCCGGCCACCATAAACGCAATAAGTCGATGAAATTGGTCGTTGATCTCCTTAAGTCGATCCACGTAATGTGTCGCATGAAGGGATATTGTGGAAGCATCCATGTCATCAGAGTCGTATACATCGTCGTCATCATCTTCATCACTGGAATAGCTGTTCCCAGGTTGGCTTATTTGGGAGTTCTCGTGTTTATAAAAAACTTTGGTTGGGTCCGGCCGGCTTCTGCCATGTCGCATAGCTTGGACATCCGCAAAAGAGACACACAGATCAAGAAGGGCGACAGTGGCTCGGTGAAGGGGATACAGATTCTTGGACAGGAGACACTGATCCTCGACGGAAGACATGTACGCACGATGCGCTGCAATCATCGAGTCAACATCACTGGCTTCAGAGAACGACCGCCGTAAGGACTGGGTGGTTGTTGATATGACAAAGTCCGTCAGATGACTGTAGAGCGTGTTCAAAAACCAGAGCATATTATGGCGGAGCGCAAAGCTAAGTGCGTTACTTCTGTCATCAAATGTTCGGTCCGTCGGAACCGAATATTGTAGACGCTGTTTCACAATTATCTGCCTGGCCCTACGGATCTGCATCAGAAATACAGAGAGCCGCTGGTATCGCAGAATGGATTCCTTGGTGATTATATTCGCCACTGGCCAGGGAAGAACGTAATCCAATGAGATTGCCTGAAGCATTGACACAGATCTGCGATTACTTTGTTTGGAAATGATATCGTTCGAAGATCGGACGAGAAGCCTGGATGTGTCAATAAATGGCAGGACACTGAACGCGCTCTGCGCTAGTTCAGTCAACAAAAATCTGTCGCTCCAGGCCGCCCTACCCCGGTCGATGAGGTCGAATATTTTATCATCAATTGGTCCGAAAACACTCATGTCTTTGCAGAGATAGATGTGTTCCAGACTCTGCAGGGAGACCCATAGTCCACATTGTTCACCTAGTTCTTTGCGCAGCAACGATGATGCCAAAGCATGATTTCGGTCCACGAGGTTTCCCAAAGCCGACTCGAATAGTGCTGAGAAAGGGAGACAAAGCGAAGAATCCGGGGAAAGAACGTCTTCAAGGCTTAGTGAAGATTTTGAACGATGCTCCACGTCTGCAGTCACACTCAATTGGCGCAGGAAGACTCGGCTTTTACCTGTGATAAAAATCTTCCGCGCGATAGACTGGACAAATTTCGGCGTATGCAGGAGTCCCGCAGTCTCATCCAAGGTATACCAGTCCTGCCACATTGTTCGCAGGTCACTATCATCGCGATTGTCTAGAACAAAGAAGGCACCGGACTCTTCCAATTGACCTGTCTCCATCCAGGTGCGGATAGGCCGTGCATATGTTTCGAAGCACGCAAAAAACAGCTTTGCCAGGTAGATAAATTCAGTGTCATCCCCGGTTGCTTGGGTCATGCCGACCAATTCATACAGCAGATCGAGACATCGCGCCGAGTTGTCTTGGTTTTCTTGCTGGAGATCGGATACTAGCGATGACAGGAGCAGCAATAACCTGGATTGGCGGCGAACATCGTCGGACAACTGCAAAAGACTGACGGACGCAGTGGAGCCTTCAGAGAGGTATTTCGACTGCAAATTTGACAAATACTTGTCAAACTCATTTAGGCACTCTTCAATGCCTCTGTTGAAAGTACGCACGTACGGTGCATATTTTGCGAGGTCGAGAGTCTTGACAAATCGTCTCAAGACGTCAATTTGAGCCCCGGTGGCGCTCAGTGATCGTAACAATGACGATAAGGCCTCATTCGACAAATGCCTCAGGGCATATCGACGATCTACGACAATGGTCCCATCGTCAAGATGCCAGAAAACGGATGTAGGTAACCCTTGCAGCATGAATATGGCCTCTCTGACAACCTGAAGCTCTGTAACGACGCGAGAAGAAACTCCTTCACATTGTGTACCAGAATGGTTCTCCTCTCTCCAAAACTGGACTCGCTCGATGGATGCAAGGAGATCTTCTTCGGTCTCTCCCGAAGAGAAAACCTCGTCCGGGATCACATAGTCTTCATCGGGGGTTATAGGGTCTTGCAGTAGCTTGCAGCGATGAGAATTCTCGCTTGAGATTGATAACAGGTCATCATCTGACGATTCAGCACCAAAATCCGGAGTCTCCCAGATATCTTCCTCGCAGTAAGCAGTGCCCGTGTCATCCAATTCCGACCATGATAGAGACTTAGGGACCCCCTTAGGCTGAACTTTTTCGATCTGGTCTAATCTCGACCGCTGCGCAGGGCGATCGGCCAGCTGTAGGAATAGAGACAGGATCTCCGGGAACCACCGACTCTGGTGCTCTTCCAGCTCCACTAAACGGCTTCGAAGGGCGTCGGCCAGTTCATCTCTGTTAAGGACCCGGAATTTCTCCTGCAGGCCTTCCAATTGGTGTGCTACGGCGAATTGATCCGTACGTGGATAAGCGTTCGATCGTAACGCGTCTTCGGTCCGCCGTTTCAAGAATCTAAACCGAGGGGAGTCCTATACAGTTCCATTAGCGCGTAGTTCTGGGGGATAGTACACTAGCACGGACATACTCGCCTTTTGGTCGACTTTCGCAACGGTCGCAACAAGCTCCTCCGTCAGGTCACTGAGGCTGGCTGCGACAGCCATAATTTTAGCGAATGCGCAAAGTCACAATCTGCGGAGCCGAACCTCCCAGGCCCCATCGTCCGTTGGAAGAGCGGTGGATGCAGGGGGTTACGCGGCGCTGACGCTGGCGCTGGGATTGTTTGGCCGCAAAGTAAATAAGGTCGGAAGGATGGGCGGGAGTCGCCACGCTATGCCCGTCGGGGTAAGGCGGCATCTGGCCAGCAACAGAAGGAGACTCAGCAGCCCCGAACAATTTCATGCTGTCACCCTCCCTTTTCCAATCCAGTCGGCTCCCCTGGTAAATTTTTTCTGTTCGGCCGTCAAGATGGCCGTCGCAAGACCCATTCGCATGCTGGGTGCTGCATGCATCATCCTGTGTCTCTTCCTGATCTTCCAGATGAACAATAAGGGGCCCTCCGCCATCATCACTAAGGGGCCATATGAGGGCATGAAACGAGACCCCCTTCTCGACCGTATGTCCCTTTCTGCTCCTTTGAGCCCGGATTATGGAAGTCTGTGAACGCTCGGTGCTGACATACTTTCTCTCTCATTCTAGCAACCGGAGAACCCGAGGGTGAATTGTGGCGCGCAGAGGATCACGACTATGATCCGGACAGCCCCAACTCTGCCCGCGTCCCCGCCGCCATCATCTCTCTGGTGCGCAACGAGGAATTGGACGAGCTGATTCCGACGATACGGGATCTCGAACGGACATGGAACAGCAAGTTCAACTACCCGTGGATCTTCTTCAACGACAAGCCGTTCACCGAGGAATTCAAGAAGCGGACCAAGGCGGAAATCAAGGCGAAGACTTTCTACGGTATGTTGAGCCGGCGCACAGTCGAGGAATATATCACGGTATGCTAAGACCTAATGTCTACAGAGCAAGTACCCAAGGAACACTGGGACGTCCCCGAATGGATCAACATGGACCTCTTCCGCGAATCCGCCGAAATCCTGAAAGAGAAGCACATCCAGTACAGCGACAAGATCTCGTACCACCAGATGTGCCGGTGGAATAGCGGCATGTTCTACCGCCATCCCATCCTCGAAAAATATCGCTACTACTGGCGTGTCGAACCCAAGGTCCAATTCTTCTGCGACATCGACTACGATGTTTTCCACTACGTGGCCGACAACAACATCACCTACGGTTTTACTATCAACCTTTTCGACGCACCTGAGAGTATTCCGACTCTCTGGCCCGAGACCAAGCGCTTCCTCGCGGCAAACCCTTCCTACGTGTCCGAGAACAACATGATGGCCTGGTTGACCGATGACCAGCTCCGGCCGGACCACACTCGCGATGCGAACGGATACTCGACGTGCCACTTCTGGTCTAACTTCGAGATCGGTGACATGGATTTCTTCAGGGGCGAGCAATACTCTGCTTATTTCGATCATCTGGATCGGTCTGGTGGTTTCTTCTACGAACGATGGGGTGATGCTCCTGTCCATTCTATCGGTGTTGGCTTGTTTGCAGACGCAGCGAAGGTTCACTGGTGCGTGGTTTTCTTTGCATACTGTCCGTCTTTGGAACGTCGCTAACTATCGTCCTCACAGGTTCCGTGATATCGGATACCGTCACATTCCCTACTTCAACTGCCCCAACTCGCCCAAGTGCCACGGCTGCACGCCCGGAAAATTCTACGCCGGTGAGCCCTTCCTCGCCAAGGAAGACTGCCGTCCTAGCTACTTCAAGCATGTCGGAATGCATTAAATCGTCATGATAAGACGGACAGCGATTTCAATACCCGGCTGCAGGCAAGCTGAATCAGGTCTTACGTCCGTCAGGGGCGGACTCTATCCGGTGCCATGCACCTGATGTTCAGAGCCCTGTATGCATACAGCTGTATGCAATACTATCCCGACATGACTAAACAGACGACACCTATATGTGGCTATGACTGACTCCTGCTATAACCGCCCATCTAGCATGACCGGGGATTCTTTGTTCACTTTATATTTACTGGGGGCGTTGTGATGGGTTGGGCTTCTAATGTGTTTAATTTGAGATTTCGATGTTGTGTTACATATTGCTCGTTTGGTACCTTACTTGCTGGTACCTTGAGGAATCGCTGGACCGGCCTCTATGTATCTATATCTTATTCCTGGTATCCAGCTTCCTGTCGGATGGATGTGTCATGGCAAACGACACTCGTATGATAAATTGTAGATATTCGCGTTTCTCTACTGTTGGCACATCATATGCAGCACATACTAACCCGACTGTCTTCGTCGATCGAATATGTCGCCCGGACTCACCGGAAAGATAAAACTTCAGCGCATTGGACGACCTATCCTCTGTCGCAGCGAAGAGCTATAAGAAAGACAACCCCCTATTTGACTATCTCAATAACACACAAATACACGCACAATGCTCACAACATACAACATTGACAATAGAACTGGTATAGAAAAGCGCACGCACAGCGACACCCACACACCGACGGACGGGAAAGGGACGCGCACCACCACCAAGGCACACTGCAGGACCTCATCCAACTGCATTCTAGGCTAGAAGTAGTAGTATGTATACAAGCTTTCCTATCTTATCAACCCGCCACACGAAAGCAAAGGAACAAAGCAACGGAACGCGCTCTTTTTCCTCTCACGCACTTGCCCTTTACTGCTCGTTGGGGTAGAGCTCCTCCCGGAGAGCAACGCCGAGCTCCTGGCGGAGACCCTCGAGGGCCTCGAGGTACTGCTTGTACTGCTCCTGGGTCTCGACCTTGGCCTTGATACCTGCGAGAGAGTAAGTGTGATGGCTCCGGGGAGGTTGATTCAGCATGGGGGCTCTGAGCGCACCTTCGAAGACACGGACGGCGGTGGGGAAGTCGTTGACGCGGCGGGCGGCCTTGAGGGCAGCGGAGAGGACCTCGACGGAGGGGACGAGATCGTAGGCGAAGCAGTTGTTCAGGTTACGCTGCAGCGGACGGTGTCAGTGTTTTGATATTGACAGGGGTGGAGGACGAATTCGGGATTGGGACTCGGCCCAATGGCAGACACGGGGTTTGTAATGAGGCGGTTGGTCGGTGGGCTTACCTGGAGCTCGAAGACATCCTGGACACCGTCGAATTCCTTCTCGAATCTGTGCATCGACGCATGTCAGCGGCGGGAGGTCGTGGTCTCAGCGATCGAAAACCCCCGAATTCCGGCATCAGGAGGGTGTCGGCGAAGATGCCCCTGCGATGGGCCGCCAGCGCCGCCTCCGGCACGTCGGAGGGCCCAATGGCTGCGTAGGAGGAAGGGCATACCTGGCAGAGAACTCCTCGTACGTCTCGTCCTCGTGGTGGCCACCCAGGCGCTTGGAGGAGGTGCTGAAAGCCGGACGGTTGATAGCGAGAGCAACGGGGGTCTGCACGCGGGACCGGGGCAATTGGGGAGCTCTGAAGACACCGGCGGGGCGGACGGCGCGGGTCGCGACACGGAAGACGGAGATGGGCGACATGGCGAGAGGAAAATGCACAGCAAGGTAGGGGGGAGTGGATTGGAGCGGTGGTGAGGAAACGGGACGGGTGTTGACGAGGTTGAAGTCAGAGGTTCGGCCGGCTGCGCTAGGATTTTGCGGGTGGTGGTGTGAGGCGGCTGTTGCTGCCTCAGGCTGCGTCCGTCGTGCGCAGTGCAGCCCGTCATCGATCGCTCCGGCCTTTCCCGATCAGGGTATCATACCTCAGGCAGTATAATCACGTGAGAGTTGATTTCTATTTGCGTGATCTGATTGGTCCACACATAGTCAGTGCAGGGTCGACGCTGATTGGTGGGCAGGCGACATGGACGCAAACAGATGTCACTTTTTACACCAGGTAGGAGAGAATAGATTGTAGTTATGAATACAAGGTTGGTAGTGCCGTATAGATACGGAGTTATTGGATAACGGATTGCAGTAAGTGTGGGACATTCTTAATGAAGTCCAGGGCTAACAATATATATTTGAGAAGGATCAAGACTTGACTCTTGATAGAGTAATGTCCGAATAGTACATACAATCACAAAACGTTGACATTGTAATTATACAGGTAGCGACTGGCCCTGCTCGATATTACATTTGGTGTCACAAACAGCCAGCCATATCATGCACAGGTGATCTCTCCTAGATCTGAATCTCCCATATTGTTGCACTTGAAGGAGGATTGCCACTGGGTGGAGTCACCTCGATGTCGTAGACGGAGATGTCATGGCGGACCTAGCACCTGCTAGTGATCGCATAACGATGCAGCATGGTTTGCTAGTAGACCCAGAGACGTACATCAAGGGTACTACAAGTCAGCTCTCCAATGTGAGGACCATACTTCTTCGACATCGTTCCGTTGAAGTCACTGAAAAGGATATCCTCGATCACGAGTTTCGCCTGCAAAAGAGTTGTCATCTTTCTCTGCTATGCTGCCTCTGGCGCCGTCCAAATGTGCGTATACACAAGCCTTGCGTGGCAGTGCAGATACCCCGTGGCTGTGCATCACCTGACATTCAGCCTTGTCTCGCTGATAGAACACTGCACGCACTCGCCATGTATTATATTTGAGGTTCAAAAACCTCAATTGGCTTTTTTACGCATCGGAAGCTTCACTCAATTTCCCGCACTCGAGTATGCGGCCGCCTGCGACAGAGAATTCACATCCGCTCAGATCTCTACAAATCCCATCTCAGTTCCAGCCATGCGCCTAGTAAGCACCTGCGAGGACTCGACAGACCCTTTCAAGGTGGAGGAGTTCAAAGATGAACATGTTCCCCGCTACGCGATCCTCTCGCACACCTGGGATGAAGAAGAGGTTTCCTTTCAAGATATGAGCGATGGCAATGCAATGAGGAAGAAAGGGTACAAAAAGATACAAGACTGCTGCTCTGTCGCGAGAAAAGAGGGCTTCGATTATGTCTGGATAGATACATGTTGCATTGACAAGACAAGCAGCACTGAACTGTCCGAGGCAATCAATTCCATGTACCGTTGGTACCAAGATGCCCATGTTTGCTACGCCTTTCTAGCAGACGTCGACTGGCCGACTGAACTAGCCAGCAGCAGGTGGTTCGAGAGAGGCTTCACCCTTCAGGAGCTCATTGCTCCATCAACTGTGGTCTTCTACAGCCGGAGCTGGATCGAGCTAGGTACAAAAGAAAGCATGAAAAGCCAGATATCCGATCGAACACATATCCCAATCGGCGTCCTTTCAGGCACTGACAGTGTCGAAGATGCAAGTGTTGCACAGAGGATGTCCTGGGCTTCAAGCCGCAAGACCTCACGACTGGAAGACGAGGCGTACTGTCTCATGGGTATCTTTGGGATCAACATGCCACTGCTGTACTGGGAAGGAAAGGCGGCGTTCCTCCGATTGCAGGAGGAGATAATGAAGGTGTCAGATGACTACAGCATCTTTTGCTGGAAATCAGAGCATCCAGGCCGCGGCGGAATACTCGCAGACTCTGCGAATGCGTTTTCTGACTCGAGGGATGTCGTCCTCACGCAGGATCTCCTGCTGACGAGTAAGTTCCCTTGGACCACAACAAACAAGGGTATCCATTTGGAACTAGCGTTTATGGGAATTGGCCATGGATGCTTGGGTCTTGGTGTCCTACCCTGTATACGGCTTGACAAGCGACATATGTTTCTTGCAATTTGGCTGCGAGACCAATCTCGGACAATGGAGCGCTTTGAACGAGTTAGATGTCATGAATTGGAGCTCATTGACTTGACAATTTTTGTGCCTTGGCAATTTCCTTTGAGGCAAATATGCATCCAACGCCGGCGCTTGGCTGTGACGGACAGACGAACCGACCACCTCAACCTCCCATATCCGATGAAGGATTCGCACATGGACCGTAATTGTCACAGAAGCTCTCATGACAACGACTTGGGGTGGATCGATAACTGGCTAAGAGTACCAGAAGTCTATATGACGAACCAATCACCTATCCTAGGCAAGATCCGAAGTGTCAACCACAGAGAGGATTCTGGATTGACGGGGCTCTTTCACGCCGCGGCCACGGGAAATCTGGAAGAGGCCCAGCGTTTGCTCTCCAGAGTCAAAGTCAACCTGCAGGATGCTGAAGGGAGAACCCCATTGTCTTATGCCGCGGCGGGTGGGCATTCCATGATTGTATGGTTGATGTTACTGGCTCGGCACAAGGCCAAAGCCAACATGCTAGACAAACTCGGGCGAACCCCTCTATCGTATGCAGCAGAAGGTGGTCATGGTGATGTGGTATGGCTGTTACTTAGTCTTGGTGACATCGTGGTGCACTCTCCGGACAATCTTGGCCTCACGCCTTTGATCTATGCGGCCAGAGGAGGGCATGAGAGGATTATAGATATGCTTCTGGGACGAGACGGCTTTCAGAATTATCTGAAGGACAACGATGGGCGCACGGTTCTTTTACATGCATCAGAGGGAGGTCATGTGGCTGCCGTGAGGATCTTCCTGACCAGAACTAAAACTGGACCTGATATGCAAGATAAACACGGCAAAACACCCCTACTGCTTGCGTCAATGAATGGACATGAAGAGGTCGCAAGAGCTCTACTTGCTTACGGAGCTGAGGTGGAGACAAGTACCAAGTTCGATGAAACGCCACTATGGGTTGCAGCCTTGAACGGACATGAGGGTGTCGTCCGGCTCTTGCTTCCTCACAACTCCAGCAAACTCGACTGGACAGATAGAACCGGAAGAACCTTGCTTCATTGGGCAGTGATTAAAGGACATGCCTCAATCGTGGGACTGCTACTCCATTATGGAGCAAGCTGGAAATTGAGGACTGAACCCTACAACACTGATGCGATCACTCAGCTTCTACTCGGCCGTGGTGCTACAGCTAACAGGTATGATGAACGCGGCCGGAACGAGCGCCATTTAGGAGTGATTAGAAGCCATGTCTCAGCCGTGATACGGCTACTCAACCATGGTTTAGGCTGGGGATTGAGGGATGGACTCGGCAACAATGCAATCTCGACCGCAGTCTCCGATAGAAACGATGCGATCACTCGGCTTCTACTCGCTACGGTGCTAGAACTGACTGGTATTACGAACGCGGCTTGAATGTGCTCCATTTAGCAGTGTCCAAAGGGCATGGGCCAGTTGTACAGCTCTTGCTTGCGCATGGGGTGGGTGTTGACTCTGACGAAATCACGGGTATCACATCCCTTTGGGTAGCTGCTCAGAATGCAAATGAAGCTGTGGCAAAAAGCTGCTCCTTCGTGGTGCAAATATTGAGTGCAGGGATGCACAGAAAAGAGCTCTATTGCACCGCGCTGTTGCGGAAGGACACGAATCGGCCATCAAAATCCTACTGCTCCACAATGTCGATCTAGAAACAAATGATTGCGATGAGATGCCACCTATGGCATGCTTGTCTAAGAAAATCCGAAGATATTGCCTGCCTATTGATCTCCAAAGGGGCCAATATTGAGCTTAAGGACAACCAGCAAAGGACTCTTCTGCACTGGGGTTCCTTAACCGGTGTTCCCGGATCGTGAAGGAGATACTTGCTGGCAATGCGAGCATTGATCCTTAGGATGTTGAGGGCAGAATGCCCTTACATTGGGCAGTGCTGAAGAAACATATATCAATAGCCATGCTCCTCCAGGCCAGGAGGACACTTTTCACAAAACACCAATTCGATATGCCAAGGAATTTCATGATACGGTTATGATTTCCTCGTTCCAGCGACGTGGTCGAACTTTGCCAACCCAAGGAAAGCCAGGGAGAATACGCAAAAGGGTGCGAAGGCTAAGCTTAGTTCTAGATAGCAGTCATGTCCCTAGACTGTTCCCCCGTAAGTATGGGACATTGGCAACAATACTTCCGTCGTCATTGATAGTTTACTGTTCTTTTAAGAAAGCCCGTGTAATGTAATGTTGTCAGGTAGGATAGCTGTTGTCGCAGGCCTAGAGGCAGATATACAATATACAAGGAAGTAGATATGCTGCACATGCTTCAGATTGTACCCTAGAGACGCTTTCCCGGATTCGGCACGCTATACCTCTTTTAGAATTCAGTTACTGCTTAGTATAGAGTTGGTACAGAGTAACTATTATGACACTATCGTTGAATGACTACCTATAAAGGGACGAACCTCGTTTTTAAGACATATAAGAACCTCACATAAATCATTAGGTCATTAGATGTAACTAATTACAGTAGATAGAATAATCATAATATAATGACCCTCTTTATGTACATAGACTGGTGCCTGACCGGAAGCCTCGGCGCACATGATCGCCCCTTTTCACGGCCACCTCGGCACTAGGCCGCATCGGGCACGTCCCCTGGCGGGCGGAAGCAGCTTTTTCTTCCTCTTCGACTTCTTCCCTCAACAACAAATCTTCCTGTTCTCCCTCCCTCTCCACCTCCTGTCTCCGCCGTCTCCGCCGCCCCCAGTCGACTTTTTTCTTCTCTCTTGTTTTTCTTTCCCTTCTTCTTTTTCTCCTTCTTTTCCCCTTCTTCCATTCGCGTCACTCCTTCCTGGTTCGTCCCGGTTCCCTGGCTGCCTGTCAACCCTGCCAGCCTCATTCCGAAGAAACCAATCTTCAATTCATCTGAAACCGGGTCTCTTCCTTCGCTGGAGTTTCCTTCTACCACAGTCAACATGGAAGTCCTCCAGAACATCCCACGTCCCACCATCGATCGCCCCTTTGGCGTCCACCTATGGCCCATCTTCGACAAGGCCTTCGAGGTCGTCGTGGGCTATCCCGCCAGCGAATTCCGCTTCGTGGAGGGTGTGACCCCGATGTCTGGCTTCCGCGAGACCGCCGCCATGCTCGTCACCTACTACATTACCATCTTCGGCGGTCGCGCCATCATGAAGAACTTCCCTGCGCTCAAGCTCAACGCGCTCTTCATGATCCACAACTTCTACCTGACCGCGATCAGCGCGACTCTCCTGGCTCTCTTCATTGAGCAGCTTCTGCCCATCATCTGGAGAAACGGCATCTTCTTCGCCATCTGCGACCACCAGGGTGGATGGACCCAACCCTTGATCGTCCTCTACTATGTGCGTTTCACTTACGGCTGACCCGCGGAGACGCTTGGAAACATGCTGACTGGTTATAGCTGAACTACCTGACCAAGTACCTGGAGCTCCTCGATACCGTCTTCCTCTTCCTCAAGAAGAAGCCCCTGACCTTCCTTCATACCTACCACCATGGCGCCACTGCCCTCCTCTGCTACACCCAGCTGATCGGCTTGACTGCGGTCCAGTGGGTGCCCATCACCATCAACCTCCTCGTCCACGTCGTCATGTACTGGTACTACTTCCAGAGTGCCCGTGGTATCCGGATCTGGTGGAAGGAGTGGATCACCCGTCTGCAGATCATCCAGTTTGTCATCGATCTTGGTACGTTCCTCGACATCCATACATAGTACTTTCCAACAGTCCTAACCTACCTAGGCTTCGTTTACTTTGCCTCTTACACCTACTTCTCCTCTACCTACTTCCCCTGGGCTCCCAATATGGGCAAGTGCGCTGGTGAGGAGTTCGCCGCTTTCGCCGGAATCGCCATCATCAGCTCTTACCTGTTCCTCTTCATCTCGTTCTACATCGCCACCTACAAGAAGGCCGCGAAGACCGGCCGTCCCCGTCGCAACACTGGAAGACAGGCGGTGATCGACATGGCCAAGTTCGAGGTTGCTCCCGCTGGTGCTAACGGTGCCGCCGCCAATGGCAACGCCAAGTCCAACGGAGCCGCGACTTCCACTGGTCGCTCCAACGGCCCCGTCACTCGCTCTCGCAAGGCGTAAATGCCGCCTGGGGCGTGCAGTCGACCGCTTAATCTTGCATCGATGCCACACGCGTTGATGCCTCATGCGAATGAATTTCAGAACCGGGGCCGCCATGGTAAAATTCGCTCAGTATGGTCTTCTGTTTCTCTGATTGTCGCCGTCTAGCGTCAGGGACAATCATACAAAAACACGCGTCGCGATGATTCTCTTTCTCTCTCCGCCTTGGTGTGCAACATCTTATTTTGTTTAATGAATGACCATTATGATATTGGTCGCCTTCTCTTCGCGACCCTTAATGCCTGTCATGGGTTCGCTTCGCCGCGTCGAGCCTGCGGTGGTTGCATGAGCCCACTTGTGCGCGAAGGACTTGCTTCTGCCTGGAGATGCGAATCGCGATCTTCAGTCTGTATTTTACATAACCTTGATTCAGCCTTCGTGACGATTGGGAGCTGCGGGCGGCAGCCTCATCTTTCTATTTTGCTTTCTGATCCTGTTCTAGTGAATTCTTATAGACGTAACCATGGCCATGTGTGCATGTATTTTTGTCTACCTAATCCTGTTGACTTGCTATTGTTGTATATAGATAACAATGTTCTATTACGTTCAGACTGCATTGGCGGTGGTGGTAGTGTGATGGCCGACACTGGCAATCTTGTACAATTCCTCTTAGTCTCATGTCTGTAGGAGATTCAGAGTTGGCTTTGGACAAGGTACAATGATGACAACCACCAAGTCAACAACCGATCCCGAGTGAAGTGCCCATTGATAGATCAGAGGGCGAGGCCAGGAGTTCATAGGACAGGAAGTATTCCTCGCTCGTCCACACTACGTGTTCATGGTAGACAGCCGATGTAGATTTCTCTGTGCCGAAGGCCTGAAATGGACCATGATCAAAACCAGGACTACGCTAAGGCATATTCACTTGACAGAAAAGCAGCCCAGTGATATTGGCCTGAATATCGCGAGTATCCTGCCCTATGCGTTTCTCAGATACCCGCATTCCGTTTATTGCATCTCATGCAATATCCTAAACCATCCCCATTCCCCAGACGAATACAGATATCCGAGCGCGAGTCCCGCACTCTATAGACGAAAGACCGGTTCATCCATCGGACGTCTCTCATTGTTCGGCGATATGACAGCAGCCCGGGATTGCCCAATTGGGTCGATCACCTGTCACAGGTTCCAAGGCAACGATGGATGCGGTATAGACTCGGCTCTTTACCTGCCCGCAACAGACAGCTGAAACTTCAATCAATCACAAACTCGGCACGGCCGCAACTAGCGGAGATGAACTTTCCTTGCGCTCAAGCCTGCCTGCCAGTTCCACCAGGACCGGATCATCGACGCCAGTTACAGACGTGAGTAAGCGCTGCAGATGATATGAGATATGAGATCACGCCCGACTTCCCCTCTTCAACGCTCTCCCCATCCATCGAATGTCAGACGTTGACGATTCTCCACCGCGCGCGAAGATCATACCAGACCAGACCAGACTGGGCCGGGCCTGCAATTTATTGTTTCCAACGTACATTAGCACCCGCCCCAAGCGGCCTAGTCGGGGATTTGCTTTTGCGAGTCGACTCGACCTGGCCTGGCTCCTTCTGGTCTCCGTTCATCCGATCATGCCAAAGCGGAAATAGCGGTCAGAGGACAAAAAGAGGGCGCCCATGCCTCTTGGGCGAAGACAGGATGTTCGGGATTGTTGCCGGAACCCTGTCGCCGAAGTTATCCAGGATGAGGGGGCCAGGGGGGGACCCATTCTTCGTCAGATGTGATGATCGCTGTCAGTCATTCGACAGCCTTTGGTCAGAGCGCTGACGGAATTGACAGGCATGACAGCAAAGAGGGGGAGGAAGAAAGGAGGACAGGAGTCCGAACGGACGGAGTTCGTTCGCTCTTATCTTTATCCCTCCATAACGGATGCCTTGGAGCGTGTAGATTGACAGGTATGTAGGGACGCGCCGGGCGCGACGCGTCTTTGAACATTCTCTACATTCTTCACTGGTGAATGCGACCCACGTTTTTGCTCGATCTCGATCTCGAATCGATCTCGATAGAATTACTTTTGCCATGGGCCAAATCGGCATTCTACGGAGTACGTACTCATCGTTACGACGATTCTGGCCCCGCAATCTCGCCCTACATATCCAGGTACAGATGTCAACCGCCGTCATAAGGCGTGTGAATATGGACCGGGGTAATGCGCTAGCCTGTCTGTGTTTGCCGTGACGGATTGTAAAGCCTGACATTTGAGTCAGGCGCGAAGTTCTATTCGTGGACAATCCCGATAAGCAATGTATTATTGCTTACGGTCGGTCGCATCTGACTCGGGGGAACCAGAACGGCGTGAGATAATGAGCTCACACTAACTACTCTGTACACTCTGAGCGATATTCCGGATAAGCGGGCAAGGGATAAGGCAAACATGACCAGAACCCTGCACAACGCAACGGTCGTTCAGGGCTGGGAAGCATGGGCCCAACAACTCATCGTGAATCGTCATCTGCCCATGCCACGCCTCTTTCTTTTTTAGCGCCCATGCGTTGTCCTTCTGGGGTAAGAAACAGGAACAGGGACAGGAGCAGCGGAGGGGCTGGGAGAGTCAGACGCCACGATATCGACCTGCAGATGATACAGACATGAAGCGATCGTCGTCTTCTAAATTTATCGCCGGGCGAACCTTCTGCACAGTAGAGTTCCCCGGGTATTGCCCCAGAGCATTCGATCTACTGTACTCCAAGGCCTCGTCGGCATCAATATCCTCCGCCGCGTTGGCTGGGAATGTTTGTCGGCCAATGAATGTGTCGGTAGGCGCAAGGAGGGAGGATTATACGGAGCAGAGTGCAGTTTACTCTGGTGATTGAGCCCATGCAGGCCACTTGCGTCGTCCATATGTACTTGCCTCCAGTCTTGCGTGGATGCGATGCAGGCGGATGCACGCTGCGCATAGTCTGCCGTCCGGTCTTCCCGCCACATGTTGTGCATTATTGTACTGGGAGGAGACTCGCAAAAGACTTGCGCCTGTCTTGTCTGTCTTCTCGAAAGGAGATGCTTGATATGGATCCCCTGGCCCATGCGTTCGGCGGTTTCACTCTGCAACCACCGCCTTCCTGCCGTTTAAACGGGCGAACCTGCCGCTTCTTTTTTGGACCCGGTAGACGATGAGGTAATGATATCAGGGTACGGAGGACGTTCGGCCAACCCCCTGTTCTCCTAACTCCGAAGAAACTACCTACTCTGCAGTTTCTATAAGGAGACACTTGAAACCTCGGGGATAATAATGCCGTCTACTAATACCCACTGTCGCTGACTTTGGCTATGTCTATCAGCGGGGATGGTATCGGCTTGAAACTTGAGCCGACAACCCTAAGCAGCTATCTAGTTGCATACCTTACCAGGTAGTTCGCAGACATTCTTCGCGGGATTCCGACGGTACGGTGTTACGGGACCTACATAGTTGGCGGTAAGGGAGCCCCGTCTGCAGGGAGCAGTCCATCAAGACCATCAAAAAGCATTAGGAGAGTTCTAGTGCGAGGAATGAATCAGGCATGTCTCAAGGTTCATGCTAGAGTCTTGATTTCTCCGGCATCGCGAGAACTCCAGACGGGATGATAGTTCGTATGGCGTGTTTGAGCTAAACCATCCTACTCCACTGCTGCTTGGCACCTTTGCCCGTTCTATCTCGCTCCTTCGGACATGAATCCGGCCATGCATTGAGACGTTTAGGAGTATTGCGATCGATCGGGGTAGCCCAGGAGAGCAGTGTTGAATACCCAAGTACATACCTAGGTTAGGTACCTACCTAGGTACCCAGTACTACATAGTTACCATTACAGAACCTCCCAAGACAAACAAATGCAACAATCACACGATACGATGTCCAACTCCACTGCTGGAATTTTCCAGTGGGGCACCACGGCCAACGCTCTCACGCAGTAAAGTAAAGTGGCCCTCCGGATATCCCCTTCTTCGGATGGATCTATCAAGCACAAACCAGCCGGATTCCACATGGCGCCAACTGCGCGCGGGTGCGTGCCCACCCACCCAGTGTCTTTCCTCTTGTCGATCAGCCTGGGGACTGGATTGGCTTGGGCGGGTCATGGCGTCCCGGTTGCTTTTTCCTGTTGAAGCCGGAGGCGCAGGAGGCAATCTACATGTTGCCGCCGACTGCCCCGAGGACACCATTTGGCCAGGAACAGAGGGGCCACTCAGGGATAGTGTATGGGTTGGAGATAGTGTTCGTTCAGTCTGTCTATGATCCTTTGAAAATTCTGGCCGTTCATTAGGAGGCGCCTACTACGGAGTACTACTATTCCTATTACCTGCTTCTTCGCACTGACCTCGCTCACACTCGACAGCTCACGTTGATACGTCTCCTTGATTAGGTTCTATAATTGTCAGTGGCGCTCGCTAAGAATTCAGAATGACCCTCCTTTGACCTGATCCTCCGTAATGGCCGTTCTCCATGCAGGGTGGTTTTAGTCAGGAACTCGACAAGCAAGGGCTTCGGCTCCCTGATATCCCCATGTCCCACGTCCCACTTGGTTTGGCCTGCAGGACAATCCGGCAAGGAAGACAACGTAAGCTAAATAATATCAGACCATTATTATAGAAATGAAAAGAATAAAAAAAAATAAATAAAAAAAATCCTGCCGCACGTGTGGCCGGTGACGCTGACTGGCCCGGAGGTTGTGCGATCTGCTCGGATGGCATCGAGGGTGGCTTTCTGGATTCCCCTGTTCTCAGATCCACTTGGAGCATGCCAGCCCGTGTTAGTACATAGTCAAAGAGATTCTCCTGCCGATATATCTGCGAGTTCTCCGGCTATCCTGTGCTGGCCTGTTGGTTCTTCCTCTTCATCGTTGTCTGCACCATCACCCGTCGTCACTTAGGGCTTCGTTCGACCAGCGGATGAAGCTGATACTCGACCACTTCCATACCTCACTCGCCATTGCTTAATACACATACACATACATATACCTAATACGGGGACATCCTCGACCTAATCGACACTATAATTCAGACCACCGCTGTCGACGCTCTCTACCGCTCTACCAGCGGCAAGATGTACGACTCGGCTCCCCCTCTCGACCTCCAATACATCAAGTCGCAGCATCTCCCTCGGCGCTACGATTCAGAAGAAGAGGAGATCTCCGAGTCCGAGCTGGGCGGACAGGAAAACGCCTTCTCGCCCGTCGAGTCCTACAAAGCGCCCGGGACATGCGATTCGGACACCAGTACCGATGAGCTGTCCAACGCAGAGGACGAAAGAGCCGCTCACTTTGCCCGTCTACTGCCGCCATATTCGTCGGCCGGCTTGGGTTCGCGCCCCGTGTCCATGGATACCGTCAAACGCAGCAGCGGCACGACCTTTGTGGCCGATTCTTACATCTTCGATCATGATGACGATGTCATCATCGAGCTGCCCTCGCCAGACGCAACCTCCCCCATGACTTCCCCAACCTTCCTGCAACCGACGGTCTATGTGCCCCCGGAATCGCCTGTCTCCATGCGGCCGTCGTCGTCCCGATCGTCTTCCCCGACCTCCATGCTGTCCGACGACGACACCGACGTGCTCGTCGCCGAGCAGGTCACCTTCGTCAAGCCGCGCCCCAAACCAAGCCTCATCCTCATCAGCCCAGCCCCCGAGCAGTCGGCGTTCCCCTTCAAACCCGCCTCCCCGGCGCAGACGACGTTGCAGGAGAACGACCTGCACGGGGCCGGCTCGTCGGACGCACAGCCCGTCTACTCGCTCACGCAGGCCGCACAGTCGCAGCCCGCCCTGGGCGACTTCCAGCGGACTCCCCGCTCCAAGACGGACGCCGCAAAGCGCGGCAGCCTACAGCTGTCTCTCCGCGGTCATGATGGGCAGCCCATAGGCCCCGGGGCCGCCACCGCAGCCGCCGCTCCCTCAAACCCGCTGGCATCGCTGGCCGAGGTGCCGGAGCAGACGACACGTCCGATGTCCGTCCGCTCGCAATCCATCTCGTTTTCTCGCCCCAAGACCGCCTTCTCAGAGAAGAGTGCGTCGGGGCGGTCTCGCCTGCCGACAGCGGCGGGCAGCATGCGTCGGCCGCCCTCGCTGCAAAGCCTCAGCAGCGTCTTCCACTCTCGCCATGCGTCGCTTTCCCCCCACGACGACCCGCACGCCCGAACCCTCCCTTACAGCCACTCGAACGCCAGCTCCGAGTACTCGGTGCCGTCGCCGACCACCACCAGCCTGCGGGCGTCGCCCGCCCCCAGCCCGACGACGTACTACAGCGCGCCGAATTTCACGCGCGACCGGTCTGGCTCGTCGTACAGCACGTCCAGCCGCTCGCCGCTGCCGATCCGGAACTCGATCATGAAGAGCTCGACGGCATCGAGCCTGTACTCGGGCAGCAGTCTGCGGTCTGAGGTGGAGAGCGTGCGCAGCCTGGACCCGAGCGACGTGGCCGAGACGGAACCCAAGCCGCATAGCCGCCGCAAGAAGAGCATGAGGAGTAACAAGCTCAGCAAGACTGACGGCAGTGAGCCGTCGTCGGCGAAGAGCTTCATGGGGTTCATGTTTCGGGGCAAGCGGAGGTCGACCATCAACACTCTTAATGCTTAATTCTCTTTCATCTCCCGGCTACGATGTCTTGCAATCGGATCCGAATGACGGTCTGTATTTGCTACATGTCCAGCGTGCATTGCTTGGATCCGTGCGGATGATTGACGCAATCTTTATCTTGTTACATATTCTCAGCGATTTCTTTCCTGTTGAGCGTTCCGGACATGGGCTGATTTCTGGGTGGCATGTTGTCTTTTCGTTACCGTTGACTGTGGACTTTTCTCTTCTTACGCTCCCTCCGATACCACTTGGCTGCTCCTGTTTACACCATCTTCTTGTACCATAACTGTTGGGCGTTGTTTCCGGCTCCCTGGAGGGGACCGATGATCAGATTGAATAGGACTTGACTCGGATTTCACTCGGTACACTGCCACGCCCATTACTCGACACTCAGCTTCTCTCGTATGGCCTACCCCTTTTTGCCCTCCGCATTGACTCGCTCACCGAGTCACCGACCCGTGGAAGCGCCGGAGGACCCTATACATCCGGCGGTTTGGGATACATTGTCCCCAATTTACTGGCCCGAGAGCTGGACGGCTGGATCCACCCGTGTTTTTGATTGAAGGGGCGTCGTTGATTGCATTTGGCTCTCCACACAACGGATTCTTCGGCGGACTAGTGTCGGCAGTTGCGTTTGGCTGTTTCTCCACGGTTCTAAGGACAGGGTGTCCTGACGTGCTCTGAAGGCAGCTCCGTTTTGCCCAGTGCTCCGTATGACTCTGCTTGACTCGTGCACGATGGGTTCATGACTTGTCTGCGAGACTTTGCGTGGCCCATCTGCCTCCTGTGGCCACCGATTCTTGAGAGCCGGCAGAGAGTTTGCCGGACGGTATAGCGTCCGCCGGTCGTGTCAGGCGGGATTGTCAAAGACTAATTGATTAACTGACACTTCGTATCAGCCATGGTTGGGGCAGCCCAATCCTAACCGAGAAACATACCAACGGAAGGATTTTAGCGGCATTCACCTCCCCTCAGCTCTGCTCAGCTCAGCTCACCGCCGCTCACAATAGTGGATCCAAGCACAGACAAGATCGGCTGATATCCCCGGTGGTTCGCGGGATTTCATCCTGAATCGCACGAACGTGTAGCGAACCGCTCTCATACAACCGACGAACCACGCTGCGACCCGGGGGGTGAGTAGAGTCCGTGGCGCTCGCAGTGCTGGCAACGGACAGTCGTTGGCTGCGAACGAGATCCACATGCATGTTTCGGGCGTGGTTTACGAGTCAGGAAGCGATCTATGCTGGGCTATTGGTGTATCGGCAGGTCGCATCTCCGTGGTGAGGGTGTTTCGTCTTCTATTCTTCCCTCCGATGGGTCTTTCTGTCCTGTCGCTCCACGCTGCCCTCGGTAATTGCCGAGCGTCCTTGTTGTTGTGAGAGGGTGGAGCACTATCTACGGAACACGGAGTAGCGGTTTGTCTAGTGGGGTGCTGGTGGGATTTGGAATGAGTTCCGCTAGGTTCCAAGGCCGTCACTGTTTGTTGTTATGGTGTATTGAATGTTTAATGAAAGTATAGAGCGTAATCACTGCGTTGTCGGTGAAGAGGACGTTTGTCCTGGGAGCATGTTTGAAAGGGAATATGCAGAATACCGGAGAAGGATCCATGGATGGCTTCACTATCGTCATCATCATGTCAAACAATGAATACGGCTGCCTCAGAGGCTTATAAGAATGAGCCCATTCCTACTTCTTTTCTCTTCTTCTTCATCACCCGACATGACTTGTATACGTCTTTGGACGGGCCTCAAGCCAAGGCCTGCATCGCTTTCTGTCTTCTAGCACTACATACATCCAACTGCTAACCAACTCATCGCACTACAAGATCGGAAACACTTCTATCTTCCATTCACCATGACTATTCGACTATAGAAGACACTCCCGTTTACAGAGGAGAACATAAATCTCTGTTTGCCCTATACTTATTGCTCTGTCAGCGAGGGACCTGCACAAGTCTTATACATCATCCAGTGCCGTCTCCAACACGGCTTCTTTTCCACGTACAACCAAACGTGGCTCGCGTTCGGCTCGAACGTTTTGATCATTCTCTCCTTATATGAGCGCCTCCAGTCTGCTCTCTCTGATCTGGAAGCAGAAGGATACCGAGGAGGTCCTGTTCCACTGCGTGCAAGACATACCAGGATTACCTCTGATACGGAGGCCCAGTTATAAGAAGTCGTACCTTCTTCTCGCCACTTTTCTTGTCCCTTCTTATCTTCTCCTGTCTCGGATCGCGTCTCTGGAGCCTCATGTCTCCCATCTTTGCAAATTACCCTGCGTTTATTGTTCTTAACGTAACCCTCCCTCCCCGTCGGATCTTCTTCAGGTCTAAGCCATGCGTGTTTGACCTTCTACAGTCCTCTATATCGGGTCGAAGTAAGTATCTTAGCCTCAGTCGATTATTCAGGGTGGAGCTGACGCCTTACATCCAGAAAAACCATAAGTGCTGCGCTATGGATACCATGAATTTGGTCGATTCTAGGGAACCTGATCGCATTATTAGTGCCGGCCGAGGGTACGGCAGGTCCGACATAATCAGCACAAATGGAGGAGAGGAAGAGCCAATGCCTACAGATCCCCTGTCTCCGGCCCAATTTCCCTTTGCTTATCGCCACAATATTCTAAGGGCTTGTTTCGCTGACCTTACTGGCACCGGCACGTTGGATACTCACGACAAACAGATTGCCACTATTGCCCGGGACTTCTCCCGCAGTATCGAATCGCATGTGAACGCCTTGCTGTCGGCTTACGGTGTGCAACTCTTGTTTGACGACCGTTTGCGCCGACTGGCGCTTCTCCGACCTGCCGACACCCATCAACACATCTTCGGTGGCCAGCGCGTTGCTTGGCCCGTGAGCGAAGATGAGTGGGGCAACGTGGAAGTTCTCCAGGAGTATCATCGCGATTTTCTGCGTGGACACGACTATTGGAGAAGCGGATAGGGGAACTTCGTGCGAACCAATCCAGCGGTGATGAATTCTGGACCGGACACGACGGTCGCTACTTGGCTCTCCTCCGGGAGGGCCGTCGCCTCCCTGATCCTTTGCCCTCCGCACTTGTTTCGACCGGGGGTTCTGCCCTTTGTCGAAGACGGTTTGTTGTATGCACTGCGCCGTGCCTTGCAACCTCGCCACCTGACAAATTGATCCTTGTTAGTCGTGCCCGGTATTTTACGGCTGGTTCGTGGGACGCGGATCTTCTGTGCCGGTCTTCTACATCTACCACGTCTGCTACACCAAGGCACACAACAATCGGAGAGAGAGGGCGTCGGAAGGCAACCGGAAGCGCAAGCGCAGAAGGCAGACGAGCCGTCGCGGCGATGAGGCTAAGATACGAATCGATACACTCAGCCTCTGATGTTGATAGAGACAGCGTCTCTTCCTGATAACACAAATCAAGAGTCCCAGGTATGAAGCTTGGCTCTTGGAGGAGAACTCTGGGATATGAGAGACAGTTTGAACGGGGATGCAGTGTTGTAGAATTGTCATCCATATTTCTGAAACGTTACCGGCACTTCTATCATGTTTCATATTCCAAGCATTTACAGGATACCACACACGTCTGACGCTGCAGTGCTGGACCAATGCTTTTACCAATTCAACTACCGCAGAGAACAAAAATTCGAGTGTGGAAACAGCGAGAACCCCAACAACCAAGCTATTCTCAAAGCGTACTTGGAGATCCTTGTGTGAAAACTGTATGTCACGAAGCACCCTCAATATCACCATCATCCATGCCACATAACAACATGTCGTGGGAACCCCTGTACAAGGCCTCCCGCTCCGCTAGCTAGTTACAGAAAACACACAGTACACACAGTACCTTGCAGTCCACAGATACCTAGTTAAAAAGTGGTCTACGGCACGAGACAAAGCACTGGCGCCTATTGCTGGCATCTCCCTACGGGGACTGGACCCCATCTGCTACAAGGCACCTATGCACCTGCAGACCTATCCCAGACCTTATTCCACCTCTCGCGTTAGCACAGGATGGGCTGAACCCTACCCTGACTGCACAGCGGCTCCTATTGATCCTAGGGTCTCTAAGCCTACTATCAGACCTTCTTCTGACCCTGAGCATATACTTATAAACAGTAACAACGATGAGGAAGAAGACAACGGCTCTGGTAATAACGGAGAGAGCTGGAAATATAACGAAGATATCGAGGAAGGTCTTAACGACCCGTTGATCCTGACTGCAGATGATGAGGATCGGTAGGTCGATCTCTCGGCGCCCTGTTACCCTGGCTAGTCAATAGATAGGATGAGAGACTTCAACGACGGTCTTGCGTGTGATATCTTTGATCAGACGGTCAGGCAAATTACTCTGTACATCTACAGACTCCCTGCAAACGGGGGTCAGGGCCCGCAGACGATCTTTATTATAGGCACCAGCCCTGACCGATATCTGTATCTGTACTAAATGTATGACGCTATATGTTTTTCCCACGACGAGTCCGGCACCGATCAAAATAGAGGGCTCCTCGCCGATGATCTTGGTTTTAGAAAGGGTCATGCCACCCTGTCCTAGGTGAGGCGAACGCATCGGCCACCGGCTAGACCCTCATGACGTTCTTCGCCATCCTCACCTCGCGATGAATTGAGAACGCGCAGGGGCGATTACCTGCCACTGAGGACCGACAATTGCTTGGAATCGTGTCTGCCGTGTGAACCCCGTCTCCGGTTTCTGGGAAAGAGCGGGACTTGTACTGTGTTCTACTGGCCCTTGCTAAAACAGACGGAGTACTTTCTTGCTGGGTTTTGGCTAGGACTGTCTGTCAGTCGAGCCCTTACTTATGGAGCGTTTATCCGATTACTAACGGACGGTAGATAGATAGAAAGAGGGCTTATCAATAACCATCGTTCCGACAAAAAGAGAGAAAGGCTAGTTATATAGATAGATCGGTGGATAGATTTAAAAAAGAAATGCATTGACGGGGAATCGAACCCCGCTCTGCCGCTGAACCTTCCGGAAATGGAAGGCGGCAATCATAACCACTAGACCATCAATGCTCGTGATTGGCTTTAATTTGTTTTTTAGAATATATAACCAGGCAATCGTGAAAACAGATAAGGAAAGTGAGCACTTTGCTGGGCACTATACAATCTTGCAACGAATGTCGTATAAGAGATGATAGTATCACTGTTTCTGAAGTATAAAAGTCCATACCTGCAGACGCATTACCGTGACTCTTTAAGATACTCCAGCATCACCTAGATCTATTCTAGTCACCATCCATAGATAGCCAAGCAAACATGTCTAGGTATCCTACTCCAGCGTCGCAACATGTTCATTCCTCACCTGCCCATCCACACACCCAACAGCCACAATCTTCACCCTCCCCTGCTCATCATGCACGCACTTCAGCGGTCCCGGCACAAGCCCATCACACCCCAACGCCCGCCGCAAACTCTCATCCAGATCCGGCAACATCCCATGCTCAAACTCCAGCTTCCCACCAAACTGCACCGGCAGGTCCTCGTCATGTATAATCTCCGACAGCATGGGATAAACCTCACCCGAGGTCAAGAACACCAGCTTCGTCGCGGTGACGGGGTCAATCCAGCCTTTGACGATCTTCCAGATCGCGCCCATGTACGCGGGACAATGGCAGATCTACATCTCTTCATCAGCCGACATTGAGAAAGAAAAAGGAAAGCAAAAAGAAACATACGATAATCTTATCGATAATCTCCGGATAACACATCGATAGCAGCCCGCTGACATCGCGCGCGAACCCGCGCAGATCAAACCCCTGCATCATGGTCAGCGTCGACGCATCGGCGAGGATGACCGAGCCTGTGAGCGGAGTATCTTTCTCTCTTCGGTCGTCGACAGCTGCGCAGAGTGGGATCGCGACGCGCGTGAGGTGATCGAACATCAACGCCGCCAGCTGGAGGATATCGATGCTGCGGAGCGGGGGGTTTTCTGCGTCCGAGGACGACGACGGGTCGTCTGACGGCGTCGGATCGAGATACCGCACATCCTTCCAGCCCTGAATGCTGGACTTGGTGATGTTGCCGACGTGTGCGAAACAGACGGGCAGGCCGCTTTTGGTGCGGCGGCCGATCCAGTGCGGGTACTTTGGACATTGTCTGGTTAGACGAGGTGGTGACGATGGGGGGGAAATACTGACTACGCCGCGGGCGGCTTCAAAGTCCGCGACGCGGATGCGGTCGTAGATGGCGAGGGTTTGTTTGTCCTTGCGGAAGTGGGTGGCCTCAACGTATTGCTGGAGGGCGGCGGCTGGGTCGTGACGGCGAGCTCGGAGGAAGCGACTTGGTAGCAGGCAATGTTAGCTGGGGTGTGCATTGGGGTCGGGAGGGGCAGTACAGCAGCGTGGTCTCGTCGTTGATGGCGAAGTTCGCATCGTCGTCCTGCAGACCGTCTGGTCGACCGAGGAGGTTCTTCTCGGCGCAGAGCTGGAAGAAGGTGGCCAGGGCGGCCTTTTCCTTGGGCAGTTCGTCGCAATCGTGGTCCATGGCCATGGTGGAGGTGAATGAATACGAAGGGACTGGAGGGGCAGAGGACAAGACGATCAATCAAGGGCAAGCGCCGGATCTGGCTGCATGCCGGGTGTAACATGACGGGTTGGTGCTACAAGCGAGACGAATCGCTTCGGTAGACATTCTATTTCTGCTCGCTCAAGGCGCATTTTTGTCTGTGTAATCTATCCAATTCAAGGAAGGTCGGCCCAATATACAATCTTGGGTATGTTCAATGGCGGCTGGGTTGACCAGCACCGCCGTCCACGGCCGTCCTCGAGAGGCAGCGGCATTATAACTATTTGCATATCAGAATCGTATCGGGTCCAGCCCTGCATCCTTGACCCGTCCAAACGCCATCGTAGGAAATCAAGGTGAACAAGAAAAAAAGATCCTTCCGCGCTAAACAACAGAGAATAAAAGAACCCCAGTTCTGGTGCTCACCGCATCTGCTGACGTGAGCATCATGGGAGGAGAATCGATGACCGAATGTCGTCCATTCGATCGATCCAGCCCTCAGGAAACGTGCGTCGCTTGAACCAGACCTTTTCTAGTTCCTCCAGACCTTTTTCCACGTTCTGCGTGAAGTTAGCAGGTAGCAAAACCACATCCATGAAGTAAGCATACCTTAAACCCGAACCGCTGGAGTCCCGTCATGGTTTGCCGCACGAACTTCTGCTCCGTCTCGTCGCGGGTCTCACGTCCCGCGGTGAACAGCGGCCACAGCACCGCCAACTGACCCACATCTTTGGCCAGTTTGCCGATCAATGACAGAATGCGCGACGCCAGCATATCCATGATCTCTTGCTGGGGTTGTCGGTCCGGCCGATCGGCGGCCCCAACCTTGTGTAGGAAGATATTGGTGGCCTTTTCGTAGGCCTCAATGCATCCGGCATACTCCAGCACCTCCGGGTACTTGTACTGCTGCAGACTTTCGTCATCGAGACTGGTCAATTCCTGGAGGCTGGGCGGGGCCTCCAGTCGCCACTCGACCAGCCGCCGGTGCAGATCCCGATAGACGATGTCCTGCTGCTCGTACGTCAACCATCCCGCGTGTTTGGCCTTGCCGAACGCACTGATCGCCGCCTGGATCTCCATCATGACGGACCAGCACTGCCGCAGCTCGACGAGGAGATGCGCGTCCACGGGCGATTCGGCCGAGAGGCTCGGGGTGCCCAGATTGTACTCCCATCCGCCACCGAGTGTTTTCCAGTAGCTCCCTTCCACCACAGTCCCTTCGCCGGTAGCGCATGCGCCGGCAACATCGAGATAGGAGAGGAGGGAGACGAGGAAGGGTCGGAGGGGATGGTTGAGTTCGGCGAGGCGCTGGGCTTCTTTGCCCGGGTCGGTGTTAGGGAGGAAGAGGATGCGGTAAATTTCGCGGGCGCCTTTGAGATGGATGGTCCAGTTGTGGTTTTGCGAGTCCATCATCTGGGTCTGTTAGCATGGATGTACACAGCCGTCATGACTGTCGTGAACGCACCTCGAATAGTGAGAGTAGTAGGCAGGTGGCAAAATCGGTCAGCCGGAGCTGCCGGTCGGGTTCCGTATATCGCGTCCGAAACGTGCGGACCACCTCTCCATATTTGCTCATAGCCTGCTGAAAATGTGCGTTTCGGTCGTGCCCAGTGGAAGTGTTGGCGAGGTGTAAGGCCCCCAGGGCCTGCATGGCGCTGGCCATGGAAGGGGACGAGTGAGCGAGGTCGGGAAAGCAACTTCGGAAAGGGTTGATGTTGCTGGAGTTATCGTAGATGAGAAGAAGGGTGGAGACTTGATCGATGAAGTGAGTGTAGTAGCGACCGTCCAGGCAATCTAAAGAGGACATGAATTCGGTGGGGGAGATGGGGTCTTGGAAGTGGTATTTGACCGGACGGGACTCGGATACGGTCGACGGCGAGATGACCACCCCATCGTAGGCACTGTCATCGTCATCGGTCTCCTGCTTGATATGATGAGTGACAATGGGGGTCGGAGCATCGATGGGCCCCGATATGGATTTCTTATCGCGGCGTTTCGCGGAAGAAGATTCCGAAGACGGCGGGGGTGGACCGTAGACCTTGAAGGTCATCCGACCCTGCGTCCCATCGCATTCGAGGCCTAATCGCGTACAATTTTTGCAGGAGGGCGAGGCTTCGTCGCAGCGCACATGTCGTCGTCGACAGGTCGAACAGCCGGTGAAACCGCGGTGATGCCATCGCCGCACCCGTTTCCGCTTCTCAGGGGCGGGCGGAGGCGGCACTTGAGCGGGTTGATTCGTCGTGGCCGGCGGTTTCACCTGGGCACACACCACCGTATGAATCTCCATGAGGCGGAGAGGGGAAGGGATCGGGAGGAAGAGAATGGGGGGGAGACATGAAGGAGTGGAGTCCGCGGTTAGAGCATGGACTGTGGCATGGAGAGTAAGGAGAGGAGGAAATAGGCAGTAAGGAGAGGAGAGGAGAGGTATTGAAAGAAGAGAGAAAGAGAAAGAGAGAGTAAGGAGAGGGAGAGTGTAAAGTGGTAGATCTCGTGTTGGAAGAATGACTTAAATGGAGATGGACCCGGTGGGGCTGCCGGGATTTGATTGTCTGCGATCTCTTCTCGCATTCAATTCTCTCTACGGAGTATACGGAGTATATGGTTTGATTTGGACGGTCTCGATGGTAAATGATCTCATCAGATCGTCCTATACTTCTTCCTTTTCGGTGTCCGCTGCCCCGAGAGTCTCTGACCGGGAGGCAGAATGAGGCCCTCGAGTACTCCTGGTACGTGTGAATCCGGATCATCCACTAGGGCCGATCATGGTCTCCCAACTCGCTGTTTCGCCTAATCATCGCTCTCGAGCTAACGCATCTCCTAGTGTCCTGACCAGTTTAAACCTTCTGTCGGCATGAAAATACCTCATGGGGATCTCCATCCAATTGGCAAGGCCATCTGGGAACTCTCAGCACCACCACCAGGCCAAGCCAGAAGACTGGGCCTCTCCACATCGGTCCACATCGTTCATTCCAAGAGGAATGGATCTCGTGGATTCGCTCCCGTGTGGTTGGAGATCCAACAGATCCAAGGACGAGGGACCAGAGTGTGGGAGAAGAGGATAATAATGGACGGAGAGGAGGGATGTCGCACGAGGTAGACCACCCCCCATGTCACCGGTGAATTCCACCAGAACTACCCCCCAGAGACACCTCGAGAGCCGAAGGACCGGCGTCTCAAAGGATTCGCGCCAGAAACCGGACTAATGCTGGCTATCAGGCATGCCAAGCAGCTCTCCATCAACTTTCTTTCTGATTCGAAAGGGCGCCGGTTGGCTCGCGGTAGGGCATCTCGCGTGGCCGTTACCACGATTGGACCCTGTTAAATCCGACCTCCGAGTACCCTCCGCATACAACTCCTTTGCGTGCGCTCAATCGATTATGATCCTGTCTTTGTTTCTTTGTCTCGCCGTTGGACCCTAATCTCAGTGCATTATTCTTCGCCACCAGCCATGTCCGCGGTGGTCTCCAATCTGGACGGATGATCCCGTCCCCATAGGCCCCTCTTTCGCTCAGGGCCAAAGCTTCTCAACTCCCCCCAGCCCTCAACCAAATGAGCTGGATTGGCAAGCAGATCCCTCCCCGTCTGGAAGCCCGTCTAGCCATTCGACATCCCTGTCCGCCGCGGCGCCGCCCTCCACCAAACACACCACCACCACCATCCCGGAGCCATGGACCACCTCCCAGGCGCAATCCGTGGGTGCGAGGCGTGTGCCGGATCCAGTCATTGGGTGGGAAATTCCTGTTGGGTCACGGAACAATTCTGGTCATCGAAATAGGCTCAAACCTAAACCACTGTTGCGTATGCCATGATTCTGGCCGTAACTGAACTCTCGACTTTCTCCGGGCTGTTTTAGAGACAGTTGAACGCCAAGAGTCAAGTACGTACCCGTATGCGTCTACACCATTTCCCGCCATTTCCCGTCTAAGCAGAAAGGGAGGGGGTAAGAAAAAAAGGGAACATGTCATCCCCGAAGCTACCCCCTAATAGCACTGTATGCCACTCTGACTGCAGCCCCGAAGGATGGTTTGGAATGTGTCACAACAGGACTCCGTCATGCGCTGATCCGGCGGCCCGTTGCTTATCTGCATACCTCGTGATGAACTAACTCGGTCCAAGAATGCCCGTGGTCAATCAGTCAATCCGTGTCGGCCGTAAAGAGACTCGGCTGATTGGGCCGCCGGTCCTCCCTTTAGCACAAGCTGCAGGTCTTGCGGGTTTGTCTCAGGTCGCATCGCGCATCGCTGGTTAGTCGCCGGCTACCTACGTTGCCCCGGGGGTCCGTTCTATCTATAATCGTCCTAATCTCGGCTGGGGGAGGAGGGGGAAGTCTGGCGTCGAACCAATTTCATTCAACCGTTCTCCTTTTCCAGCGTTGTCCAGGGGCACGGTAGCCCCCCCTATTCATTTTCACCAGAATACGCACAGACGACCATAAGGAATAGGTACGGAGTACAAAGTTCACCACGTCATAGAACCCATTACCGGTTTACGGAGTATGAACACATCGGCGAAACCACGCCTCGACAACCCTGTCCATAACAGCCCTTTTATGCATCTGCCTCTCCACACTTGCGCCGCCCTCCGACCGACGGAGCAGACTACGTACAAGCAAACGGATGTATTATGTACAGTGACGACCGCGACCCGACCGCATCGCATCGCATCGCATCGCATCGCATCGCATCGCATACGAAAAAGCAAAACACACTCCAATCAATCAATCAATCAATCACGCAAACTCCCACGCCGCATCCCCCTTGTAGGGCTTGGCCTCGAGGGCAATGCGCGTGCAGGCATTGGACCCGTTGGATCCGTTGTTGGTGATGGCGCCGGTGGTGCCATTGGTGTACTCGAGCCAGACGCTCCAAGCGTTCGGGTTGGCTTCAGTGTTGCAGAGCCAGAAGGTCAGGAACGGGTTGAGGAAGGAGGCGCCGCTAGCGGCCGACCAGCTGGCGAGGCTGGTGAGGGAGCCGGTCGGGATGTAGGCGCTGTGCGGCTGGGTGTAGGTCAATTGGCCCTGGGGGGAGACGTAGACTGTATTTCCATTGTTAGTGGACGGGCACAGGTGAATTGGTAGGGAGGATAGTTTGGAGGGGGAAAACGCACCCTGCTGTCCGCCAGGGACGACGGCGTTCAGGAACACCTTGTCATCCTGCACGGTGAAAGAGGTCCCGTTGACAGTCTTGCATTGCGGGACAGTGTCCGGGCAGTAGGAAGAGGTGGATTTGCCAGTCCAGAAGCTGCCACCGTTGGCGTTCAACGGTCCAGACAGAGGGCTGTTGGACCAGCGGATGTTGAGGGAGAAGGCGTCGGAGGATTGACGGCGCTCGGCGGGAGAGGCCGCGGCCAGAGCGAGAAGCGAGGCAAAGGGGAGGAGCTTCATATTGATTTTGATGTGTTTATTAGATGATTATAATTAATCTGATGCGATGTAGAGGTTGATTCGTGGGATGCGACAGGTCTATATATACGGTGGTTCTTCGGAGTTGTTGGCAGAATGTAGATGCCGAGGTGATCCACCACTCTGAGACAATGAGGTCATGGTCTCGGAGACTGTCCTAAGAATAGGGAATTATGGGGTATATTTTGGATAATTTGCATAGTCTGGTTATTTATCTATGTATAGGATGGAGTAGTTATATGGAGTACTATTCCAGAGGATATACAGCCATTGATAGAAGATGTGGAATCGATGGCTATACTTGTAGTGACATATTCCCCACTAGCCTCAAGAGCCCCAGTAAAATGTCAGCACTACTGCCTAATAAAATACATAAATACAGACTCTGAAGGGCAAAGGAAAGAAAGCTTTATGGGTGCTGTCGGAATTGTCGGGGTCTTTCCTTGCCTTTTCTTTTTTCCAATCCCGTTATTGGGAGTACTGAGGTAGGTATACTTGCCTCTTAGCAATATCTACTAGGTAGATCCTAAACGGTACTTTGTACCGGTAGAAAGAACTGCGGATCTCCATGACATATGCCATGCTAGAATGTACTACTACTGAATATCCTCTAATACGGCATGGTAGGGGGTACGCCATATACTCTCCCATGCGTCGATAGGAGGAAGGACAGCGTCACACGTAGATGTACCACCTTTAAGCACACCTTCTTTCTCTCAGAAATCATACAACTCCCAATCTGAGTAGAACGATCCGGATTGAAATGCCAAATAAAACAAACTATGCACATGGATTCCTCAATGGCCTTGGTCCTTAGTCTGAGCGTAGACAGACAAAAGATAGCCTCCAGGCAACATAAATACTTATGCAACACTGCCTGCGCTATTTTGTACGGTCCTCCGTCCTCGTGGTTTGTTTTCAAGAGCGTCAATAAATGCCTCTTCTTCGATCCAGTCGACACTTTCTTTGAGCTGGATATATCCTTCATCGTCCAAGTCAGAAAGAGCACGTTTGAGCCACAGGCGGCAGGTGACTGGTGGCGTAGTCGACACCGCAGCCAACCTCTCAGCAAGAGGCCCATGTAGATTTGGGTGCATCACGGCAATTTTGCGGCCGACCAGCAGAGTAATCGACAACGGAACGTCCTCGCTCGGCTTCGTCTGGTACTGCCATGTATGGCCTGTGTCCTCGTTGTTGATCAGGTGGAATATTTGACCTTCTTTTGCGCTTGTAGCCAGGTAAAAGCACCAGTGGAACTGTGATTCGGCACCAATGTCTGAGACCAGAATGTAAAGGCCATTTGTATCGAAGGAAACAGGGTCGCGCTGCATGTCTCCTAGATACGACTAGAGGCTCCGAGTAGTAAGAGATGGTTTTCCTTGGACGTAAGGGCTTGCAGAATATGCTAGAATAATAAAAGATAGCCAGGAGCAGTTCTCTTGTTGGATATCGATGTATGTATACATTCCCAAGCCTTTACGCGTCAGGAATCGGTTGTTGGCGAGGGCCTTGTTTGGTCACGGGATCTTTCATGTACCAGCTACACAGGGCGTTAGTACGTTCAATGAAAAGTTTCCCAGTCGCTGCCAACCTGTAACATGCTCTTCGGCTTCTAATTACATATTGAGTGGCCGTATTAGACCATCTCCTCCCTATCTCCCTAGCCCCGTTCACTGATTGGTTTCGTAGTCTGGTATCTTCGACCCATGGATGCTTCTACCCTTGTGCTGGAGATCATCTCCGCAGCGAACCTCTCCCCAACCGAACATCTGCTTCTGAAACATTTCATTGAAGCAGCCATCGATCCAGAGCTTGCTGTCAACTTTTTGAATCGAAACTCCCGCAGGTCGGCGATGTGGAACCAGCGTTACGCGCATTCAAGGAAGACTGCAGACGCCTCGTGTTCAAAGGCAGAGCCCCCCCCAGAGCATAAGTTCCCTTCATAGCTAACGATACGCAGTATCAAGCTTCGATCCGGTTCCAAGACATCTAGAGGAGTTGCTGTGTCGTCGGGATGGCCAGTCTTGCTCTATCCGCAGAAACGAAGTGCATGGAACTGCGGAAGCAGCATATATCATTCCTCCATCCATGATGCGCGGTCTTGAACAAGAGGTGAATCTCCCCATTGGTAGACCCCTACATAACTAATGAACTCTACTATAAGATTCCCTGGTAGAGATATTAGAGGCGTTCTTGACCCCGCCAAATGTTGCACGCCTGAAAGACCTAGTGAGCGACGACAGCGACCAGTCTCTTCAAAACTTATGGCGTCTATCTCCCAGCATACACACTGCCTTTCGTCAAGGCCACGTGGATGTCAGACTTTTATCCCAAGTTCAGGTTGAGCGCCGTCTCCCGGTTAACGAGCACGACAATAGCTATATCAACAAGGCTAGTATCTTCGAGATACGATGCATCTGCCCCAGTAACTAACCTTGTTCCTGTAGTATTACCTGAGAAAACAGTATCCCGAAGAGCCTGAAGGTCTATTCTTCGGCGATAGAACCCCGTACGACGGCGTATCGCAGCGGTTCGAGCTATCGACTCCAGATGCGACCCTGAGCCTACCTACCAGACGAGTTTCTATTCAGGACTCATTGTCGCTTAGCAGCCGCCTTGCATCTGTTCTCCATCGAGGACAAAATCTCCAAAGGATGGCCGCGCCCAGAAAGAAGTATGTACAATATGCACCTGTCCGTCCACCGGTCTTCATACTAACCGACAACCAGGCCTGATCCCGCAGTGGGTCCGAAACGTCTCCTACCGTCTCTCGCGCTACATACCATTGTGTATACGCATGCGGTTCTATCTCTTCCTCGCCCGATCGGACTGTATCTCTACGGACGTACACTATCTCTCTTCGTCCAGCGCCTCCCCTTCGGCCTAGTCCTCAAAGAGTGCATCAGGGCCCGCAAAGCGAGCCAAATGCCCTTCGCCTAGTTGAGACCCACACCGGCATTCCCGCTCCCCGCCTCATCGATTTCGGCGAGTACAATACCTACCTGATCATGACGCACATCCGTGGACGGGACCTAGCAGAAGTCGCGCATCTCATGTCCTACGCGGAGCGGGACCTCTTCGCTGACGATCTCGCCCGCTGCGTCGCCCAGCTCCGCAAGATCCCCAACAATACGCCCTACTTGTTCGCTGACACTGTTGGCGGCCGCGTGGTCGACCACCGCATCCCGGATGGCCGCGGGGGTCCATTCAACACCGAAGCCGATTTTAACAACCACCTTGTGAGTCATTTGGCCTGCTCCTTCGTCAACGCAGTGGATGGGCTGTCGCCGCCGCGGAGCCATGCGTCGTATTTTACACATTCGGATTTGCATGCTACGAATTTGATGGTGGAGGGGGGAGGTTGGCGGGCATTGTCGACTGGGAGTGTGCGGGGTACAAGCCTGAGTACTGGGAGTTCGCTAAGGCAATGTATGGGTCGAATTGGAAGCCGATCCAGCAGGCGATCTTTTGGCGTGCGTTTGGGCGTAAATATGAGGTGGAGCTGGAGGTAGAGCGGAAGCTGTGGCGGCTTACGCCGTTTGGGGTGTAGGCGCTGTGCTGGGTGCAATGGATTGGATTGTGTGGAACTTTTGTCCGGCGGTGTTTGATATCCTAACTGCTGACTGACCCGACGGGTATCTTACAATGCAGGTAATATACAATGCAGCGTACGCCTCTCTCCTCTGCCACATCAACGCGATGAGCTGGCACCCTCACCGCGAGATTGGTTGACTTCCTCCACGGTCTCTGTGACCACGCCTTTGCTGTCGATAAAGTGCGAGATGCGGTTCCGCGGCAGCCATGCTTCCTCCGGCATGACGAAGTACGAAACCAGAGCGAAGATTGTAACTCCCGCCATGATGATCGGAGCGTCTGATCAATTAGCATTCCTTTATTGTATACCAGTAAAGAGTGAGCAACTTACAGTTCAGGTTCGCCCCGGTGACAGGAAACGCATACGGGGAAAAGAGCACAGCCACGACCCAGCCATTCCAAAACACCCCGATGAACTGGAACGGCTTGCTCAGCCTGCCGAGACTCCACGCCGGCTTGGGGAACCGCTTGGGCGTGCAGAGCAGCCGCCCAAGGCAGATCAGTCCGTACGCCGCGGCGCTGGGCACGCCCGCGGCCGAGACCAACGACGTGAAGGCGACGTCGGATGGGAGCAAGGTGCAGGTGACGATGCCGGCGACGGTCCAGACGACGATGACGGCGTTGCGGGGCTGGCCGTTGTGGACGCGGGAGACCCAGCTGGAGAAGGGGAGGACGCCATCGCGGGCGACGGCGAAGACGAGACGGGATGCGGCGACGATGGCGATTGCCGTGTTCTGGAGCCGGTTAGAGGGGATACTGTTAATGGGTGGATAGGACGTACAAGCCAAAGTGCGACCACGCAGATGATGTTCATGAAGATGTGGCCGCCCTTGCCCAGGACCACGGCGTAGAGAGGGACAAATGGTTGGGGGGAGCCGAACGAGAACAGGGTATCGGCGTCGGGCTATAGAGGTTAGTGCCGACCACGGATGGTAGGTGGGTGGACAAACCGCGCAGAACAAGAAAAGGATGATCGTTGCCAGCCCTCCGATGCCGCTCACGACCGTACTCCAGAAAATACCACGCGCGGCTGTGACGGAGGCGTTCTTGGTCTCCTCGGCTACATGGCCGGACGCGTCAAAGCCGATCAGGATACCCGCGGTAGCAAGGTAGGACAGACACCAGTTCCATCCCGCCGGGGCCCCGGTCCCGTTATAGGTGGACATGAAGGCTTCTTCGGCGGTGCGGAAGCCCCAGGTGTTGGCGACGCCGATCGGCAGCCAGATGATGTTGAGGAAGAAGTCCAGAAGGACGACCATCGACGAGAAGTAGAAGACCCAACGGAAGTATTTCGCTGTAGGGAGTTAGATGCTTGTCCGATGTGGTATTACTGATCCGTGAACATACGGGGCATGAAGTTCAAAAGAGCGGCCAAGGCCAGGAGGATCTCTGTACAGATCCATTGGACGGCACGGAATTTGACGGAAGAGGTGTCCGTGGGAAAGTCGACATTGAACACCGTCAGCTCCTGCAGCGTGTGTTAGCGTCGGGTCGTTCGGAAGGTTGTTCTGAGGGATGCTCACCGACAGCATGTAGTTGACGGCCGCCTGAGTGTTACTGGCACAAAAGGTGGTCCATGCTGTCGTGCTCCACCAAGCGACAATGAAGCCCAGGAGTCGACCAAACCGAGGACCGCCAGCTTCGGCAGCCCACAAGTAGATCGATCCGGCGGACGGAGATGCAGAACAGACTTCTGCAATTACTGCGGCTGTGATGTAGGTGAAGACTAGCGTCACCAGGTAACTCGTCCTGTTCACAGTTAGAGAGTACTAGGGTCTTGGCTGATATTTGACCATACCAGTAGGCCAAGTTTCCACCCGCTGCAATACCCGTGCTGAACGTGACGCGCACACCTCCGATGAAGTAGAGAGCCGCTGCGAATGGAAATTAGAATTCAGATCGCCCAAATGCATCGATGGTCAGTGGTTGAGTCGTACCGAAAGTGGTAGCAAAATTTTCGAACAACGAGTACGTCCGATGAAGGACAGGCTTATAGCCCATCGTTTTCTGTTGCACAGTTAGCCTATCACGGTGTCGCCAGATGAAGATGGGAAACCAACCAGCAGAGCTACATCATCCTGAGCTTCGGTCTGGCTTCTTTCCTCTTCGGCCTCGACAGGATGAGTGTCATCGACCACCAGGTCAGGGTGTTGGTGCTGCGCCGGTGCCATGGCTGACTGTGATGTACTTTGTAGAGAACCGACTGCGCGAATGAGGCCGAAAGAAGAGAAACAAACGCAACGCTGTGTTGCGAATGGGTTGAATTTTTCTTGATCTCGCTATAGCTGCCAGGTACCGGATGACCCCACCATGGAACAGGACAACAGCCAACGCGGAAAAAAAAGTTAGAAGCGCGCGTTTCCCGATTCGGGTTTTGGCGGCCCCAAGAGCTGGCTACAGGGACCAAAGGAGATTGTGCAAGAAATTGCTCTCAACGAGAAGAGAAGAAACTTCCGGCACGGGATTGATGAAGTCGATCGATAGTAGTCTAACCTTGACCGGAGATGTCTGGTCCGCAGCGACAGGAGCTAGGCTAGCCCACCCAAAGCCAAGTGGTGAGAGGCTCCAATGAGAGGGAATATGGTCGGCGGGTGGGAGTCGCCGTCGTGGGGCTTGAGCGAAGCCCGTGAGGTCGACGTTCTTACCTAAGGCTGGGTCACATCGCCGCAGGGACCGGCGCAAGTTTAATTGGCAGCGGACCGTGGACGAGCCGGATTCAAGATGGTTTCTTTTGTCGACGGAGATGAAGGTGGGAGATTGAGTGGTCGTCAGTGGTGATCGATTGTCCTCGCTCGTCTGGTGTCTTTTCTCATCTTCTCTCGTAGAAGGCTGTCAGGTAGATACCTGTTCTTGGTGTAGGTAGAGCAAGATGGAGCTGGTCACATCATCCGCTGTGGTTCTGGGCCCACATCCAGAGTGGAGTGCAATTACACCCGACCATGTTGGATCCGTGCGAGGACATGATGTTGATGTTGTTATCATGGTGTGATGCAGACAGGGAAGGGAGATTGCAAGGTGGATCTGCAGAGATTGTTGTTGTACGAAGTAACTATCGAGGGTTGAATGCCTGCAGGAAAAGACTCGATATCACGTGCCACCATCATACCTGTACTCTATCCTGTCCCTCCCCACGCGACCGTCAAGCCCAGAAGCACACATCCCCAATGAGAAAAGATCAAGAAATTCGATAATGGCGACTCCGGAGCAGACAGACTCCAACTTCTGGCGTTTCATCCGAAGATCGGAGTTGGCGTGGCTCCCCGGTCAACTGACTGGCGCTCAGATCGACGTTCAAGGGAGGAGTTCACGAAAGCTGCAGGTGAAGGAGGCTGGATGCAGACCGGATTGAAATTCAATCGTCCACCTCCATGTGGGATGTGAGGTATGTGGTACATGTGCCGATGGGCATATCCGTGTATCTATGCGTGGCCTCAGGCTATCTAGATCACCTGATTTCCCCAGATTGTTGTTGCATCACCATTGAACCCATCGCACATCTCTGCACAATCCACTCGAGACTACGACCGATTAACGGAATCATGCCACCGACCTCCCGCCAAGAGGCTCAGATCACTGGCATCTGACCTGACTGACATATTTCCCCACGATGGATCTTCCCCCCACGCGGGTTTCCCCTCATTTCTTGGTCGCATCATCGGCGGCAACGTTTCATCCATGAGTGAACCGCATTGGCGATGTATTGGAACCATCGGCTCGGATGTCACTCGTGGAAGAACAGCCTCTTCCAATGGTTTTCGCTTTTGATCCCTGTGGTTTCAATCCCCCGCTGGAACGGAGGGATCTATCCGCGTCTCCCTCCTCCCCCTCAATTCAGTCATATTTACCCAATGCCAGGGATGGTCCAGATCAGCGCTTTAACCGATCTGCCGCCATACCTCACGGATCCCCGGATACCTTCGTCCGCTTTGTCTGTCTCCTAAGCCTTTAGTGTCTCCTCCTTCGTGACTTGGTCTTCGTTTCTTTCCTTCCTCCCCATCCTATCTGTGTGATGCAGAGGGAATCCCGTCGTTTGGTCCCCGGAAAGTAGTCGGTTCAGTGGTATGACCCGTCGCGTCCGGACCTGAACGCGGTCGCCTTCACCCCCTCAGAACTCGACACCATGAGTGTGCCGCTGTCCCTGCGGTCGACTCTGGGACCGTGTCGAGCGGTTGCCAGCATCCACCCAGGGAGCTTGCTTCTGACCTCGAAACACCCAGGTGAGTACGAAGTAGGGAGGGTACCTGGACCGTAACGCCACTAACCTTGTGACTCGCGCGAATAGTAACTCAGCTCACCCAACTGCCCTACCACCAACGACGCCCCCGTCATGCATCACCCACCGCCTCCAAATGGCTTCAGCTCGTCAAGAGATACGCGAGCACCTCGTCTGCTGCACCGCCCGTTCCGGTCACTCCGTATTCCTCGCTGACCGTCGGTGTCCCTCGGGAGACATTCCCTAACGAGCGTCGAGTTGCGGTAACTCCGCAAAATGTCGCCCTGTTGCTCAAGAAAGGGTTCGCCCGCGTGTTGGTCGAACGAGGTGCTGGTGAGGAAGCTCAGCTCCTCGATGGGGCTTACGAACAAGCCGGCGCAACCTTAGTCGATAAAGCTACGATCTGGTCTCAGAGTAATGTCATCTTGAAAGTTCGCAGTCCCCGGGAAGATGGACCCATCAACGAAATTGCTGCACTTCAACAAGGCAGCACCGTCATCTCGTTCCTCTACCCTGCGCAGAATAAACCCCTCGTGGAAAAGCTGGCTTCTCGCGGTGTCACCACATTCGCGATGGACATGATCCCCAGAATATCCCGTGCTCAGACATTTGACGCTCTTAGGTATGTGTATTATCACGTTCTGATGGCATTATCTAATAATAACGATTGTATACAGTTCCATGGCCAATATTGCCGGGTACAAAGCTGTCCTAGAGGCATCCAATCATTTTGGTCGCTTTCTGACGGGTCAAGTGACTGCTGCTGGGTAAGTGAAGAAACGGTGCGAGACTGAGACCTGGCTAACATATAGCGTAGAAAGGTAATTGCCCGTAGTCGAAAGTATGGAGCTCCTACTGATCACAGTAAAGATCCCCCCAAGTAAGGTTTTGGTCATCGGTGCTGGTGTTGCTGGATTAAGTGCCATCGCTTCAGTAGGTCTCTAGTAGCACCTCAGCCCTCACGTCTAATATCCGCTAGGCTCGTCGTCTCGGTGCGATTGTCCGTGGTTTCGATACCCGCCCCGCTGTTCGTGAACAGGTTCAGTCTCTCGGTGCTGAATTCATCGAAGTCGATATCAAAGAAGATGGATCCGGCCAGGGCGGATACGCCAAGGAGATGTCCAAGGAATTCATTGAAGCGGAAATGAAACTTTTTATGGAACAGTGCCGAGAAGTGGACATCATAATCACAACCGCTCTGATTCCTGGAAAGCCCGCACCGAAGCTCATCACCAAGGAGGTCGGTTTATCCTATAGTCTGCCGGCCACCAGCCTGACTGACTACTAACACCATTGTAGATGCTTGCTGCTATGAAACCCGGCTCGGTGGTTGTGGACTTGGCCGCTGAGGCTGGTGGTAATTGCGAGGCCACGGTGCCGGGACAGTTGACCACGTACAAAGATGTCACGGTCATTGGTGAGTTGCTTTGCTGTGACGCATGTCATCAACCTGACCGGTACAGGATACACGGACTTCCCTTCCCGACTCCCAACTCAATCATCGACGCTCTATTCCAATAACATCACTAAGTTCCTCCTGTCAATGGCGCCGCAAGAGAAGTCTTTCGGCGTTGACCTCTCCGACGAAGTCGTCCGTGGATCAATTGTCACCCTCAATGGAGAAATTCTGCCACCTGCACCTCGACCGGCGCCCCCGCCTGCCCCCAAAGTAGAGGCGGCAGCCCCGGCAAAGGAACAGGCGGAATTGGCCCTTACACCTTGGCAAAAGGCTACACGCGACGTCGCGCTGGTAACTGGTGGCATGGGCACCGCCCTTGCTTTGGGCAAGGCCACAGGTCCTATCTTTATGGGTAACATGATGACTTTCGGTCTGGCTGGTCTTGTTGGCTACCGCGCAGTGTGGGGTGTTGCTCCAGCACTCCATTCCCCTTTGATGAGTGTTACCAACGCCATCTCTGGTAAGTTTCTTTTTGACACACGATGGTGAAACTAGCTCACGGGACACAGGAATGGTCGGTATTGGAGGCTTCTTCATTATGGGCGGTGGGTATCTGCCCACTACCATACCGGAGATGCTAGGCGCGGCTTCGGTGCTCCTCGCGTTCATGAACGTATCGGGAGGATTCGTGATCACAAAGCGCATGCTGGACATGTTCAAACGTAAGAGTTTCCCCTTTCTGGCGATCCTACATACTAAGTTATACGCAGGCCCCACTGATCCTCCTGAATATCCATGGCTTTATGCTATACCTGCGGCTGTTTTCGGCGGAGGGTTCATTGCTGCTGCTAGCACGGGCATGGCGGGCTTGGTACCTGCTGGCTATCTAGTCAGCAGCATTCTGTGCATTGGTGGGTAGACAATCCTCTCTGGAGGGCCTAAACACTAATTAAGCCTACAGGTTCAATCTCCGGACTTGCATCCCAGCAAACAGCTAGACGAGGAAACATTCTGGGAATTCTTGGAGTAGCATCTGGAATTCTCGCCTCCCTTGCGGCTGTCGGATTCTCCCCTGAAGTGTTGACTCAATTCGCCGCTGTTGCAGGAACCGGCGGTCTCATTGGTACGTTGTCTTCATGTGTGCGAGGGCGATTCTAATACGATTCAGGTGCCCTGATCGGACGTCGTATTACTCCTACTGGCCTCCCTCAAACTGTTGCCGCTCTTCACTCCGTGGTTGGACTGGCGGCCGTCCTTACCAGTATTGGCAGCGTTATCGCCGACATTTCTGACATTTCCACCTTGCATATGGTGACGGCCTATCTGGGTGTTCTTATCGGTACGTCCCTCCACAAGTATCAAGGACTCCATTCTCTGACCGATATAGGCGGTGTCACGTTCACCGGTTCCATCGTTGCCTTTATGAAACTCGCAGGTCGCATGTCATCGAAACCTACTATCCTGCCCGGTCGGCACCTGATCAACTCGACTCTCCTGGGCAGTAATATCGCGACAATGGGAGCGTTCATTACAATGGGCCCAGCGTCTCCGGTTATTGCAGCGACGTGTCTTGGAGCAAACACAGCACTCAGTTTCTTGAAAGGATATACTACCACCGCGGCCATTGGTGGTGCCGATATGCGTACGTCTTGTTACTCTGTTGAAGTCTCGTGCCCATGGCTAATAAGAGTAGCTGTTGTTATTACCGTCCTGAACGCATACTCAGGATTTGCGCTGGTAGCAGAGGGTCTTATGCTGAACAATCCGCTGCTCACCAGTGTGGGATCCCTGATTGGCGTGAGCGGTTCGATCCTGTCGTATATAATGGTGCGTCATGTCTGCTGAAGAGGTGAGCGTGGCTAACATATCTTAGTGTGTTGCGATGAACCGGTCTCTCACGAACGTACTCTTTGGCGGAATCGCAGCTCCCCAACAAGCCAAGAAGATTGAGGGACAAGTGACCCAAACGACCGTCGACGACACCGTAGAAGCATTGTCTAATGCGGAGAACGTCATCATTGTATGAGTCCTCCCTCAGTTGGAAAGACATGATTAACATCTCTAGGTTGTCGGATACGGCATGGCTGTCGCGAAAGCGCAATACGCACTCGCAGAAATTGTCCACATGCTCCGCGCCAGGGGCGTCAATGTGCGCTTCGCTATTCACCCCGTGGCTGGAAGAATGCCAGGACAATGCAATGTCCTCCTCGCCGAGGCCTCCGTACCTTACGACAGTATGTCTTCCACTGATATGAGCCAACGAAATACTGACCAGTTTAGTTGTGCTTGAGATGGACGAGATCAACGACGACTTTGCTGACACGGACGTGACCCTTGTTATCGGGGCAAATGACACCGTCAACCCCAGCGCATTGGAGCCTGATTCGCCCATCTCCGGAATGCCAGTTCTACAGGCTTGGAAGAGCAAGGAGGTGATTGTTATGAAGCGTGGAATGTCCAGCGGATATGGTAGGTGGCTAGCTTGGAGATGTAGGTTCTTGCTAACGGGTGTTAGCCGATGTTCCCAACCCGATGTTCTACATGCCCGGAACGCGGATGCTATTTGGGGATGCGAAGACATCGTGTGATGGTAAGTGTATTCATATACGGGTTGATCCTTGTGCTAACTGTCCCAAGCCATCAAAGCTAGTCTCGAGGCGCGTAAATAGGTCAAACTGGTTGGGTTGCTGTTTTGAATCTTGTTGGTAGGGATGTCGGAGAGCAGTATGTTTTAGTTTGCTTATGTAGACCACGCGTGAGCAGAATAAACCCGTATGATTTGAATCAGACTCCCATATCAACAGCTTACCGACGATACCACATCCGAGTAACCTTGGTCCGCCTCATCTTCTTCTGCAACTGAAACACCCCATACAGCAACGCCTCCGGCGTCGGCGGACAACCAGGCACATATACATCGACCGGCACAATGCGATCCACCCCTCTGACCACACTATAACTATAATGATAGTACCCCCCGCCATTCGCACAGCTGCCCATACTAATCACCCACTTCGGATCCGGCATCTGGTCATAGCACTGGCGCAGCGCCGGGCCCATCTTGTTCGTCACGGTGCCAGCGACGATCATCACGTCGGCCTGGCGCGGCGACGCGCGGAAGATAATCCCCAGCCGGTCCTGGTCGTACCGCGGCATGGAGACCTGCATCATTTCGATGGCGCAGCAGGCGAGGCCGAAACTGAGGGGCCAGGTTGAGCCTTGTCGGGCCCAGTTCACGATTTGGTCGAGGGTGGTTCTGGTGGGTGTGTTAGCTGGGTTTGGGAGATTTTCGACTTGGGGTATAACTGACAGGACATGCTCTGCTGCGTTTGACGGCGGAGGGTTTGTAGCTTGGATGGATTTGGAGCTTGGGAATTGCTTTGCGAGGGAGTTGCGCGCTTCGGTGGCGGTTGATGTGGAAGAAGGACGGCTGTTCCGATGGCGCTGGAGGATGAAGCTTGATATAAGGGGCCGTGGTCGGAGGGAAACGAGATGCGGCGAGAGTGGATGCCCTTATGTCGTTGTTAGAAGTGAGTCAAAGTAAAAGATTCATCGTACATACCGTGTAGCATGCTATAGTTGAATCTCGGAGCCATTGCTTCAATAGGGCCAGTGTATTGACACGTAGAGTGAGTATAAAGGAAACGCCTTCTCTAAGACTACAAAATGAGCCAGCTAGGAAGACAGCTCAGAAGCAGTATTTAGAAGAGTAGCAGAAGAATTATGGATTCGATTGTTGGGACTATAGCATTATGGCTCTGGAGCAGTGGGATTCCCCGACGATGTGGGTTTTTCCCGACTATATGGGTACGAGAGATATACTAGTTCCATTGACAAAAGAGCGATCCATCTTCGCTTTTCGAAGTCATATGAATCAGTCGGGTCAGTTTTCACGACGATTGTGGTTATAACGGGTTCAATGTCATGCAGCGGCCATCGATATGATGTTCCAAGTGGCAACACGCCAAGAAGTTGTCCAAACTCCTCCACATCCTCTTCTTCCCTTCCAGATCTTCAAAACCACCATGGCGGACCCTCCGTCAACCCGAAAACACATATGCAACCAATGTGGTCAGCATTACTCTAGTGCCAGTCATCTGCGGCGGCATAACGCTACTCGTAAGGGTGGAGGAAAACTCGTCCTAGATCCGGAACTGACAAACTCTTCAGACACCACAGATAGGCCTGCAAGTTGCGCCTTTTGTCATCGCACCTTCATCCGCAGGTACTATTACCCATTGTATGACCTTTACATCAAATTGACCCCAGTCTAGTGATGTTTTGCTTCGACACTCACGAACCTGTAAGCAGAAGGGCACTCGGCCAGTACCTCTAGGAAAGCCCGGCAGGAAACGCAAAGCATGCAACACATGTGCCCAGGCTCGCGTAGCGTGCGACGGCGAATGTCCATGCGAAACCTGTCTTCACAAACGGCTAGATTGCTCATATACCTCTGCGCAGAAGTTGTCTGCCAGTTCTTGTAACGAGCAAACAGACACAATGGAAGAATCAGAGACGTCAAACCCCCAGCGGATCCCAATCTCCTTCCTCTTGGACTACACAAACCCCACAATTCGATCAGCGTACGACTTCCACCACATGCTTGCCGAGCACAATGCGAGAATACCAAAAACCGCGAACCAGGAGCGTCGCGGCAGCGTGATGGCGTCCGACCAAGTCGTCGACGCCTGGCCGTTCCTCTTCTATGCTTTCATCGATTCCGCCGCCGTGGACCCGCCCATCCAGCCATCGAGCCTCATGTACGGCACGGACGAAGATGCACGACTAGCAGAGACGATTGACCGGCTTATCGTCCATTTGGAACAGTCTCCAGCCCCAAATGCAGGAAGGAAATTCAGCCGAGCAAGGGCTCGATTGTTTTTCTCCAAGGACAACATTATCCGGTTTGTCAATGCGTTTTTTGACATAGTCTACAACAGCAATCCGATTATCTACAGAGCTTCGTTCAATATAAACACCACGTCTCTTAACCTGGTCCTAGCAGTCTTGCTTATTGGCGCGACGTGCCTCTCCCCAGAAGACGCTGGCGCTGCAGAGGAGTTCTACCACGCGACTGAATATTGCATCTTTGAGGGTACTGAATTTCGGCGTATTCTATACGAGGAAGAGAATCCGTTCCCTTCGGCGGACAATATCCAGCTGATCCAGGCATCGATCTTGATCATGTTACAGGGTTTCAAGGGCCCACTGGAGGTCAGGAGACGGGTTCGAACACAGCGATTTGCAGCATTAGTGTCCATCGTTCGATTGCTGGGCATGACCAAGGCTGTCAACGACACCGTCCTTGATGATGAAATGTCAAATCTGCGGGAATATATCCACAAGGAGACGCTTGTGAGGTTGGTCGTCACCGTCCCACACTACATCAATCTACTGCAATCCGTTGACTGATGACAGGCTCATGGCGTGGATATATCTCGTTGACACGCATGTTGTCATCTTCTCTCGCTTGCCTCCCCATTTCCGAATCTCCGAAGCACAGTTCGGTCTTCCCCAGCAGGATGCCCTATTCAACGCAGTCGACCCGACCAGGCTGAACCTTCGCTCGTCCGATCCTCCCCGTCGTCGGCCCGTATGGACTCTCCAATCGGCTGTTCAACAGTTGACGAGCGACGAGCCGGCTGGATTCGAAGAGCTGCGCCCGCATATCGACACATTCTTTGCGCATTTTCTTCTAATCGGCGGTAGGCCTTTCACTACAATCGAGATCAATGACGTTCCCGTACTAACAGGCCACAGCTTTGCATTCTATCCTATTCGACATCCAAGGGCTGCAGAGCTGCATCGATATTCCCGGGGCGTTGATGCCTGTTGAGCGGGCGCTTAATAGGTGGAAATCACTGTGGGAACAATTTCAACGAGGATCGGACCCGCCAGAGACGACCTCTTCCGGGTTCATGGCGTACAGCCTGGAATACTGGTGGCTAGCAAAGATGCTGGTCAAGGAGCCCCGTCTCTTTGATAGGGAAGAGGCGGCGGCTGCTGATTCAGTGGACGCGTTCCATAGTGTGATCAAAAGACTCAAAATGATCAACGCAGAGTAAATGTGGGAAGTGCCTTTGTCTAACTCGGTTTGTCACACGGCAGCCTCAAATATAACTTGCTCTACAGACACGTGTAGTGTCTATATCGATATATACATCAGGTATCAGGAGGGCTCTCAACGTCACTGATGCTCTTCCTCTTATAACACGAAATCTTGCCCACAATGAGAATCACAGCCGGACGCAGGGGCGGCACACTGCAGGCGACCAACGCCAGCGAGATCTCAACGATCGAGCAAATATACGCCGGCACGACATCCCACGAGGGGTCGTGCCCGACATACAGCTTGACCACATACACCAAGCGCGCGATGGCCGCGCCGCATGCGCTATCGTCTCGTCAGTGCATTCCCCCACCAGCCAGACACAGACGAGCCGGAGACTTACAAGATCCCCAGACAGAACAGCCCCATGATGAAAACCTTCTTCTTCCGTGGGAGCTGGAGGCCTTCACAGCACGAACAACAGTCAGCCGCAACCCACACAACAACCCGCAACCACACATACCGAAGATGGTCCGCGCCGGCAAAGCCATAATCCACAGATCGGTCGCGACGTAAACCGCGGAGACGTCACACCAGAACGCCAGCGGCGGAAAACAAGACAGTTTCTGTTGGTTCTCCGGGCTCCATAGTTTTGCGATGGGGTTGCACTGGAAGACGGCGGCGAAGATGAAGGCGAGGCTCATGGCGCCCAGGAAGCCGATCGTCACGTAGATGTGGATTCGCAGGTTCGGAAAGATCCGCCGGTACAAGAAGAGGATGGAGATCTTGATGAAAGTGCTGGCGAGAGTGTAGAGTATCTGCGTTGCCAGTCGGAGCTTGGCTGCCGTTAGTCTACCTAGGTATACGACGGACGAACGGTGGGAGCGCTACCTTGGCGAGCACGACGTCGTCCACATCGCGATCCCATTCCATCTTTCCCGTTCCGTTCGCGACGCCTGCCATATCGTTAGTACCGGCTTAAGAAAGTCGCGACTGCGGTACCTATCGACATGGTGATGACCATCGCTGACGCTATGAACGCAGCCAGCAGCGCAAACCAGTCGTCCAGCCCTTCGGTCTGCAAGACCCAAAAGCGACAGACCACCCTCGTGACGATGACCACCAAAGCCACGAACATGAGCACGTTGCTTATCGCCAGCAGCGCAATGCCCATATCAGGGTCCCCCTGTTCGATTGTCAGCACGCCGCATGGTTGGGCGGAAATAGACTCGCGTGGCTGGCTTGCAGACCTCTCCGATCCCAGTCATCGTGCCCAGCTCGCGTGGAACGGCGCAGTGTCCAATCCAGCTCGCATATTAAGCCGGAAGTCTATAGCGGTGTATGCGAGGATGTCCGATAGTCATAGTAGACTCTACTGCTCCCATGCACTATCATGCAGCAGCAGCAGCAGCAATGCAGGAGAATTCCGAAACGCTGGACGAGAAATTGGTAGAATGTATGATTTAATGCAAGACACAAAAAGACAAAAGATAATTTACAAGGCGATTGAGATTGCCCCTGCATTGTTCTCTGGTTGTGGTGGCTGTTCCAGAAGACGGTCCGCTTCGTGACGTTCACGAGTCCGGAGATCCAACCTGATGCGGCCATAACTTGGCAGTTGACTTTGCCGGTATTTGAAACTTCAGGGGTAAAGATTCCAGTCGAATTATGAGGGAGAAAGATCTACTTTGTTTGGATTCAACCGGAGCCACGGTGTACTTGAGTGTTAGGTTGCAGACAAGCAGCAGCTCAATTGGAACTTGATTCGTCTAACATGCTAAGCATCAAAACAAGCCGGCTCATGGACATCTGGAGTAAGGATAAAGTAAAAGCTTTTGATTAAACAGGAGGCAACGAGATTGGACCAAATTTGGACCGACCATCTATCCACCAGGGAATTGCACTCTGCGGCGAACATTCCACGACCGGAACAGCACACCACAGGGCAGTTGCAGTCAATCAAGGGTATCATAATATACGGTGACCTACTCATGCAGCAGAGGCCAGACTAGGATTAGCCCGTTTTAGGAGCTTCCTGGAGGCCATCCGCAGACAGGTCAGGACTGGAACTCTCTCCATGAGAATTATCAGCTGGTGCCTGAGCCTGGCCAGGACCATCATCGTACTTCAAGGCCAGGTTCCGCTCAATACGGACCTTCTCCTCGTCCGGGGCATCAGTGATATGGACAGCCACCTCTTCGCCGAATTTCTTTGCAATCTCCTCCAGGGTCAGGCGGGCGGTCTCAGGGAAGAAGAAGTAGATTACTGTGAAGGTCAGCACGGCCACGCATCAGCAAGAGACGTTAAGACTCACCTGGGATGAAAAAGGCCGACCAGCAAATGATGACCAGGTAGAATTTCCAGCCGACATTGCCGAAGCCCATTGGGGCGGTTTGTAGAAGGATAATCGTAGCTGTTATGTCAGTATGAAGCGTAGCGAGATTGAGAACGAGCGTGATACTCACCGGCAAATTGGCCAAACAGCGAGAAGCCCATGCCAATGGGGCGGATCTCGGTAGGGAAGATCTCTGAAACATAGATGTACATGGTGGTGTCACAGCAGGTTCTGCAAAGACTTAGTAGTGGGACCGGGATAGGGATTGAGATGGCAGACGTACCCCTGGAACGCCAGATACAGATATATGAAAAAGATGCCAAAGCCGTTGCCAACGCGGTTGGTGGTGCCTGCATACTCCGCGGTCATGGCGGCCAGACACGACGTGGTGACGACGATGCCAATGAATCCGGTGATAAACATGCCTCGTCGGGAATTGACCTTGTCGTGCAGCCATGCACCGAGCGGGTTGTAGATCACACCTGGCAGAGTGTCAGTCGATGCTTGTTCAGCCTGGGGCACTTCTCATCGTCCTACCTGCAGTGGTCAACCACACAGCGCTGAGCAGCAACGGCATGCCGCCCTCCATGCCAAGGTTCGAGTACAGAAGCACGGCATAGTTGTTCTATCCTGTGTAAGCACGCAGACTCCCAAGTCTACACAGTGACTTACAATAATCAACGGCCCACCGAATTCCGCACCCCATTGCGTGAGGAACCCGATCGCCATCCGCTTCCTGTATGATTTCTTCTTGAGGACCGCGTTCCAGACGGTTCCATACTCCGAGAGACGCTGCGCCTCCAGACGGATCTGCTCCGCCGTCTGGTAGTATTCCTCCTTGGCGACGATATTCTCCGGATCATCAGGGGACTGCCGGAGTCGGTTAAGCACCCGCTTTGCTTCCTCGTGCTTCCCCTTAGAAATCAACCATCGCGGAGACCGCGGCAGCCATGGCGACCCGGCGAGCAACACTAGCGGCGGCAGGCATTGCAGACACAGCGGGAACCGCCAGCCGAACGTGCCCAGCTTATCCTGCGCGAAGTAGCATGCATATCCGACCCACCCGGCAAGCATGTATCCAAAGACCAGGAAGATGGCATGATGGCCCACCAGCCAGCCACGACGGAAGGCGCTCGACATTTCCGAGAGGTACATCGGACAGACGGTGACAAGGATACCGATGCCGAGACCGCAGACAAAGCGGCCAGCCTGGAACATTCTGCCATTGGTTAGGGAAACGAAAGGACATGCAAGGGCTGGACCGAGGGGTACGTTGTCACGTACTTTAGCGAGTTGGCGCCGCCCTGAAGGGCACCTCCGAACAGGGAGAAAAATGCGCCCAGCTGGATGTTGACCTTTCGACCGAAGTAATCACACGCCCACATTATGAACAGTGCCCCGACGGCACCGCCGGCGCTGAAAACGCCGTTGGCGGTGGAGATGGCTGGGGTGGTGATTGCCGCATATCCTGGTTCTCCCTCGGCAGGGAGATTGAAATAGGTGTACCATCCGGGTTGACCGATCGTGCTGGAGATGATCGACGCGCAATAACCGTATGTCTGGAGATGGGTTAGATGGCAAGATGATAGATTCCATAGCTCTGAAGTACTGACCAGTGATCCAATCGCAACAAACACGGTGACCAGCCTGTTGTAAGTGCTAGTTTGAGACCCGAACGTCCCCATGGTGCTTGGTTGTTTCTGTGAAACGTGTTTGCCTCGATGGAGACGCGGTGATGGAGCTGTGCTCAGGAATCGAGTGACAGGTCAATTCTGAAGATTTGCGATACAGTTTCACAGAGATTGAGGGTTTGTGTCTCCAGTTATAAACCTCCGGGGTTTTTCAATGTGGAGGAGAAGGCAAGGAGAGTTGGAGGACGGACGTACGACGTATGTAGGACAGCCCAGGCCAAATCCCTAGACCCCTCCTTTCGCAGCAAGAGAGCAGCAGCTCGGTCGACGTCCACCTTGAGTGCATTAGTCCGAAGTCTAGCAATGGCAATTCCGCGTGGCACTCTGTGACTAACTGGTAGTAGGTACTCCGTCCGTATAGCTTGGAGTGGATCGGGGCATGGGCGTGGTGGCTCCACCGGGCGTCGAGACAGCGCCGTTGCCCAAGGTTTAGTCTAGGCTAGCCAGGCCTTGGGGGCGGGAACTTTAGGTGATTGTTCGAGTTGATTATGGGGGCACGATGGGGCTAGCTAGTCTATTTAGTGTGCAGATGGACATCAACGCTAGACACTTTGGGAAGAATCGCCATGTCTGAACGGATTATTCCTACGGAGTACAGAACAGGCGAAAATCATGCCTTTCTCGAGCGACACACCAAAGATCCCTCACATGTGATTGGCATGGCCTGATTCATGTCATTGCTCTGTCCAACGAGACCGGCATGTAAATCTTTTCCCATACCATACGGCGTACATACATATGGAGGGGTAGATGCAGCTCACTAGTCTATGCCACTGGCAGGTCCATGCTCCCGACCAAGTAAGCAAAGCCATGACGGGCCCTCTACGGCTTTCGGGATGTGAGCTCCAAGGTGGAGATTGTTATCCTCGTTCAGTGGCTCATTTAAGAACCGACTGTCCAAGAGCCAGGGAAAAGCAAGTGTCAACCAGGGGCGCCTTTCAAACTCCCGTATCTTTGTATCCAACAGTCACTCGGCATATTGCTGCAGAGTACATCGACCAACATGACAATCGACGAATCGCCGTTTGATATCCCCTTTGATGAACTCCCCAACCCCCGACAAGTGTGGCCTGCAAAACCCGGCAGCTATGAAGAAGGGCTCGGGAAATTGGCCATCCTGACCCCGGAAGTCGTTGCGAAGGCCGCCGCCAGCGAGATCAAAACCGGCCGACGAGTGACGATGGGATGGGATCTGAACAAGCTCGACTATCCTAATTTGAACCGCCAGCCATGTGAGCACAGGATCGTTCCCCTCCTGGGAGGCGTGGCCTATGATGATATCTATACTATGAACCCACGTAGGTCACTTCGTGCTGTATCCAATGCAGAACACCGAATATCCCCGTTGACGCGAGGGACGTTCTAGAACAGAGCAGTCAGTGGGATGGCCTGCGGCACTTCTCGCAGCCTGTCCCTGGACAGAAGCAGCGTTTGTTCTACGGCGGCACGACATCCGAAGAGATCAATGACCGGACGAATGACCGGATTGGCATGCAGCACTGGGCGCGGGAGGGAATTGCCGGTATGTTTCATCTCCTTGCATCTGGACTCTTCCCCATGTGCGAAAGACCCGGTTTATCATCTCACCTATCACTTTAGGACGCGGCGTCTTGATCGATTACGCCACCTGGGCCGAGAAGAAGGGCATCAAGTACAGCACCTTTTCGACACATCAGGTCCGCCTGTCGGATCTCCGCGAGATCGCCGAGGAATGCAACCTCACCTTCCAGAAGGGTGATATCCTCTTCGTCCGCGTGGGCGTGACCAAGGAATGGGACACGCTCATGACACCGGCACAGAAGCAGCAGTACTCTGAGAACCCAAGCCCCGAGCATGCGGGGGTCGAGGCTACGACCGACATGCTCCGGTGGCTGTGGGATTCGGGATTTGCGGCGATTGCCAGCGATGCGATAAGCTGGGAGGTGCGAAACCTACTGCATTATCTCTCCGTGGCGATGACCTTTGACTGACTTGCCCGGCACGGTACAGGTATACCCCCCTCAATCAGAGGTGTTCCTGCATGAGTATGTGCTCGCGGGGTGGGGAATGCCCATCGGTATGTTGGGCCGTTACCCTGAGCGTTGTTGCGCAATCCCCTGGATGTCGTTACTGATCTGCGGTGTAGGGGAGCTGTTCGACCTGGAGGCCCTGGCGCGCACCTGCCAGGATCTTCAACGCTGGAGCTTCTTTGTGGCGTCGGTACCGTTGAACATGCCCGGCGGGGTATCTTCTCCGCCAAACATCATGGCCATTTTCTGATAGATCACATTTGAATCGGCTTGTCCGGACGTAAGGTACTTCGAATATAACTATACGGAGTACTTTCTCGGCTAGGCAGATCTTCTGGTACGAACCATTTAGCACAAGTTCTATGAGCTTAACCCTAGTCCATCGGGGCCAGGACTTGTTCTTCCATGTTGACAACTACTCAGTAGAGCTCATCTATTTGGATAAAACGAACGAGATATGGCACGATAGTGGGATTCATCCCCCTGCACAGATCCCCACCGTAGCATCCTGCTGCAGCATCTACAGGCAACAAATAACCCGATAGGGCAACAGACACGTCGGCGGTACTTTTGGCCTATATGAAACCAGTTAATATAATGGCAGCTGACTACTCCGTACGGCGTATGGTCTGATCCCACGCTTGGCGCAAATGGTCCATCAGCAAGCTCTCGTCAAGGTTCCCGAACAGCACTCTTGGGTCCTCACGGGCTCAACTCTCGTCCCGATGCTGGGACATCAAGTGGGCCGTAAGGCGGTCTAACGGTAGACTGACTACGGTGCACTCATCGAGGCTCCTTAATAGGGAAATCTCTGCGGACCCACTGAGTTGATCTTGATATCGCGTGGCAGGGATCATGTAATCTAGACTTCGTCTTCCCTAAGTCCCTAGGTAATGCTACCTCCGTAATATGCTCAACGGCCCACCCGTCCCCGTTAGTCCGCCCCCATCGGCGGGCGGCAAGTGGGTTCCGCCCCGCCCGTGCAGGAGTGCTTGTGATTCTTCTTACCTATTCTTATTATCAGATGTTTTCGGATGTTTACTATATGACCTTTTCTATTCTTATGAACCGATCAGTGCTACCGTTGCGTGCGTCGAGTATTGTGAACCTGCCGAACGGACTGCCCATCGGCCCCGAGGTCCACGTGGTGTTTCGTCCGGTATCGAGCGGAGAAAACAAGCAACCGAGGTGGCGGAATAGGGCTAGAGATCTGATAGACAAAAGGCTGAATACACGGACAATGATATACTAGTATACTGAGAGTCGCCATCGGAACATCAACTAACCTCCCGCTCCCGTGTGCTTAACTCCTGGCGTCCGGACTACTGTCGCAACCTGACGGATCAATCTGGCCATAAAATAGACGAACCGAAGGTCCTCGGCCGTAAGCAGTTGAGTTCAGCCATGTGGGCCTTGGACAGGGAGTATATAGCGCTAACAAGGGCATGAGAACGAATCTGCTCCTCCTGCCCTATGCCTACTGCCTTGGCGGTACCTTTCCATATCCAATTAGGGTGTCTCACCATTATACCAATGGCCTGGAACCGATGTCCCAATCACGGAGTGAGTACTGCGGAGTAGACGTGGAAAACACACTTAGAACCATGCTCATGGTCATCCTAAGGGGAAAGGAGTAATCTTCACGGTACTTGGGGTGACATTGGGTTAAAAGGTTCAGGGGGAGGGGGGCTAGTAGCAAAATATCCATGAACTCTGGGTACAGATCGCAACAGATCAATAAATGTCCATGTAAACAGCCTGCATACGTATCTGATACATCGTTTCTGTCCTTTTTGTGCGCGCAGCTCTTCCTATTTTAAGCTGACCTGACCCTAAGTTCATGGCCCGATGCATGGCCGTCCAGCGTCAATGGCATCCACCATGGCCTATGTACCTCTACTTGGGCGTGATGCCCCCGAGCCCTCAGATTCCATCGACGACACGGTGCAGAAATGGAACAAGGCCACTCAATCGTTGTGCATCATCTTCACGACTATCTTCTTTATCCTACGCGTATACACTCGGACCTTTATACTTAATGGCTTCACGAAGGAGGACTGTAAGTTCGCCGTTGATCTGAGTTGTATAACTACTGACATAGGCAGGGTTTTGCTCCGGGGCTTGGGTAGGGTTATCTTCAACCACCTTGACCTTCTCTAACAATCAGCTTGTATAGTTCCTCGGAGTCTGCTACTCCGTCATTGCTCTGATCAGTACGTCTTCAAAACCCCCCAGTTCCTCTACTACTAACACCACCAGTGGGCCATTTCGGCGGCGGACTGCATATCGACGACGTCCCGGAGGAGCACCTCATTCCCTTCAAGAAGGTACCTCTACCCTCGCACGCCATCCCAGCCATCCAGACTAACTCCCCAGACCGTCTACGTGACAATGGTCATGTACGGACCGACGGCCTTCCTCACGAAAATGTCCCTCCTCTGGATCATGACACGCGTATTCAGCCCCTTTCGCAAATCTGTCATCTTCATCTACGTCTTCCTCGCCCTCATGCTCGCCTACTACATCCCCGCCGTCATCGTCAAGATCCGCATCTGCAGCCCCATCTCCAAATTCTGGGACACCGACACGCCAGGCACCTGCCTGGGTCAGTCCTCCATCATCATGGCCGACGCCGTCGTCAGCGTCGTCAGTGACATGATCGTCCTCATCCTGCCCCTGCCGCTGACCCTCGGCCTACAACTCCCGACAAAGAAGAAAATGCGCGTCATGGCGATCCTCGGCGCCGGCGGACTCGCCTGTGCCTCGAGTATCATCCGTTTGGTGCTCATCGTGTTCACCGGGCAGTCGGCCGACGGGACCTGGGCGTTTATGCGCATCAACATGTTCGGGTATGTCTTCCCTTATACCTTTGGATTAAGAAAAGTGGCTAATTTGTGTCGCTGATAGAAATGCCGAGATCGCCATCGGCGTCATCTGCGCCTGCCTCCCCGCGCTGTCCGCCCTCATCTCCCGCACCTACAAGGAATACTCGAGCAACAAGTACACGGGCAACACGGACTACGAGCTGCGGAAATACGCGCACCCGAGCCGGAATACGCAGACGCAAAAGTCCAACAGGAGCAGAAGCCGGATGAGCTTTTTCGAGCCCGGGTCGGACCAGGATATCCTCGTGCAGAATGTGCAGAGCGAGCCGAAGGTCGAGACCACCGTACAGCAGAGCCCGTCGCACCAGCGGCGGGCGCCGGGCTTTGGGATCATGAAGACGGTCAATGTGACGACGGAGGTTTCGTCTGCGAGGGGCCATCCTCATGAGTGAGTCTGCTTGAGCCGGGTGGGCTTGGAGTGGTTTGTCGTGTCGTTATGATGGTGATGATGCTGGCTGGCGTTTCTATACCCATCTTGTTGTTTTGTAATAATAACTGACTGTTTAATAAAAGTTTACACTGGAAGGCAATTGGCCGGGATTCAGTTCCGCAGGTGTATAGCGCTCTGGACGTGCACTCCAGATACACATCAGTAGTGTCCTACGACAAACACTCAATCAACCGTTCTCAGCGAGGGATAGAGCCTTACGATAAGCCTTGTGGATTCCATGGTCCCTGCAGGTGACATATCATACTGATGCGCCGATCCTCCACCCGCTTGAAGGCTAAAAGAGATCTTAACTTCACATCCTCTGCCATTTGTATTTCGGGATTTGTAGCTTGTAGATCCTCGCATACACCAGACACCGACGTCCTACAGCTCAGAACCACGGCATACAACAGACAGAATATGATTCGTAACAAATTGACCTCGCAGAACAACAACAGAAACCACCACATAGTACTCTCAGGGCTCAATGCGCGGCGCACGCACACACTTCTCCATATCAAAAACCACCCTCTTCTCCACAACCATCCCATCCAACACCCGTACCTGCTCATGATTAATCCCCTGCGCCAGCGTCACATCCGGAACCTTATAGACCACCTTCTCCACCCACGCAGGATAAAACTCGCACTCCGTATCACCGGCCGCCTGTCGCGGCTTCAAGTCCACCAGCTCCTTCAGAACCATCTCCACCCGCACCACATCGAGGTACTTCCGCTCCTGCAGCCAGGTCTGCAGATCGCGGATGCCGAGGAACCGCGCCTCCTGGAGCAGCGCGGCATAGCGCGCGTAGTCGTGGCCGCGGACGCGGTCGTAGAAGACGGGGTAGATGCCGCGCCGGAGATACTGCAGGATGGGCGCGAAGAGCGCCGGGTCGGCGTCGATGAAGTAGGAGCCGTCTTCTTGCGTGCTGTTCCAGTGGTTGGAGAGGAGGGTGGCGAGGAATGTGCTCTCGCGGAGGGTCTCGCGGGTTGTGGTGAAGCGTTGCTCGCCGACTTGTAGGATTACCTTTCTGGTGGAGGGCTCTGTTGCAGGAGGGAGGAAGGTCGGTCTGCTTATTACTGGGGAGGAGGCCATTTCTTGCTCCATGTTGAGATTGGGGCTGTTTGAGGAGTAGCTATATTCTGGGCCATATGTACCCCTATGAGGTCATATATACTGCGACTCGGGTTTGTCTTCCGGTGCCTTTCAATGACACGACTGATGGTATGATGGGCATAAGAAAAATTTTTTGCGTCAGAATCGAGTCTATTCCCCCGTTATTGCTCTATGTAGCTGTTGATTCTCAACTTTTGTCCTAGTATGCATCTCACAGATCTTAGATATGGATAAAACAATCCCAAGGTGAACTTCAGCTTGAGAACTCACAGTCCATATTATCATGTAGTCGACATACATCAAGACAGACAGACAAAATGTTCAGCCATCCCGTAGTCTGTCCAGCAGCAGTGCATATATCTCCCCTATACCCCAAGCTTTCGGACTGTCGAGGAGCAGTATAGATTTGTCCAGGAATCTTGACAAACCAGCCGATAACAATTCCTGGAATCTCCGGTTGTCCCACTCTCATATTCTGAGTTCTAATGAAGCCATTATAATACATAGATTGTCCTGAGTAACCATAGATAGTCACACTGGGGGAGGAGACATTGCACAACAGGAACTAATAATGATACATACGCTCTCAACCTGTCTTTCCGTGTACTACGCCTTGGTGGCTCGCCCGAGACTCATTCCAACCTCAACATCCACCGCGATGGCTTGGGCACTCAATCGAAGCAGATCATCATCAAACTGTATGCGGTTTTTCTCAAACGCCACGATGATCGAAGAACCCCCAAACTGAAATAAACCTAGTTCGTCCCCCTTGCGAATCTCACTTCCCGGTTGTTGCCATTGCTCATGGATCCTGCTAAGGTCAGTACATTTCAAGCTCAAGAGCCACTGCAACCATCACTTACTTGACCGACCCAACCTGCGAAGCACCAATAGCCACAAAAAGCACATCCCCGAACTCCTCGCTTTCAATGACCACGTAGTCGCGAGCATTGCGTGTCAAGATATCAAGCTTACTACGGAGTGCAAATGGATCCACCTCGTAGTAGTCTCCCGGCATGCTCCGGAAGAGCTTGATCCTGCCAGAGACCGGACTATGATAGCGGTGGTAATCCTGTGGCGACAAGCGGAAGCTGGCAACAGCGCCGTCATCGAACCGGGGCCCGACCTGCTTGTCAGCCACCAAGTTCGTGATTGTAAACTCGTCGCCCTTGATCCACAGCTTTTTGCTTTGGGCAACGGTTTCGTAAGTCACCACCCGCGAGTCCGCAACCACAACAGCAGCCGAAGGGTCATGTTGCTCGTAGATTGGGCGCGACCCTGGCCTGTGCGCGCGCGTGAAGAAATCTTCGAATGTAGGGTAGTCTTCCACATTTGATGGCTCGAACTGGTGCATATCGATATGATAGAAATCTACGAATTCTTTGATTCGCTTTCTCGAGCCGGGCGTGGCCTCCCGCTCCCCTTGACGCAGTCAGTCGGTTGTTCGCTTTACCAGCGCGCGGCGTACCTTCTTCAATGGCTTTGTTGTGCATGTATAGACGCATTGCGTGTGTCGTGTCGAGCCATTCCATCAAGGGATTGAACAGGAGGATTAATTTCATCTTCTTCATAAGCGGTTGCTGCTCGCGGATCAGTTTTCCTGTCTAGATTGGGGGTCAATATGTCTTTCTACATCCGACTGTCTCTGAGGTTTTACCTTACGGTCCACTGTCAACCACCCGATCTGCCTGTTCTGGGCCTGGGGGAGATCGCAAGCGTCAGTTAATCTGAGTGGTCGTTTCGCCGAATACAAGAACTAACCATTTTGACCCAAGACAGGATGTAGTCAGCGATTGTGTGGAGAATATTGAGGATAAACATGGTTGCTATACAGGACTCATGCTTTGTAAATGATGTGAGTTGATCGGTCAATTGTTCAGGACGCCATGCGGCCTTATGGAGGGACGTCCTGCGATGATGTCACTATTACGGGGAGCTCCTGATACGAAACCAGCCTCAAAGAATTGACACCTACTAGATACTACGGTTAAAGCTCCGACATATGCTTCTATTCTACTTGTAAAATGAAATGCAAATTGGAATAAATATTCTATCCGCATCGCAGCTTGAGCTCTCACACAGTATACAGTACTCAAACCTAATGGTCGCTGCGAAGCACATGTCGATAACCACCGCTTCAAGATAACAAAGTCTGAAGGTCTAGATCCACTTATTAAGCAGTCTCATATTTTACACTATCTTGTTCCTTATGTTTATCGTGTGATGTCAATGAGCCCCCAATCTAGAATGACGTCAAGCATATACGAAGCCGAATATAAACAAGCTGAACGTCTGCCAACACGTCTTTGTTCTGGACATTCATTGAATAACACACTTGAACTGCTACTCATACAATCCCGGAATCCTCAAGATGCCTTCCTACGAGGAACTTAATTCATCAGTTAGCCCTACCGCCCTGGGTCAGGGCCAAATCGCAGAGATCAAAGAGGGCAAAAAGGACGGAGGGGTCAAAATAGTGGCCAGGAATAGCCACGTCACGTCAGAACGCTTACCAGCGATTTACACTGACCAATTCATCGAGAGTCCCGGTCTTGCTCGTGGCAATGCAGCCGTTTCGGTGGACAAGCCCGACGGAGACCGAGAATGGGTGCGAGGCGTGAAGGAATACGTATGGACCTCCCCTGTCTTCTGCGAAATTGCACACCACTAATCAGAACATCTTCCACAGACACCACTCCAGCAGCACGTCTTGTTTTGGGACAGAGACGGCGACGGGCAAATCTTCCCGTGGGACGTCTATGTCGGGTTTCGAGAGTTAGGCTTCAACATCATCTTCTCCATCCTCGCCGTTCTCATCATCAATATCAACTTCTCCTACCCTACGAGACTGGCATATAGCTGGCTCCCGGATCCGTACTTCCGAGTATATGTCCCAAGCATTCATAAGGCCAAGCACGGTTCCGATAGTGGCACCTACGACCCGGAAGGACGATTCATTCCGCAAGCATTTGAGAATCTCTTCTCCAAGTACGATAGCGACAACGATGGCGCAATAACATTATGGGAAATGTTTCATCTCATGCACGGTCATCGCTGCGCAGCTGATCCATTCGGGGTAGGTGATCTCCAATCAAAGCAGGCTCCAAATCGCTGACTAGAGACAGTGGGGAGCAGCGTTCTTCGAGTGGGGAACAACATGGCTTCTGATTCAGAAGGACGGTAAGATCTACAAGGAAGATCTACGGGGAGTCTACGATGTACGTCTCCTTCTGTGTGTGTGCGTGATCTATATGCTGACCGGAAGTAGGGTTCCTTGTTTTGGAAAATTCGTGATCTACGTCAGTCAAAGACGGGTTGGAATCAGGGATATGGCTTAGAAGTCAATGGTCTACTGGGCTCCGCAAAGGGCTTGCTACTTTGATTGACAGGCAATGTCCGCCTTTCTACTTTAGTGAATAGTAATCAGACTGAGTGAAGTGATGACTGTGTCATACAATGCCTAGCATCTGTGTTGGTTTCATTTTCTACGCCACAAAGGGCATATGAGTGCGGCCGATTGAAATTGCTTCGATATCTAAAAATATGGCTGGGCTTCGTTATCAACTTGCACCCTTTCAAGAATGTATTGTGTTATTAAAATATCTTCCCTCATCGAAATCAAAATACAGTCATGCTAGATCAATCCTCGATCTTTTCCAAAGTCCCGGGGTTATGCGCAACCCTTTTTCCGCGTTGATCGTGGAATAGGACCTTCTCATGTTATCAGCAAGATTCTCGCAGAACGAGGGGAGAACTACCTTTGGTGGATGCTTTACCCCCTCCTGCTCCGCTTCTTCCTCTGTTCTGACGATCTTTTCGACCTTTTATAATGTACTGTTAGGGCATCCACTGGTTCCTGCAGTCTTAATATGCTGGGTTGGTACCTCGCCTTCATGCCGGCCTCCCCGTATTTTGGTGAAGACATGGTCTCCGGGGGAAATGCTCTGTCCGTGCTTATCGTTGATTTCGTCCATTTTGAATCTGCAAAATGAAACAGCGTATGCACTAGTGTGTTGGGATCTTGAACGGTATCCCGTAGTTCTAATATACCTTAACCCTGGACTCGACTATGACATCATTTAGTAAACCGATATATATATATCCAGCCGTCGCCACCACGGACCATGACAGAGGCAACACGTCAGGATACAGTAAGCTTTACGTTTGTATCCTTATTTTCATAAATATATGAAGACAGTTGCGGTGGTGGTAGGGTAGATGGTAGTTGGTCACCTCTGCGTCATCACAGGGCAACGATCCACGGAAGCAGGTAGCTGTAGCAATACTCCATATTTGAAGTTGGTCGTGTAAACTGTTCTATGATGGGACTCGGACTGACTGCAGATGCAAACTTATATCAATTGAGATGGGAATCGGCCAATGGCATACTGTACCTGCCATAGTACGGAATGCTGGCAAAAGGCTCGGTTTCTCTGGAATGGGGGGTCTTTCCTGCCCTGGTGCCACTGGATATTGCTTAGAGTAGCTCAGGTCGGACCGCGTACGTGCAAAATATATCTTGCTTGCCCGTGAACGTAGCATCTTGTCCAGATCTCAACACTATAAGACCTTTACTTCATACTTCGAGTACGTGCTCAGTCACTTGGGCAAAACGCACTCTTCAACTACATGTCTCTATGTCATATATACCAGGCGCTTCGTTAGAACAATGCCAAGTTCAAGAGCCGTTCACCAAACAGACGGATCAAACAGAGATAGATCCTCCTCCAATAATCCCATCATATGCTGATTCCCGGAGTACCAGTTTCGCAAGGCCGATGGCGCTACTTGCGGGAGCTGGGTTTCCACGCCTGGCATTATGTCTGTAGATCCCGCCGGGACAGTTCTCGCCGTGGCTGGTCTAGAATCCCCGTACTCAACCGATGCCGGCGCCAGCCCCAAAGCGCTGAGATATGTATCAAACTCCTGACCTATGGCCTGGTCCTCTTGCGTTTGTGTCTGAGCCTTTGCTTCGAGGTACAGTTTTGCTATGTTGCTGAGTACCTGGCAGAGACGGTACAGTCGGGAGATTGCTTCGGAGAGGGCGCAGTTTGGTTGCAGCGAAGCGACGAACTCTTCCAGTCGTTGTAGGTCTGTCTCGGAGGAGGAATTTATCACGTGGCAGAAGAGAACGATGAAGGGGACGAATGGTGAATAAAGAATAGTCCTGCGGGTGATGCGATTGGTCTTTTTGACTCGTTGAGAAATCTGGCGGGAATCTACTTACCAATGCAGATATGTGAGGACGATCTGGCTTTCATTCCGCTCCTTCAACATTTCCATAGACTGCTGGTGGCATTCGAGGGCGGACCGAGCTGATTCGATGCACTCGCTGATGAACGTCCCCGAAGAGCCGTCTTGTGCCGGGATGGCTCTGTATATCATGGTCAGGAGCGCGAAATGGGTGACTTCATCTGCCTTGACAGCAATAATATCGTCGGGAGTCAATTTTTCGCGATCGATTTCCCTCTGCAACAGCTGTTAGTAGAAAGGCACAAGTTAAGTTCGTCAAACATACCTTGTGGGGTTCCATCACCGTCCATTGCAAGTCAGCAGCCAGTTTACGCGCTTGTATCACCCTCTGTTCTTCGGGCTGATTCAATGCCTTCGGGCTGTAGAGCTGCTCGTACACATTCCCCTGTATTCTGGCGTGATGGATCCATAGAGTATATATGGTGCTCCATGGTTCCACATTCCCAAAAATATATGGGGTTATTGGAACGGAGATGTCATAGTCTTGTATAGTAGCTGCGCGACCTAACCGAAGAGACAAGGCCTTGTCGATGGAATAAATTGTCCAGAAAAGATTAATTTTATCCTGCCTGACGCTCTCGGTATCATGCTCCATTGACGATACCCGATGGTAACCCAGGGTCTGACACAGATGAGACGCAGTCGAAGTGAGAGTCAGGGCGAACGAGGGCTTGGATATTTCAATAGCATGAATCGCCTAAGAAGTCAGCTGGATAGATGTCAGGAAGCTTCGGACGACTTACGCCCAGAGCAAGTGCGGTGATTGTATCCGCGGTTGCCGGCATGAGGAGACTCAGATTGGCCAGGCCATAATGAAGATTGGTGCGAGCGATCTCCATACATTTTCGATAGGTTTCCCTCTTGTTATCCTTGTCCCCGAACATGCACTCGGCGAATATAAAATACAGTCCTCCGTTGGCTATGATAAAAGCCTCGTCTGAAAAGTCCTCGGTAGCGAAGAAGACCTCGCGACATTTCTCAATCAAACGGTCGGCTCCAATGAAGGGCATACCCTGCATCCAAGGCAAAGGCTTTTCTGCAGCTTTTCAGTACCTCTTTCCTTGTTCCGTGTGTGGGAAAATACCTTTGATTTCTCTCAATATTGGCAAAACGATGTCCACTGGGGGCAGAGGCAGCTCCCGTAACGAAGAGGACACTCTCCGGCCCGGAAGCCAGTCACTGCGTTTCGTCGAGTGGGTTTTACTGTCCTGCAGATTTACAATCTGCTTTAGGGTCGAGAGGGCCGCTTCCATCTTCGGGGTGGACATTTGCAGTTGGCCCTTGGAGACGGCACGTTCTAGGAACTGACTGGCGTAGGCGGAGTGAGCGGTAAAAGAGGAGCTCCCCTCAAATGCAGGCAGGGGTTCATGTTGGTCTAAAGTATTTGTAGGGCTAGAAGTGAAGGAGGTCCTTCGCTTAGACCCTGACGGCAGTGGATAGTACGGCGTACTGCTCGCCTTTGGGGACGCGCTAGACCTCAAGTCATGGAGAATTTCCTCAATGTTCCCCAAGCGCTCGTCAATCAGGTCAATTTTCTTTTCGCTGGGAGACGATTAGTTGCCAATCAGGTATTGACCCTAGTGATAGGCCCATCGTACTATTGACTCGATATCAAGACCCTCCTTCGTGGCTCTTGGGGCTTCTGGCCGGCCCCAGTCGACCGGCAAATAATCTGGGAACTACGACAATTCGAGCACGGTGATCGCTTGTCGCATCGTATCTGGCCCAATTAGCCTACTGATCCTACTACAATCAGGAATGCAGCATACCTTGCGGAGACGGCATTGGTCACACTACAGGATTTCTCATTAGATAACGCATCGCGTATGCAAGGCCGGCTATACTCACCGCGCGCCTCACCAGGGACTCTTTGGCCCCAGTCTCGGAGCCCTCGGCTTCCATGACTTAGGAAGCGAAATGGATACTGTAAGGGATATTTGTCGGGTGACATTCCGAGATTCAAGAGAAAGACGAGGGGGGTCTAAGAGATTGAGCGCAACGTAGTAGAAAGCGGGATCCGCGGGCTCCGAGGATTAACCACCGAGCGGTTACTCCTTTCGGTAATATTTTGTCAGGTGACTCCCAGGCTGCCAACATTCTTTACCGTGCAAGATGCAAGCATTTCTCTATCATTCACAGTTCTATATCTATGAGTTTTCTACCCAGAAGCATACGTTGACTCTATGCAGACATGTCAACGGTGTCGTCTATCATCGCTTGTCGTTCCAATTCAATACGTGACGTCATGGCTGTTCTGCGTAAATCGTTCTTTGTGTAGTTCGCGGCGTGGAGGCCGTCACATGCCGCCTGGCGGTCATCGTATGCGACCGTGACGAATGGCGCCGATGGTATAAGTATGCTCGGCTACCACACGAGCGCAAGGCAGGCTTTGAATGAGTGTTGCTAGATCGTATGTGTACCATGTCCCTAGCAGTAATCACTTCTTGATGCCAATGACAGCCAGGTTCCGCGGGCTTTCCGAGTAGTCAAACACCGGCTCAACCCAGCAGTCTTTGATATCGTCATGCTCCCGGAGGAACTGCCACCGATCCACGACGATAATGGCCTCGATGATAGAAGCGCTGAAGGACATCAAGCTCCACAGGACGCTGAGGTGTTTCTTCCGGTGCCAGTACTTGGCTACATAGCGATCCAATTCTTCGTCGTCGACGTCCGCCATCTTGGCCTTGACGGTTTCACCAAATACTGGATCACGGCCTAACTTCACCACAGCGGCGCGAGCGTACGCAGGGAAGGAAACGAAGGCGGTTTTTCGGAGCGATCCAACAACCAGCGCATTTTCCGCCCTGTGGGACGTGGTTGAATCGGCGGAGTATAGATCCGTCGGGATGGAGGGCTTCTGGATGACGCCACGATCCATCAACATGCGCTGCAGAAGCGTGCGGTAGAAGTGACGGGTGAAGAAGTTTTCGCTGCTCTCGCGGTCCCAGTTGTACGGCGCCTGGAGAGACATCGATCGCGCGGTGATGTTGATTCTCACCCCCTTTCCGCTGTCGTGCTCAAAATCTTCCATGCGCTTCGACATTGGGAATCCATGTGGGTCGTACGCAACGGCGTCTCTGATTAGGCGCGGGTGTGAGGTGCGCATAATGGGGAGCTTCCACGTCGCAGGGCCCAGTCTTTCCGTGACGAGGTTGTAGCAGCAGCCGATCATGGCGATGGCCTTGACGGATGGGTTGAGCGTTAATGATCGGACACCGTGGTGGAGGAGATTGCCGCAGGAATGCAGTGACACAACCATGACCCTTGCGTCCTCGTGTTTCTTTGCAGGACTATCCTGTTCGGATCCGGCAGGGGGGCTTTCGATCACATCTTTGATGATCGGCTCTAGATATCCGTCCTTGATCTCATGTTCGATGTATTCCATGGCACCTCTAGGCTTGTTCGCATCGTCTTCCTCGGCGGGCTTTACTTTCTTGGTATTATAATGGCGGGCTTCGCCAATCTCCCCGGGCATGAGACTGATATCGCGGAACACGTTGATCATCGTGAGATCTTCGCCATCTTCCTGTCCCTCCGGCGGCTGGTTGTTTTGTGGTTCTTCTGCAGACTCTTGGGGAGTCTCTGTCTCCGCAGGGGCATTTGGGAGATTCTTCGGTCTTATCCTCCCTGTCAGCGCTCGCTTGTTGTACATATTGACGACCTTCTTCTCAGTCAACTTGGCCGAGATATCCATTCCTTTTGCGCCATTGATAAACTGATGAGTCCGTTCAATGGCGACAATATGTCTGTTGTAGGGAGGACTCGCAAGAGTGCGGCCCAGGTAGCTCTGTCCGGAGCCGAAATCCACCACATGCGTGATCGCTTCGCCGCGTTGTTCGTCCACGGTCTTACACAGCTCGTCGACGTATCGGGAAAAATGCGCAACCTCATGGTACTTTTTGACATTCATCCCGGTAGCGATATGCCGGGGTATCGTCGGGGTCTTCTGCCCCGGCGGGTGAAAGTCTCTCTTCAAGCTGAAACGCCGGATCTGCTGGATGTACTCGAGGAGGCTGGTTGGTGCGTCTGGCCACGTCGCTCCCTCATTTTGTCCAGCTTCTCCCGCGCCTTGCTTTTGTTGTAGTAGAGGCGCGATGTCTTCCCTCAGGAGCAGATCAAGGATATCCTGGACATCGTGTTTGTCGAAGAAGGCCCGCCATTCAGCCGGCAACAGCGAGTCGTAGAGGTCAGGCTCGCGGGTCAGGAAATCGAGTATATGCACGCCGCCGCAAAGGTGCCTGAACAGGTCGGAGGAGGTCGCAAAGGACAACAGGGCGTCGACGTAGACGTCCGGGTCCGTCCACTCGTCGGCGAGTGGCAGGGTCTGTGGCCGGGGCATGCGTTCGGGGGGAGCGATCTGCGCTGCGAAGGCACAAACAAGGACGCTCAAATGGAAAGATAACTTGTGACCGACGTGGGGTGGTGATCGATTCTCCAGAAATTTTTTGGAGTTGGCGTTTGCCCTCCCCGATTGGGTTTAGCCGGAGGGCTCCACTGCGGAGGGAAAACAAGCGGAAAGTCTGGACGTCGTTACAAGTTGTCCAAGAACTGTTCTACCTCAACACTCTCCACGGGTTCCGCCATGATGGATTCATGCAGCTTCTCTATCCATCAGGTGAACAGGTGACTAGTTGTCCAGATGTTGGCCCTCCGGTGTGTCGACACGTTTCGCATCAGGCCCAAAACTGAGTCTGCGCCCAAATCCTCCGGAAGTCGGCGACGGATCGCACTATTGAACCCTGCGAAGGGATAGTTTCTCGAACCAACGGGAATTCTTCCATGGTGGCGCTGGACATCACGCTCGATGGGCGACATGATCAGCCACAAGACAATTGATCTCCCAACCGCTTTGCTGCCTTCAAAGGGACTCGTGCACTCATTCCCGTATAGGCGGGTCGCAGCGGTGCCGTCAGACTGCAGATGAAAGAAAGTCTCGTGTCAAACGTACTCAGTGTACCCTCTAAAAAGGGGGTCTACCGCGTTCTTTATATGCTTTCGCCCAAGGACTGTTCAGATGGCAATGGTGGTTCTCCTTCCGGCCTGCATGCTGCGTCCAGTGAGGGTGCGGAGATAATCCTCCATCAACGCGTCACACCGTCTCCATGTAGCAGCAAAATATATATACTGCGCATTTCCCTTACAGCAAATGAAATTACCCCGTCCGGGCGGTTATAAACAAGCGACACCGCGACTTTGGACCGTCGCCACGGCCAGATTACTCCGGAGCCTATTGGTTTTAACTAGACGGGTAAGGACGTCTCTCATCTCTGGATAGCTTGCTCCCTCACATACCCGTCACTAATACCTGTAGCCCCACAGATGTTAAGGCCGTCATCAATCCGGGCGAAGCCGTTCGGGCTAGTCGCCGATGTGCTCTTCCAGATCATCACACACGGCGATCTGACTGTAATCCTGAGCCTGTGTCTAGTAAACCGAGCCACCTATGAAACCATCAAGATGCTTGAACCGCATATCTGCGGCTGGTTCATGCGACTCCAGGGGACCGGCGGCGCATTCGACCCTGTCCTGACCATGGATCCGTGGACCGGAGAACAGGCCGGGATGACGATCCACCGTCTGCTGCGATACTCCGAACGTGAGCACATCGCGCGACGGCTCGCACGGCACATCGTACCCACCGTCTGGGGCGCATTCACACCCGATCAGAGCTCCGAGATGGATTTCACCGCAGAGCTGCGGCTCGCCCACCGTCTGGAACGGGGGCTGTATGTGCTCTTCCACATGTCGGACATATCGCGCGAGATCGAGAACAACCCAGAACAGAGCAGACGGCCGTCGACGCCGGTCCTGGCGGAGCGATTATTCGTCCTCACGCAGATGATGGACGAATACCATGACCAGCAACAGACGAGGTCGTTCCAGGAGCACGCCAGCCACGTCTACGCCGTGATCCGATGGGGGTACAAGGAAGCTGACATTGGTCGACGGCGGCTCGAGTTCCGCAGCCACCTTGACGAGCAGACCCAGATCGACCTGCACGCGACGCTGCGCATGTTGCGCGAGCTGACCGAGCGCATGCTCCTCCAGCACGGCCCGAAGGACTGGCACCGCGACGCGAAGAACGAGTACAGCATCATCTCCTGGTTCCTGCTGCGGCAGTCGCCGCGGTCCCTTGCGAAGCTGTTCCTCAGTCCACAGGACCAATGCTGCGGCATCGACGAGAAGATCGCCAACTGCGGCGCGCGCGACTGTCGCTTCGCAGACCCGCTAGACCAGTACTGGAGGGCGTGGAGCAAGTCGTCAGAGCTGGGATGCCAGGGGTGCAATTGTAAACGACGAGTGCGCAGTTGGAGCGTGAAGCCCACGCTGATAGACGCCCGCGGACGCGAGTTCAATCGTGCTGCTGAACGGTACCTGAAAGACATGTGGAGTCAACGACATGTCGGATTGCATCGCACTTTTACGCTCGGATACTTTAATACCCTGTTGTTTTAGCCAACGAAAGAATAGACTTAGACAATTATCAACATGATTATGACAAGTCCAACAGCCATCTCAATGACGCTATGGGTCTGGTGAATGACTAGAAAATTGGAGTCCAGGGCACACCAGAAACGGCTCGAATGAGGATTGGTAATCAAAGAGTGTTGACAATTTCTTCCTTCTTCTACTGTTGCGAGTCCAAAGTTGAAAATTATATCCACCCGGCAGTGGGAGCTTAATAATACGGCGACATTTGGTCGGAGACGTCACCATCGGGGGAATTAGTAAAGAATATACGGAGACATTTGATACCACCCATAACACCTTAAATTCCCTCTTCCTCCGATTAATTCTGTTTTGTCAGTCACCTCGTCACGTAATTCGACACCATGGCTGGTGAAACAACCAAAGTCCTCATCGTCGGCGCAACTGGGTATATGTGCGTTGTTGTCCCCAATCACAGCCTCTATCGTGAACTGGGAGTGCATAGCGGCTAACTTAAGTGCTTAGTGGCGGTTCAATTCTGGCGGAGATATTGCATACTCCAGACCTCGCCAATCTATCTGTGTCGGCCTTGATTCGACGACCAGAACAAGCTGCAGCCCTCGAGAATCTGGGAGTGAAACCGATCCAGTTCAAGGGTTTGGATGACTTGGACGCTTGCAGAGATGCTGCCTCTCATCATGATGGTATAGACATACACTGCTCAAATACCCACTGAGCAAGTGCTAACGCTCCTCATGTAGTGGTGATCAATGCAGCATCCGCATCTCACGACAGCTCCGCTAAAGCACTCATTGAAGGCTTGAGCTTAAGAAAACAAGCAACTGGAAAAGAGACCTTCATGATCCATGTGAGAGCATTCTCGGCTGTCTTTGATCAACATCCCTCTAAACATTCGATATAGACTTCTGGAACCTCTATCCTTGGCGATCACCCCTACACGGGCACGCCACAGGCAGACAAGATCTGGTCTGACATGACGGATGAAGTGTTTCAAATGGAAAAAGCTCATCCTGAACGGTACGGACAGCGCGTTACTGACGTGACAGTCGTCGAGACGGGTCAGAAGTTGGACGTCAAAACGTACATTGTTGTGCCGCCAACCATCTGTAAGACTCTTTGCCTGCTGGTGAAATACCAGGCAACTAACACGCAACAGACGGAAAAGGCTCTGGCCCATTTGCAACCCTGAGTCAACAAGTTCCGAATCTTGCACGATTCGCCCGGAAGCTAGGTTCAGCGGCTGTGGTTGAGAGTGGGCAAGGCGTAAGTCCGCTACCTCCACTATGATACTACTTACAACCTGCCGCTAACATCTCCACGATCAGATCTGGAACCATGTCCATATCTCCGACCTGTCTCGTTTCTACGCTTTGCTCTTGCATGCAGTCCTAGAACAGCCCGCTTGGCTCCCACACGGTCCGAGGGCCATCTTTTTCGTCGAGAGTGGCGAACATACGTGGCTCCAAGTCAGCCAAGGCATTGCACGCGCTATGCACAAGCAGAATCTGTTAGCGACGACGGAAGTGAAGTCCGTCAGTCTCCACGAAGCAGCGGCGCATATTACTGGGGGAAATGAGAACTTGCTGGAGATAACCCTTGCTTCCAAGTACGCCGCCCTTACCCTTGAGTTGTTTGGACTGACTAACCCATGGCAGTTCACGGGCTCGAGCAGACTTCGCCCGCTCGCGGCTTGGTTGGTCCACGAGTCGCGGCGACGAGGATTTCTTGAATCATTTCGAGGCCGAGATAGCAAGCATGGAGGAAGAGTGGAAGCGGTGAAGTTGCGTCAATGCCTTGATGAGTTGCTTCGACCGTGTATGTCGCTAGTGATATCCTACGGTACTGCAATACCAGCAATTTAGAAACCGCAGCGGCACTTTTCACAATAAGGGAAATACTCGCAATGTATCTTGTGTGTCCAGGTATCTTATGTCCTCTGCTGAGTCTCGCGCGGCCAAGACAGTTCTACCTACTGTTGTAAACGAACGTGTGACATGAGCAATCCCATCAGCAAGTCAGAGAGGATAGTCATCTGTATGGAGGACATTACATTAGCTTATCTATACAACCAGAAAAAGTAGCTAGGAAGACTGAGGAATCAACAGTCGGCTGCAACTCAAGAACCCGGGGCAGTCCCTGGATAGTACTAAGAACAGCCTCACCGCTCCCCCCACCGCCTCACCCCGTATCTCCTCCAACAAAGACACCTCCCCATCCATAGTTGGAGTATCATCCTATCAACCTATCTATTACAGCCTACAAACCCATCTTACGACATCTCCCATTCATATCCCTCATCATGGACCCCTCCGACCCCTTCCTCCAAGTCCAAGCGTAAGCCACCCCCCAACAACCATCAACACCCATCACCGGCACTCACTAACCGTTCCTCAGCGAGGTCCTCTCGACCCTCCAAACCACGCGCCCCCTCTTCTCCTCCTACCTACGCATCCGCTCGCTCGCCAAAACCCCCGACAACCCGGAACTGCAGCAGTCGCGCTCGGAGCTCGAGTCGACGCTCACCGACCTCAGCGCAGACCTCGACGACCTCGTGCAGAGCGTGCGCGCCATCGAACAAGACCCTTACCGCTACGGCCTGGAGCTGCAGGAGGTGCAGCGGCGGCGCAAGCTGGTCGACGATGTCGGCGGCGAGATCGAGGACATGCGGCAGGAGCTGCAGAAGGCCGTGACGGCGGCGGACGCCGCGGGCGGGCTGCCCAACCCGGCGGAGTTTGATAACGTCGGGACGGCGGCGGCGGCGGGGCGCGACGGCGACGGCGAGGACGAGGATTACTATGCGTCGATGGAGCAGCAGCGGCAGGTGGAGTTGATGCACGAGCAGGACGAGCAGCTGGACGGGGTGTTCCGCACGGTGGGCACGCTGCGGCAGCAGGCGAATGACATGGGGCGCGAGCTGGAGGAGCAGGCGGTCATGATTGGGGAGGTGGATACGTTGGCGGAGCGGGTTGGGGGGAAGCTGCAGAGTGGGCTGGGGAAGATTAAGTATATTGTGCGGAAGAATGAGGGTAAGTTATTGGTCTGTGCTATATATGGGAGTAAAAGCTAACGGTCTAGATACGTGGTCGTCGTTTTGCATCGCGGCGCTCATTTTCATTCTGGTATTACTATTAATTCTGGTCATTGCGTTGTGAAGACCCGATCATGCATACAATAATGACACCGCGTTCTTTTGGACATGTCAGCGACCCTCGGCGTGACTTCAGACACGCGCCTTCTTGCGGGGCCGGTCGTTGCCGCCCTCCTCTTCATCGTCCTCCTCGTCCTCCTCGATATCGAATTCGACGTCGCTGTCGTCGAAGCCGAGCGGCTCCTCGAAGCTTTGGGCTGCGGTTGTTAGTGCTACGATCAAAAATGAGCCGGGAAGGGTGCTTACTATAGAGCTTGAGGGCGTTGGGCCAGATATCCTCGGCAAAGATCTGGGCGACCTCCTCGCCGTCCTGGAAGACTTCGACATCGTCGAGGTCATCGACTTCGTCGTCGTCATCGTCCTCGTCATCATCATCCTCATCATCGACGTCCTCCCCATTGGCCATCTTCTGGAACCGCTCCTCGTCCGCCTTGACAGCGGCAGCCGACTGCTCGGCCGTGACGTCGAGCCCGCGGAACGCAAAGAAGGCAAAGAAGGAGACGCCGGCCGGGCTGAGAGCCGACAGATCCTGCGCCTCGTCCTCGTCGATGTCGAGGTCCGCAGCCTCGGCCTGGCTGGCGAGGAGCTCGCCAAGCTTCTTGTACTGGGGCAGGTCGGTGCGCTTCTTATCCTTGTTGGCCAGCTCGGCCTTGTACAGCTCGTTGGCGGCGGCGATCAGGCCGCGCGAGGGGTCGCGGTTCTCCTTCCAGTCGAAATCCAGGGGCTCGGACGCGTAGCCCTCGACAAACCGCGTCTTGCCCTTGGCGGTGGTGATCTGCTTCTTGCGCCAGTAGAACGGCTTGGTGACCTGCGTGTTGGAGAAGTACGGGTTGGGCGCGAAGTCGAGGACCAGCTTGAAGTTGCGCGGGTCGCCCTCGCCCTGGTCGTTGACATCGAAGAAGTCCAGGCTGACGTTGGTCGTGTACGAGAGCATGTCGGCGTCGACGGCCGTGACGTATTCCTCCAACCGGCGGCTGGTCTGCATGACGCGCGACCAGAAGTCCTTCTGCAGCTCGGAGTCGCGGACGAGCGCGTGGAGCTCGTCGGTCAGGGGGCGCAGGGTGAGGATCTGGCGGGCCTCTGGATTGTGTTAGCGGCTGCGTGGGAGAAAGAAGATAATAGCGCGACTCACGGATGCGAAGCGAGGCCTCGTGGAATTTGTGGTCGAGCACATTGACCTTGCGGACGGTCGCCTTGGAGACCTCGACCTCGGGTTTCTCGACGCGCTCCTCGAGCGGCTGGTTTGCGGACATTGTGGGCTAGGAGGGGGTAGAGTCCGGGGGTATTGACGGAGTAAGTAGAAATAGGGGGAATAAATAGATAGGGTATGGATGGATGAGTGAATAAGAGAAGAAGGATGGACGGAAAATTCGAGGCGACGGCGAGTCGAAAAGTTTGCGACAATCGCAATTACTGCGATGCCCGTTGAGGACTCGGCGGGCGCCGCTTTTACGGGGACGGCGGCAGCCAATCAGGGGGTGGTGATGTCACTGGAATTTTCATAATTGGCCTGTAATTATACGGAGTGAGCATCTAGTATATTGATGTACAGAGTAGATAGTTTGTCATTATGATTATAGAGAATAGATAGATGTATCTGATTCTAGGTGACGGCGTATCACAGAGTAAGGTAGTGGTGTAGCGACAATGCAGCTATTAGAAGAAGACTAGACCGGCCTAACGATCGGAAACAAGCCGAATATTGCTTTTTCTGATGATTGACATCTGACATACAGATCTACTCTGACGATTCGGCGTACTAAGTTTATTTCGACACGACGGGATATATACTGTACCAGTCCGATTTCATCTATGACATCGACCGAATCAAATCAACAGCCGCCGGTGCATGACACCCGAGGGGAATAGATAGTAAACAGAGAATCAAAAATCGAATCCAAACAAACAAGAGAACTTTTGTGGCGAAGCCACCATGCTGCAGTGCTATTCGTGACGGCGTCTCATGTCAATCCGGATGACTCCATCCAGGACCGACCCCAACAAACAACCATTAACTTTTTCAGGCCATGCCATTTTCTTTTTCTCCCATTAACGTGTTACCCCGACGGTAAGGTAGACCAAAAACAGACCCGGGCCGGTTCGCCGTATATGCAATGAAACGGAGCGACAAGATAAGAAGCGCGAAGAGAAGAGAAGGGAAGAGCAAAACGGTAGGGGAAATCAAGGGGAATCGTAAGCCCGCACGGATCCTGCCAGGATCATGCAACCATATCGAGCCAATCATGGCCGCGCATCAAACAAAGAACAAACGAAAAGCGCAGAACAGAAAGAAAGGGGGCAACGGAAAGACGGAACCTGGCCGCAAGTCACAGCATCCAGTCCAGCCCGTTGGCCTCCTCCTCGACGGGAAACACCTCGCGCGCGTACTCTTCCATGTCGCGCCAGCCCTGCCACAGCTGGCGCGCCTCGTCGGTCACGCGGAGCGAGATAACGCCGCCGGGCCCCTGCATCATGCCGGCGCCGGCGCCCTTGCCATTGGCGGGGCCCAGGCCCTTGGGCGAGCCGGCGGCGGGGCGGGAGAACTCGGGTTGCGGGAAGTAGGGCGCGTTGCAGCGGCCAAAGACCTCCTCGATGGCCTCGAGCTGCTCGCGGTAGCCCGGGGGGATACTGACTTTGATCTCGACGCGGGGCACGTGCACGTAGTTGCAAGGGCGACCGAGGGCGCGCGAGAAGGCCGCGCAGACCTGGTTGGGGGAGAGGGTCTCAAAGGTCAATGCGATTCTAATTGTCCGTCAGTTTCTTGTATCGGGGAATCCAGATTGGGGGGAGGGAAAGTGACTACCTATGACCGTTCCATCGCTTGGGCCCGTCCTTGAAGATCTGCAGCAGGGCGGGCCCGACATCATGCTCGGCGTCGAGCCAGGGCAGCGGGGTGTCCGGGTCGAAGGGGGCGTGCCATTCGAAGGAGCCGTCGGGCATGAGTTCCATCTGGAAGAGCGGGTAGGGCAGGCTGGTGAAGTTGTTGTTGTAGATGCCGGTGTAGACAAAGGTGGCGGGGAGGCCGAGCTGGCGGATGTAGTTTTCGACGGTGAACTTGGGGGCCCACAGGGGCACGGGCGGCCAGGGCCCGTGGACGGAGTGGTCGGGCATGCTGCTGTAGATGTAGTGTTGGATGGAGCCGGCGCGCTTGGCGGCGTCGGCGAGGGCGCGGCCGATGGCGACCTCATCGCCGGCCTGGGAGGTGGTGTTGATGAAGGCGAGATTGGCGCCGTCGAAGAGGGTGTCCATGAGCTCGGTGTTGTTGAGGAGGGGGCCCTGGAAGAGGGTGACATTGGGAAGGCTTTCGAGCTCCTGTGCGATGATGCCTTTGAGGGAATGAACCTGCGCGCGCACACTGTGTCCGACGGCGGACGCGACGCGAATGAGGGAGGCGGCCTGGCGACCGGTCGCGTTGACGACGGCGATGGTCTTTTTGGGTTGTGTCATGCTGTAGTGGTATACGGAGGGGTAGAGGGGGAGGACGAAGGAGAGAGACGGAGACGAAAGAGGTGACTAGTGGAGGTCGTGCGGGATGCGGGGTATAAGGAGTAGACGGTCAAGCCTTGCAGGAGTCGGAGAGGCCGTAGTAGTCCGGAGGAGACGAGGGTACTCTGTACTCGGACTCTGGATGGCGAGTGGTAGGCAGACTAGGTGGGATGCATCCGTCGCGGGGATATCAGTCGGAGGGGATCAATCCCGATAAGATGGAGGAGGAGGAGTCAGTCGGAGGCGGGAGTGGAATTGCGCAAGGATGGTGCAAAGGAGGACAAAGAATGGTGCAAGAGGGAGAAGAGAGGAAGCAGAAAAGAGAAGAAGTGGAAGAAGAAGAAGAAGACTGGATGGAGTATAAAGAAGGGATGCTCGCAAGGTGTATCTGGATATTATTTATTAATCGTTGGTTGGATTTATTTGATTTGATTTTATTTTCCTCTGTAATAATATTTTATTCGGGTCGGCAGAAATTTCGTAATTGAGGGAATTTTGAATTTTCTACAACGTGGATCGGGTTGTTGGGTCGTTCCAGAAGAGAAGAGCATCAGAAGAGAAGAATGGAATAATAGAATGAAATAGAATAGGATAATTATAGTCGAAAAAAGAATAGAATACATGAATAGAACAAATAATAGAATACAATTGAATTCTGCTGGAATGAATGTAGAAGAGTTAGCAGAGACTATACCTAGTACCTAGATATACTCCCCTCTGTACAAGACCACATCATGACTCCATGACCACCACAGATACAGATACATACCCAGTAACTCCCAGTTACTTGTACACAGTCCCCCGGCTGATGAGGATCGTCTGGGGGTTCACCATCCATTCCTACATACTCCTAATAATCCAAGGCTCCGATTTGGCTTCCGAGCGGTTCTCATCGAGTAATAAGAATCCGTCATGGATTCACCTCACCTGACCGTGGATATTTTCACCCTCATCAACGAACTAGTCTCCTCTGCTCCTAGGCAAGGTAACCTCTTCGTCCTGAGCAGTGGACTCTCCTACACTACACGACTAATCCTCATGATGCAATCCTCGGTCTCGACCCTGATCATCCGGTCGACTCCCTCCACCCCGACCATACAGCCCTTTTCTTTACGTAAATTCGGACGCACGAGAGCGGACGGCGGATGCGGTGGATTCTTCGCTGGCGGAGATCAGTTCGCCAGATGCTTGACACGACATATCGGGGGGTTAGGCTCGAATTCACGAATCTTCTCTCGGGTCAGGAACTGGTGAGAACCCTGCTGTCTTGTCTGTCGGGAGAAGATTCCTCGAAGGGACTTAGTCCACTAGAAGGTTCGTTCTAAAGTAGACATGAGGTACCCCTGTGGCGTAGCACAGAAGTACTCCGTACTCTGTACTGTACTCAGTAGTACCTTACTAGTAGGAGGAGGACTGGTATATGCGGTGATCTCGGCCATTCATGCTGGCACGCCCCTCCAGCTTTCTCCATTCTTTCTCCATTCTGTCCACTTTTCATTCTCGTCCTCCATCTGATCCATCTGATCCCTCTCTTGCACCCGCGGCACACGGCACCCTCCGAAGCCTATTCTCGACGCCGCTGATAAGCGTCCGACAATACTATGTATAAGAATTAGAAGAATACATATACTTACAGTCTAGTAAGATACTCTGACTTCGATGGTAATCCTTGGCGGGGTCCCCGGCTCCCCAGACGTGGCGGTTATCGCTGCGATTGCGGAGCCATGCATCTCCGCGGAGTCTGTATCTATCTATCTATCTACCCAGTCTGTACTCCGTGGCTATGTACTTCACTGGTAGACATACTCTATTTTATCCATGTATTCTATTCTATCGATCCCTCTATATTCACTCCGGTAAGTCTACGGCGCTGACCCGGCCATCCCCCGCATCTCCTCCATCCCTTCTCGCTCCATCTCCTCCATCATCTCGCGCGGCCCAACCCCCGCCAACCCCCAAACCCCGGGTCGCCGACGCGCCAACAGCTTTGCGGCCGCCCACTCCTCCGAATGCAAATGCGCACCTGACTTGCGCAGCAGCACCACATGCTCCGCCAGCCCGGCATTGGCCGCCAGGAACAGCGGCGTGCGGCCCTGTCGGTTGCGCAAGTGCACCGACCCGCCTTGCGACAGGAGGAAATGGAGAATCGCCACGGAGGGGGAAGTGGCGGCCAGATGCTACCCCAATTAGCATGTATCACTTATGAGACATTAACAACGGAGGTAGAGGGAGGAAGACGTACGATAGGCGTGTTCCCCGAATAATCCGCATCGTTCAGCAGCCAGTCATGGTCCAGTTTCAGAATATCCTGCACCCGCTCCAGGTCCCCCTGCGCTATCGCATACCCCAGCAGCGTCAGCGCCTGCAACCGTTCCGGCAGCGCGTGGCTCTCCGGGTGCTGGAAGACCGGCGTCGAAGTCTCGGTCAGCTCGCCGCGCAGCGACACCGACATCTGTCGCGCGACCTTTTCCGGTGTCGCGTCCGGCAGCGCCAGGAGGTATGCCAGCTTCGTGAGCGCGGCTTCGGTCGTCAGGTCAAGCCCTGCGACCACCCCGGCTTTGGAAAGACTCATTCCCGTCGCGTAGACGGGGCTTACGCTGCCAGTGAGGCCTGTCATACATTAGCCACGTCTATAACATGATCAAGTATTCTGGAGGTGCCTACATTGAGTCACATTGACAATGACGATCCCCCGCTGGATCGCATCCGCCAGCACCTTGGTCATGGCATTATCCTTGCCATGCGGCGCATTCCCCGCGCCAAACGTCTCGAGCACCAGCCCGCGCAGCCCATCCAGCCGCAGCACGGCATCCACCATCTCAGGCTGAATCCCCGGGAAAATGCGCAGACAGGCGACATGCGAGGTGTCGAGGTTCGTCTGGATGCGAAAGTGCTCGATGAGCCGCGGGCGGTGCACGAGATGCCAATTCACCACAGTCCGCATGGACGTGGTGACAGCCAGCGGCGGACAGTTGGGCGAGTCGAAGGCGGCAAAATCGCTGGCGGCGACCTTGCTGGCGCGGTTCCCGCGGAACAGCTTGTTATTGAAATACAGACACACCTCGGGGATCATAAAGTGGCCAGCGACGACGAGCGAGCCGAGCAGGTTGTCCGTGGCGTCGTTCTGCAGCTCGAGCATGGGCGCCTGCGACCCAGTCAGCACCACGGACTTGCCCAGGTTCTGCAGCATGAAGCTCAGCGCCGAGCCCGTGTAGGCCAGGCTGTCGGTGCCGTGCAGCACGACGAACGCGTCGAAGCGCGTGTAGTTGCGCTCGATGGTGCGCGCGATCTCCGCCCAGCCCTTTGCGTCGATCGAGCTGCTGTCGAGGAGCTCGGCGAACTCGAAGACCGTGTAGCGCACGCGCCGGCCGTACGCGGTGGGCGGGGTGCGCAGGCTGGCGTGCGCCTGCACCGCGCCCGTCTCGTCGACCACCACGTCCATGCTGGTGGCCGCCGAGCCGTCGTTGAAGGTTGGGACTCGCGCGAGACACTGTTCCTGGAAGCCGCGGGCCGGGACGAAGCCGGACGGCGACGGGCGCATGCAAATGGTGCCGCCGGTCATGATGATGAGCACGCGCGACTCGGGGAGGGTGTCGGGCGATTCCATGGCGTGTTGCGCTTCTCCCAGCTCTGGGATCGCGGGGTTGAGGGCGGTCATTGTGTCTGGTGCTCACTCGTGTAGCGGGTCGCGGGGTCGTAGAGATGCATGCGCTGAATAAGCATTCGCTGTCGTTTCTATCGTAAGTCGTCAGTCGTCAGTCTGTCATGTAAAGCAGTCAGTCAGTATTAGCATTACTATTATTATTATGGAAGTGGGAGGGTTGAGGGAAGAAGCGTGCTATTACGTACAGTGCGAGATTTTTTCGGGATTGTTGGAGTTGCTGGCGGAGAAGGTCCCGCAACTTTAACATTTCTCTCCACCAGGCCCAGCGGACCAGTTGGAGAGTTGGAGTAATAGTAGAGATCAGTATAGCACAGTTATGCAGGTAGTGGACATTGTGCTCTATCAGGAGATTATAGTCATTCATTCATTCATAGGGTATCTATGTACAACTGATATACTTCAGCTACTCCCCTCCACACAACTCTCGCTCCCCCGGTACGACCGCCGTCCGCGAGCAAACCAGTCGCACAGGATAATAAACACCACCACCCCATACACCGCAGAAACGTAGTTCATATCTAGAACAGTCAGCAAGCCCCTAAATCAATTAGGTAACAGACGCTACTTACTCCCTGTCGTCACCGGCATCGTGGCCGGAAACGAATACATCACCAGGCAAAACACCGTCCAGGCCAGCGTGACGATATTAGCAAACGCACCCCATTTACCCAACCAGAACGGCCCATGGGGAATATTGTTCCTCCCGCGGATCCACAGACAGATCACCGGAATGGAGTACGAGATGTACAGCAGGGTAATACACGCCGTCACCATGCTGTTGAACGCCGTCGACGACCCGAGATACAGCAACCCCAACAGCCCAACGATAAACGAGCTCACGCTGTGCGCCACGAGCGGCACATCCAGCGTCGGATCAACCTTGGCCAGCCACTGATGCCCCGGCACGCCGCGGTCGCGCGCGAATGCCCAGCACAGCCGCGACTGCCACGTGTGGCAGGCAATCATGCACCCCATGCCCGTCACCAGCAGCAGCGTCTCCAGCACGATCGCGCCCGGCACGTTGTCGAGCGCCTGGTAGTAGAGCTCGAGGATGGGCACGCCGGTGGCCGTGTTCAGCAGCTTGTCGATGTCCTGCAGGCTGAAGAACATCGACACGCAGTAGGTCCACGCGGTGACGGCGCCGATGGCGACGGTGGCCATGATGGCGATGGGGATGTTGCGCTCGGGCTGGGGCACCTCCTCGGCGAGATGCGTCGCCGAGTCGAGGCAGGCGAAGATCCAATTCGGGTTGATCAGCCCCACGATGAAGGCCATGCCGTCAGATTTCCACCCGGTCGAGTTGACAAAGTGGCCGAAGACGTAGGCGCCGCTGGCGTGCGTCTTGGCGCACGCAGGCACCGTCACCAAGATCACCAAGAACGACAGCAGCGAGATGTACAGCGTCGCCTTGGCCACCGCCGGCAGCGTCTTGCCCCAGCAGTTGAACAGGTAGCAGAAGAAGTTGATGACCTGGTACGCGACGACCGTGTGCCACGGCTTCGGGACACTGCAGATGGTAGTTAGCAAGCACTCCATATAATACTTCGACGAATTATGCCTCAGGGGGATAGAGCGGCCACGGCATACAATTCAGGATGGCCCAGCTGCCACATGCCGACGCCCGCGGAGCCGAGACTGAGCACCACGCTGGCGCAGGCGAAGATGGCCCCCGCGTAACCGAACCAGCCGGTCAGGTACGAGGCAAAGCGCGACCACTTGCGCGGGGCGAGCTGGTCGGCCCAGAAATACTGGCCGCCGGCGTTGGGCATGGCGCTGGCCAGCTCGGACAGCGACGAGCCCACGCACGTCGAAATGAAGGTAATCCAGAGCAGGCCGTACACGATCAGCACCGTGCCGCCGGAGCTGATTCCCGTGATGAGCGAGGCGGAGATGCCGAACCAGGAGTTCGACATGCAAAAGGCAATGCCAATCAGGGACAGCACGCTGAAGTTACGTTGCAGGTCCTGCGTGTAGCCCATCTCGGCCAATCTGATAGCGTCAGCATCATCCCCGCCGGACGCCTTCTCCGTCGAAGACGCCGGTCTCACACTGGGCGTTTTTTCTAGATCGTGGTCGCTCATGGTGTCAATCGAGATATGGTGCACGGGCTGCGTCCTATAATATCGCGTGGGTCCTAGATCGTAAGGTAGTCCGGTAACCTGTCGCTTGGGGCTACTGGCTTGATAGTCGCGCTGGTCGGTGCGGTTCGGTTGCTGCTGTTGGACTCGTTGGCTGCTTGGCTATGTGTTTCGTTCGAAGTCGCAATGGTGCTAATGTGCCTTTTCGAGGTCGCAATGGCGTTGGGCGTCCGGATGGTGGTCCTGCGGTTGTCGCGATGGATGAACTGAAGATGGCCGATACGTCGATACAATGGTACTGGACGACAAAGCAATCACTCCTACAGAACCTAATCTGCGTTGTTGCTTGTTCTGAGGCTATTGACAGATGGAGATGGTAACAAGGATGGCTCAGGAAGGCCGAAAGTCACCATGGAAGCGAGACCACCGCAAGTATGCAGATGGACAGGTAAAGAGAGGATAGGGAGAAGGAGGGGAGAGTGAGAATGAGAGGCAAGTATGAACAACCTCAGAGGAAAAAACAGCAATCTTATATCTGTCTGCTCCGTCTATCCGACTATCTTTGCCGCTACATCATTTCCAAACCGGATGTCTGTCTCCACAGGAAAGATCCATTCGCCTGCTGTAGTCGGATCCTTCTATCGCGCATTTAAGAGTACTCTGTACTATACTGTCATTTCAAGTCGCTGCACAAGCCTCCATCGAATAGACAGCCCATCAACCTGCCATACCGATTCGTCTTCTCTCTTCCGTCTTCCGAAGAAAATCATATCTGAGGGGCATGGCAACTCCGTATACTCCGGTACTTCCGCCCACGAGTTCTGCTCCAGCGTTGGATACATTGGGAGCGTTGTCCGATATTGTTGGTTGATCCCTACTCTGGCGGTGGTGCGCCTCCACTTGCCATCCGTGGATGCGGTTCCGCCGAAAATTCTTAACTCCCTCCGACACAATCATATCGCCCTTTTTTTTTTTTTTTTTTTTTGCCCTCTTCTCTCTTCTCGGGATTCAGTACTGTACGTCATAGCTATCCACTACGAGACCTGCTCGGAAACCGGTGCGCTAGCTGCGGTGAACTTCGGCCCGGTACCTGGCGGCTCCATCAATGAGATGGGATGTCCGGAGAAACTTCGCCCAATTGTGATTATCTCTTGCCACTGATCCAGAGCATGGGACTTCTGTCGGTGCAGTTATCAATTCCGAATGTCATTAATGGCACTTAGATTCAGTATGAACATTCCTGGAATAAGTCCACGGACAGAGATGTCTACGAGACTGCTGCCTGCTCAAAGCGCGGCTTAGTGCATCAATTCGGTTGAGTAATAAGTTCCACGGCGGAGACCAGTGGATCGCTATTCAATGCGATTATCTGATTCGCAAGGACCGACCAAGAGCCTTTCACCGGCGTACTTGGATGTGAAACTCGAGGCATTTTCTTCTCGGTCGAAGACGGAGGTATTGAATCAATGCCTGATGGTTCTACCCAATCCTCGATAGATGCGCTATGTTCTCTCTGAACACGCGAAGAAGTGAAACTCACGGTGTGCTCAAGACCAGCGATAGCCTGCTGTTGTACAGAGCATGCGATAACACGTTCGATCTCCTTAATTCCTCCTACGGAGCCCTCCCGCGCCGCAGAGCTTGGCTGATCGGTGTCGAGTTAGCCTAGGGCAGCCCAGCAATCATTGCCCCATCGAGAAACTCAACCCAGTCCGCCCAGCGCCGCTACCGGCGATCCTAACTGCGCTTCCTCTGTCTTCTGCAACAGTAACTCCGGACGCTTCATTGGTCTTCGCGCTGATGCTGCAGATGTGTAGGTACGGAGTAGATTGTTAGCTGAAACGTCTGATACAGGTTTCGGGAACAGTACGAGTGCGGCTGTGGCGTTGGCGAAGATGCAGATACAAGCCTCACGGTTGGAGTCCTTTTCCTGTTCGGGCATAGTACTCGCGATGGTGAACGCTAACTCCACTGCACATTTATGCCGAATCTGGAAATTCTGTTTGGACGCGGGAGGCATGTCGAAGTGTCGAATCTCTGGGTAACGTTGCTGATTTAGGAATCTTATCGATAGTTCATGATCTGCTCTCTAGTCTCTATCACGAAGAAGATCTACTTCCGAGAATTGACAGTCTTGCACGAAGCAGCCAGCACCTCTGAGTGCTCTCACCGAATCACGCATATCATTCCATGAATAAGATAGAAATGTACCAAAGAAAATAGCGATGATTTTATCCATATCCATGTCTGACAGTTGTTACATCAAGTCATCAAGGCCATCCGTCTTTTTCCAAGTCAAAACCCAACGCTGCTGAAAACCCTAGACACCATGTAAGCGATATAGCGATGATCGGCTGTCAAAGCTTACCTCCTTTTCCAGGATATTAACAGTTTCTAACCTCAGTACATCCCCCTCAAGCAAGGCTCTTCGCTCCTGAACGGTCCCAAGCCAGTCAGGATACGACGAAACCAGTATGTGATGTCTGAGGAGCGCGCCTCCGTCTGTTTCCCTAACATCAAATCGTCCGGCGTATGCGAGATAGTGCTTCATTGAAAGGGCCAGTTTGTCTTTCGACCCTTCAAGAAATCCAGCAGAGGTACAACGTGGTGCCCCGGGCCGCATGAGATGCACGGGCATATGTCCGTCGCTGGTGTAGATGATGAATCCCTGGGCTCCTCTGGCAAAGGGGAAATAATTGCATGGTTCCGTCCCGTTTACCGGCTCGGAGACAAACTTCACCAGTTTCCAGGAGCCGATGAGTTGTTCGCGGAGATGGGAGAGGTCTGACATTTTGCAGTAGCGATTGAGAGGGAATACGGTGTAGAGCTTTGAGGCATCAGAGCAACGATGCTCTTCGAGAGCTATGTGCGAAGTTAGTAGATAAATACTTCAGTCTCTCAATATTGAATGTAGCCGATCAGATAGCCTCGCTTCTATCTAGCTTGCTCCAGCAATTGAAGGAAGACTGTCCAAGTTATTTGAATTGACCAGTCGGACAGCCCGAAGCAAGCCATCATGAAGAATTCTAGAGATGCTTAACCTAATGTAGCCAGAACATACGACAACCGAGATTCGCTGGAGGTTTACTCCAGACAAGCTGTGGCTGAATACGGCTGAGCGGAACGCCGCGTTCTGAACATTCTTAACTCTAGCTTTCGAAGAAGATAACGTTAACGCCACAGCCTCTGGCCGTATGAGACTGGCCGTGTGAGACATATTAAAACTTATCTAGTGGTCGGACGACTTGTGTAGCTCTGCGTTCAGCGAGATCAATGAAGACGGTGCGTGCTTTTTAGGTTTCTGGTTCATGTTAACCTTCTGTTCTGCAAGGTCAGTGTCAATATAAGAGCCAGTATACCAATCTTAAAATCCAATGTTGGATGGCTGGTACATATTACTCCGGAGTACGCCTTTTATATGGCGACACTGCCACGTAGTCCGATATCCCCGCGCAAGATTTGAATGTTTTCGACCATGGCATTACCATAAGCGAGCGTCGGAGAACAACATACCATTCGGAAACTTGAAGCAGACCATCGAACCCATCCTAAGAAGTGGATGATACAGCTTCTATTACAATCCGCGTTGTAGAAGTCAGACCTCGCGACGGCTTGCAACACATCCGGGGGCGCATCCCTACGACAGCCAAACTGGAGCTCCTGTCCGATAATTGAGGATAGCTAAGTTGTTCGCAGGCAATAACATGCAACGGCAAGGCAGACAACATTTGCGGCGTGGACATTAAGCCCCAACTATGGAAAATTCTATTCCGAACACTTGTCTTTCTAAAGCTTCTTACTGGGCTTTTTGATTTGACTTCTCATAGATGAGCACTTTGCAGGGTTGGGTTAAAAAGATGAAGATAGTTCTCCCGCCCTATATTCAAGTGCAGTTCTCATAGCTGGATCTGACAACCTTATCAAATGCGATCGGATACGAGACCTTGGATAGGCACTTCATCTGATTGACAGGACTCCCATTTAGATTCTCGCTGGCTCGAGTCCGTGGCTGTCAATGTTTGGGATTTAACAAATGATTCATGGTTGCGTCAAGTTTCTGGATATGCTTAGACGTTCTACCTGATCTCACTTCTTTCATCTTCATTATACACCTACCGATAACTCAAGAGCACCAAAACTTGAAACACAACACAATATGACCCTTAATCAACCACATAACGGGTCTGTCATGAGGTCTTCCCGGTTCCTGAAGCTTGCGGTTACTGTAAACACCACGCTCAATAAAATCCACTGCTACATCATCACGGAGAGAGGCCTCCCGTATCCATCATTCAAACCGGATGCGCCTGAATCTCTGCCAGAAGAGCTAGGCGTGACCTCTATCGGCTTCCCAATAAGATGAAAAGTTGACTGAAGACGGGCCCCAGAGGCCTTCCAGAAACGGCCGGGCTCAGAAGAGCCCAATCACACTCTAGGTTGAGCACGCGGGTGCGAGGTTCTTGGTAGATCTGACTAGGGCCTTTCGCTTAGCCATAACACAGATCTTCCGATCTATCATGTTCTGACGCAGACCCTGATCTTGCATCCCGGTTTGCCAATACCATGTCAGTCTTGAGCAGCGAGAAGAGTTTCGACGCCTCACATGTAGCCAGTGGACACGATTGGGGTGTTTGGGCGAAGCCACCGTAGTGGATGCTGTCGGTTATCGTGGACATAAATCGCAAGCCCTGGCCTCCAATTTTCCGTCGATAAAGATAATCGTGCAGGACCTCATTGGCACCGTTGAAGATGCTGAAGAAGAGCTCCCACAACATCTGTAGGGCGCGTGAAGTATATGGCTCATGACCTTCTCAGTCCGCAGCCCGTCGTGACAATTGTCTACTTCCTCTGATGGGTGCTGCACAACTGGTCAGACAAATACTGCATCCAGATCTTGCGGGCTTTAGTCCCAGCCTTGCGGCCCGGGGCTCGAGTCGTCGTTAATGAGGTATGCCTGCCCAGACGGAGGCCAGTTACGCCAGCCTGAAGGTTCTCGTCTGGCGTGATTGAGGCCGAATGGCAGTGATGTACATGCTACTCCAAGAGCTAGGGTCCCTTACATACTCTCAAAGTGTCGTTGTAACCTACTGTGTCTCAGCTCTGGATAAGCTCGTGGGATGACGAAGAGCAGAGCGCTGAATGGCTGTCAAGATGTCTAAACGAAACACTCTGTTGCAACAAGATGCGTCAAACGCAAAAACCGTGTTATATTTTTAGTTCTCATGACTTAGGCATACGTTATCTGAATACTACGATGAACAAGTATGCTGGAGATATATCTCCGAACGAAGTGCTAAATATATCCCAATGCACCAGCTGCCGAGAGATATTGCAACTTGAACACCATCCCAACGGCCAGTTATGAAACAAGTGATCTGGAGAAACATATCCAATTTATGTAAAACAACCCGGATCGAATGATGTCAGTCGATATACATCTGTATCCACCAAACCAAAGTGGAATCGGTGGACCTGTACGGAGTACGATTCCGCAAGGACCGAAACCTCGAAATCCTCGCAAGACGATGAAACCAGATCTGTCCCGCCTATGGATTCGATTGTCAAGGTTAGCTGCTCGAAACGACAATATCTCGTCTCCGATAGAGTTGTCGCACGGTTGTATGTCTTGAGATCCCGCTGAAACATCCGAGAAGATCATATCAGGTCAAAGGAACCGGAGAACGTCCCAAAGCGCCTGGAAGACGGAATGCATCGCACAGTTTATTGTACTGAATCTTGTCGAGATAAATTGGATGGAGTGCCTGGCAGCCCCAGGTCCCCATATCATGTGCTCCGACCCCGCCTTAATTTCTCTTTTCGACTTGCACTCACACTTCGTCGTCCATCTCCAGGCAAAGTACAATCAGTACCTGCGTCTACGACTACTCCTATGCCGAGAGAATTTGTCTGCTCTGCCTTGTCTCGCAGTGGTTTTATCCTCGAGTTCTCTTGGCGAGAGATGTGGCAGTTCTGCGTCCAAGATTGGTCCACAGTTCGCCCGACAATTCTGAAACGCCCGACTCCGGTCATCAATTAGTTCATCCAGTTGGAAACGATGGCGCCAAATATCTCAACGGTGGCTGGTCCCGATGACTGAGTTTTCAAGCAGGGATTCAGGGATTCCGCGCGATATGATCGTACGTTAGCTTGATTAGCCAGTGCAGGTCCCTGTCGACTATCATCTATCGCATTGATGTCACCGCCAGATTGCCCTCGCATTCTCATTTCACGACCAGCGACCGGCTCCCATACGCTAACCCTTAGTGGCAACTAGTCAGGAACGACAGCCGAGGGCTTGGTCCCTTTTCCCCTTTTCTTCCCGCCCATTCGCTGATCTTGAACTCTGTTCTCCTGAGTCAGGAAGAGGCCGAACGTTGATTCGAGCCGGCGTCGTTTCATGCCTTCGCACCATCGCGCGAAACTTCGATTCGCTTGCTTCCATAGGACGAGCCGTTGTGACATGAGGGACCCCAGGGTTTGTCCTGACCACTCCTGACGAACTGCCGTCGCTCCCCCTGGAGATCAGTAATGTGATGAATGGGTCAAGTGGGGGACCCCTATAGGAACCGTCGGGCACTGCCTCGCTTGGCTTGTTTTTGGGCCTGCCCCGGGAAATGAGCTCTTGTCAACAACATCCCTAGGACCTTGCAGAGAAGCGCACGAGTGATGATTCCGAAAGAGCGGTCGGCCGTCCTTAATTACCCATGGTGTGGGAATGGGCGTGATTCGGGAGTTGCGATAGGAAGAAAAAACGCGACGCTAAAGTGTAGCCTCCGCGCGTAGGCGAAGTGGCTCCCAACACCGCCAGCCCCATCTGCAACATGATATGGAGGGGCGCCCAGTGCGGCTATTATGAGCTGATCATACGGAGACCTACGGTACTTCTCGATGAATCAGAGAGGACCCCTATTGCACTGGACGCAAAGTCCAATAGTGAGCGGATTAGGTTCTTAGCACCCAGCAGCCAAGCTCTTGTGCTCTGGAGATTTGCTGGGTCAGACCGACCAGAGTTCATTAGGAGAGAGAAAATCCAAGAGGAGAAACAGAAGAAAGGGGCAAAGCGGAAAGAAACTGGCCCATTATTGTCCAGCACAAAGTCATTGGTGATTGGATCTTTTTGATAGCGACGGAGGACACCCGTTCGTGGTGGACAAACCACGGACGTCCCTAACAGGCAAATGAGTGCTCCTCTGCCAAACGTATCGCTCGTTTAAAACCAACGTCCCCTTCCCCTTCTCTCCCTTCCCCCACGTTATTAGACGTAGTGGACGTCTTTTTCGCTCCTTTCCTGCTGGGATTGCATCCTTCTTCCTGCCCTTCGTTCTTTCGGCCGTGATACCGTCCAGTCTCTCGTTTACTCTTTTATTCTGTTGGCTTTGTCGTCGTTGTTGACGCCCAGTTTCCCCTCGTTACAGTCCGAGGAAAGAAGAGTCCGTCTCAGCAACCGCCGGCGATATACCCCCCTGCATTCCTGAACGGATTCCTGAAGACCTCAACTCCGTTGGCCTTCATTCTGAAGCAATTCAAGGCATTGATCGACAACCCTTGACCGCAAGAAGGGTATGTCCGCATCCTCTTTCTTTCTTTCTCAGATGCAGAATACATTGCGATCGTTTGTTTCGTAGATTTCAGTCCCCAAGCACTGTCCTTACACCCTCCTGTGAATGTGGTGGCAAAGTAATGGGATGAGATGGGCGAGTGAAGAGCATGCAAGGGAGACCATCTCCTTGCTAGCCACCAGCCACTTTTTCGAGCATTTTTGTGAACAGCATTGTTTTCCGCCGAATTTCTGGAACCCTGGCTCTGCAGGGCCGTGGGGATAATTTCAGGCAGGACCTTGTGTCCTGGATTCTTATGTCATTGTTTCAAGCGTGGTGTTTGTTGATGTTATGCTCCCCCATATACTATCCCCCAATGTCCGCTATCCACCTGGATGACCTGCTACTATGCCCCTCTACGACGGCCCTTCCCATCCTATCGTTGCTGCTCTTTTCTTGCCGGCTGTCGCTCTTTGGTTATGCGTGATATACTGACTTCTCGCTCCTGGTGACGTAGAAACTTGGTCTTGACGACTGAAAGCCAGTTCACTCCTTTTGCAACCCACTCTAGTCATTCATTATCGATTATTACCTGCCGCGATCATTATGCCTACCATGCGACCAGCCACGGCGCTGGTGATGGGCCTCGCTGCCTTCTCCGGCATGGCGGACGCTTTCTGGCGTCTTCCTTGCCGTGGACGCAGCGGACTTGCTCGTGTTGATCCTTTGATGGACCCCGGCAAGCCCTCGTACCACGTTCACGCCGTTCACGGATCTAGCGGTGAGATCCCAATTGACGAAGATTCATAGTCTGGAACTGCGGACTGATCTCGATACAGCATTCGGTATGACTGCCGACACCGAAACCCTTAGAGCCGGTCAGTGTACTTCTTGCGGTGTGAAGCAAGATAAATCCGCGTACTGGGCTCCTGCTCTGTACTTCATGCACGAGAATGGCGAAGCCGAGATCGTTGAGGAAGTGGGAGGCATGCTTGCGTAAGGATCTCGGCCCTGGCGCCACCGAATACATCGCTAATGTCGCAACTCGCAGTTACTATCTTCTGTACGGCGACAATGTGGAGGCCTTCCCTGATGGGTTCCGCATGATTGCCGGTGACCCGTTCTTGCGCGACTTCCCCTGGCCCGTTCCCGATCCCCCCAAGTCCGAGTGGAGTGGTGAACAAGCCTCCCAGAAAGCGCTTGCGCAGAAGGCTATCGGATTCAACTGCCTGAACTACGCTAAGACCCCGGAACCGTCTCTTGGCCGCCATTTCCTCCCCAACAAGACGTATCTCGACGAGCATTGCACCGACGGCGTCCGCTTCGAGCTCATGTTCCCCTCCTGCTGGAACGGCAAGGATGTCGACACCGAGGATCACAAGTCGCATGTTCGCTACCCCTCTCTGGTGATGGACGGAACCTGCCCCGAGGGCTTTGAGCATCGCATTGTCTCGCTGTTCTTCGAGACTATCTGGGACACCTATGCATTCAAGGATAAGGAAGGCTACTTCGTTCTCTCCCAGGGTGATCCCACCGGATACGGTTATCATGGTGACTTCATGCACGGTTGGGAGCCCGGTGTCCTCGAGCAGGCCGTCGAGCAGTGCACCAACCCCTCCGGTGAGGTTTCGGACTGCCCCATCTTCGAGCTCCAAAGCGAGGCTGAGCAGCTCCTGTGCAAATTTGACGTGCCGGAGATCCTGAAGAGTGAAGAAGTGGAGAAGTGCACTGGTATCCCCAACGGCCTCTCGATCGAATGGGGCCCTAACTACGCATACCCCATTTCCTACACTACTACCGCCGCCGCCCCCTCGCCCACCACCAGCAAGGATTCTGGTTTCTCGCTCGACCTGGGAGGAATCCTCGACGGCCTGCATATCAACAAGGCCAGCTCGACCACGACCACGTCTTCGAGCTCGACTTCCACCTGGACCCCTACCCCCACCACCTCATATGTCCAGGGAGCTGTGACGCAGGCGGTTGTCTACGTGGAGCGGGAGGTGGTCGTGCTGGTTGATGGACAGGGCAAGGTCCTCGGCACCCAGACCGGTGACTTGGAGACTGTTTCGACCTCCTACTCTACCACCACCGAAGTCGTGTCGACCATTGTGTCTACCCCTACCGACCCCCCTGCCAAGCGCCACCACGCCCACAAGCGTCACGGCCACGGCCACGCCCATGCGCACTAAACCTCTTCCTACCCTTGGAAATGCGGTCCAATTGACGAGTGATGGAGAAATGTGTTATGACTTAGAGCGCGCAACTCCGGACGCTATATCATAGCCTTTTCTTGACCATTCGGGATTTGGCCCTGCATAATCGCCTCTCACCCAGTTAGGCTTCTCGAGCTCGCCCCGAGCTCTCTATTCTTGGATCCAAGTATCGATTTACGGTCCAAGGATCTCTTTCTATACTTTTCTATCTTCCTCTTCTACCAACTGTCAATGTCTTCCCATTTTCATTTGGATGTACATGTTACTCTTATCTGCTTCGTGTCCCTGTGGGAAAAGGTGAAGCGTAAGGCATCGTCTTGTTCTTCTCTTGATGAGAGCCGGGATGGGTCCTGTTAGATAGTCAATGAATGCCGCTGGAGAAATCCGGTTCGGTCATGCTCTCGTTGATCCAACGCAATTTTTGTTTTCAGTCGTGGTTTATCGGATGTAACGTTTGGATACCTCATAAGCAATGGATTGATGAATTATTTCACCATGATGGTGTAACCTGCCACTTTATCCCCACTTAACAGCGAGTAACTACTTCGGATGTAAGATGGGCGGTCGCCAAAGTCTCAACTGAGCACCTCTCGGGCATCATTTATTGTTCATGTCAGCCATTTCTTTCGTGGGAGTGGCCCAGCTCTTCTTCACTTGCGCTGACTTCATGACTGCTCACACCCGATGAGAGCCCATTCGAGATTGATGACATGCTCCAGACAGGCAGTAGTGACCATGAAAATACCCGATTTTCAGTCAATAGAGATATAGAATGGACGAGAGAGATTGGCAATGCTCTTCAGGTAACAGCTCAGTGGGAAGGAGCTGCCTGCTGTGATCAGCTGGAGAGGAAAATGGGAATTCACTCTGCAACCTCCTGTGGTCCAGGCGTGGGAAGCTGGAGCACTGAAGCATGGTGAATGGAGCCACTATTGTTAAGGAGCCGTTGGATACTGGTGATGTCCAGTCTCATGGCGATGCAATTCACTCTTTGAAGCTTCTCAGTCCTGTGATTCTGTCCATTTCGTTGCAACAGATTCGGAGGGAGCACAGGATACCCAGGTAGTATAGTCTGCTTCGGTCTTCACTATCAGATATTGAATGTCTTAGATATAGGTCTTATAAGATCCTATGCCATCACCCTCGTTAACATTGATGAGACCAGACGGTGTGTGAATTGAACGAAAGTGCCCTTTACCCAGCTGTTCACTGCCGGGCGGGTATAACGATTTCAGCCAACTCTCACCTCACTTCCTCCTCCCTCTTTCTTCTTTCTCCCTCCCACTTCTCCTACTCATCCGCTCCCTAATCTTCCTCACAACCCTCGGTCCCAATCGTCTCCGTTTTCGCCGTTTGACTGAGCCCTTTAACCCCACTGGACATGCACCTCATGTCTCCTTTCGCTCCTACCAGCACTGCATGACTCGATGCCAAAGTCTCTCTCACAACCCACACCTGAAAAGATGTCGAACTCACGTCTACTCGGATTCCGATATGACGAGCTGTACGAGAACTTGGACAAGCATCTCTCGGAACTCAGATCCTTGCCGCTCCAAACACTCTCCGCCCGTGACGGTGGATGGACACCGCTAGATGCATTCGGCGAGATCTATCGGATCTGGTATTTTCCAGACCTTCCTCCGTGAGTACCTTTGCTAATCACTCGCAGGCGTGATATAATCGTTGAGACTTTCGATTTCCCGGACGGTTTCAAGCCCCGCTTCGAAGAATCCCCCGATTCAATTCGAATTCTAGCCGACGACCCGAACAAGGTCCCGCCAGATGACATAGGGTTCATTGAATATCACAAGAAAACCGGGCGTGTCGTGTTGTTTAACGCCGATCCTCCATCTCATCTCCCGCCCGTACCTCCTCACGACAACACTTGCCCAGGAAAGTATGAATGGGTCGGTATTCATAGATACTACATCAACCGAGCAGTTTTTATCATGGCGCTCGCGGGGTATAGGATCAATATTGAGACGAAGTACTCTGTGTGGGAATTTTTCAAGAGACCGGGAAGCGAATACCTCTCTTGCTCCGTAACAGAAACTGATAAGCATCTGGAAGGTCGTGGAGCGGGAAAAGAAAACACGGATGGCGAGACCAGTTTGTCTCTGAGGACATGCCTGTCTGTGAGCTTGAGACCTCGAGAAGCGCAGCCCGCCATTTTCATGACGTGGCTCAGTGTTGTATTCGATATACAGGGACTGTCCGATGCCTCGAGACTCTGCGAAACGCCCGCAGGAGACATAATGCTGGACGCCGAGCTGACCGGGAAGCTCTATGTTGATGGTTTACAGGTCCTACTCCCCTACATCTCTAGAGGAACATTCCGTTATCGCTATAACCTCCGCCAGTTCCGGGTCGGCAGTGGCGATGGGCGCGTCCCGGATATCCCTAAACGTGTAGCCGCCATCTGGAAGGAAGCAATCCAGCAAAGAGAAGATGCGTTTCTTCCAAAATACGTGGAGATCCTTTCCGAAACACCACATTATTTGGATGTTCGTCATGCAGACAAACATGTGGATTCCGCCACGGCGAAGAAAATTTGGCACTTCCTGCAAACTGGGGTTGATAAGGGGAAATTCTTTTACTGGGGAAGAGAGGGAAAGGTAAGATGCAATCTTATTACGCTTGGATCATTCGAAAGAGAAACTCAAACGATCAAAGGAGGTCGAGAGTATCATCCAAAGCTTTGGAAAGGAACCGAAAGTCATATCCGAAGTCCTGTGGAATATTCTTCGCAACGCATGTCTCATTCGAACCCCTGAGGAAGAGCAGATCGAACTGTTGAAGAAATTTAGGGAGGCACCTTCAACAGTCCGACTAGAATCTGTGTTCTCGAAAAATGTGCGACACTTACTCGAAGCGTCTTTCAAGATAGACAAGGAAACAGAGAACATCAAAGTCATGTTCGTTGATTGCGGCGAGAATCCCATTTCCGTCGACTATGAGAATGATCTCCTCAATATAAACAGCAAATGGCTGGACTACAACGTCATTCACGAAGACTATCCCTGCAGAATCTCATCCAGCAAGGACAATGAGCCTGGCGATTACTTCTACTGTGACCACATTGTGGAGCAGCTATACGAGCAATCGCTCCAACAGTTATGCAAGGTTATGAGCACGTCTCCGATTCAGAAGCGATGGAGAAAGATGTCTCGGACACTTCGTGAGAAACTGGAAGAGATGCCGCGCCGGGTCATAGCCCAGAAAACCTCCAGTCCAAATGGAGGGACCGTCGCTGTGAGTTGGGAACTCGAGCTCTCTGGGCGAGTTTTGTCTCGCCTTGGCGAAGAGATCGAATACTGTGTCATCCTACATGACCACGGTTGTGCTTTGGAATCTTCGGAGATAATATTCAGAGGCAGTCAGTCATTGGCAGATATCTGCAAGACTTGCGCGGACGGTTCTGTGGAAGAAATACCCGGCTCCCATACTGGTCTCTGTGGCTGTCAGATGCGATTAGTAACGCCTGCGGCTTCAAGCTGCTCTGTCACGTTCTTGGTCCCAGTCTCGTCTACGATTTACTATCCACAGGTCGCCCGGAATGACCCGGTAGCAATCTATGTACCAGCTCTTGAGACGGTTGAGCCACACAATCCCCACGAAACAGGCCAAACCAAAGAGTCCCCAAATGAAAAGAATGCTTGTGGTCACGGCGACGAGCACATCCCGTGGGCTTGTCATGTCGACATCAAATATGAAAGACAGTGGGAGGCTTGGGAGGCCGTCGAATTTCCGACGCTCTTTCGCTCGTTCAGCTTTGAAGAATATAACCCAGTAGGCTACTCCTCGAATAATCCCAGCTACCCGCTAACCATAGTCTAGAAATTTCAAGTCCGTTCTTTAATGGCTTTGGACAACGGCAGGCTTCGGGATAGATTCGAGGTAGACGACTTCCTTCGCGTATCCATGCCACTTGATACGGGGGTCCAGTATATTCTTCACATCCATAGCATCTTCCCGCCAAACCCAAGCCAGCCTGGAGACGAAGGGACTCTACTAGCCACACGCTACTCGTATCGCTGCGAAACTCCCTGGTTTGGGGGTGATGGGTATCCAGGAATCGTCAACAGAAACGAGGTCATCCTCCACTTCAAAGACTTCACTTCAATGGGTAGTAGACACGATGCGAGTCTCGTGCCGATTGAAATGATCAGTAAAGTCTGGTCTGCCGAGCTGCGACATACGGTCGACGTTCCCGATGGTAAGCCTCAATTTACACGAGTGTTATAGAAACTAACAAAGAGCAGACTTGGACGCCAATGGGCTATACTATCACTACTGCCGGTTTGCCGTAAGATCTGATGGATCTGACGATACAGTCTGCCTGATGCCAATTGCATCTCACCTACTCCCGCGTACAAACCGGTGGCATAACCCCTGGTATAACCAACAATCAAAGCCCGAAGTGCTTGACTTGACACCGGGGGTTCTCGGGCTGGCTGAAGGTTTTTACCAGGCTCAATGTAATGTCCACTCAGGATTCAATTTTGACCCGAGTGCACATCTGACATGGCGGGTATGTGGTCGATGCATCTTGAATACGATAGTGAGCTAACGTCATCAAGTCCGCCTACAATGTCGCAACAACTTACGACGGGACGATGAAGGGCATTGTCGAGGACATTAATTCTCGCAAGCTACTCGGAGTCGACGACATATCACGAGGCACTCCACTCGTCGCAACCCTGAGCATCCCAGACAAGGGAATTGCGCAACGGAAAGAGCAGATAACGGAAAATATTCAAATTTTGCTTAACATCGACGAACTTCTATCACTCTCTCCTCGGCCTGATTTCTTAGTCGTCACATGCCCAATCTGGATCCTCCACAAGGATGCGCACAACCGTTTCAGCCACGCAATTCACAGCTTACTGCGGCATCGTTATGGTGTCCACATAGCAAAGGTCAAATTCCGCCCACATGGGATCCCCCGCGACGAAACAATGCTAGTGCTTGTAGCGTCATCCGTATGCTCTCCCATCCCCTGGACGGAGACATTCGACCAAGACGTCCGAACCAGTGCCCTGGAAAAAATCAAGGACCTGAGCTTCACAAACCCAAGGACAGAATCTTCGTTCAATTGCAAGCACCCGTCCGCAGAAGCAGATGTCTACAACCATTCTACCGGACTCCGCCCATCCCATCCCGAGCCACAACCGCTGGGAGACGCAATTGATATGACGAACATGCATCGTACTGTCCACCCTGGTATGTCTATATCTCGTTATCATAAGATCAAGCTAACGAGACCAGATCGTGGCGACCTATTGAGCGTTAGGGAGCTCGCTCGAATCCAGGGATTCGACGATAAATTCGTATTCCTTGGTTGCATTCATCGACAGTACGAGGATGTGATGAATGCTTTCCCACCTCCCATCGCGAAGAAAGTAGCCGAGATGGTGTTGACGCTGATTCGGGATTATCATTGTTCTGAGGGGCCGTCTGAAGAGAACAAGGATGGTCCGAGAGGAAAGAAGAGAAGAAGACATGAATGATGGTTGAGGAGGAATGTGCTGAGACATCTGGTGCGGCACCGTTGGACACGACGCCAGTGACCGCGGAAACTACATTGTGTAAGAGTACTTCTAGCATGTCGAAGATATTTTTGTATGAGTGCAAATTGATCCAGTTCCATTCAGAAAATATCAATTGTCTGTTCTGTTGTGATAAATCCCCATATCGTCATTCATAATCAAACGGTCTACCGATAACAACGCCTTCCCGAGTCTTCGTAATCCCACCACCCGCACTGCAGGGTATAAGATATATAGTCTTTGATAAACAGGTCCCAAACAAACTCTTCTAGTCCTTTGGAGGCGGAGGGGAGATCCAGTCCCCATCTTTCAACCAAACACCAGCACCTCCATACTTGCCGGCCTCGGCACCCCGAAGGAATGCGAAGCGGAAGAAGAGGTCCTCGGGTTTGTCGTCGTCCGCCGGGTCTATCCAATCAGTGCCCAACTGATCGCTTTCAATGGTCGGGCGGTGTTGGAGCTCTAGGCCGCTGTGACCGTGTCGGTGCCATGTAAACTCGCCCAGCTGATCCTCGTCGAGATAGCCCCTCCAACGCTCGACATCGTTGACCAGAACAGACACGCCGTCAACGCCTAGTTCGCTCATGCGATCCTCCCACAGGGAGAAAGTGATGTTGCCATTGCCGTGATAAGCTTCGTTGGACCCGTCCGGGGGGAGGGAAATCTGCACGGATGCGTTCGTGATGTTGGGATAAGTGCCTCCCCACCAGCCGTGGGCTCCACCAGGACCCGGGGCTTGCTCCCCCAAAGCAGCGGGAGTCTCAATGATAGACGCAAAACCCCAGCGAGCCACGCCATTGATAAAGAGACCGAGAAGAAGTCCCTGGTAGATCAATGACGGGCGAGTCGGAATGGCCGTACCGGGCATGAGCAGAATAGCCAGGATGTAATGATGGATCCGAAGGCGGAGGCCAGGCAAGGGAAGCAAAATCAACAGAAATAGACCCATGGTGCAATATACCTTGAGGTAATGCGGCATCAGTCCACCCTGTCGGATTTTCCATGCCTGGGTAAGGATGATGGTGATCACCGTGGGGATCACCATCGCCAACGCCAGCTTGGCACCAGGTTGTTTCTGAATATCATGCGGGGTGAGCCGTTCGAGCGGGATCAACCGCGCGAAAGTGTAGTTATTCAGTGCGCCAATGAACACTGGTGGCAAGTACAGAAACGCTTTGGTCATCTGGTAGATAGGTGGAGAAAGCGGGGTCAACAACGGACGTGCGCAGTATTTAAACAACACATATGCCACGAAAGATGCCGGTAACAATCGCGAAAGCAACGTCGACACCAAGTCGGCCAGCTGTGTGATCGGAGGTGGGTCCGATACCAAGCCGGTCTGGCAGAAAATCATGAAAAAGGTGGTGAAGAACAGAACTGGCGGTGACGTGCAGAAGAGCCACAGAACACCCAACGCAGCGATGGTGATGCCCAACAGCGGCCAGCGGGGATCCTGAGGACACGCCTCTTCGGACGATGGCAGCTTGACGAAGCTAAACGCTTTCGGGAAGGTAGAGGGAAAGCCGACTGAGCTGATGCCATTTTGCTGGGAAGCCGGGAACGAGTGGGCAGCCCCCTCCAGCTTCAAGACGCCGCAACCTCCGACGGTATTCGTGATGACCCCCGCATGGATGGCTGATTGACAAATGAAGCTATCCGCGCGATAGATGGGTGGGTCGTCCGATCCGGGTTGTGGTCCTCCAACAACCAGTCCTCGGTAGCTGTAGGTGTGGTTTCCGACCATGTGAGGGTTGGCCAACTTCGCATCCCGACAGTTCGCAGGGCAACGGAAGGGGAGAACCGACGCCGAGAAAGGCCGACAGTCATTTCCATTCAAACCACACTCGTTTCCGTATGCCCTGTGGTCTGGTTAGATGGGGTTGACCGTTGGGAGAAGCATCGGACTTACCAGAACGTGGTCGAGCACGAGAGGGTCTGCGGGCGACCATACCCCTCGATGAAACCGGCGGATCGCGAGTGCAGCAGAATAATGATCCACGGGAGAGACCAGGCGAGGTAGAAGACCGACAACAGAGCGATCTTGTGCTTCCGCTTGGGGAAGAAGCGCTCCAGGTACCGGACGGGAAGCTCTTGGAAGCGGGGGAACAAGGGCTTCAACAGCAGGTCATGGGGCGGATTCGGGCCCTTGATCCAGTTTGCGGTGGCCCGACCGACTTTGCGCAGGGGTAAGGGAATCCATCCCCAGCGAAACGACTTGGACGACTCCCGTAACCAGACGGGGAGGTAAGTCTCACCGATTTCTTCATCCTGCGGACGCAGGAGATCGGAAGCGTCGGGATCAGCCGAGGGATCATCGTCATCTAAGAGCGGCGGGATGTAGACCCGAGAACCATCTTCAGGGCCTTCACCGATCATCCTATTTCAGGATCTAAGAATAGAGGGTATCGAGCCAGCGATGGAGTAGATGAGTTGGATGAGGTAGAAATGATGAAGAGAGAGACAGGGAGAGAGAGAGAGAGAAGTAGATGGCGGCGGGTGGGGGCTGATGCAGGGTTCTAGATCCGAAAGCGGATCTTACGGACTCTCACAAACCAGTGGAGAGACAGGCATCCGCGGATGCCTGGAAGAAGACAAAGATTGAGATGGAGCAGAGGAACGACCGACCGTCGAAAGAACGAAGGTTGACGATGAAATGAAGGAGAGGAGAATGAGGCTTGCAGGAACCGGGAGTTGTGGTTGTGGTTGTGGCAGCGGTGGCGGTGATGCTTAGTAAGGTACATGTGGCGATCATTACTTAATTATGCAATTATGCCTTTATGCAGGCTGTCAGGCACAAACCTACTGCCCTCTATACGGAGTACTATTTACTTGGACAATTCTATATTAATCTCTACGCAATTGAACTCCCGTGCAGGATGTTGATCGACAAGAACTGACATGAACCATCATGCCATCTGCTGTTCCCCCGTGGAGACGGTGACCCATACATACTTTATCCGAACCAGACTATGGAGCATGGAGTACAACGAACTCTATCAACGACAGACTATCAATACGAGTGCAGCTACAGCCTGATGGACTACCTAGTATGGGACAGCCTGACGGAACATCCCCGGACAGCGCCTCATATCAATCCTTGTGCTTCATCCAATCCCCGGACAGACAGTATCTGGGCTCACCTTCGGATTTGTCGGATAAGGAGTGCACAGTCCCGGTGGAGGCCCCAGATTAGAACCGTTGGATCCCCGTTGAGTGGTTCTGCTTATCAAGCAACCCGATAACGTTGGTTTTAAGATGATGAGGCCCATCCATCGTCTCTCTTGATCTCCTCCATTCTCATCCTCCACTCTTATCCCCTGGTATAGTGAAGAGACCACTACCATGGCTCGCACCGTGTCTCTCCCTCCCCCGAGGGACCTGTCGCATCATTTCTCCACCACCACTAAACGGCGCGAAGCCAGCAGTATCAAGGACTTGTACAAGTACTTCCTGATCCCGGGCATTGCTAATCTAGCCGGAGGTATATCTCCATGACTTCCGTCCTTCCACACTCTCACCGACATAACAGGCCTCCCCAATGCCTCCTATTTTCCATACGACACCCTCGAAGCCTCCGTCGCTCACCCGCATCGCTTCGAACCCTCCGCAGCGCCATCTCCCTCCTCCACCTCGGCCCGCGTCCTCATCCCGAAAGAAAGCTCATCCACCGACCTCCAGAAGAAAATCGACCTCACCACCGCGCTGCAGTATGGCACCGCCGACGGACTCGCGCCCATGGCCGCCTTCGTGCGCCAATTCACCCGCCGCCACCTGCACCCCAACGTGCCCTACGCCCGCGGACCGGACACCCTCCTCACCTGCGGCTCCACCGACGGCTTCTCCAAGACCATCGAGGCCTTCACCAACCTCTGGGACCCGGCGCGCGACGGGCCCAGCCAGCGCGAGGGCATCCTCTGCGAGGAATTCGTCTACATGAACGCCATCGCGACGGTCAAGCCGCGCGGGCTCAACGTGGTGCCCGTGGCGATGGACGCGCAGGGCATGCGCGCGCACGGCACCGGCGGCCTCGCTGACGTGCTAAGGAACTGGGATCTCCGGAACGGAAAACGCCCACACTTGATGTACACCATCACGTAAGTAGTCGCTCCAATGACGTGTGGAATGCGGAGGGAGGGCCGGTATGCACGTTTATGCATGGGCCCAACGGGTAAACCTTATCGGCTCCGGCTCACATTGCTTTTCCCGCAGTATCGGCCAGAACCCCACGGGCGGCACGCTGTCCGTCGACCGGCGCAGGGAAATCTACGCCCTGTGTCGGCAGTACGACATTATCATCATCGAGGACGATCCGTATTGGAATCTGCAGTATCCGTCGGCCGCGGCGCTGGAAGCGCAGTACCGCGGTAGTAGGAGTTCAAATACGGCCTCCCCGCGTCGCAACTACAACGCGCATGGAAAATCCTCCGGGTACGAGTTCCTCGACTCGCTGGTCCCGTCGTATCTCTCTGTCGACACGGACGGCCGCGTCGTCCGGCTGGATACCTTTTCCAAGACCATCGCGCCGGGCTGTCGACTCGGCTGGGTGACGGCTCAGCCGGCGGTGATTGAGCGACTGGCCCGGATTACCGAGACGTCGACTCAGGCACCGTCAGGATTCGTGCAGGCCATGGTCGCGGAGCTGCTTCTGGGACAGCAGGTCGATGATGCCGCGGCGGCGCGGAACAAGGGCGCCGAAGCCGACAGGGGCTGGCAGATGGACGGCTGGGTGCGGTGGCTGGAGGGTCTGCGCGGGGGGTACGAGAGACGCATGCAGCACATGTGCAGGGTGCTAGAGGAGGCGCGGTTCCTGGTTGACGCGGACGACGCGGTCGCATTGACCTCTGACGAGGAGGTGTGGGAAGTCGTCGAGAAGCGGCAGATGTTCGAGTTCACCTGGCCGACGGGCGGGATGTTCGTCTGGATCAGGATGTGTCTAGAGACGCATCCGCTGTACGGGAAGTACGCGCCCGACCGGCTCTCTCGGGCGCTGTGGGTGCACTTGACGCAGGCGCCGTACCGGTGTCTGCTGGGCCCGGGCACGATGTTCGCGCCCACGCCGACGGTCGCCGACCGCGCATGGCAGTACTATCGACTGTGCTTCGCTGCCATGCCGGCCGAGGAGGTCCAGGGCGTGACCGAGCGACTGGTGGATGGGTTCCGGGCATTCTGGCAGCGGAAGGACCTGGACGGTCTGGAGGGGGAGGAGACGTACGCTGTGCAGTCGGGGAACCTGCTAGGGACGGGATGTTAACAAAGCACCTTCAACCTCACTTGCAATGTAGTTCATTTAATCATACTTAACCTTATTTACATCTTACGCTGTTCGGTAGGTCTTCAAGATCGAAGGAATGCTACAGCACATGTTACATAAGGACGCCGATGACATCGGATCCACCCCACCGCCATCCGCACCGCACCGCATCCCACCACGACACTCACCATGCCCGACCTGCCCGTACCAAACACCGACCTCGCGGAGGAGATCGAAGCGATCAATGCCATCTACGGTCCGGACACGATAACCGTCACAGGGAGGGGCGCGGCGGCCCCGCCCACCCTCGACCTAGGCGCTACAACCACCACCCCCTCCTCAACACCAACACCCACAACAACCATCACCCTCCAAATCCCCGAACACCCGCACCTCTCCTTCATCCTGCGCTTCGAAGCATCCTACCCGGACACCCCTCCCCAGATCGCCGGCACAGCCTCGACCGCCGCGCGCGGGGAGGGCAAGCTCGCCGTGGACGTGCTAGCAGACATCGTGCGACGCACGCACCAGCCGGGCGCGGTGTGTCTCTTCGACGTGCTCAGCGAGGCGGTCGAAGCCTTCCACGAGCTGAACATCGGCAGCAGCACCACCTCGCACCCCCCAGCAGAATCGCAAGAGGAAACGTCCCCGGCGTCAGCGATCGAGCCGGCGCGGGTCTCCCTGCAAGAGGCGTTCGGCATCGAGCATCCGCCCGAGTGGACGCTCTCGGAGGTGGTGACGGAGAAGAAGTCGGTGTTTGTGGGGCGGGCGGCGCGGGTGACGAGCCTGGGGCAGGCGCGCGGGTTTCTGGATTACCTGCTTGCGACGGAGAAGAAGGTTGCGGGTGCGACGCATAATATTAGTGCGTGGCGGATCAGAGAGGGGGGCACGAGTGTGCAGGATTGTGATGATGATGGGGAGACGGCGGCGGGCGGGCGGCTGCTGCATCTGATGCAGTTGATGGATGTGTGGGATGTGGTGGTGGTGGTGACGAGGTGGTATGGGGGGGTGTTGTTGGGGCCGGATCGGTTTCGCATTATCAATGCGGTTGGGCGGGATGCGTTGGTGAGGGGAGGATTTGCTGTGGGCAATGAGAAGAAGAAGGGGAAGAGGTGATGATCTGGCTATCTAGGTCGTAGTACACTATGGGTGTTGATTTCTTTGATACCTCAATCTTGGGCGTGATTTGACACAACCAAACGTAGTATATCACATCCAAACCACGATCAAGCTCTATCACATGTTTCAGGATTCTATCCCCTCACCAATGACTGCCCGTAGAAACCTGGAAAGCTTGACCAACCGGCCGACTCGACCATGTTCCGCGGGAAAGACAGCCGCTGCACCCCTGAGCCAGCGAACGAGTCAGGGCCAGGAACGCCGGGTGACGTGGACGGGGAGCTGGCAAGGCATGGAGTGGTGGGAGGTGCGGCGAACACGACACGCGAGATGGGCATGAATTGGCGCTGCGGATTCCTGGTGGTGGAGGGTTCATGCGGATGGTGGGGACGGGTGGAAGCGCTGAGTTGAGACAGTCGACCAGTAGATGGGATTACCTGAGGACTACTACCTAACGCGGTACCTCAGTGGCGGGAGGGAAAAACTCTGCGCGTGTTGATCCGTCGGCATTGACGAGTCGCGGTGGATCGCAGGGTTCATTTACGAGGCGAGGGATCGCGGGGACTGTCTACGTGAAACGAGGTCGGGAGTTGGCTCTTGATGAGGTAGGATTCCATTCGACCTGTTCGATATTAGGGTAGTATCTATGTAGTTATGTATCAACTCGGGAACGACTTGTCCTCCGCATGTGAACCATGGGCTGACCAGGAGAGGAGGAGGCTGGTCCATGGGTCCGTCCCGGATGGAGATCGGCTTCTTTCGCTCCCTTGATGCGGCATTCCTGCAGCGGATTCAGCTGAGATTTTCGTACTATACAGAGTATGTACATACAATAGGTTACCTGTATGGCTGAGTAGTTAGGTAACTAGCTGAGGCGGAGTTGAAACTGACTGCGCTGGGGAACGTTATTGGAACAATGGAAGCCTAGATCGTCGTTCAATTGGTGTCTTGCAGGATTAGGAGATAATATTATGATATTATAACAACGTAGTATTCCACAATAATACGACTAATAATACAGAAGATGAATAGTCCCTCTACACAACATCATTGGCCCGGTGGGCGCCAACTGTGGTGGCAACAGCCAATCTCAACCCACACTACGCGATGGTGCGACAGTGGATCAAAAGAGGAATGATACCGAGTATCATAGAACATCAAAAAATGGATAGAGAATAAGTGTCATAGAAGAGAGGAATAGGTAGTATAGAACAGAAGAATAGTACATGTAGAACAGAAGAATGATGTATCAACTACCGCATCCTGAGGTCACTCATCACCACCTCGGAACACTACAACAGTCAGTAGAGACATACAATACTCCAGAGAGCAACAGAACAGACAGCTCAGCTCACGCACAACACTGAACAAAGACATCCCCCTACCGGCTCGTTTCAGATCGCCCCATCAGACCCGCCCGGCTTGAATCCCTCGCGTCCCCCACTGCAACCCTCGCCGTCGGCAATTCTCTCTATAAATTCCCCTTCTTTCTTGTCTTCTCGTCGTCTTCTTTCTTTCGTCCACACGCAGCGCGCTTCAGCTTCAACTTCAGTCCTTACTCTTTCTCTCTTCCAACAGGCCAGTCCTGTCTTCATTCCTTTCTTCTGCTTCAGTTGTGCCTGTGGCCGACTGTCTCTTTGCTCAACTCGTCCTTCTCTCGGGTTGTTCACAAAGGTATTGTCCTCTATCTCCAGTCTCCCACATCTGTTCTTGCCAGCGTCTTTATACCCATTTCCTTTGTGTTTCTCATCTCCTCATATACCCCCTCACCTCCTACGATCCCTCGCTAACTTTCCCAGCTTCTGCATTGTTTGATTCGTCTGGCACGGTCAAACAGCTCCCATTCCTTCTGCATCACATCAGATCACCAGATTTCCAATCTCTCAAGAGTCAAAAGTCTCTCAGTCAAAAATGTTCGCCAAGTCCGCTGTTGTGGCCGCCCTTTTGGCCTCCGCCGTCAACGCTCACGTCCTCATGACCGAGCCCACTCCCTACGGTGCCGACTCCCTCAACAACTCCCCCCTCGCTGCTGATGGCAGTGACTTCCCCTGCAAGCAGCGCTCTGGCGTCTATGATGAGCCCTCCCAGATCACCACCGCCGCCATCGGCGAGACCATGCCGCTCAAGCTCGAGGGCAGCGCCGTCCACGGTGGTGGTTCCTGCCAGATCTCCCTGACCAAGGACCTCAAGCCCACCAAGGATTCCGAGTGGATGGTCATCAAGTCCTTCGAGGGTGGCTGCCCCGCCAACGCCGACGGCAACCTCTCCGGCGGCGCCACCATGACCGTCCCCTCTGACCTCAACTACACCATCCCCGAGGGCATCGAGCCCGGCAAGTACACCCTCGCCTGGACCTGGTTCAACCGCATCGGCAACCGCGAGATGTACATGAACTGTGCCCCCATCTCCGTCACCAGCGGCTCCTCCAAGCGTGATGAGAACGCTTTTGCCAAGCGCTCCTCCAGCTTCCCTCCCATGTTCGTCGCCAACGTCAACGGCTGCACCACCAAGGAGGGCGTCGACATCCGCTTCCCCCAGCCCGGTGACGACGTCCAGTACCTGGGCAACGCCGCCAACCTTGCCCCCGAGGGCTCCGACGCCTGCACCGGCACTCCCACCTTTGGCGGTGCTGGCGACTCCAGCTCTGGCAGCTCTGGTTCCGGCTCCGGCTCTGGATCTGGCTCTGGATCTGGCTCTGGCTCGTCCTCTGCCGCCGCCGAGCCCACCGCCAGCGTTGGCGTCACTGTCTCCGTCTCCCTGACCGTGCCCACTGCCACCGCCGACCCGGTGCCCTCCTCTGCCCCGGGCATCTTCGTTCCCACCAGCAGCGCCGAGGCTGCCCCCGCCCCGTCGGCTACCGCCTCTTCCTCTGCCTCCTCCGGCTCTAGCTCCGGCTCGGATCTCGGCGCCCTGAGCGGTTCCTGCAGCCCCGAGGGCCAGTGGAACTGCATCGGCGGCTCCGCCTTCCAGCGCTGCGCCAACGGCCAGTGGACCGAGTCCCAGGCCATGGCCGCTGGCACCAAGTGCACCGCCGGCCAATCGCAGAACTTTGCCATCGAGTCGACCCTGAAGCCGCGCATGCTGAACTCCATGCGCTTCACCCGTCGCGCGCATAACGGCCATGCCCATGCCCACGCCCGCTCGTAGACTCTGCTGGCAGAGTCGTGCTTTCTGGGTGGGTTTGTTGCGTTTAGGTTGCGTTGCGTGTGTTTTGGGTGGCGGAGTCGGTGGTGAGTTTTATCTTCTTGTATGTACTTGGGAGAATGGATTGAAAATGTAGACCATCGTTGCATTGTTCCTTTACTCGTAGATGTAGCTGAGGTCATTCAACTAAATGTTGGTATGCAGAGGTTACACGGGCGTTCCACTAAGCAGCATCAAGGGTTCCTTGTACTACCTTCCTACCCCTCGATCTGTGTGACAAGATCACTAGAATGATCTAGACCTCATGAATCGTATGGTCTCTGCAACATACCCACGAGGTTATAGGTCCAGCTGTTATACCATTCTTTCTAGCCAAAGAACCCCCTAGCTCGCAACCTCCGAGTCTGTCAGTCCACCCATACCCCTGACCGGCGGTACTTCACCATATCTTCTGTGCCTGGAGTTTGACTCTCGATAACAAGTACGCCATATTTAGGCGTACGGTTTTGCACGTGCCTTTGCTTGTAGGACAAGCTAAAATAGCGTATTAGTTGTTCGGTCCCTTCCGCCCAAACCGAAAGTTGACCTTCGCCACTGTGGCTTTTGCACTGAGAGATGAGAAAGCAGTTGCGCCGGTCCGTATTGGTGTCCAACTCATATGTGACAAAATCGCTGAAACTCCTCTGTCCAGCTTGGGCCTGGCGATTCGAATGCATTGATTGTGGCTGGGTTACATATGCGCTTGTGACAGGAAACTGCCATGTCAGGATGGAGTTCCAAACACCATTGACATCCCCTTCATTGCTCTAACCGCGTGACTGAGCGAGATTCTGTCACACTCTAGCCGACACCACCTCTGCAAAGCAGGAAGAAAACAAGAAAACCTATAATAAGAAAGAATAACGAACCAGAACAAGGAGCGACCCATCTATCCGACAACCGTGTATTTTTTTTTGGCGGTGAGCTTGTCAGGTCGGTTCGACTAGGCGCCATTCGGAGAGGTCAAATCCACACCTCGTCCCGTGTCCTGCATGTACTCGGCGATTTGGCCTATACGTATGTGGGGTCAGAATTTGCAAGAACTCATCCAAAAGCAATGTCTTACCCAGAATATCCCGACTTCCTTTTCCTCTGGGAGTGAACTCCGACCCAGGGAGTCTTGAGTTCCCCAACAAACACCAGCCGCCCATTTGACCTTCCCAGATTGGCTCCGGTCGAAATTGGCCTCGTCTTCGCGCGCCTGGAACAAGGCGAGGTCCTAGACCGCTTCGTCGGCCGACTGGGTCGGAGTGACCGCTTCTTTCGTCGTTCGCAGACTCCAGGTGGCATAGGTACTAAGGACCACGGTTCGCGCCGTCGCGTCGTCATCCGGGCCTCGCCCCAGCCATGTCTGGCACTTTGCGTAAACGGTAGCGGACGCGCGGAGAGATCCCGTTTGGACCACGTCCAGCCCCTGGGACAGAAAGGCCGAAGTACCCAGGACATTCCTTGCTAGGCCGGGAACTTCGGGATTATCCTGGTACTTCATTCCTTGTCGGTTTGTGGGAACCGTTGAGATCAGTGGGACCCAAACATGTGGGTTAGTGGAGGTATACACTAGAATCCTTCGTGCTTGAATGGCCTTCAACGGAGCTCCCCTTTCCAATTATAATACTCAGGGTGCTCGTGTTGTAAAAGGCACTTCTGCCGATTTTCGTGCATTCCACGCGCGCAGGTCTACCCACGGAAAGCCCTTTCGACTGTAACATCCAGACGAAATTCCGGATGGAATATTGTTCGTGAGCGACTTAATCAATGAGTCGATATCCGGTGTTGAACGCTTCGTATGCAGCTCGACACATAAGCTCATATCTATAAGCTTGCGGCCCTGTCCTTCTGCCATTCGCGCGACGCTAATTCATCGTGTCTGGTTGATATCATTATAGATGTAAACACGCACATATCGGCCCATCACTAATATCGTAGACATGGATCTTGTATTTACTGGTCGAGTGCCATGCTGCATCGACAGGTAGCGATCCAGCTGCACGCGGCCATTACCGCAAACAGATTGGGGCTCACGATAGGCCACTGAGGTCGGATGGTATACAAGCTGGAAATTGTGGAAACTGTCGTTGCAATAAAGTGCCGATGTTCTCAGTTGGAGCGGGAGTGACGAGCATCTTTAGACTCGAAGCCATACGTGGTCTCGACAAGGAGAAAACTTTCTAGGTTAGAGAAGGTCTCCTAGTTGAACGACTGGATCTGGTGCGCAAGCGCCTCAAGGGGAGCGAAAAGTCCAGGCGCGGAGCACAGCCTATTACCGTAAAAGAGACGGCTAATGATATTCCCCATAGTTAGCAACATCCGGAATTGCATGTCCAGCATGCTAACCGAAAACCCATTCATAAACAGGCGCCAGAAGAACAACGTGGCCGACACGCGGTAGAGCAGATTATTGTCCGGGGTTAAGAGGGCGACAGGATGCAGCTAGTAGTAATCGCTAATAAAAATATAGCCGCGCGGCCTGTAGTTGTCCAGCAGCAGCCAAAGCTTGGATTCAGTAGCCCGGGCTGCCTCGTCAATAACAATCAGCTTAGGTAGTAACTTATCCCGCACCATAGGCTAGCTAGCCCTAAAGATAGTAGCCACGATGGTGTCAGCGATCTTCAAGGTATCCTAGAGTAAAGTCTTGGTTTCTCCCGGAGAGATTCGCGCTTCTCCCGATTAAATTCCATATTATCCTAGTACTTCTCGAGGAAGCCGCGGAAATCCTTATACCGTTCCAGCTTCGACCAAGGGGAGGTAATCGACCTAGCCACCTAGAAAGCACGGTAGCCTGGACTTTATTCAAGACTGGCAACGCGCTTATCGCGCACGGGAGATAGGCTATAGATAGTTTTCTAGTAGTCGTCGTGGAGAGCTTGGCAGATCAGCATTTGCGCGATGGTCTGATCGAGGCTCCCCTGGATGATAGGCGGACGAGCGTCGTCAGAAGCGTTGCGAGCCTGCTCGGCTTGATAGTGTGCTATATTAATCTCGATCTCGGTGGCGTGAAGACGGACCACTATTATAGCGCGGTCGGCGAAGGCGTTGGTCGCGATGCGCTGGACCTCTTGGGCCAGGTCGTTGCAGGCTGCATTACTCGGGCTAACCATCAGGGCCTGAAAGTGAAAATTCGAGTGACGGGTCAGGAGAGAAGAAGGCATGTAAAATGCCTAATGTCGGAATACCGTTCGAATGCCTCCTGAATCAACATTTTCGGCCAAGGACACAGTCCGTCAGGCCTTCCAGCCCTGCGATGAGGTCATGGCTGGGATTACTGGAAGATCTTTGTGGATGGACAAGTCCATGAAGCGATTTTGCTCTCGCTTCTTGCAAGGCGCAGTATTCGACGCCACATCCTCGCAATGGCCAAAAAAAAGAGTTCACGAACCGTTCTTTGACATCATTGGGGGATCCTGTCCAGTTTGCGCCATAGGCTCTAGAGACTGGAGGCAAGGGCCTTAGGGTCTCTGTAAAGACCGCTAGGGGAGCAATCCCGATAATCACCCTTGTATTTATCAGCTGTCGTCGCCCGAAGCAGGGCAAATGAAGCGGAGAGGATACTGTCCTCCAATCGCTCGCTTGCTTTGAGTTGTCGGGGGAGGATGAAAGGGTATCGTCAGGGATCACTCCTCCTGCTGTTGACTCTGTTTCGTATCCGTAATCGATCCATAAAGCTTGTTCCTTTTCACCGAGCGCGGTTTGTCTGGCAATGTACAGAGGCTCCCGCCACATCCATGGATGCTGGGAAACTATCTGCATCAAGTCGTCTTCGTTAACAAGACCGATGACTCTGCCGCAAAACGAGTCCGCGGGGGGAGGTTGGACGAGGCGGGACGAGATCAGCGTCTATCAACCAAAATGACCATTACTCTACCAAAAATGGGCAACCCACTTAGTGGTATGTAAGGTGTAATACATGGCTGTAAATGTAGTTTGACAGCATCATAGAAGAAGTGGAGCCAAGAGTCAGAATTGGAAAGACTGGTGGTCGTATTTCCGAGCAGAGCATCGAGAGCTTTGATGGCTTTCCGAGCGTCGGATAGACGAGCAGGGATAACATTGCCTGCAAAACCCTTGCGGTGCATGCCCGGCTGGTGTGGATAGATGAGACAACCAAGAGGGCCTTGCGTGTAGCACTGGCGACGTCTGGTCCAGACAAAGTCACAATATAGGGCCTCCGTTCATGTGGCGTGACAGCCCTTATGTTATATAGAGTAAATAAATATAGACATCATATACTGATAGGAATATGAACAGTGTTGAAATAAATAGAAGAAGTTAGTGGGAGGTGTCGGGCCTCTTATAAGTTAAGCGTTTGCCGCTGTTGATATATATCTTCACCAACAAATATGACCAAGAGTATAAGCCATCATTCACCGACTAGAATACCCTGCAAACAAACCTTCAGGCTAGTACTGATATGGATCAAGCAAGTTAATGTAGAAAGCTCTTCACAAAGAAAGTACAGAAGAGCATTCCCTGGGGTTTGAAAGCGAATCAGAAGGGATCATTCCCTGTATTCACTTTATCATTAGTGAAAAATGCATGCTGCGCAGATAAGTGACATAGACAAGTATATCTGATTGAATTATAGACCGAGCAGATCAAAAACTGGACAGGATATCCTATTCTGGTAGTGATGAAGTTGAAACTGTACGTTGTTGTTGACATCATTCAGACATGTGACTAGTTGCACGTGATGTTCTTCTTTGTTGGCATCCAGAAACCGTTGGCTTACAATCACACAGCAATCGACAAGAATGACCTGAATTGGTTATGGGAGTTTTCAACTAGTATGCTCAATAATTCTTGTAATAATAGTCTAGCATTGACCAGGACTATGAGAATGGAGTAAGGTAGTTATGGTGGAGTTGGTACACAGCACTACGAGTTGGACGGATACCATTCCTAAAACAGCAACACCTAGGGCTTAGGGCTCCCCAAACCCACCACCCGCAGCGGGCCAACTAAGCGAAAATTTCGACAGCACTTCGGACAGAGTCTTGATCTCCAACTTCGACCGACCGACACCGACCAACCTCATCGTCGACAACAATGGCGTCTCGTCCTACCGTCACTATCGCCACGGCTGAGGGCAAGGCCAGCGGGGCCACCCTCCCCCTGCCTGCCGTTTTCACCGCGCCCATCCGTCCTGATATCGTCCAGTATGTTCGACCGTCGTGCGAAAGAGTTGTCGGGGAGGAATGCGATGGCTGACCGGTTCATTATAGGCAGGTTCACACCGGTATGGCCAAGAACAAGAGACAGCCTTATGCCGTGAGCGAGAAGGCTGGTGAACAGACCTCTGCTGAGTCCTGGGGTACTGGTATGTGAATTGGATGCAAAAAACTCTACGGATGTTGGGAAAGTGGCTGATGGAAATTTTCTGCCTACAGGTCGCGCTGTCGCTCGTATCCCCCGTGTCTCCGGTGGTGGTACTCACCGTGCTGGCCAGGCTGCTTTCGGTAACCAGTGCCGCTCTGGTCGCATGTTCGCTCCCACCAAGGTCTGGCGCAAGTGGCACCAGAAGGTCAACGTTGGACAGAGGTATGGATCATCTGAACTCAATTGGTCGCGCGGATGAGGAAAAGCGGGAAACTAACAATCACCAGACGCTTCGCTACCGCCTCCGCTCTGGCTGCTTCCTCCGTCCCTGCCCTTCTGTTCGCCCGCGGTCACCGCGTCGCCAACATCCCCGAGGTCCCTCTTGTTGTTGACTCCAAGACCTTCGAGGGTGCTGCTGTCACCAAGACCAAGGCCGCCATTGCCCTCCTCCAGGCTCTCGGTGCCGGCTCCGAGCTCGTCAAGGTCCAGAAGTCCCGCAAGATGCGCGCCGGTAAGGGTAAGCTGAGAAACCGCCGCTTCCGCCAGCGCCGTGGTCCTCTGGTTGTCTACAACCCCGAGGTTGACGGCAAGGAGCTCGTCCGTGCTTTCCGCAACATCCCCGGTGTCGAGACCTCCTCCGTCTTCTCCCTGAACCTCCTCCAGCTCGCCCCTGGTGGTCACCTCGGTCGCTTCATCGTCTGGTCCTCGGCTGCTTTCCAGGCCCTTGACCAGGTCTACGGCAGCACCACCACCCCTGCCGCCCTCAAGAAGGACTACACCCTGCCCCAGAACGTTGTCGCCAACGCCGATCTGGCCCGCCTCATCAACTCTTCTGAGATCCAGTCCGTCCTCCGTGCCCCCAAGGGCGAGGCCCGCACCAAGCGCGGCAATGTCCAGAAGAAGAACCCTCTCCGCAACAAGCAGGTCATGCTCCGTCTCAACCCTTACGCTGCTGCTTTCTCGAAGGAGAAGCTCGGCCAGAAGAGCCTGGAGCAGGGCAAGCCTGAGGCTGCTTCCAAGGAGTTCCTCAACACTCTCTACGAGGCTTAGATGGGGAGTGACGCATTGGGTTTGATATGAGTTTCACTGGTTAAAAAGGTAGCACAGCAAATGAATACGGTTTGCAATACCCGTGACGATAATACGAATTAGTAATGTCCAAGCATTTGCATGTGTTCGTAGTTGTAGTCGATCATAACGGTAGGGGTCCTCTAGGAGGATACCACCGGCTCCGAACTAACATGAACTAAGATGCAAGCGATATTCGAGCATGAGCTGTCATACTCTAGCGCAATATTAAGCATATTAAATCCAGAACGCCACCGCTACAAATAGCTACAGTCAACCAGGGTCGGCTGGCGAACCCGTTCCATAGGGATCCGGCCACATATCGCATCGCTTAAGGCCGGGCTCGACAGGGATTGCGCCTCAACGCCCGTTGCGGCCGATTAATATACTTCCGCATGTGCACTGCAACCCTGCGCGGCAATCCTCAGGCACCACGGCGCCGACCTCGCGTCGACCAGTCCGCGGAGGCAACCGCCTATCCCCTTCGAGCACCCTCTCGAACTTCCGTGTACGGAGTAGCACCTAGCTGTGCGGAGAATTACGTGCATATCGCCCATGTCGGCCGCCCCCGTTCCGTCCGTTGACACCCCCCTCCCCCCGGTCCAGGGGCGACGTCGGCAGCATAGGCCGAAACTCAACGCCAGAAAAATGCAAGCTAAGGCTTCCTGATGGCTCGAGCTGGGATAGTAGCGCCCGACTAACTTGGCAGCACAAGCCCGGATAGATACAGCACGGGGGACCCTCCCCTCCACCTCCGCTGTGTGGTAGGAGGGTAACCTAGGTCGGGTGCCAGGGCGGTCGTCCAGTCATCGACGGATGAGCAGACCAACAGTCCAGGATGTCGGCTCCGAAGGATTGGTATCGTGAAACCCGGTCGGTCGCGAGACTTGCATCCTTCTCGCCTGCGCTGCATTTGCGCAGATGGGTTTAGTCTCGTTCTTTTGCTGCCCTTGCTCCGTTGGCGCCGGGTAAATTGGGCTCTGAGGTAATTTATTTGCTGCGTACGTAATGACAATGGGTTGGCTTTTTCTCTTGTCTTGGATTGTGAGGCTTTCACGTTCTTAGACCGGTGGTGAGGTCAGAGATGAAGTTGAATTCGCTCGATACCTACTCATGCCCAAGAGGAGATTGATCTATGCACCGGTACATAGGAGGATCCACGGAGGATCGCAGGACGTCCATCATCCTCAGGACAATTGCCCAAAGCAGTAAGCCGGCATTTGGTCCCCTCCAACGGCATTCAGAATCGAACCGCAAAAGAACCAACCCTAAGCTCCACGGGCTCCGAGACACAAGCCAAGACGTGAGTACGTACGTAGCAGTTACTGGCCGACCAGATTAGCGACGCGAACGTGGTGGACTCGATCCACTTTTGCCCCGGCGGCATCATATGAAGTTCACGAGCGTGCTTTGGGCAAGGTAGTATTGTTTGGTCATCAATATTCTTGCCATATCTGGCCATCGCTGGTTCACCGAATGGAGATTCAAGGCGACTGGCCCTGGATTCGGTTGGACGGAATGGACCCTGGCGGCGAGAGATCCTCAACGCCATCCGGATAGGTCGATGCTGGTGGTGCAATCGGACGGAGGAATTCGCGGCGTCCTCCGCCAACGCAACGAAGATGATCGGCCTGATCCCAGTTCCTGGGGCTGGAACCACGGAAATTATTTCTCAACCGTCCGTGTCACGACTGTCAAACTCAATTATGACTCGGTTAGAGCTCGTTGCCGATGGGATCGGGCTGGTTGAACTCTAAGCCCGTCGATG